CAATCTCCCCCATCAGATCAAACCCCCACCTCTCAAACGCACCAACCCGATCTCCGAATATTTTACTCAAAGCGTTCCCCTACGGCCGCATCTACGTAATCTCTTCTGATTGCTATCTCCAATCTCATCTCCAACAAAGAACCCTCTTCTCCCCCTGATTCCGAACTTCCAGATTCATCGCACACGCACTCATCACGCTGCAGTCCGACTCGGAATTCTCCGTCTGACGAGCTCGTCTGACATGCATTTAGAAAAGATACAAAGAAGTAGCAGGAAGGAACATGATGCTTTAGCACCTTGAAAACAATGATCAGGAACGTTCGGGAATAAGAGAATAAAGGAACTTTAGATACGTGCTGCTTTACTGAGGGATTTAGAGGCTCCAAGTCGGGGTAACGATGACGGGAGAACGCATAGAGTGGTGAAAGAGCTGCGGTTAGCTGAACGCGGAATTAGGTGATAGAGTCTGATGTCCCGAGGGGGAAAAGGAACTAATGAGGTAGAAAGGAATGAGTGCCGAGGCGTTCAGAATAAAGATGTAGGAGAAACAAAGAAGGAAGCGAGGAAAAGAGTTTATAAATCACGTTTCGATCATTCGGGACAGAATCCGAGCCCGTGAATAGATTTGCTTGAGATGAGAACAATGGAATGGTGTATGTGTGAAAGGAGATGCGAACAGACAAAGACAGGGATAGCCGATTTTAGTTTGTTCAAGCGATGTTGTGAATGGGAGAAGTACGGAAATTGAACATAGACAGATACTTATTAGGCGAGGGAAAAATGGAACGAAGGAGTTAGATAAAATTAGAGCTAGAAACTGACTATCGATCTAATAATTTGCATTATAAATGACGCAGTGGAAGGAATTAGATCATTTTGTGGGAAACAAGGAGAATGAACAAATGATGAAAAAACATTTGATAGAAGACGGATGATTAATACAATCGCTCCTATGTGTGTGAATACCTAGATAGGAAGAACTTGTGCTATGGAAAGGGATGGAAGATATGATTCTAATTTTGGATGCATTCCGGAACTTGTGGAAAACTGGAAAAACAGTAGTAATGAAACTTATAATCAGAACCGAAAGCTTTTCAAATATCGCAGTGGAAGAGGAGGACGACAAGAGTAAGTTCCACAATTATGATGGCAATACTAGAGTGTAATTCACTCGCAATGTGTCATCAGAAGGAAAGTGAGAAGGAGATAACTTATACTTTTAAATAACTTACTTGGTACTAGTATTGAACCCAAGTAAGAGATACTCACACATGCAGACCATAACGGGTAGAAACTCTAGCGATAGAAGCATCTATCAATCACGCCCTATCATGCCTTAGTCTACATAACAACATCATGAGACCTAACCGCAAACGTCCAAATGTTGCACGTCTCAAAAGGCCTGCGACCTTTTCACGAGATTAAAGCCCCATTCAATAAGGAGCAGTCAAATACTACGATGATTTCGTCTGAGACTTATCGAAAAGTGGGATATACAATGTCAAGTGATGTGAAAATGGCAGTGCCTGCATAGTCGGCCGGTAGGTCTCGATAACGGTTGGAAGGCTTATACTAATTGCACGCACTTTCGTGCGAAAAGTCCCTCGCTTTAAGCTTATGAGCTTTTTACTGAGGTTTTCCTTGAAAGGTAAAAATCGAATTGTATGTTTTAATGAAATAAATTTAGCAAGGCGATAATATTGTTTGGTGCTTTGAATAAGATACGAAAGGGCTGAAAAGATCAATTAGACGCACACGGTCTTCCTAGCGATCAAATCTCTCCGGAAATACTATTTCCAAATTAATTGGCAGATACAGAAAAACGTAGACTCAATGTTGCATATCTGAAAAGGCCGGCGACCTTTTGATTCCTAGTCCATTACTCCCTACTAAGAATCCATCAACATCACTGCCCATCACTGCCCAAAGTAAAGACACATGGGATGTAAAAGATTTTCTTATAAAAATGGAACTGGTCGCATTTAAGGCTTCAGCTTTAATCCCACTTACGGTCTTCGAACGGGCCGTGTAATCACATAATTGAAAACTACGGGTTCACGAAGAACCGAGAATCCGCAGATCCCATTCGCGGCGCTTACATCGCGCTCACATCCGAGCTCATCAAACTTTTTGTGCCTACCAAGCGCGATGACAAGTGTTGCCTCATTAATAGTCAGGTTTAAATTGATAGTAATTGAAGAAATGAAATATTTTTAGATGCTTGTGATGTAGGATTTAATACCCAGTTGAGTGGGTGGGAATCGCCGCCACAGCCACCAAAAAAGGTTATTTCAACGGCCTCCTTGGCAACTGTAATTCAATATATTGATTTTTTTGAGGAGCAGGGTAATTGTACGCATACAGAAAATGAGAGGCGGTCGGTGACCTTTTGAGATATGCAACATTGTATTGTTCTACTTCACTTGGATCGTTGATGAAGCCATCAATACACCAGATACGTGATATATTCACTATGATCTGACTTCTGGGTTCTGATCTTTGACATGAAACTGTTGCATTCGATGTATACAATCACTGGATCTCAATTGAATATCACAAAACTAACCTTTCTAACAAAACATTTCGAGGGTATATCTCGGTTTCTAGACGATGTAAATCCACTTGTGTACTGATATCAAACAATCGTAAAAAATTTGAAAAATCTTCAAATTCCCATGTTGATTGGACATGAAGCCGCAGGGTAACGGAAAACTTTCCAAATGTATCGAAAAGATAAAGGGACACACACTTTGATCGGGTCGCCGTGATTCATTATGCCACTGTATGTCTAGAACAATTCATGCTTCAGTGTGAATAGCCAGCTCCACGCGTACCATTTTTGGCCTCCTTACACACATGTGCCTCGATGCTTGGAAATCGGCTGCTCCAAATGTTGCACATATCAAAAGGCCGCGGACCTTTTCGTCCCAATATCTATACTCTGAGCAATTTCGGGTTCAGTCATAGTGTCAGTCTAGCCCGGCCTCAATTGCGGCCCCAAGCAAAGTTAACCTGGCTCTCCGGTACCCAAATGTTTGGGTCACCTGAATGGCCTCAATTTCCTTTTACTGGCTTTCAGCTTACCAGAATTATCGGATGTGATCAGGTGTATAGCGACTCGCTCAAATCATTTCTACTATGTATATCTATGCATCCACAATTATAGATGCCTGGAAGCGCGAGAAAGTGATCTTCGTGATCCCAGCGGCACTAAGGGCTAGTTTGGATGTACAAATCCGCGCTGAATCCGCTGAATATTCCATACTTTTTAAAAGCGGATTTTGAATTTATATTTGAACGTCAAATCGCGGATTTTGTTGAATAATCTGTATTTCAATGAATTTAGTGTATTTTGAAGTGGGGAGGGGGTGGATCATTTTAAAATGATGCTAAATAATCCGCGTTTTTCAATAAATTTGTATAGGAAAATGAAAACGCGGATTGAAAACAAAAACTAGAAAAAGTAGGTTTTGTTAAATCCGCTGAAATAATCCATTCTTTTTATAAGCCTTTATAGGTTTTAAAGCCTAAAGCTTTAGTGAATAAAGCCTGAAGTTATAGTAAATAAAGCTTGAAGCTATAGGCTTATATTGAATTAGAGTTTATAATTGTATGTAAATTTAAATGAAGCTATTCCCATATTTGCTTATTTAGTTATTCAAATAGTGGTAGTATATTGAAAATTCGAATTATTCCATCTAATTTGTGTATGTGTTATGTATGTACTCTACTTCCTTTCATTTCGATGGATTTTATAGCGGATTTGATATACAAACCATAAACCACAGATCAATAATCCACTCTTTTTGAAGCAGATTATTGCCACCACGGAATCCGCGGTGGCACAAAGAGCGGATTATTTCAGCGGATTCAGCGCGGATTTTGCAATCAAACGAGCCCTAAGATGAAGTCATTCGCATGCTGTAATCCGACCAGGTATTTGGCCAACCAATGAAAAAACGCACCGTAGCCACCAAGAATCAAGGCTACTCGGACGAGGCTTGTGGTAGTTGTATACGATATTCAGTATTGTGGTAAAAATACGAAGGTGCATGGTAAGATTTGGTCGGTGGCCTTGTGAGACATGCAACATAGGATAACAATGAATAGGATTTTCTCCAGCTATTGATCGCGAGAATATATTTTGAGACACTAAATTTTTTATGTTCATTGACTCTTGTGTGCCGGACTGATCGCCATTCCTGATCAATCAATTGAAAAGAATTCAAATGCATCGAAAGACACCGAATTCGAGAGATCTCTAAGATCTACTCGAGGATGTTACAGAATTCACTCTTCACGAAGATTGAATAGTTTATGACAATACACTAGTTAATCTAATGTCATCGAGGCCACGTAGTGGATGAGAACCAGCCTTGCTGTATTACAAAAAAAAGGTGCACCAGTGGGTGCATGGACTGACGGGACACTTCCCAATTTTGAAATTTTTTCAAAAATTCATTCTTCAATTTTTTGATATCAGAATTCGTATTTTGATTATTTTATCTTTATTCAAAAATTACAACAATTTTTAAAATGAATGATTCAGTATATCAAAAGATATCTACAAGCTTATTTTTGTACTGTCCCGTGAGTCCGTACACCCACTAGTGGTGCATGGAAAACAAGATAGAAAGTTAGAACAATTCGAGATGAAGGAAAACAACCAAAGACTTCAGTGTAAGCAAGTACTAATCGAGTGAAGGGTGCAATGACTTCTGGTCTAGACGCGAGATTCAAGTCAAGAACGAGCTCACAATATGCATGTGAAATGTGCACCAAGCGTAAATTTGAATGGAAGTCTAACAAAGCCTCTAACACGAGTAGATGAACAGGTGCCCTAAGCAAGGAAAGAATGCGTTCCCACCCCGGATGACTCCATATTCAATATTCGATAGTTATTCTCACTGAAGTAACACATGAACTTAAGAGAGACTCAAATAAACAAACTAATGCTAAATCTCATCATTCTATTCGAAGTTCCAAATGAGCTCATTATCCGTGTGATCGGAGGAACATGAAAGTTGTTTTGTGAAAGAATGAAATTAAGAGTTTCCCCTTCAAGCTATCACGTGCATAGCATCTTGAAATTTATAATTTGGAATACCAAGGTACTTTGAGTTTAAGATTGCCTTTGACATCTCGTTGATTTCGGGTTTTGAATAAAATATGGAGAAAAAACGATTGCAACTTGAGCTTTGAGATATGACACAAATTTACCTCGAAACTTCTACTAGGTAGCCGCTGTGCGTGAGAGATCTGTAAAATGTCGGAACACAACTCTGAAGTTTGATCAACGAGATGGATTGAGACCTCAGGAGAGGCCTTGTGTTTCCACTTCACGATCCTATTACGTATCAACATTTGACGACAAACGGGAAATTGATGGCAAATAGGACCTTGTAAATGAGAGTAGGAAAAGCTGCAGGCCTTTTTAAGATGTGCAACCATTCGTCCTTTCCCAAAGTTTTAGGCAGATATTCTGCGTGGCATTCTGGAAACCCCTTAAACACCTGTAATCGCGCCTCCACAAAGAACTTTGCCCATAATTGCATAGCTCCACTACCCAAATCAGGATGAAGAGTTCATACCCAACCCCATGGAATAGAGATGTGGCCGGGGACCATCTGAGATGTGCAACAAAGTATCAAAAATATAAAGATGGGCGAGCACGATTTGCTTTTAGCTTTCAAAATGCGCATGGTTTCCGCAACAACCGTAATTTCAGACCTGATCACTTTAAGATGAAGTCTCTAAGTGAATCCCTCGGAAGAGTATATTGATGCGAAGTTACCGGCCATTTGACATGCGCAACGAATTATATCCTCTTCTTTCAGGGTTGCTCCCCTTTTCGCGGAAGTATCATTTGTGTTGTCTTAGTGATTTAGTGCTTCAGTGATGACCCATTTTAAAAGTCAATGAGTAGAAAATTGTAGCCTCGTAGCTCTGAACCGGAGCTCATTCAATTGGAAATGGCTTCCCCTTTCTTTCAGGTCGCCGATTGAGAGATGCAACAAAGACAGATGTTGTTGAAAAGCGGTGGATAGTAATTTCCCCTGATTTTGACACGCGGTACCGCTTCGGTCTCGAACGCGCTCGCCTTTGCACCGGAGAGTCATGCTTTTGAATGATGTAGCAAAGACCATCGTGGACCTGGTATAGCTCGTAGAATGATCCAATCGCCGACTAAGAGACGCAACAAAGCTTGCCATTCACTCACATTCTGGACCTCCCTTCTCTATGGTCAGAAGTATCATGACTCGTGGGGTTGAAGTTGATGATTGGGTGGAGTCGTAGATTGAACTTTCATTCTACCAAGTGGATACCCGGCGACCTTTATCATAGGCTATGTGATATTAATCCGGAGGTGCGAAGAAATTTTTAGGTCGCCGACCTTTTTAGATCTGCAACAAAACTCTGTCTTGACAGTCTGGCGGTATCATCTAGCTCACGCCTAGCATCTGATCTCGGTACATCTCACCCAATCCCGCAAATGTCCCATCTAGATTACCCTTGTTGCCGACATCAATCCTGTGCAAGGAATAACCAGGTCGCCGACCTTTTTAGACGTGCAACAAATCCCATTCTTACCTTCAAGAAATCAACGTTTAACTTCTTCAAGATGAAGGATCCGTGAAGATGTTTGGGTCAATCGCAAATTTCGGCTGATCACCGAGATCGGTCTTGTACCTTTTGCGGATGTTTCTCCGGAGCGAAGGAATGGTCGCCGACAAGGTCAACACAAATTTGGGTACTATTGGATGAGATTTTTCGATGCCAAGTCTTTGTCTCTATTTGCGTCTCGCCTTAAGGAATCAGGGTGGCTCTCCGGCGTTCTACGAGGAACATAGTACGACTAAACGCTCTTCTGCAGCTTCCCGAAAGTGACAGGTATCCACTATTCTTCACTTGTGAACCCTTTTTTGAACTTGTCAGCCACTACACTCAAGCCACACTTGCTGCATGAAAAACACCACCTGCACTCATAGTTCTTCCCAACTCCAGCTACTTCAAATCGCTCTGATACTTTTAAGCTGCCCTCCTTGTTTCCATGAGCGCTCTCAATAATGCCACATCATCACAACCCCAATCACGACCATAACCCACATTATGTCAATAATACCCAATGATTATATTCATGCGACCTCCAAAGCGGCCTTTTTTTCTCTATAGCGTGATATCCTTGCCAAGTGGAGCTACAGGTGTCATGTCTTACATTTATTTTCGATGATGAGGTCGGCGGCCTTTTGAGATGTGCAACATTCCCTTTCGATGGATATTACTTGGAGTGAGTAAGTTGGGGTTAAATGAGCGGTAGAGCGAGATTGTGCTCGGGAAGTAAGAGGAAATGATAATAAGTCGATTAAGAGATCTTTCTTGCGACCTTGAGGACTACCACGCTCACCGTCTTCTGGCTTTGGAACTTTATTTACATTCGCTCCTATACCCCTACCATTTTTCAACTGTATTCGCTCATGAAATTTCTCGTCAGTGCAAGGCGAAGGTCAAGGCCATTTGAGATATGCAACAATCGTGAGGTTTCTTCTCCTTATCTGTTGTAATAGGTGCAACGGTTCTCAATAGTCTGATGAGGCCTCTCGCTCAAGGTGGTCGCATCCGAGGCCGGAGTGGAGAAATGCTTCCTGCACTCCAAGTTGATGTCCAATGGCAATCGGTTTCTGGCGTAGTGTTCATTCCAGATAATTCTTACTTGCATAATCTCTTCTAATTCACTTCATCCAAGAACATGGCTTGACCGCGGGCGACTCAAATGAGACGTGCAACAAATTCCACGTTTGCGTCTCGCAGACTCAGATATCGTATTATTTCCACAGATTATCCAGACCTTGAGTTTTGGTGTAGCGCTAACGAGCGTTTCCATTAATCCGGCTCTCGTTCTGTCTATATATCTTAGAAGCTAGCGATCCATGCTTCTCAGTCGGACACATCTTTGCTTTCACACTGGGTCTATAAGCAGATAGAGAGATGCCGAACACAAGTATCTGAGATATTCTAGTCTCATTAGATTAGATAGCCATATCGAATGGAAAAGACGCTTCGCAATATCTAGTACCAAACTATGGGAATAAGGAACTGCATATACACTACTACCGCTCCTTTCGCCATTGATGAAAAAGGACACAATTCGGGATTCAAATACGTGGATTACGTGTCTCTAGTAACCTATACATCGGTCGAATCAGGACACTCGTTTCAAAATATGCGTCGAAATTTCATTAGAGACGGCTTTTCTTCAGAGCGATATATAACACATTGATGCAGTATAACGTAACCTGATGAGAGGAATGGCAACACATTGTGTCCCCCTTCTGCGCGTGCGAATCGATAGTATGCTTCTTAGTGGTATGGAATCTGTCAAATTGCATTGTATTACCTCAAAAGTTTCTCCCTTATACCAATTATACCTCCCTTTGACATGCCAGCTTGTCATCTGACTTCATCATCACACCAACTTCCAGCACAATCTTGCGACCAATTCCACGTTGGACGATTCTCATTTCGATTTCCCTCTTGCTCTGCCTCTATTTTCCGCCTACAAGAAGCGAATGTCCCGGTGTATTTTTTCTAGCACGATAACGGGCTTCTTCGCCAAGCCAGTCGTCATATGATAGAGGGTCTGGGTCGTTTTTGCAGAGCTTTCGTTCAGAGCCTCTTGCTCTGCTTTTGTTGCTACCAGTTCTGTGGGCAGACGATGTGTTGTCACTGATCTTGTTACTGTGTCTAGGTCCACGAGACTCTTCGCTGCTGCCGGCTCTGGGGGCTCGGCCAGGTGATCCGGAGTTCTTTGAAGGATGGAATCGAACGCCAGAAGCTTTCAGCATATTCGCTGTGCTAAATACTGATAATTTTGCTTTGAAACAGACGCTTCGAAGCAGAAATTGATCGGGTTGTGATGGTGGATACCCACAATTCCTGTGGCATTGTCATTCGGCAAGCGAATAACCATGAGAGAATGAGCGCCTGGAGCAGTAGGAACGCCTACAATGGCAGCTAAAAAAAATTGATACAGTGAACAAACCATGGATATCGTTTGCTTGTGGAGCGATCAAGGGAAATACAGGTGACGCCGAAACGTCAATGATTTGGTCATTGGAGTCGAATTTCGTGATGGGAACACAGACGGAGTTGCTTTCGCAGAAATGACAGAGATGCTTCAGCCAAGAATTAAGAGGAAAATCAAGAAATCCATGACGTATCTTTCCTGCTGAGAGATTCGTGAACAAGGTTTGGGGAGAAGCAGATCAGGGGCAACATAACAGTGGAGAAAAATGGTTGTGGAAAGACAGCTGTTGAGGTTCATAAAGACATCTGTAGCAGGACTCGAGCCTGTGGACCTCAGTCAATCTTAGCTCATAACTGTCAACTAACTTTATTTCAGGTGACTAGAATTCTTGATGGTAAACTATACATCGTCTTCGGCGTTTGTAGGATAGATGCTGAAATGTGCAGGGTCGAAAATCAGTCTTTCAAAATCGGAGAATAAACCTGTAAAGTTATCAAATACGATGCCATTGCCCCGATGTTACAAAATCAGTTGCAGTGTGGTTCAATACCAGTGTTTCATCAAAATCCAGACGATCTCATTGACACACAGAGACTCAAAGCAAAACAGAAACCGAGCTGGCGATACGTAACTGCAATGTACAGACTTATCAATCAGACAATGGTATGGAATATTGCGCTGAGGCCCAAAAATACACCAAGGATAAGTGTGAAACTTGACGTTCAGCTCCTATTGACACCGGTGTACTTTACATGGCTTCCAAGGTTAGTGTAGAACCATAGGACAATATAAGTCACGTGATATAGACATTATGCATTTACATGCTAACCGGTAAAGCAAACACAGGCATTGAGTAAGTTCAGAATCGCCAACATAGGTAATATTGAAATCATCATTAAACTGGTCCTATGTTTCATCCCCGAAGGAATAGATGCATCGACACGTGAAAATGTCAATGAGTAGGCATCTAGAGTTAAGCTATTTTCTGCTACCGTGGAACAAGAATACGAGGAGCTTCTGTATGATCCCGTTCATCTGGATACCTCCAACTACCTTTGAGCAAAGTAAAGTATAGCACTAGATAGATTCTCGAGGAGAACGAGGCTATGACCGATGATGGCCTACATATAGTGCGTATTAATGTAACGTTGAATGCAGTAAACGTTAGAATAAGCAACATGCTTCAGATCTTCAAAAAAACGGTACCTACCGAAAGCCAAGCAAATCAATCCAAGGATTAACCTTTTAGTACTGATTAGTCATAAAAAGCAAGTTCTTCCATCTTATCAAATATTCTGATTTCATTTGGCCCTCCAAAATTTATATCTTCGATACCAATAACTCAATTAAGAGCCTAGTATATATAAGATATTTCTGTCATATCTTCAGATGTCTTACTAAATCATGCGATATGTCTCAAGATTTATCTGCCGGCTTGGTAAATCATCCAGTAATGATCTCGGACGAACTTAGATCCAACCCTCACCATAATCTTTCTGATCTAGATGCGACTACGGATACTAAAGAACAAGAAGCCACTGCAGCTAAGATGAATTTGGAATCATCTTCAACTCAAACGTTGGATAACGTATCCGTATCTGCACCAGATCCACAGGAGCTTAATGCTCCAGACGTTCATTCGCAATCATGCCTTGGCCTAGTCGAAGAATCTGCCGTTGATAACGAGTCAAAGTTGATAATCGATACGGCAACAACAGGAGGGGCAGTGATTGCGGAAAATACCACTTCAGGTAGGACAACCGCTAATGTTTAACTTTTGCATCATGTGAATACATTGTGGAAAGTACATTCTAATCATGCCTGCTTCCCAAATAGTCGTACCACCAATATCTACCGTACAACCACTCGAAAATATAAACCCCCCGACCGAAACCCAGCCCTCTACATCTGCGACCGCTGCCACAACCACGATATCTCCTAACACTGAACAGCATTGTCAATCATCGATAAACTCTATTATTACAGATCCACAGACTTCAAGCGCCAATCCTACTGCGGATCTTGCGAATACCCCGAATGGAGATATGAATGTCGTCAAAATTAAAGCAGCTCGTCGGAGAATGGCTCGTGTCAAGGCACATCCGAATGCCTTGACAGTCTATGAGGCTGAGCTGACAAGTAAGGATAGGGCGACTCAAAAAGAAGCAGTTCGACAATATTTGGAGAAGAATGTGAAGCAGGACTGGACTTGGACCTGGCCAGCTGAAGAAAATGAACCTATGAATATAATAGATGCATTGCTTAAGGAGCCTTCTTTAGATGAGCTCCAAGTCACCAGCACGGATAGCCCTGCGTACAAGGAAGAGTGGCGAGAAAGAGACGAGTGGGAAAGTGATCCCACCGAAAGCGAAAGTGAAGATCCTAGTTCGCCCAAAGGGCCCATCAACATTAATTCTCCGGATAGAGAAAGTCCTTTTCGTTTTGACAACCCGGATGGTGTAGGTCAATTGGTCAAACAAAGACGAGCTGCACGAAGACGCCGACACAAGAAGAAGCTTGCCGCGGAAATGGAATGGAACACAGGAGTACACTGTTATGTAGAAAGACGTGATGCATGGACTTGCGCCCGACGTGTCCCCCCTCCATCCGGGCGGGAGCTTCACGCCATCGAAAATTTACCAGTCCATTCAAATGGAAATGCCCGCAAACCTGTGGATGATCCCTCGGATTCAGAAGGATGGGATACTGAAGTGCCCATTGCTAAATCACTACTACCACCGGATAATGCAATGAGAGCGAGCATCACTCCTCAAGCTTACAGTACCATATACGACAAAGTTATTTTGCAATCACTTACACCTAGTTGTCCTATCAACCTATCCGATGTCATACAGAGCTGTGTACAAGGATGGAAGCGGGATGGTGAATGGCCTCCTTCCTCATCTGTCCCCGAACCTGGTTTCGCGGCGAAGAAAAAGCAAAGGAGACTGAGCATGTTGAACATGTTAGGGCTAAATGGACCCGAAGCAAAGCCAGTTAGTCCTGTGGTAGAAAAAAGTCCACAGACGCCGAATTCAATTAAGAAGGGGTTACAAAAGTTCTGGAAACGCGGAGACAAAACCAAAGGTACGACTGAGGGTGGGACGGGAACTTAGAATTTTGGTACAGAAGAGCTACTGCATATAGCCTATCAAATGGGCTTTAAGGGAATGGCATGGTATGGCATAATGTGGCGTTTTAATGGGAGACATTTGGTATGAAATTATGAATGGCACGTTGAATAAGCGGATTGATCAGGTTCGATCACTGTTGGATCAGGTTGTTGGACTAGCATGGTTATTATGAGGTTATCTGGGGACTATTAATCACTACCATCTTCCAATATCTACTTAAGGAGCTCCTAGTCAGTATCTTAAGCTTCCTCATCTTCGCCCCGAACTCTTACTCGTGAAAATTATTCCATAATTTAACCCTAACGCAAAATAGAGGACCTTCTCCAAATAACACACATAAATGTTCGAGCACGAATCACTTCACTACCTATGTGAATCTTAAGATCCCTTACTTCCAGTGCTCTGTGTTGATACAATTCGCTTTCACCATTCCAGTTACTCTTATTACCATCCATTTACACTCCGTTCAGCATTGGTACGTGAAAGTAGGGATGAGATATCGTTTCGCGCAATTTGGACGGTAGCGGTAGTTGATTGAAATAAGTAAAGGTTCTTGATTGTGGTGGGGTGCAAGATAGATAGGAGACCCACAAGGAGGTGTATCGTCTATTGAAGTAAGCGGCCTCAAATTCTGTAGTTGATCCAGGGTGCTGTGGGATGAGGGAATGGAAGCAGGAGTGCGGATGAATTGGAGGCGATATCTAAGATATATAAGATGAGTCGTTGGGTCGCTAAGTTTTGTGGTGATATTTTCTTATGGGTATGTTGTTTGGGAGGAGTGTTTTCAGCGGCTGGATAGTTTTGATTGCTGCCTTTTGAAGTTGGGGGGCTCTTCTGTAAGTAGATGTGAATCAGTCAATTGTTATACATAGCTACTTAAGATAAGTAAAGTTTGAAGAAAGAGAGTTGGTGGAATTGAAAACGAGAATGAATTTGTTGGTGGGTTTGTTTTTCTGCGGTCACATTTGAATGGGGTTTTGGCATGGAGGACTATTCTGTTCTGAAGGTTCGAGAGCTTTGAAAATTTGATTCGTGGGCATTTTCTCCCCCCCCCCCCACCTCCATACTATCTGTTTTGTTTTTCCTTCTGTTTCCCTTTCTCTTGACTATACGGTTTCTATCCCTTTCAAACTTCCCCCTATCTTGTACTTTTCATTTCCTCTCTTTCAAATGGTTTCCTCAATCTATGACATCTCATAATGCGAACCCGAGAAACTTTATATATTATTTCTAATCGGAAATGTGGAGGAGAGTTGTGACCAATCCAAGAGATTGCCTTATAATGTACTTCATGTCGAAATTGTCCAAATATGCCGTCGTATCCTGGACGAAAGTAGGTTCAAAAGCATCGTTTCTAAGCTCCCATAACTTAGGCTCGGGACTAGGCTGTGGAAGCAACATATCAGAAGTGAAATTTCCTCGTTCCTTATCCATGGCCTCCGACTCCTCGGCCCCCAGCACGAGTTGTAGAGCCCAAAATGAAGATCCGGGAGGTTCCATCAAACGGGATTGGAGAGTCTCGTGAACATCAGTCAAAAGCTGCACGGCTCCGCTGTTTGTCCAGTCGTACCCCATTCCAGGATTTATCAACATGCGAGATTTTAGATTTTTCATCGCCTTCGCTGGGTCCGCGAATATTGTGTATGGATTATCCATCCGGTCTCGCGAAACCGATTTACTCAAACGATACCTTCTCGTGTAGAGTACTTTGAAGAAGTGTCCTAGAAACCCTAGATCGTTTGTCACAACGATATACGCTTTCCATGCCGCTTCCCTGGCCTCTCTGTCGACATGGAGGAGGGAAAGCACGAGATCCTTCTTTTTGAGGGTAGTTAGACGTCGAAGGTGTGGGAGCTCGAATGTATTGGGCCAGTTGTGTGTATTTTCCTTCCTTACGATTCCACCTACACTATTATCGCTCAAAAAGATGCTTGTATCTTGAGCGTTGTTGACATAGAAGACTTTTAGTGCTTCTTCAGCAGCAAATTTCCAGATAGCACGCCGTATTTCAAAGGGAAGTTCTGAGAAATTTTGAATGACTTCTTTCCGCTCGGGCTGGAGTTGAATATTGGAAGGATTCTTGGCCATTTTATGACGAGTTTTGATATTTTCAATGGAATAGAAGAAGGTAAGATATGAATTTGAAGTCAATTACAAAATCTAGATAGGTATTGAGGATACCTGATGATAATGAATAGTAATTGTGATAGCTAATGGCGGTATGAGAAGCTGGTAGATGTTTCTGATAAATTTGATGGCAAAGTATCTAGGGAATGTAGTCTTGGTAGAGACTGATTTTAAAAGAAGACAGAAAAGAAGTTCAAGGTGTCATCAATCATATTTAAGGGCGGGGTGGTTGAAGCTAGTATCTAGTAGATTCCACCCAGTAGTGCAAATCTGGCATCTTTGATTTCATTACTGATCGACGCTGACAAGCGTTAGTCTCGAATTTGGGTTTGCTAGGAAGGAAATATTAGCCGATGATTTAAATGGTGATTATTAATGGAAAATCACTTTCTTGAGACTTCAAGCGAGCTTTGAGCAATTCAAAGAATTGTCTTTATATCGGCATTCTGGGCGGTTTATAAAATCCAGCAGGTGGCTGATTGGACTTGGCCAGCAGGCAAGCTTATCTACATCCCTTTTTCTAATATTCGGAAGTAGCCTTGAGACAAAGCAAAGAAGAATCTGCGGCATGTTAGGGACGATGGCATCTAAGTAAATTCACCAACTTAATGATCAAATAACATACTTCAATCCTCTCGAAGCAGTACAACTGTACACCTCTTCAGGGCAAAGCTAAATGCAGGCATAGAAAGACGCAGAACGACATTGCGATTTCACATACACCAGCTCCAGAAATTACCATTTTAATCGAAACAACTAAAGATTCTTGAGCCTTGAGCGTAGCAATCACAGAGCTCGTCACTGCCAGGCCAAATCTTCATCAACTTAATTGATTATGTCTTGCCACGGCGAGACTGAACAACCACCACCGCACACACAATGAGTGTTAGAGTTTACTCCTGAGTCTCCTCATCCGTGCCAATCAGTGTAAGAGGAGCAAAACTTTCCGACAAATCTGCAGCCATCTCATCACCATCGTCAGTGTTCTCAGCCCTTGCCCCATCTCGAACGCTCATCTCATCCTGCTCTACCAACTCGTTTAAATCTTCTAAAATCCTTCTATCGATTTCTCTCTCCCCGCTTCCAAATACTATCTCATCCCACTCGGCCGCCAAGTTTGAATCATTCAAGAGTCTTTCATTGGTTTCATTCTCTGTGCTTCCAGAGCTATTCTCATCTACAATATTCATCAGGTAATATTCTTTATTGACGTTCATTGGCGGGGACTAGACTTACCAGGAGGTTCATCAACATATTCTGCGTCACTCGAAGTAAATTCATAAGAATTTGGCCGCGACTGCTTATCTCTTGCCGCCATGAAGAAATTGTGAAATTTTGGATCCCACAGTCTGGGTCTCAACTCTTCTACCGATGCTCCATCAGTTACCATCCTTTTCAAAACTCCATTCTCGTCAAATTCGTAATCAATTTCTAGCTCTTGTTTCGTGAAATCAAAATCGTCATGTCCGAAAATTTCACCAAGTTTTTTGACCTCGTTCCAGAGGTCTTCGTACTCTAGTTTAAGAGGATTGTGGATATTGTACGTAAGATTATCGAATAAAGGTTTGGATAACTCGATAAAGCTTTGAACGACTGTTTTCTCTTCATCACTAAGGTTCTTCGAGTCTCTAAGTCCTTCTAGAGACTTGAGTGGATCGCTTTCCTCCAAGATTGCTTTTTTGAAGTGGCCATTTTTGAAAGCTGGGTAACCGACTGGATTTATGCCGCAGAAAATAGTCCTCTGAAGGGCATCCTTCCAAAAGTAAGAGATCTCTCTAGGACTTCTGTCCGACATAATGGGAAAGTCTGGCGAGAAACTACTCAAGTGCAAGAACAGTTGTATGTTGCGCAAAGATACTGATGTTGACAACGAATCGTGAGAGGGCTTGGAAACGATGGCTTGCAGTTGATCTAAAAGGGGATGTGTCTGGTAGTATTAGGATGAATTTATATCATTTTGTGATAAGCTTTGATGGCGAATCAAATTTAACGTCATGTGCAGCCTTGTCATGTAGCTTTCCGTCAAACAGTTTTGCAGCCTTTTTCTTTCTGTTTGCCTGCATGCACATGCGTTTTGTTCCTCTCCGGATTTGAGATGAAAGCCGCCTGATATGAGGAAGCTACTGACTGAAGTCATGCTGATCGAAAAGTGATGGAAAGATCGAAAACTTCCTTATAGACCCGCAACCTTCTCTCGATTTCTTCGAGTTTTTTACTGCCACAGCAAAGTAGAGTCACTTAGATCATGATTTGCGCAATCTTTCAATTACGTCTCGTGAAATAGGACTACTTGAAAGTCATCTCCGTTTATCCATGATTGCTGTTTTGGTGCGATTGGTTTTAGGACGCATCTCAAATGCTAAGAATGATCAATTTCAAGATGACACAAGAAGCATGACCTATGCAGCCAATCAGGTCGCTATTGTTCTCTTTATTTCCAATGATTCGATTGGATTCATGTCCATATTCCATATCGCGTCTTCATCGACGTGCCAGGAAAAGATGGAACAAGCTCGTTATCATTATAACACGTATTTTGAAACCTACGATTCGAATAGACACTTCCAGAAGGAGGAATGCTCCCAAGCGAGAATTAGATGCGAGCCACATTAGATTTCCCTTTGATTTCATGTAACAACATCTGCTAATGTCATGTTGTTACCTTTAGAAGGCTATACACCGAGTTCAAAACTTTAAGTATGTTCAGTATGAACTAGCCTGTATACAATGCGACAAACATAAGCCCCAATATTCATCAATTTCAAAGCTATATTTGTCAGCCTTGCATTATTTCTGCACCCAACGGCATAGAGCGCACCGAGGGCGAAGTTAGAGATTTGCACAATTAATTTCATCGTTGAAACATCTGCTGCGGCAGTCCACGAATCACATCTCACATATGAATCCCACCAGGCTGATTCTGCATGTCATTTTATCATGCAGTGGCTTATCTTTAGCTTACGCGACAAGGAATTCAGGGGGATTGCTGCTAAATCGAGTTGCGTATGAAATCGTTACGATGTGGTTACACGCGGCTAAGTTCTCATGGGGGCCACTCCTCTAAACGAGACGATGAGCCACCTGAGTTGTTATCCGCGATAAAATTTTGGAATGAACTCTTCGATTCAGAAAATGTTCAATATAAAAGGAAAGAGCTAAGAGATGCCGCCGCGAAAGCAGCACAGACGCGTTAGCGCATTCCCCGCGATAGAAGAATATGGAGAAAGTAAGCCGAATTCGTCAGTTCCAAGTCCATCCGCGAGAGGTTTGAGGAGGACTACTTTTGTGGAGATATGGCCGAAAAATGTATGTGAAATCTCCTGCTTCTGAAAATTTATTAACAGATTTCGTAGAATGGTCCCACGGAGGTAATCCGAGGAAAGATACCAGAAGATCAAATTCCCAGCTGGCTCGAACAAAAAGGTAATGTGGATCTATTGGTACGATCAACAAATATTCTGACGTTTCTATAGATGCTTTTGCTCATACGAATAATGAGGCATCGAAAACGGGTGCTCTAAGACTGCTGTTTGTGATCTCCTAAATCACATAGCTCGTGACTTCATGGTTTTGACGCCCGAGCTAATCAAAGAGCAATAGGTTTACAAATAGAGCTATGAATTCCGATAAGAAAGCTGTCGGGATGACATTCAGTGATGCTACACTTCAAGTGATCATGAGCCGCCTTCAACTGCCAGCAGCATTTGCACAGATGTTAGCACCGGATCAGATTGAACCTCCACGATTCTCTCATAATACTCTATTTGATACTCATGGGAACCATTTGGGCATGGGTACGTCTAAATTGACATCCCTGAACTCATTACTTGATAACATAAACTTATCCATCACCAGCATTAGCAATTCACTTCCATCGTTGGCGGCTTGAATCCATCACCCTTGGTCTTTCTTATAATCAGAATACTAAAGTAACAACGGCTCTTCTGCTAGAAAACTCTAAAGATCCGACCCACGAATCATTTATCCACTACATCCTGTTACATTCTACATACCTAACCCATCCGCTCTTCCTCCCTCTAATCCTCGCCGAGCTAATGCTCGACACTCACCGAACGCAATTAGATCGAACCACATCCCGCCTTCGAAACCTCGAATCTGCAATTGGTATCCACGACCACGATTACCATTCGACCTCATCCCCTTCTTACAGCACACCTGATAAATCGCCCCTCCCAAACTTCCCCTTCATTTCTCGCTCGCTAAATGGAGAATCTACCCGTCTAGCCCTCTACGAAGTAAAAGTAAGATCCAATATTCATCTCCTGCAAGCACTTCTTCGTGGCCCCTATTTCACAACTCTTCTCCCAATGAATCGACGCATGATATGGATGGAACAAGCCAACATAGCCCTCCGAGAAAAATGTGAATTCCTTCTCGGCTGGAATGTCGAACTATCTTCTCGGGTCACTGGACAGAGACGAATCGTGAAGATTCAGATAGGTAGCGTACAGAACCTGCTTATGCAACGGGAATCGAAAATTACTACTTCGATGATGGAGGTCCGGAAAGGAGACGCAAATGCAATTAAGACGATTGCATTTTTATTGATGGCTTTTCTGCCTGGTGTATATATTGCGGTATTGTTTAGTGGATCGATGTTTGATTGGCAGGCGGAACGTATGGGTGGAATTTTGAGTGAGTGGTTTTGGCTGTATTGGGCGGTTGCGGGACCGCTGACGGCGGGGGTGTTAGGGATATGGATTTGGTGGTGTAAACCATGGCTGTAAGTTACCTTGGACGAAGATGTTGCAGCTTTGTTTCGATATTGGTGATGTTTAGGATTGTTTCATTCGGTGTTAGTTTGGGGGACTTAGGTGTTTCTTTTCTTTCAAGGAAAGCGTGTAAAAGCATTTAGGCAGAGTGCCATACTTAGATTTTTCTTGTATGTATACGATTTTCACGGGTTATTATTTGGCAAGGGTCTTGTTATCAATATCAAAAGAGCGGATTCTCATGTATTTCAAACAATAGATTTATATCTTCGCTGCAAAGTATGCAATTAAGTGTTTGCATTGCTAGTATCACTATCATTGCAACCTGTCACCTCAAGCAAGCTCTAAATCTCTAAGGTACGATGACACGCTTGAACAGATGTTTCGTACGACTACAATTGTCATTTGCGGGGTGCGCGTATTGAAAATATGCTCAAGACATATCAGGGACATGTCAAAGGATTCAAATCACGTGTGAGTAAGTTGGAAGAAACGAAGGATTCAGCGCTTTTCCTTAAATCAAATGCGACGAGTGTGGATTTGATAGTTGTATGTTGCAAGGTTTGCCAGTATTTTTTATCAGAAGCATGTGTTCGAAAATTTCTCTTGCCGACTCAGGTGACAGGACTATTTCTCTTACCTATTTCAAAGTTCTTCTTTCTGGCCTTTTGACACTGTTCTATTTTATATATATACAATTGTCTGGAGATATAGCAACTATTTCCCATGGTGACTATTCCTTGATCCAGAGAAAAAAATATTGTATTAAACTTCGGATTGTTCTGCATTTTAGGTCATAAGCCTTTCCTTGTATCTATGCACCTTTGCTTATATCATGGAAACTCATGGCTAATGTCATGAACAGATTGGGGCTTTCGTCATGGGTTAATACAACAGTATACTTTGAAGTTTGGCATAGATTGGAACATCAAAGCCTCAATATCCAATCTTTACCTGGAAGTTACCAAACTCCCTTCAGATGTAGATGAATAGGACAAGCCCCAGGTATAATTCTCCACTGAAAGATTCAATTTTGAGGAGTATTGATTATGCTTGGTAAGTATAGGCTCGTAGCTACTGTCATCATTACTTATATACCTGATTAGATGTCTTAAGGTTTGAGATAATATACACAGTAAATATCAAGTCTAATTGGACTAGCCACCGTATTGAAAATTGAATCATTGTTAATGTCTACCTTACTTACAGCTACAGCTATATGATACTGACTAAGAAATCATTACTCTCGATTTAAGGTTATGACACGGACGTAGTAAAAGCTAGGGATACCATGAAACTATCCATGATTCTTGATTTGGCATAAGGTAGTAGAATTCAAGGGCCAACATGCACCAATGACTGAAGGAGATGATATACAGCAATGATAGTTTGACAGCCTATACTAAACTTCAAGGGACTACAAAGCATCTTTCAAAGCCTAGAGCAGAATTGAAGTACTCTAATATTCATCAAATTATTCTTTACATCAAAGAGATAAGTGTGCATTCATGAAGACTCTGGATGAGTTTGAAAAACGATCCAAAACTTCCAAGGAACAATTATAGATCTACACTTGATGAACCTTTGGTGATTGCGAGTTTCTTGAAAGTAGTGAATTTCTCTTAGTTCGGTGTTCAAACTGATTTGTCGTACCATGTGACCTCGAAATCTGGATGTGTATTTTATGTATGGTCTGTTCAACCCTCGACCCTCGTACTTCCACCTCCACATTCATTTTCATCAACAATCTCAAATCAATGAAAAAATGGACAACGCATCAGCTAACTCATTACGCAAAAGAAAGAACTCCAATTTCAGCGAAGACATATCGCCAACTCCAAGTAAAGCAATAAAGCTCGAGAATTCCGACGATGTCGAAGAGCGCGCCGATAATAATCATGCCGAAGCTACCGCGACGCCTTCAGTCAAGTCTGACCGATCAACAGCTGAAGTCGAGGAGTTCGATATGCAATCGCATATTTGTGAACTCTACAGATTTATTATCAGTGAACGCTCACTTGGCCGTAAGTGCATGACTGTCATTTTTCATCCCTAATCATGGCTGACTAGAATTTGATTTAGGTGCCCCTATGAAGATCCAGAGACTTATCAACATGGATTCTTCGTGCAGAAACTTCTATGCGTCATCCATACGTGATTGGATCGATCAGGAACATGGGAATTTTTTGGAGCAATATCGCCAGAGACCAGATAGCAGAATCAATTTCAAGGGAACCCGGAAATACCTTACGGACATCGCCAAGCTTTCACGTATGTCTCGTGGACTTTCGCTTTCTTTTGAACTTGCACTCTACCTCTGCGAGCATTCTTACTTGGTACCAGAAAATGGCAAGATACCACGTCCAAATCGAGGCGATTGCGGCCCCTGCGACTCCCTGCTACATAAACTCTGCCTGAGAATGAGAGACGAATATCCCAATTTTGAACCGGAAATACACCTTTCTCGTATTAACGACCAGCGGAAGCATTTCGAGGCAGATGATGACGGCCTCATACAACACTTGTTGCGAACTGGAGATCTACTAGTAAGCTGGGTAGAAGGACCTTCTGCTGCTCAGGCTATTTATGACAGCACGAAGGAACTGATATTGACCGACTATAACCATATAGTAGAGAAATTGCAATCTGCTGTGGCCAAAAACCATAGTAGCTCTTCACGCAACTCAAACGTCCCTGGTCACTTGGTTCCCAGCGTGGAAAAGAGCCTTCCACGGGTCAAACGGCTGTTGTCCATGGCTGGAGGCAAGGGATTGGCTTTTGACCTGCTTCTGTTTGCTGGTCGGCACTCGTATGTCGAACGCAAAAAGGACCCTCTTGGTCGTAGGGTGACTGAAACTTTCGATCAGGCTGCCGACAATCTACTTGTCCAAATTTCAAACGCTATCAGGGAGGAGGATCCAACTTTCAGACCTGTTGATGCCATGGAAATGCTTATTGAAGAGATTGAGACTACTGGTTACGTCGGATATTTCCCACAATCTTATAAATTGTTCTCGTCTTGGATGCCAGAAGTAGGAAAGTCTCATGCAAGAAAGGACTACGATGATCTCCACGCAAAAATAAAGAGCGCCCATGCTGCTGTTGAGCGTAGACTAAGAATTTTCGTCAAAGATGGATCTCGCCCAACCGTGGATCTGCTCGGCAGGAAAATGGTTGAATTTCTTGATGAAATCAACAAACTCAGCATGAAGTTGGGAGGACTTTTTCCTGCCATAGAAATTGCTCTGTTCTTGGGTGAGTGTTCCTATACTAAAATGGAGGGTTTGGGCCCGCTCTATGGCTGGGATAGCAAAAGTTCATTCCGTTGCAAGAGAGACTTCGATCCTCGGGGGGATGATTGTTTAAAGGAACTACTTCAAAGAGTGATCGATGCCAACTTGTCGTTGGATATGGATTACTATGGGCGTTTGAAGAAGTCTGTCGATTACCTCAGGCCATACGGAATCACTACTTACTTCCCGTTGTCCTTTGAACTACTCCGCCGATTATCTTGAAAGCGATAAACTAGCGTCTCCTCTTTTCACGGCTTAGAGATGTCAGTTGAAGTATGCTATCCACAGGAGTTCTTGGGCAAGGATACAGGAGTGTAGTACTTACTATGCAGAATCTTAAACTGGCGATATAATGACATGGAATAAGGCCAAAGAACTCCGATCAAAGCAAAAGTAGATAGCGATGGTTGAGGTATTTCAGCGATATTAGCAAAGCGCAGGCCGGGATACTGTACCAAAAGCCATAATAATTAATTCGTTCCACATGTTTCCAACAACTTACAAGTAGTCTACTTAAATTATTTCTTGTCAATGCAAAGTGACAACAGTGTATCCAAAACAATAAAAAATCAATGGTCAGATGCCAAAACTCATTGATATCATAGAGGAGTAACCTATAGAACTAGAGAGACGATCGCTATCCCAAATTTATATTAGCTCTAGGCATGTCCATTTTGAACTCGTTCTGAGCTAAGATCAACAAAAGTCTTGTCTCACTATCTTGTGCAAGGCTGTATATTGCCTTAGTGAAAGCCAGAACCTCGCCACAGTCTTTGGTATTTGAATCGCCAGCGGGCAGGTAAGCAAGTAAACCCTCGTTGAATCCCCCTACCCCTCGCCTCCGATCCAAGAAACATAGGCTGATACCAAGAAAGAACTGATCCGGCTTCATGTATTGCTATTTAATGATCTTCCTTCAGGAGCTCATAGTTCTCATAGTTCTCAGAGTTCACAGCTAAATGTGAAGTAAGATCTTTCACAATTTGCTTTGGAGATCTCATATCATCAAAATGCTTAGTATTTGAATTTGAAGATATAATGAAGTATCATCCTCGTAGACAAGTAGAATATGGATTGATGACTGTAATAATAGGTCGTGGAGGAAAGTAAGTTAGCATGAAGTGAAGTCTAAACCCACAGCTACCCCTGTCAAAATATCTTGGCGCTCGCGTCCAAACGCGACGTACAGCAGCATTAAAGTAGCAAATTGGTGAAATCCACTAATACCACAACCACCATCTCACCTTACCTACTTTCCGCCATTTCAAGGATTGAGAATTAACAATTCAATCAAAATTCTAGCATTGCACAACCAGATTCCCGGTTGCCTGCTGGCTCTCACTCCATCCCACCACTCCCCACAATCAATATGGCGGACACACTGCATAATGCTCCTATCGTTTTAGATAATGGTTCCGGTACGATTCGAGCTGGGTTCGCTGGTGACGATCTGCCAAAATGTTACTTTCCCTCATTCGTTGGGAGGCCAAAACATTTACGAGTTCTGGCGGGTGCCTTGGAAGGAGATGTGTTTATTGGATCACGAGCGCAAGAATTAAGAGGACTGCTGAAGATTAAATATCCACTGGAGCATGGCATAGTCACAGATTGGGATGATATGGAGAGGATATGGGAATATGTTTATGGAGAAGGTCTCAAGACTCTGAGCGAAGAGGTGAGTCTTTTGTTTCAGGTCTAAAGTGGAGTTGTTTGCTATTGCTTCATATCTGGCAAGTTAAGCAGTAGTAGGTAGATCACTAACACTACTCATGCAGCATCCCGTTTTATTAACAGAACCACCTCTCAACCCCCGAAGCAATCGAGATACGGCTGCACAAATTCTATTCGAAACCTTCAACGTCCCCGCTCTATACACTTCAATCCAGGCTGTCCTTTCACTGTACGCATCGGGGCGAACGACTGGAATTGTGCTCGATGCCGGAGATGGAGTCTCACATGCAGTCCCAGTATACGAAGGTTTCGCCATGCCAAGCTCAATACGAAGGATAGATGTGGCTGGACGAGATGTTACAGAATATATGCAAACTTTATTACGGAAAGCTGGATACGTTTTCCATACTAGCGCAGAAAAGGAGGTTGTGAGAATGATCAAGGAAAAAGTAAGCTATGTTGCAGGAGATCCAAAACGTGAAGAAAAGGAATGGTCTGGTGCAAAGCTGGGAGATGGGAAAGTCGTCGAATATGCATTACCTGATGGTAACAAGATTAAAGTAAGGAATCTGCCATTAATACATAGGAGTTGCGCTGACTATTTCACAGATTGGAGCAGAAAGATTTAGAGCGCCTGAGATTCTGTTTGACCCCGAGATCATTGGTTTGGAATACCCAGGTATTCATCAAATTGTGGTGGACGCTATCAATCGCACAGACTTGGACCTTAGAAAGTCTCTATTTGGAAACATTGTTCTGTCCGGTGGTAGCACCTTGACGAAGGGTTTTGGAGACAGGTTACTTCACGAAGTACAACGATTAGCAGTTAAGGATATGAGAATTAAGATCTTTGCTCCACCAGAGAGAAAATACTCAACCTGGATTGGTGGTAGTATCTTGGCTGGTCTGAGTACATTCAGAAAGGTATGTTTCAAGATCTTCCAAGCCTTCTCGCGTAAGATTACTAACTCATATTGCAGATGTGGGTAAGCATTGATGACTGGCATGAGAATCCTGATATCATTCATACAAAATTTACATAATAAACTCCTGACTCTATCCGCGCTTTTGGCAATCCCAACTCCCCGTCCATCGGTCATCCATCGTCCGAATCCAAATAATAATCGAGTCAAGCCGAACATCCGCTCCTCGGTCCAAAACTTCACGCAAAATCTTCTTCTCCCACATCTTCAACTTTAGCGTGGTTTAATCTGCTTACGACCTACCATCTCTCGGCGGCGCAGGCAATTTTGCTTGCAGGTCTGGAGCTTGGACTCATTGCTTATATTTATGGATGTACAGCTATGCTACCTGTATGAGAAAAGATAGACTAAATTCATGATACCCATTACTGAAATGTTGATTTTACTGTGCCATGATCTGCAATGTGACATGTGATAATATGATAGTCTTATGAATCAATGGCGCAGTCGGCACCAGACGTCACAACTCCTTCATTGTTTGGGGGTATCTAAACTTTTATATTACTCGCTATAGCTCTGAGTACCGGTTTTCTACAGAAGTTGCGATTTTATGTCGTACAACTCATTTAATTATACATTTCAGAAAAGCTGATTTTCATCCAACTCTTCCGATTCCTTTTCAACTTCCTGGACTGCTTCCTCAACAGTCTTTCGAGTTGTTTGTCTCATGAATGCATCACATAGCATGCCAGTTGCTACACTAACATTCAAACTATCGAGTCTGCCACGGTTACCTGCGCCCTTGATCGAAAGATGCACATCGGCGTGATCTCTCAAAGCTTTGCGCAGACCCTCGCCTTCGCCTCCAACCATCAAGATACAAGGATCATCTCGTAGAGGATCTTGGAGATCGTGGGTCCAGACAAATTCTTGAGAAGTGGAGGGCCACATGTGTCGCGAATCTGCTTTTCGAGGAGCAGGTGGTGCGACTGCTGCGTAGATTTTCCAGCCAGCGGCTTGAGAATCTTTGATGAATCCTCCAGGTTTGTTTACGGAGAAGATCTCAACGTTTTCGGCGGCGCCGGCGGAGGCTTTGAAGACGATGGGGGTGAAGGAGGCGCTGTTGCGGGTGGAGATCGCGACGGCTGTTACGCCCATGAATAGTGCTGTGCGCAGGATGGCGCCGAGATTTTGGGGATCTTCTATGCTGTCTAAGAGAAGAATAAGGGGTTTACGACCAGTGGAATCTTTGGCGACTTTGATTATGGTGTCGTTACCGTTGACTTCGATCTCTTCCCGGGATTGGTGGTCAGGGGTAAGTTTAATCGCGAAGCTATCATCTTGGTCGATTATTGAGCCGAGACTTAGTAGTGGGAGGCGAGGGAGAGGCGAAACTTCGAGTATGTAACCGTTGTGTGGACGGCCTTGACTCATCTTGTCTAGGGTTCGTAGCCAGTCGTGCCCTCTTACTATAGCAACTTCGACTCCTTTCTTTTGAGCTAACTTGGCTATTGCACCGTCTCGCTCTGCATTTTGGCGATCTTCACCCTTGAGAATGTAAAGCTTGTAGAGCTTTCTGCTTCTTTTGCGTCGAGCGTTCAAGGCAGCTTCGACGACAGATGTTCCATAGAGAAATTCAGACGCTGGTGTCGTGTATGGGATGGTGATGGGCATCTTTTGGGCAAAAGTGGAACTTATCTTGGGTGGCGAAAAACTAGAATGAGATTCCGAGGAAGGTTCTGAGGGAGCAGATTCTGTAGATTTTTCAGATCTGGTGGCTTTTGTCGCTAGCCGTTCTTCGCGAGAAGGATATTTTGAAGGGTATGTATGACCCTTACTCCATTTTGTTGAGCTATCACGCACTGCCCCGAAGGATTTGTTCGCTCTCTCAAGGTTTAAGTAAGACTTTGGCTCATCCTGAGAACTATTGTCACGAGATTTGCGCTCATAATTCTTCTCATCGAAACGTCGTCTTTCTGGAGGCTCGTGAGACCTGTTGGAAGATCTCTTTTCATAACCAGAGCGTTCGTCCCGGGCCTCAAAAGAACCATATGATTTCTTCTCGTAACCAGATTTGCTTCCTCGTGATTCGTTGTACCTGTCAGAAGATTCTCCCCCATACGAGGTTTTGGCCCGAAATTTCTGGGGATTTTCAGAGTCTCCCTCCTTGTAGTATTCCCTACCCTGACGATTTCCGAAGGGAGAAGGTGTCTTATACTCTGACTTCAATGCATCGTCCCGGCCATTGCCCTTGACTCGTGTGTGCATAGATTTGCTCTTGCTTCCAAAGTCATCACTGGAGCCCCTATCCTGCCGGGGCTTTGAATATGAATTCGATCCAGGAATTTGAAACCCTCGACCACCACCATCATCTTCTCGACTGGGACGTCCTTTATCCTTTCCTCTAAACCCAATTCCTTTAGACTTTCGAAGCCCACGGTTTATGCCAGAATTGATCGAAGCATATCTTACAAAGCAAGAAGATGAATATAATGGTTGAAGAATATAACTTACTCTTTGAGAAGCTTTTGCTCCTGTTAAAATTATTGTATTCATTGCATTGATAGTGCCATGATGATATTTCTACATCATTTTTGGTGATAGAAGAAAATTGAGCTAAGAAATTTTGATAGCGGAACATACCGAAGCCGACCAAAACTACGGGTCTCGGGGTTTTAATCCTGGCGTTCATCGACGCGTTGCGTTTTATCAGATTCACTTTGAATTTATCTTCAATTTGTGAACTCAAGATTGGTCAACATCAGTGAATGTAGGCGTCTCTTTAGATTTCTTTTCTCTTTCGCGCACGTTTCTTTTCTTTTGAATTAGCCGTATTTCCTTTTTCTTTTCACATCCTACAACAAACTTTATAACTAGATTATACCGCGTCAAACGGCCGGTTAACAGTCAAAAACTACCAAATTTACAAAGATCTTTTTGAAAGTTAAATCGCAAGCAACATTGATCACCGAAATTTTGTCTACTACTTTTAATATTAGGTACTTAACTTCTCCTGCTCTATCCTGTATATTCTAACTTGACTTAACCAGGAATTCCTTCAGCCGAAACCCACGAGTGCGCAAGTTCGTCTTGAACCGGCAAACTGATCCTGCAAGTCTACGAGCAATATGGCTCGACTCAGCCGTGTTACTGATAGTGATGAGTCGGAACCCAATTCGATCGAGTTATTAGATCCTCAAAATTCTCGTAAGCCCACCACAAAACCAAATCGAAACCCCGTTCCTGCATTGGCGCATCAAAGTGGAGAGTCTATCCAAGATTCGATTGAAATAAATGACAACCTAGATGAGGACGGAGATGAAATTGCAATGGATGGTGATGAGCCACAGGAAGAAGCAGATGACGCAGATGACGCAGATGAAGACGCAGATAACACAATCGTCGTCATGGTTCCGGGACCTAGGAACCCTGAGGAATACGTTCCATATCAAGACGACACAGTATATTCGGTGCTTGAGGAGATAAACGGTTCGGATGGCGAGACATTGTATCGAGTAGAATACGAAGATGAGAGACAGGAGAATGTAAGTTGGGATTTTTTGCTTCACATAAACACCCAGCTCTCGAAAGATACTGTGATACCACCCTATTACCAAATTGCACTTTCAACATTCACCAGAATGTTTGGCTTTTCCAACATTTACGCACAATTTAATTGGCCATCCCACCCTGAAGCATTTGCCCCCTTTCTCAAAGAAGAAGGTCAAATTAAGTGGCCCAAATTTTGCCACAAATTTTGCTACACAACCTTCTACCCTTTACATAGTTGACTTCAACTTTGACTTCACCACGGAACTTGACCGGTTTGATAACTCCACTCTTGCCTATTATTGCTAGTATCGGCAGAATTTCAAGTAGTTCTTGTAGTTAAGTTTGCCATGCCCATCTTTGGGCTTCAGTTATTCACAACAAAATACTTTTATTGAGATCAACCTCAATTTATCAAGCATCTGTCCACTACTTCATCTCCTTTGCTTCAGTCAAACATAAATTCTCCAGTTATTTCCAATATCAATTGAGCCATCTGTGCTTCCCGTTGTGGGTGGCAGCGGTAAACTGCGCGTATGTATATTGATGAAGATCTTCTTCATATTATCTCATAAGTCTTCACACAAAAAGGTATCACTTTCAAGGTCAAACCCTGACTAAACCAAATCACAGATCACGTTTAACATGTTACTTCACCTTCCACACGGCAACGACGCTTTGAAAGATTTCAATAGGAGAGAAGCCTCGGAGTCGATTACAGTTGATAATCCATCAAATTCTAGCCGGAGCATGTCTTCCAGGGCTGGCAAACGCACTCGCCGTCAGCTAACTGATAACAATTTTGTCGACATAAGCAGCATTCAGCTAAGCTCTGATGATGACAAGCTCCCAAAAAACGCAAAGAAAAAGCGTCGTCTTGTGAATAACATGTCAACTGTTGAAATTGAAAAAGCACGCCGAGGTACTCGTGCTGGTAGTCGACAATCTTCGCGACCAATCTTCGATGATTATAAGGACGAGGATGACTCGCAATCGGGACTTGTTCTTTCAAATGACCATGGATCTCGAAAATCAGGACGTACGGCGACAAGATCTGCTGCTCCCAGAAAAGCAAATACTCTCTTCAATTACATGGAAGATGAAGAGGAGGAAGACGAACTTGCTGGTGATTTACAAGTCGAATCTGAAGGAAGCGAAATCGCATATGCTAAACCCAAAAGACGACGCGCAAGTAGCGCTCGAGCCTCGAAGCCTGAGAAGCGTGGACGACCACAAGCCTATGGTATCAAATCTGATTATAGTCCCAAGTTGTCTAAAGAGCTCCCGTCTCGCATATCGAGGCGTGGAAACAAAACTGGCAAGAATATGGAAGAAGTTGACATCGATGAAGAAGTTTATGCTGATGAGGTAGCTGGAAAGGCCGCACCCAAAGTCATAAGCATTCGAGAGATCTATCGACCGGTATCCGCGAAATCTTCCTTTGCTTTGGTTCATGATCAAGACTGCGATGTTTGCGGTGGAACCGGCAAGAATTCCAATAAAGGACGAAGTGAACTCATTTACTGCCAAGGATGCTCCTCGTCAATACATAGAATTTGTCTAGGATATCGATCAGCTCGGGAGCATATTGTCACTAAAGTTGGCCACGAACATTTCGTCATGCAGTGTCGACGCTGTATCGGTCTGTCCGTCAAGAAAGATCCTCTCGCTCCTCAACTTGGTGCTTGTAGTAGCTGTAATGAACCTGGAGCATCATGTGCTGCATTTTCCGTAAAGAAGACCGCAAAGCAGGAGGAGAAGCTGAGGGCAGAAAATGACGGCGATGACCCAATTACCAATGTTCGCGAAGATCTTGTCAACAATCCAGATAACGTTTTATTCCGATGCCGAGGATGCCAGCGTGGATTTCACTTTGAGCATCTACCATCACGTTCTAAGAAATCGGTCACTCCAAAGAACACGGAAGAGACGCGCTTCAAAAGAATCCAAGAATACACCAAGGATTGGCAGTGCAGGGAGTGCTATCAGTCTACTGCTAAAATGCAGACTTTAGTTGCATGGAGACTATTAGACCCCAAGTCTTATAAAGAAGGCAGTGTATTCGATGATTACCGGGAAGATGAGAAGGAATATCTTATCAAGTGGGAGGATAAGTCTTATTTTCAATGCTCTTGGATGCCTGGCGCCTGGGTTTGGGGTGTTGCAGCAGCTACAATGCGGAAGGCTTTCATCCGTAGGGATGAGGCTGCTAATCTGTTACCAAAGTGGACCAGTGAAGAGGCTATCTCGGAGGAATACCTGCGAATGGAGATTATTTTTGATGTCGAATATGACATGTCCTTCAGACCAAAGTCCGAAGAACACGACAAGGCTCATATCAACGACGTTGTCCAGGTTCTAGTCAAATTTAGAGGATTGACCTACGATGAATCTGTTTGGGAAGAACCTCCATCCCCAGATGAAGCTGATCGCTGGAGTGACTTTGTCTCAGCTTACAACGAATATGTTATGGGCAAGTACTTCAAGCAATCATCCCCAAGCGCTGTAAAGGAGCGTATTGATGCATTTCGTTCTCTAAACTTCGAGAAGAAGGTTGTACTGAAGAAACAGCCTGATTCTTTGATCGGTGGTGAGATGATGAAACATCAAATGGAAGGCCTGAACTGGCTACTGTTTAACTTCCATCGACAAAAGAACGTTATTCTGGCTGATGAAATGGGTCTTGGCAAGACAATTCAAATCGTCGCATTAATCGCGTCACTTGTGAAGGACAAACCAAAGGTGAGAGCGAAACAATCTCCGACCGACCCTACTAATATTTCTTCAGTGCTCCCCTTTTCTTGTTGTTACACCAAACTCGACTTGTCCCAATTGGCGTCGAGAAATCAAGAAATGGGCACCTGGCCTTCGGGTCGTCGCATACTATGGTGCTAGGTCTGCTCGCGAAATGGCCATGAAGTATGAAATGTATCCCAATGAGTGCTCTGATCTCCGTGCTGATATCGTGGTAACTTCGTATGAGGCACCAGTCGACGACTCCAGCAAAGGCTTCTTCAAGAGAGTCAAATGGGCTGGCATGATCGTGGACGAGGGTCAACGACTGAAGAATGATGAGAATCTTCTCTATGGTGCTTTGAAAGCCTTGAAAATACCCTTCCAAGTTCTTCTTTCTGGCACACCATTGCAGAATAACAAGCGAGAGCTTTTTAATCTTCTACAGTTCTTAGATAACTCTATTGACGCCGCGAAGTTGGACGAAAAATATGCTGAGCTAACAAAAGACAACCTTCCCGAACTTCATGAGCTCATTCGACCATTCTTTCTCAGGCGTACCAAGCTACAAGTGTTGAAGTTCTTGCCCCCCATGTCACAGACAATCATACCAGTCTCCATGAGCTCCCTACAGAAACAACTTTACAAGTCAATCTTAGCAAAGAATCCAGAGTTGATCAAATCAATCATCGGAAAATCAGAAAGGGCCCTCCGCCCTACAGAAAGGGGAAATCTGAACAACATTCTGATGCAACTGCGTAAATGTCTCTGTCATCCTTTCTTGTACAGTTCTGCTATCGAGGAGACTTCATTGAGTCATGAAGCCCTTCATCGAAATCTGATCGATGCCTCCTCCAAGTTTCAATTATTGGAAATCATGCTTCCGAAGCTGCAAGCGCGAGGACACAGAGTTCTGATCTTCAGTCAATTTCTAAAGCAGCTTGATCTTGTTGAAGACTTTTTGAACGGTCTTCAACTTCCTTTCAAGCGTTTAGACGGAACCGTTAGTACGCTTGAGAAGCAAAAGCGCATCGATGCATTCAATGCACCCAACTCAGAACTCTTCGCATTTCTACTTTCTACCAGAGCTGGTGGTGTCGGAATTAATTTGGCGACTGCAGATACCGTTATCATCATGGATCCTGACTTCAATCCTCACCAGGATATTCAGGCTCTCTCTCGAGCTCATCGCATCGGTCAAAAGAAAAAGGTACTTGTCTTCCAACTGGTGACTAAGGATAGTGCGGAAGAGCAAATCGTACAAGTTGGTCGTAAGAAGATGGCTCTCGATCAGGCTCTTATTGAAAGTATAGATGTAAAGGACGAAGCAGGGGACAATCTTGAGGCAATCCTTAGACACGGCGCTGAAGCGGTTCTTCTTGACGATAACAGCAAAGATATTTACTACGATCCAGCATCGGTGGACGAACTTCTCGATCGATCTCAGGTAGAGAATACTACTAATGAAGATGGCACAGCAGAATCTCAATTCTCACATGCTCGTGTGTGGATCAAGGATAAGGGAGATTTGGTAGAAGATTTCGGTGACACAGAAGAAGAACCGGCTGCTCCGAAGGCGCTATTATGGGATGCTATATTAAAACAGCGTGCGGCAGATGCAGCCCTTGAAGCTGCTAAGAACATGCAAACATTTGGCCGTGGAAAGCGCGCCCGACAGGTGAGTCACATGCCAGTCATTTTATGACAGTTAACAAGTCATTTACTGACTACTTAGACCGTTGACTACGAAAAGTCACATTCTGAGCTAATGGATCTGGACGATCCCGAAGGCTCACCACGAAAAGATGGTCGCCGAACTCGAAAATCTGATAGCGATGACGAGTTTGGCGGAAATGCTGCGAGGGAATCCGAAGCTGAGTCCGACGCAGATGAAGTCGCCAATGCCCAAGAACTGGAAACAGAACAATCAAGCGTCAAAGGTACGAAATCCAAAAAGCGTACAAACGCACGCCCACTTTCCAATGAATCAAAACGCAAGATGAACACTCAAGGAGGTGCTAAACAACGTCTCCGATCACTCACTCTTACACTGCCATCTCCTAAAAAACCTGGTAAGCAGAAACATGGCTCTAAGCTTCAACCAGATAGCTCTGTGATGAAAATGCCAGACAGCTCTGCTATTGAACCAACAACAACAAGCAACAAGAATCTTTCCGTGAAATCAATTCGTGGTAAAGATAGGAAGCATAATTGGAATATATGATCGTCATTGAGTTCATTCACTCTAGATGGTCGTCTGTCAAAAAGTAGCGCATCCGCACATTTCAGGAGCTGTTATGAAGCGAGCTTCAGTGAAAGAGCATCGAGACAACCCTACTGGTCGAGCCAATGTTTCAGATAGAATCACAAAAGTTTCCATGCAGTCTAGCTCGAAGCAAGATACCACATCAATCGGATTGCTAAATTCCGCAATGCTATCTCCAAATTCTGTCAAGGAACAGAATTCTCCAAACCACTCTTCATGATTTTCCATTTCTCTTGTGGTTTCTTACAATGACCAACAATTTGGGTTCCAATCCCGCTAACGATGAGTAGATGATAACTATATTGAGGACCGAGGGCCAGCGATCGCACTTCAAAAGACGTACAGAGATCTTGAAAATTGGGAACGAGTGATCACTGAAAATGAGCGAGTCTTTTTGAACACTCGACAGATACAAGGCTGGCTTGATATCGGCCACAACCTCCTCGAGAATTCTAAGAACAATGCACAAGAATTGTTAGAATCGAACCGAAATCAGCGCGATTTCGAGGATCAGTATAGGCATCTGCAAGAGCGTATTCGAAACATTCTCGATCAACCACTATGGTGTTTCAGTCAAGAAGAACAGAGGGCTCGACAATTTTGGCAAGAAATCTCTCCACAATTGATGGAAGAGAATCAACAAGTGCAGCAAGACACTGCACAATGGGTGCAAGCAAGAAATCAACTAGTCACACCGCAGGATAATCGTCCTCTAGACTACTCAAGGCAGCTACAGGAATACCAACGACGATCAGAAGAATGGCTTAATCAAGGTAGCAATCTCATCGAACGTCACAACGACTTCAAACAATACTGCGAACCAGAGTCACAGAGGCGAGAAGATCCAAGATCGCGATATGCTACACTTTGTAGCGAGATACGAAAGTTAAAACTGTTGTGCGACAGTGAAAGAAAGAGACTCAAGGAGCTGGTTCGACCATTAGAGGATAACCCAGGAAAGTATAGCCAAGAAAATCGTCAAGGTGAAGGAATGTCTACGGCTCCAGATCCAGAGAGATCAGTAATCCAAAGTCAAGGACAGCAAGAACCTCCCAACGGCGAGACGAGGAAGCGAGCACCCTACAAGAAACGCAAAACAGCCGAAAGTAATGCAGTCGACATCTCTATCAGAGACCAACTCGTAGAAGCCGGAACTCCTTTTCTCAAAGAGCTCGAAAATGATTTTGCATATCTGGACAATAATCCACAAAGTCTTCCAATTCATGACAATAATGAAAGTTACTACGAAGAACTTAAGGATTACGTGCAACGAATTGAAAAGCGGGTGCAGAGGTTACAGTACTATCAAGACGCTTTCGACCAACAATTTCGGATTTATAGACCGCGTGACGCAGAACGAGCCAAACGTGACTTGGCTTACAAGAAACGTAAAATAGCTGAGAAAAAGTCAGGTGTCAAGTATTATCCTATTGAGCACCATACAGCACACATACAAAAACTTGACCAACAGCTACGAGAGAGCGCAGAAAATCAGCTACAGGCCATGAACTACGCCGTCGGACTGTTGAAGGCAGAGGAACGTAATCGATCGGAGCAAAGCTTCCACAAAGCACCATATCCAGCAACTTTACCAGAATTCGCGGGATCATTTCATCAAGGAACGCCGTCTAGAATACCCGTAGAGAATCTTCATAGAGTGTCTATGCCAGCTAGCGATCTACAATACCCGCCATCACATGCCAATGAGTCGTCTAGGATGTCTACACCATTTGCCGCATCATCTGGTCAACATGCAAGAGATCCTATCCAACTTGGTTCAGACTTCAGTGTTTCGAACAGATCAAGTCCAACTAGTCGATTGATTGCAGCCATAGAGATTCCCGTGAAACGTAAACGAGGTCGCCCTCCTGGATCTACGTCATCTCAGCGGACTTCCTTGTCATCAATGCCGCCAATCCTTCCAAGTCCGTCTCGACCTCCTGTGCAGTCTTGTTCAGACTGTAATTTTGCTTACTCAAAGTTGATACCTGCATGTCCTAACCACGCTCCTACCGCAAAGATTCGTCTAATGCTCGACAATTTGAAAGGTGTCAAAGACGATCCTCAGCAAGTGGCAGCTGCAAATAAGTTGTTGAAAGAAGCGTTGGCATCAAAATCTGCTGCTCAAACATCCCTTCGAAAATAAGAACGATCTTGGGTAATGCTTCCTTTATCGGTCGTTAGTACCAAATTGTCTCTATTTCCACTCGGTTACATACGACTGTTTGGGTTGACAATGCCCTTCTTCGTCACATCACATAATCGATCACGATGCCTATTGTCCATGCGTCATTTGGCAATTGTTTATTCTCCGCCTTAGAAACTATGACAACGGCCTGGAGGAATCAAACATCGGAACTTTCTTTAACTTTTCTTAGGATATTCTATAGGGTTCTGGAGATAGACTGAGCAATCAGTTGGTGTTTAGAGACATTTTAGATATTGGTGGTGAAATTATGTATGACTTTTCCAGGCCTCGCGCAATACCTTTTGCTTCAAAGATCCTCGTGCGGCCTTGGAGAAGAAGAGATGATGTGAGAGGAGTAAAGTAGTGCAGTGATTCGCGCATCAAATAGACGGTTGTGCAAAACCAGCCAGCATAGATACAGAACGAAATAAATTATGAAAATTCAAAAAAATTCAGATTATTACAAGTGCGAACGTGATTGTGATTATAATTTTGCCAGCTACTGCTGGTCCATGTGCAAGTGCACTCGTGATGGATGTGATGAGATGGCGCGAAGGAAATGGATATAATGTTTCCCGAGGGGGGTACTCGTCAATATATACAAGATCCTGCTTGGGGTGTTCGAATTATATATAGAATGCGGGCCAATAGCCAGAAGCTTTCATTTTTGAATATATATTCATTAATACCGGGTTGCTCTCAACTATGAGAGCATGTGATTTTCGAAGTGCATTCCGGATTCCGGAAGCCACCCCGCTTGGGGTATATAAAGAAGTCTTCACTATTTCACTAGATGCTGATGTGATAGTAGATGGGCTACTCCCGAATAAGAAAGATGTCAAAAACTCATCGAAGACCTGATCTGCTGTCCCACATCCATTGTAGAATTATTTGCTGTTATCATTGCTATTGTTATTGCCACTATTCCATGGCATTGCCAATCAACAAACTTTGCTATTGACATCCTGATGGAATGAACAGCTCATTACCTAGTATCAGTATGGAGAACTAACCTATCTATTATGCAAGGTATCCCTTCCTTGTGATAACCTTTTCGAAAACCGGTTTTTTGTCCGGTTCGTCAACTTCCTAGTAATCTTACCGCCTTCATAGCTGCTGAAATATCCCTCAACCTCATTAATCAAAACTCGAAAAGTCAACAAAACCGCACAGAGACCCCGCAATGCCACTTGCTTAAAGTACCTTAAGCCAGAACAAATCCCCCCAGATAATCGATGGCTGATTTATTCAACCATCTCAGTATCATCTCCTGCACCGTTCATACTATTGTCAGTCTGCTTCTCGCTCTCGTTCTTCGACATTCCGCCATTTCCATTGTCTCTGGTAAAACTTATAGTATTGTCGAAGTCGACATTACTAGCACCAGATCTCTCGACCCGAGCCTTCTTGTTCTGTCTCTCGTGATTCTCTTCACCTGCGTAATTACCATATACACCGCGAGTTTCTCCATCTCCACTCGCATAGTTCTCATCAAGACCTCCTGCGAAGCCAGATGATCTACCAGCCGCAGCATTGTACGGTGCAAGAGTAGAAGGACTTGGAAAGTATGGTGGAGGACGACTCGAACCCACTTGATTGAGATGACCAGCCCAGAAACTCGAATGAGCATCCACGGGCATGGAGGGATAACGAGGACGGTAGAGATCGTGTCTTCTGGGTGGGATCTTTTCTGGAATTGGAGCGCGGTGTCTAGGAGATCCGAGACCCATGGCGTCGCTAGGGCGTGCAGAGCTCGAGCCGTGACTGGAGTTTGATTTGTCGGTGTTGTATTTGGTGTGCGTGCCGGTGAAAGGAGGATTGAAGTTGAATTGCGAGTGAGGTGTAGCGGGACGATCAAGCTCGGCGCCGTGAAAAGAATTGGTGTTGTGGTCCTTGAAGAGAACTCCGTCGTCGTGGGACTTGGGTGAGGTGTATGCCTCTTGGTTGGTGTTGGTGCCACTTGCACGTGTGGGGTCAGAGATAGAGCGGGCGTTGTTGAAGGACCATGGGACTGTATCTCCTGGGTCAACTTCAACCCTACAGCTTGTGTCAGTTTGTGGTCGTACTTTATATAGGGGCATGAGATAATATACTTAGGTTCTGGCTTCCAATCATCATCAGAGAATTCATCATCGCTGCGAGGATCAAACATATCATAAAGAACATGATTGACAGTCTTTCGACCCAGAGCCGGCTGTTCCTTCTCAGCCGCCCTCTCCTCAACCATAACTCTGGGTGGTCTATTGTTCTTAGTCTCCTCTTGCCACTCTCTAATCTCAGATTCTCTCTCCTTGTGGCTATTTTCCTTATCAGCCTCAAGATTCATCAACCTATTACATAGCTAGTTAGTCACAGCCAAAACTTTACAATTCAAGTTTTGCTGGTAGGCTGGAAAGTCAAAAGTTAAATAGGGGAACATACCTATCTTCACCAGTACTGACATTGGCTTCCATGCTATCAGCTCTCTGACGAGACTTTTCACGGTTTTTACGCTCCCAGCGCTCCCAGCGCTTCTTGGGATCATTGGGATCGCGTTGGAATTCGTAGTAGTGATGTGTGCGGTGGGATCCATGTCGGAAAATGCGGCCGTCTTCGAGCTTGGTACCTGATTTGAGGAAGCATAGGTTGGGGCTTGTTCTGAGAGAGATGTTTTAATTAGTTATTGTGTTGGTGAGAAAGTTAGGGGAGTTAGATAAAAGACTGATGAACTCTGGATGAATAGCAAATCCGAAGTCATGTCTGAGATGGAAGTGCATGCTGTACACTCCGAGGTTGACCAAGAAAAAAAGCAAAGTCATAGAATCTGGATATCCAGACCAATAAGAAGACTAAGAAAAGTAAAACTGCAGACTCTGCTTACCTCATTGTATAAAGACCATGAACTTTCTTAGGACATGGATTCCTATCTTGTTGCTTCAGGGTGTGCTGAATGTGATCAAAACAAATAGTTTTGATCATGATTTTGCAACTGCAAGCAGTGTATGTGATGAGAGTATCTACACACATCTTGATAGATCTGCAGACTGGGAGATGTGATGAGACTGACGATCAAGTAGCACAGTAAGGTTGAGTCTTGAAGTTCGAGAGTCGGAAGGAATAAGGGTTGTTGTAATAGATTTGCGAAAGTCGTGGTTTAAACTGAGGTGGACAAAAAAGTTAACAACAAAGTTGTTGAAAAACTTTTTCTTCTTTTGAAAGCTCCAGCTTGATCTTAAAGATAGATAAAAACAACTTTTTTATTGTACAGTTGTTGTTTATACCTAGTATGGATGAAGTTGGGAGTCTTCTCAGAGAAATCCGAAAGAAGCTTTGTGGTGGGGGATTCGAGATTGAGAATATAATTTTCTTTTTATGGCGCAAGAGATTACAAAAGAACTTTATGGAACTAAGAGTTTCTATAGCGGCATGATTGTTTATTCACTAGGCTAAAGTAAAGGTTTGCTGTATAGAAATTTTGGTCAGATGATACAAGAGAAGTCTGTATGTCGGAATTAGTGAATGAGGTTGTTGAATTTTGGATGAGAGGTTCATGATAGTGACAATTGGCTTCAAAGCATGAGAACATTATACTGCTCTTTATGTTTTTAAGTAAGGTCGGTCACATTTCTGAGAAGCATAGCAGAAGTCTTATAGAGCACCGTTTTTCTTGTAGGATTGTAAAATCCTACTGGCTGCGAGTAATACAATTCAGCAACATAGCTACTTCACAGCTCCCCTTAATAGCTTACAACGAATACATTCAAAAAAAATAGATCCGCAGCAGCCATATTTACATCGATTAGAATCCCATATTTCCATTGCTATCGCTAGATCCACGGATCAAGAATATGTTGCGCGCTTGAATTTTAAATTGGCCAGTATTTGTCCTATTGCCCTGCTAACTACTAGACGACTTCATAAGAAGCGATATTCACGCAAAGAAACTACTTCAACAAATTCCTATTCCCAAATCACTAGCCAATGTTCACCCCCTTCCTCAATCAGATGTCAAATCAATAGCTGTCTCGATATTGCTTCCTGTCATGACTGCATCCTTGTGTTGGAATACCGCTGGCAAATGTGTATTGGACGAATAAAGCTCTTGTCGAGTTCCGAGGACCCCTACAGCCATGTTATTAAGTTTAAAGGTTCCAGTTATGTTCTACTGCGCGGCGTGATTGTAGACGGCAGAAGTCAAGACGGGCAGGAAAAGAACTTACCTCTACTCTGCGATCGACTGCCACCTGCCCTCTTCATATAAGCATTCTTCTCTGATCCATGATCTGCGAGTCCTTTATTGTCGCTCACATTGCTCGGTATTTGGTCATCAACACCGGTACTTCCTTCAACAAGCTTGCCTGTGATCCCCTCATTTCTGGCATTACCTGCATTACTGACTTGTTGTCTTTGTTCCTCAAGTTTTCTGGCGGCTTGCTTTCGAAGAAATACTTCTCTAGCAAAACTTTAGAGTTTATTAGCCAATATCCAAAGCATCTATTCAATAAATGGCTAGTTTCATACTTATTCTTCCCTTGACGCGGCAATCTCGGCTTTCTCATCTTCTCCACCTTGGCATGCGTACCAACTTCGTTGCTCAACTTCGACTGGTTAATACCTAACATACATCTAGTAAGCATTTATGATTCTCCTTTAGTCATACTGAATAGAAGATACGTACCTGATGGTAGATACTCCTCATCAGCTGATTGACGCTGTTTATATTCATCGCTAACGACGTATGCAGCAAGCTTTCTCTTGCGAAACTCGAGCTTCGATTCACTTTGCAGTTTCGGGAATTTTTTCTGAAACGAGTTGTGAAAAGTATCGGGGATTCTGTTCTAAATGTCAGCTTGTTTTCCAATCAGATTTAGCGAAGAAGTTACAATATTTGAGGATAATCCCGTCTATTAGTCTTAAGATGTTTATCCTGAGCTTCGTAGTCAACGTCGATCCATATTTTGCGTCCAGAAGTTTTGGTCTGGGGCTTATCATCGCTAGACTTCTCATCTTTCAACACCATTGACTCGGAATACTGGGGATTACCCTTTTGCGTATCTTGGCCTCGCTTATCTTCGACTTGTAGTTTGGCAGCGTCAGCTTTCTCAAGAATCGTGGCATCGTCCATGCTCGGAATGAGTCCGGAATAATACAAATCCCTCAATCTCTGGTTGCGTGCCTGTTCGCTCTCAACAGCCAGCTTATTTTCGCCAGATTTAATCTTCTTGACAGACGTGCGTGGAGAATAATCAAAGTATTGGACGTCTCTCTTTTGCTTTTGTTGTACTTCAACATCGGCCTTGTCATCAGCATTCGTGATATTTCTCATTACCTGATCTCCACGTGAAGTGCTGATTCCTTCCTGTTGATTATTTGTAACATCTGCGCGACTAGTATGATTTGAAAGATCGGCACCATCACCATCTTGGTTCTGCTCTTTGAATGATTTGCGGTCATTGAGTTCTCTCTGCTTCGGTGCTTCACGAACTCGTTTCTCTTCTCGAATTTTTGATTCAAGTTCAAGATTCCTGAGTTGCTCGCCAAATCTTTGAATCGTTAGTTTAAGCAAGAGTAGTACGATGAGAATATTTTGGTTCCTACCTTCGATTAACATTTCTTAGTATTTTTTCCTGAACTTCCCTAGTAGAATACATCAGTATTTAGAGTCTTCTGAATCAAGAAGTTCATTTTTACCGGTGCTCATCTCCACTATATTCAACGTCCTCAACATAATCTTCTATGCCTTCACTGATAAGACATGTTCTGATTTGATCAAGGAGTTTCTGTAAGCGGTGATCTACAAATTTTTCGACCTGAATCCAACTATAACGGGCCATCTTTTGTTGTGGAAAAGGGACGTCCTGCATAAATCTCTCCTTCATTTCTTGATCATGTATCATTTTTGCCATCAGTACGCTCTTCCGCTTCTCTTTGAGTAAATAAGGTAACTCGGATTTTGGCGGGAGGCGAGAGGTATTCGCAGGTGAAGTTCTATTTTGAGGAAGAGACCTATCTTCAACAGATTTATCCTCAACATCATTTTTCTCGTCGACTTTGTCTTGACATGCCTGACTGACTACATGTTTGCTCACTTGTAGGCTATCTGTAACCTCTTTGCTGGGAATAGCAATAGTTCCATAAAACTTACTAAACTCCCCATCAACCTCTGCCTTTTCTGCCATCCACATCTCACGCGCGGTATCTTGCTGAGGAATCGCGAAGTCTTGTAGAAAAGTATCAAGCTGACTGGAATCATGGAGGAAATCTCGCTTGTTTTTGTTACCTGGTATCTTTGACTGCTCTTCAATTTCTTGGAGTTTTCTGAATGCCTTTCTTTGGAAATTTTCCCGTAAATGACTTGGTTCTTGCATAAGGATATCGGATTGTCTCCGAGTCTGTATGTCATCCTGAGTTTTCTGTTCCCGCTCAAGAGCTTGAAGTCTTGATTGCTCTGCAATTTCTTGATGCTGTTCAGCTCTTCTTTCGGCGTCTAGTTTGCTTTCACTAAGATTTGAATCTAGATGAGAGTCATGGTTTGCACATTTTGCTTGAGATCTTTCCACTGGACAAAGCTCAAGGGGTGTCAGATCTCTTCTGCGTGGAGGATCAGAAGCAATGTATGAAGCTGCTTGCAGGTTTTCCACAAGTGTGCTTGAAGTTTGGTGCGGCGAAGCATCATACAAATCCCCAGGTGTAGAGTTCGATGCCTCGTTAATATCTGCCATTTGGACCTCTCCTCCAGGCTGTTTGAAGGAAGTATGGCTGTTAAAATGGAAGTTCCTGTCATCAGACTCCGGCAACGTATCGTTATACTTTTGGGAAACGACATATTCCGATACTCCATTCCATGGTTTACCCAAAGCCTCGATGGTCTCGGTGGTAGACGGGTCATTATCTTCTCGGCTAGGTATGTGCGTATTGAGATGTTGGAGATTATTCTGAACAGACGGACCAGATTCGTGTACTTGACCTTCCGATTGCTTCTCCCGGAGAACAACTCGTTGCTCATACATATCTTGCAGGAGTTTATTTCTCTTCTGATCATGACCCCTCTCGCGCTCGTCTTGCAAACTTTCACTCGCAGCAACATGAGCTGGAGAAGTTTCCAAGGAATTAGGAACTTCTAGTCTCACTTCACTTGCGACCTGATCGTGAAAATCATCCTCGCGAGTTGCAGCAGTAGCAGACAGGTCTATCAAACTTTGTTGGTGAGTTCCTGGCGGTGTTTCAAGATTCTTCTTCTCTTGTTCCTGTTTCTCCTTCAGAATTTGAGCCAGTTGCCAAACAGGCAGCACTTTCGGCCCAAGTGGAATGGTTGAGCGCATTTTTATATCTGCAGTCGATTGCCCTCCGGATTGAACTCCTTGGCTCTTCTTTCTCTCTCTACGCGCTCGCTCTGCCTTTCGAATTGGCATGGCCTTTGGACCAGTTGGAATTATCGGTTGGGTTCTCACAGTGGCAGTAAATGATGGCAGCACGCTCTGTTGATTCTGATGATCGGTGCTCACTGCCAGATGTCTTCCATGTTCAGAGTGGCTGATATGTGGAATTGAAGTGTCCTTCTGGTGTTGTGGTTGACCAACGCTTGGAGGACGAGACGGCAAATTCTGACGACCATCTACAGCGGCTTCTTTCTGATCTTTCAATCGCCTCCACTCAAATACAGCAGCATCAATACTGCCAACATGATGATTTGTTCCATTGTACCGTGGAGGGAGCTTCTGACGTTTTGGTCTTGTCAAATTGTGCTCGGTTGAAAACATTTCGTTTTTCTCCAGTCGAACCTCTTCGTAAGTTTGACTCTCCTCAGGGAACTGGATTCGTCTTGTTGTCATAGGATCTTGAACTTTACTAGCCTTTCGATTCCTGCGGCTCTGCCACGTAACCATTCCCTTCTCTGCCAACGTGACCCAATCTTTGTCTCTCCAATCTACCTGCTTATTGTCTCCATCCCACTCACTATCATTCCATGCTTGCGCACTGGAATTATAGTCATCTGGAACATTGCGATCTCCTCCTCTAAGTAACGTTTCCACGTTGGTGCAGTTCTCCCATTCTCGGCCGCGAAATTGAAATTTTACTGCAAATCCGGGATTCATGCTGCAGTTAACACTTCCGACAAAGTCACCTCCCCACATCCTGTTACAGACAGTGTTGAAATCTTGCGGGTTGATTTTGCAATTACATCTCGAACCTCCGACATTGATATGCTCAGATTTCAAGTTTGGACATTTCAATGCCGAAAGAACGCGATCTTGTGGAGAAGTAAGTTCGTCGTTATTGGATGATTCGTTGGAGCAAATCAACAAGTGAGTATATTGACCCCAGCACTCATCGTAAGTCGTGATCCTAAAAATACACATCTTGACGATGTTGTACTCCAGTCGTGGTCGCTGTATTTATTTCGTTTGTTGTGGAGAAATAAACATTTTTTGACGAGAAGTTTACTTCATGTTCATTTCAGCCTCGTGGTCTTGACAGCGCTAGGCAAAATGAGGGTTGAACCTGGTGTAAAGTGAATTTCAATATTGGCTGGCTGTAAGCGGAGTGAAGATTGGAGTGAAGTTTCGAAGAAGTGAAGTCTAGAAGTTATCACCTGATTTTTTGTCGATAGCAAAATAGACAAGTTTTACTTGAGAGCCACGTCAAATTATCCCTAAGGCGTTATGAAGGCAGAGCCCTGAGAGCTATCTCGAATCTGTACTGTAAAACAGTCTTTGGATTTTCACGTTTGTATCGACTTCAAAAAGAGCCCCTAAGCTCATTTCCTCGAGAAGTCAACTTCTTCGCCTCGTGCAACAGCTTCCCAAAAGGATTGCACATCATGCTGAAGCTCTCAACACCAAGCAACAATTCGTACATAAGGCACTTGATGAATCATTGATCTTATCATGCGTATCAGCTTTCAAAACGGGTTTCGCTGTCACTCCTGAATTCCGCCTACATCAATAGATTCTCCTCCAGCATATAAAAGTTTCACCAACAATATTTATCAGCACTTTCATACGTCTCCATCATCTCCTAAACATAACCACCCTTCCAATACTCACCATTAACAATATTCCAAACATCCCCTCCCATCCCATCTCTTTCCAACCATCAACACCCACTCCCTACGTACTCAATCGCAAACACGCGGTCCAATACTACAATGCATGCATATCTGTAAAGTATCATATTCAACGCTAGGTAGTTATAGATACTTTCCATTGCAACACCTCAGATTCAAGTCCGGTTCTAACAATCCAATCCAATCCTCTCCAGATTCGAAAGTACCCATTCGCACCATCCTTTTTCTTCTGCGATGATTCCTCCCACAAGAAACGAGTCACCCATCTTGATATTTTGATATTTCGCCATGTTGAATGTATCCTCATCCGAACTAAGTTTCGATTGTTTGACGCATCTCAGATGCGATGCCGGTGTTGCCATTCTTCTCTACGATGGCAGTAGTGGTTCTATCGTTGCTATCTGCCATCTACTTCTTACGCTTCTTCGCTGCCGCTGTGTCGTCATTCCCAGAACTCCCATTACCTTGCGATCCATCGTGCGATCCATCAGCTTTTCCATCAGATTTTTGGTTGGGCTTATTACCCGTGGCATCACGATATGGCCCCCTATTTTGCTTGTCTGCCTGCTTGTCGTGTCCATTTCCTCCACTAGAAGCACCGCCAGAATGGTTCCTAGTGCCTCTGTCCATCTTGACTATGATAAAGCCTTGTTATAATGTTTAGTATATGATAATAGGTAATCAAGTTATAACAATATAGAACAACGAAATCCGATGTATTGTAGAATATTGTAAATTTATGTATAGAAACCCAAGTGTAAACCCAAACCATTATATAGAAAATCCAACATTACAATGGGTCTACATTCAAAGCCCCAAAGAATTGACTTTCCTGTACAACAGCAACAAGATAGCCGATGTACATGTACATCTGTAAAATGAAGTCTGTGGAAGAACATGTTCCGGTCGCCGATGAGTACTGACGGCTTGAAAATGAAATTTTGATGAATGCGTAAGACGGGACTTGGGTTGGGAATGGCGAGAAACGTCTAAAGACAGGTGTATGTTCGTATTTCCATTATGACAAATCAATGCTTTGAGAACGCATGCGGACTTCAAACACAAGTTCGATCTTCTGTAGGAGATTTTGATCGAACCATTGCTTTTCGTTATATCACAGTTTCAAAGGAACAACAAGGCTTCCCTACTAGTAGGCCAAGTGTGATAGTCTTTTATAGTTAAGTTCTAGACGTTGAACAGTGTATCGCATATGTCAAGTCACGAGGCGGAAAACGCATGTAAATTGCCAGGAAAAGGGCCAAGATGATAAAATCACTTACCTTAATCACAAATTCACAAAAAACACGCACGCATCAAACATCAAATGTAAAAAAGAACACAAAGATCATTGCCACCTATTTACCCATCCATTAATACTCAGCCAGTGTAAAATAAAAAGAATGAACGCCTCAAGTGTATTGGTGCAATATCAGACCTCAGAAAACATCTCTTGATAGACTACGCCTATTGCTATTACACCTTACAAAAATGCGAAAGTCCATTCGTTCCCTATCCTCCAAGCCCTCCCTGCCCTACACAGCCCGCTCTGACGCAAGGAGCAATAATGAGGACGAACGGACGTGACGCACGCAGCAAGCACCCTTATGATTCAGATCCATTCTTGACCGCACGCATGAAAAAGAAGATGAGAGGAAACAACAAAATCTTGCGAGAAAAAAAGACAGACACAGAGAAGAAACTAACGTGGCACAATTTGCGGAAGAAAAGAGACATATTTGTCCGTTCGTATGCCCTGAGATATTTGTGTCGAAACCCAGATGTGTAGTAAGAAAGAAGTGTTCGGTATTGGTGCGAGGAACTTGAAGATATTGGTCCATGTATTATCAATCAAGAGAATGATAGATTAATATGCCGACGAAGAGCCATGCACTCCGTAAGAACAATTCCTTCTCGCTAGCATGAACCCGTCACCCAACCGAGCTACTTTCGCAGTAAAATAAAATCCGATCGCATTAGAGAAAGAGAAGAGTCGATAACAGTAGCTTTACAGGACAATGCACTTCTTCTTCTTCTCCTTCTTGGTCAAGAGTGCAGCACGTGTGGCATGTTCAAACACCTCACGGACACCCTCATTGGTCTTTGCTGAGCACTCAAGAGACTTGTAAGCACCAATCTTATCAGCAACACGTTGAGCCTATTGATAAAGTTGTTAGCATGATTCTTTCTTTATTCAATTCCGTTCTCGGTCATGCAGCTGTCTTTTGACTGCGCCGTATCTTGATGTATTCTTACCTGATCTTCTGAGACCGGGGTTTGGTTGGTCTTGTGTAATTCCTCGATGGTTTTTGGGTCGTGGCGCAAATCCTTCTTGCATCCAACGAGGATGATTGGGAGGCCCTGACAGAAATGAAGGACTTCGGAGATCCACTGTTCAGGCACGTGTCAGTAATCGTCTTATCAAGGTAACAGCAGATGGAATCATCTATCGAATCGTACCTTCTCCTGAACGTTATCAAGGGAATCGGGAGAGTCAACGGCGAAACAGATCAAGATAACATGCGAATCTGGGTATGATAGAGGTCTGAGACGATCGTAATCTTCTTGTCCAGCCGTATCCCACAGAGCCAACTCAACGTGCTTTCCATCGACCTCGACATCGGCGACATAGTTCTCGAAGACGGTTGGGACGTAGACCTATAGTAGAAGATGCATCAGTTATTGAATCTGATGAGATAATGATATTCCATCAACAGCTTCGATGCTAGCCAGTGTCAACTGATAGTTGACGCGATGGCCGCGTTGTATTTGATTCGCATATAATTTCAAGGAGTCGGTGTAAGGCTTACCTCTGGGAAGGTTCCCTTGGAGAAGACACTGGAATATTTGTTAGTGGATATAACTTTTATTGATTTTATCAACTAGAAAACCGTTGAAAGGTAGATGGGTACTTACATCAACAAGCAAGTCTTACCGCAAGCACCGTCTCCGACAATAACGAGCTTTCTTCTAATTTCCGCCATTTTGGCAAAGGTTGTGATAAGTTTTGTTAAAGAGAGCGACTGAGTGAAGTTGCTGATTAAATTGTTGTGTAGGTAAACTGATCGTATGGGTCGTTGCAGATGAAAGTTCGTTAATTGGAAAGGTTGTTGAAGGTGGAAATGAGTTCAGGAAGGCAACCTCTGGAGAAACCTAATAGCTAGTCGGTTCCAATGTTATGGCCTTATGATTTGTGATTATAATTATCAGGCAGCCAATATTCAATTTGGTTACTATGGGAATCATCCAGCATAAATAAATAAAATTCTGGGCTATGGTCAACTGGGCTGATGCGGTGAATCAATCCATCAATGAAGGGATTGGATTGGATGGGGAACATTATGAGGAATAATTCAAAGAAATCTTGAATGCTTTACGATTCATATGATTGGATATATTGTTACTTATTCTTTTCTTTTCATGATATCTACCATACTAGAGTTCACACAGAGTGAGTGATGGACAGTATTCTTGTTCGTCTATTGTGTGTGGGATGGAGGCAGTATTCAATTAGCTGTCTAGGTCGCTTGGGTGGGTAGACCAGGGAGTATTCTGTTTTATTCATCATCTATCTAATATCTATTTTCCAATCACACGGTCGGACATAAGGAATACTGTAGATTTATCATTACTGTAGGAGATTGCTACTACTGTTTGCTGTCTGTCTGAGGGACCATCTAATATCTAATATCCAATATCTAATAACTAACCATCATCTATCTACACTAAAACTCTCCTCAATCACAACCCTAGCCATCAACTAAGGGGCTACCAAGGTTCATACATTAGTATCTGCTAGGTAAGGTGACATGCTGTACGGAGTATTCTCCACGTATTTTATGCACCCATACCATACCATACTATCATTCACTCCACCAACCTCACACCATGTCACCATGTCACCATGTCACCATGGGTAGGAAACAAAAAGATTGATGACAATGAACAAGGAAGTACCTAAGCCGTTCGACTGCTTGTTTATAATTCTGCCTCTGCAAAATACATCAATTCCTTTTATTCCTTTTTCTCATTCCTTTTGCCCTATGTCTTTTTCTGTTTCTCTAAGCATCGGTGTACAATGCAAAATATGAAAAAGGACTTTCTAGTGATCCTTACATTAGATATTCATTTGAGCTACCGGTACCACATCTACTAGATACTGTTCAACATCAAGTAACACTTTAGAAATATATATATATATATATATATATACAGATTCATGCGCTAGCGATAACCTTCCACTGCAACTTTAAAATCAATACAGTATGGTTTGTGAATGATAACTGTGAAGATAGTGGTAAGCTCTGATATGCTTCCTTGGCAAAGTCCATATTTCCTTCTTTCATTCTTTCTTTCTTTCAACTCCTCTCCTGACTCCTGAGTCCGTCCTGACACCAAGCTTAAAAGTCTAGTCTAGACTTGACGGGATGAATGAAATGACTAGTATATAGTTTGGCTCGTATACCTGAAAAACATGACTCTGATTACGGATGCTTCCTTCTAGGGTTTCTATCAGGCGTATTTACAGGCGTACAGGCGTATTGTATCACCGCATACATACATAGTATAGTATCTTATATATTGTTTCACAACATGAGTGCCCTTCCAATTGTTAAGTGTTGAGTTATCTAAACTTTCCTTCCTTTGATGGAGATGAGCACGTCCCCAACTTCAGGAGATATCCGTCAAGTTTACGCACTTCATATGGGGCTGAGCTCCTAGACAATCTGCGCCTCACTCATTCAGTCGCGCCTCATTTCCTTTCTACCAGGAAAGACAGGACTGCGGACAAGAGTCGCAAGATTTATGGATATTTTGATATGTTCTTCTCTTCTTCTCTTTGCTATGACATCTGTCTTTTCTCCACCCTCTTGATGTCATTTCAACATTCGGTGAATAAATCCAATACAATATTTATTAAGATAATCAATGAAATCTGCCTCACGTGCCGTGTCCCTGAAACTTAAGGATAATGTTTTGATTGGATAGCCTCTATTGGCACATAAACATATGTTGTTGTATTTACCCCTGAACCAATTAAAGCCCGATTGAAGCCCTGATATTCCCACGTGACTTGCACCCCGATCAAGAACTATGCGCTAACCCAAAAATCACTAGCCCATTATCAACGAAAGCTCCATCCAAAAAAAGTTGAACTGAGCACCCTCACCACCACCAAACGAATCCCCCCTCCTCTCCCCCACCACCATGCAAAAAGTCATTCGGCGTACAATCCTCGCCGAAAAGCAAGCCGCCCGCCGGCTTGCAAGGAGGCAGCGCAAAAATGAGCTCGACGCTTTTGCCCTTCGGCAGGATAGGATGAAGCAATGGGGTGCGGAAAATCTAAGAAGGATGAAGGAAAATAAGGTGGTGCGAAGGGAGGATTGGGAATTGAATGAGTTGGCTCCAAAGAGGGATGTGGGCTCGCAGGCTGAGACATATGGAGCCATTCAGGCTCACTTCACTGAGGTTCCGGTTGCGAGGAGGAAAGAGATATTGGAGATATTGGATTTATGGGGAGGGAAGAAACATCTGAATATTACGGCGGGGGATAGAGTTGTTGTGATTTCAGGGCGGGACAAGGGAAAGATTGGGAAGGTAGAAAAGGTTGACATGCAGAGGGCGGAAGTTACATGTGATGGATTGAATATGGTATGATTTGTGATCTTTGGTGCCTCCATCTCCAATTATCTCCACCATGAATGTTCCATTGCCACAAACTAACAAAATTATCAGATCGATATAGCAGTACCAAAATGGATGTTATCAGACTCCGAGCAAGATCGTCGTCCCACCCGCTCCGTCCCTCAAGGCATTTCCCTGAAAAACGTCAAACTAGTATTCCCATACACAGATCCTGTGACCGGCCTGACGCGCGACGTCATTGCCAAAAAGCTCGCCCACCACAAAATGTTTCGAGATCGTCACGCCCAAACTGTTAAATGGCAGCGCATAATCCCCGGTGCCGGTGACCGGCCTAATATTATAATTCCATGGCCTAAAGTCGAACCCCGAGAAAAGAAAGACTATGATTGCGATACCCTGCGAATGGAAGTTGAAGAAAAGACATTTGTACCCACCCTCATCACGCCACCAATGCCAGGGAGTGTGATTGATGAGTTGAGAAATAAATATTCTATATTCAGGACGAGACACGATCCCGAATACATCGAGAGAAAATTGGAGGAAGATAGACAAAACGAAGCGAAGAAGAAGACAATTGCATCAATGAGGACGCCATTGAAGGAGATTAATAAGAGAGAAAGAGAATTACGAAAAGCCAAGGGCAAGGGTAAACTTACCAGAGGCATGTTATTGAAGATTGGACAGGTAATCTCAAGGAGGAGAGGATCGATCATGAGACAGGTGGGTGTCAGCACGGATGAAGAGGCTGGAGTTACAGAAGCTGGAGAAGTCGAGAACACTTCTACACCTACATCTACACCTACAGAGCCAGTGCTAGTGGCTGCTTGATGATCATGCATGTATATTATGTATTTGGAATGAAAGAAAAATGTAAAGATATGAATTGTATGGCACATGGACCTTTCAGGCATTCGTGGCGTTGTAGTATGTATCACAAAACTCAGCGCACGTCACTTCCATTTTATTCCTACGTGCACAAACAGATGTGTTGATGAACTGCGCATGTAAATCACATCACGTCCACAACCTTCAATGATTCTGTTGAGTTTCCAACTAATGCAGTTCTGAGCGAGAATTCCGAAAAACCACACCTTTGTTTTACTAGACTACCAAGAGAACCCAAACTAAGTACCCAACAACGTCAATTTTTCAAACGCAGAAAGATGAGGTGCCTCCTTCTTTCTCCCCGCCGCCTGCAAACTCTCCGCATAAACCGCATCACCACCTACCGGTCTATATTCCTGACCTTCTGCAGCTGGCTGATCATTTGTATTTACATTGGTATTTGCAACCGCATCCGGGGTACCAAAAACCTCTCCGACACAGCCCTTACACAAGGCGACCACCTCTGCCATGCTGCCTTCAATCGCTCTCGCTCTCTCCCACATTCCTCTCCTCACTAGACCTACGACCAATCTCTCGACTTCACCTCTGGAATCCTCGACGCGCGTCATGAGTCTGCCGACACTGGCGACGAGATATTCTTCTTCGTATACACTTCCCTTTTTACCTCGTGCTCGTTTTCGTTCTTCTCTTCGTCTGTTTTTAGATGTTGCTCTACTGACTCCCGTTCCAACAGTTCCGACACTTCCATTACCCGTGTAGCGAGTAAATAACGAGCGGTTAGTCGAAACGCGAGAAGAAGCCGCAACAGAGATATTATCTGGGATTTCGCCATCGCCTCCTCTTTCGCCCTCGTAGAAAGCGAGTGGATCGGCGAGTGCTTTTTGCCTCAACTCGCGGATACGGGGGACTTGGGCGAGGAGTTGCGCTTTGCAGTCTGCTAATAGCTCAGTGCTTGAAGCGAGGGCATCGCCGAGACCAGGGTCGATCACGCTCTCGAGGAGATCGGGACGGACTTTGAGTGCAATAAGGTGAAGGGCGTCGGCGAAGAAATATCCTTTGCAGAAGGTTCTGCAGGCGATTTCGAGAGAGGAGAGGTAATCGAGTTGGAGGGTTGCTGCGGCGTAATAATCTTTGCTCTCGATGAGAGCATCGTAAAGTGTGCTTGCTAGCTCAGTGAGTGCGGAGCCGCTCATTGGGTTTCCATCTGCACCGCCTGTGAGAGCACAGAAAAGAGTTTCGCGCCATTGAGAAGGCCCGGAGGCAAGATAGCAAGATGTAGCTTTTGCGTAGTTGTGAAGGGATTCGTAAGCGAGAGCTGCTTCTTTGTAGGAGGATTTAGATTCGAGATATTGAGCGTAGAGGGCCGTAATGACAGCGAGGGGCTCGGGATTGTATCGGTAGATAGCTAAAGCAGTTTTGTAGAGAGCATGCTTCTGAGTATACTTTTGAAGTTCCTCGAAGGCGTTGAGTTCGTGGAGATGGTTAAGCGCTTTGGTGTGGCGAGATAAGTAATCATCAATGCTATATTTACGACGCAACTCGGTCATTTGTTGTAGATTTTGCATGAAGGGAAGATATTCTCTGGGATCCTTCTGCGATTGCTGAGCAACTAAAAGAGCAAGATCAAGGTTATAGAGACCAAGAGCATTCTCATACAACCGGTTGACATCCGCCAAGAAACAGATATGCTCAACTGCCTTATCCGCCATAGCCTCATCTTCCTTCATCAACTGTGCAACAACCAATAAGCCATCATCCAATGCAGGTGGATTCTTGCACACATTAGATGTGATGATGTTTTGTAGGTTAGTTGCAGTGCGAGTTTTGAGGACCTCAAGAACAGCGTCGCAGATCTTGTTGACCTTTGAAGTTTTGGTGGCTGTAATATCGACAGGGTCTTGAGGAGCGATAACAACATTGGTGGTAGGTACTATGTTGCCATTTTGGGAGACAACTCTTGTCTCTTTATACATTGTTTGGGTAACATCCTCCTCTCTCAATGACGATAAGAACAAATCGATATAGGTGATTTTCTTGACCTGGTCAATAAAAAGTGCAACGTTCGACAAGAACTGCTCTGGAGCATGATCATATAGAATGTTCATATCCACTCGCTGCGTTCTGCAATGGGTGAAAGCCTTTCTGTAATTCTTTTCCTCAATAAGTTTTCGAATACCTGCAAGAACCATTGCACGAGGGAAAATAGTCTCCAAGTTTCCACGAGGCATTTGCAGAATAAGACTGAGAGATGTTGGCATTGCGGTGACAAGTCGGGCTCCTCTTTCAATGCTTCGACATCTCTCGTCAATTTCCGGGTCATCTGCTGGGACTTGGAGGTCTGTTTGATATTAGCATTGAGACATGTGCAGCAAGGTTCAGAAATACGTACCATGAACTTCTGTGATGTGCACAAATTTGAGAAGATGTGTGGTGGTAGTAAATATAAGATGTGCCGGTGTAACTAAGAATGATGTGCAATTTCGGACCAGTAAGCGTGTGTTTGCAAACAGATGACCGTTACTAGACAACCCAAAAGCTATGCGGCCATCTCCATAAGCATTTGGGCCATCGCCAAAAGGTATGATATCTACCCAAGGTAATTGCTTGGAGAAATTGCAGGAAGATAAGGAAGCATCGCCGAAAGCCAAGCTATGAAGGTCGCCGGAGCTAGTCTGTACGTATGGATGCATTACACCATCTTCAACAAAGCTTGATAGTATCGATACAGACGATGTAGGGTTATGTTCAAGAGCTTTCTCTTTGATTTCACCAGGCACCTCGGTGATATGGTATCCTTGAATAACAGGGCCAGTTTCGGTTCGACCCAAGGCGAGTATTTCATTCTTGCCACTGAAAGTAATTTGTTGATAAATGGTAGTTTTGATGGCAGAGTCAAATATAAATTGACCAGACAATGTCGGAGTAGGTGCAACCCGTTTAGTAGCATCTAATTCGAAAATTGAAATACCATCCTGATGTAAAACGGCAAGTGATGAAGCATCAGCATTGATGGCAACATCGATGGCATTAGATTGTATCGTAACTTCAAGATGACCCATAGGAGGTGGAACGTTAGCTACTCGGAACGGAGTCACCATGAGGTTTTGTCCATCAATAACAGCGAGCACTCCGAAATCGTGTGGTGGTGCCAAAGTGCCACGAGCTGCTGTGAAAATATACTCTGCAAGATCAATAGTGTCCTCAGCGACAGACAAGAATCTCAGCGACTTCTCTGGGTGCCAAGCGACAGGGTTAGTGGCAACCAAAGGAGCATGATGGTTTCTAATCTCTTGCTTGAGGTACCAATGATAATTACCCATTGTCCATAATTGAGTGCAATCAGCCATCACAACAGCCAACACCGTAGAGTCGGAATTCCAAGCCAATTTTATGAACTGATTAGGAAGTTGGCGTTGCTCTTGAGTGAGTCGGAGACTAAACTCTCCATGTCGTAATCCGTTACGCTCAAAAAATACAACATCGATTCTTTCATCCAGTCTTTGAATCCCGGCAATCAGATTTCCAGAAGGCCTCCAGCTCAAAGCGCCTTCGAGGCCATCTACGGGCTCGCTGACACTATCGAGTTCACCTTCTCTGGAATATACTCGGATTATACGACGGGAAGCCGATTCAATGGTAGATATAGCAAGATAAGCTCCATCACCTCTCCAGCTGATAGTGACACTCGAATCATCATTTGGACTTAGAACACCTTCGTCAGTCTTCTCAGGCATAGTCGGATCTCGTAAAGCTTTGGCTCCTCTGCCTTGGAATTGAGTTTCCTTCTTACCCCAACCAACAGATACATGGTTCGAAGCTTTCAGATCCTCTTTAGTCATGGTAGTATCTGCAACGCCATCGAAGCTGCGGCTCATCCAAATGACGGTATCTTCCTTAGTTGTCATTGCCAACAATTCTTCGTCAGGTGACCATCTTGCCGCCGTAATACCAGCATCAACTGAGCCCATAATTTCAATCTGACCTTCACCAGGCTGAGGGTCTTCTCTAACGACAATGATGTCGCCACCTGCAAGAACAAGACATGTTGTCAAGCTATCTCCAAAATAATGAAGACTTAAAACCTTGTCACAGACCAAATCCGGGTTTGGTGATGGTGCTTCCCATGATGTGATGAGAGTATCTTCACTACAATTCCAAATCAGCAAACTTCAAAGACGCTCAATTAGAAAATTATATATACTGTGATTTTGAGGTTGTCTTGACTCTAATAAGTTGTATTACTGCGTCATTTTCAGTAGGACCAACGGTACAAACGACAGCATCATTTGCCAGATCCCACGCCGCCGCCGTTATAGGTCTATTCTGATATTGCGCAGGAGGCTTCCATTGCTTGTATTGGATCCCTCTTAAACTTCTCATCTTCTCGATATTAATATATTTTATCAAAACATGTGAAAAATAAAATTTATGCAAATAAATCTCCAGTCATCCTTTTTGTTCAGGCAATGATTCGTCGGAAAATCGTATCCCGGTCATTTTCACAAGCCAGTTTTTTTTGTTTGGTGCATTCCTCATACCGTGTAAGCGAGAAACGCTAAATCTTTAGTATACGACATTCCCTGTAACCCCAGGTTTAATCAGAGGATTGGTGGTGAGACCTTCTCTCTTCTTACATCTATCAACATTCCACTTCTCTGCCCATTTTATTCAATAGACATTCGATCCTTCTTCTACGGCTAATATCGCATCATTAAGACGCTTGTGCATTGTAGACTTTATATTTTAAATCTCTCCGATAGAATTCTTGACCCCCTCAGATAAACCATAATGGATATCGCGTTCAACCAACACTCTCCTCATAACCGACGTCACAATCGGTCTTCATCCAATCTCACAAACTTAACTATGGCACCCCTAACTACCAAACTTCCTCCCTCAAATGACGATTATTTTCCCGACCATACATCCTATATTGACAATCGCTCTTCTCCTACAACGCCCTCAATTCTCTCTCGCTCATCATCCCGCGTTTCCGTACGCAAACCCGCCCCAATGAATCTCTCAATCCCCAAGTCAAAATCAAGCATTCACCTCGCTCCTACTCCTCTCACACCCCGCGCACCAGGCCACCGCTCCGGCACAACTACACCCTCACGCCACTCACATCTAAGAAACACGATCGCTCCAGATAATTTAAAGATCAGTACATTCGGTGAAGATGACCCCCATGATTCAGATTGGCTTCTGCGAGCCGGCGCCATGATATCATCCTCCACTCGAGAGTCCAAGGGCCAATTATGGCTTGTCTCACGCGCAAGTTCAACAAGTTTACGAAAGGATGAGGATGAAGATGCATTTGAGCGGGAGCTCGCCAGAGAAAGAGAACATAATAGCAGGAGAGGAAGTAGACGGGGAAGTTTCGATGCAGATGATGAGTTCTCACCTCTTACAACGAGACGGAGCTTAAGTTTTGGGCCTGCGCATAATAGACCAGCAAGTAGATATGGCAGTCGAGCGAATAGCAGGAGAGGGAGTAGGGCAGCGCTGATCACACCAATGACAGCAGATAAAGATGGAGGATACTTCGATACAGAATTCGCACATGAAGAATATCCCGCAGAGCCAGACTTTGTAGATGTGGAAGAAGAATGGCTTGAGGATGGTGACGAGGCAAAGAAAGATGAAGCAACGGTTAAAAAATTGGCTAGAGCGAGTAGACTGGGACTTGGAGGATGGGTAGAAAACCTACTTGGCTGGAGTTTGTTTGCTGTTGAAGAAGATGGAGAAGAAGCCGAATTTGATACATCAGATGAGAAAGGAGAAGAATCATCATTGTCATCACGACCGTCACGACACACCCTCGATGGGATGAGTGACACACCAATTACCGAGCAAATGCCACCACTCAACCCAAATGAAGCCGATGGATGGCATGATGCTGCTTGGCTTCTAAGCGTTGCAAGTAAGGTATTGCTATGATGTCATATTGCTATACCCTTAAGCCTTTTCTTCTACGATTCTGTTCCGTCTTTTAGTACAGCTTTCATTATGAATTATAATAAGAACTCTCGGCATGTTCCCCATATGCATCAATACAACTCGTATACATATGTGGTCGTGAAGATAAACATGCCACCCAAAGTCATAAAAGCGCCAATATCGCTCCTGCCCAATAATCGATCAAATGCTTCCCATTACTACTTCGCAGAATTTTCTTTCGCCGGAATCCTTTCTCCCACGTTCATTCGTGTGTAGCAGTTTCAATTAAATAGTATTGCTGCTTCTCTCGCTTCCGCCCGCTCGATTAGTCGGCCGTCAGATCAATGATTTCATCTTCGGCTGTAAAGATGTGTCGTCTTTTAACAGGACGCTCAAGGATAACTTCGGGTTCATCTTCATCGCGTTCATTCACATGTTCGCGCTTCAGATTCACCTCAGGTCCGGCCTGTCCTTCGACCTCTGCCTGCACTTTATCAACGACTCGTGAGATCTCTTCTTGTACCTGCATAGAGTGTTAGTGTCACTGACAATACATGAAAGGTATCTGATGGCCCAATCTGGATTAAGTATTAGAATGATGGCACATACCTCGACTACGTTCACAACGTTAAAACCCTTTGCTATGTCTCTTAATTGACCTAAATTTCTTTGAATTTCCATCAGTACTCGTGTAAATGGGGTGGCACTAGGCTCCAAAGCTACTTGGCCGATAGGCTTAGGTGTAGCAGGTGTGACTGGAAGTGCTGGAGGTTCTTGACTGTTGTTTTGGCTATCTACCGATTGACCCCCTTGATTATCGGTGTTTTTGTCAAGCATTTCACCTGACGTGAGGGCCACAGCATTCGGTTTAAACATCGCTTCCGTTGGTGTCTCTACTGGCATTGCGGGTCTAGCCTTTAAAACAAAACTAGGTGCTGCTACCTGTGAAATTGATCCAAAAGCAGGAACTGATGGATATCTGATCTCTCCTCTGGAAACAGTTGGCGTTCCTGGAAGTACTTTTGGGGATGACGCGAACGCTGAGCTAGTCGTAACTTTGGGGATCATTTGACCGTATTTCTGTGTTGGTGTTGCTGAGGAGGAAAGGGCACTGGTGGAAAAATTGCTCGTTGACTGGTCAAGCGATCTGCTACTAATAACTGACAGCGGAGGTAGTACTGGCATTGACAAGAAGGCACCAGTTACCGGGTCGAAAGATCTTCCTGTGATCACTGACTTTGTGGCTGGTGGGGGTGGAGTGGCCACTTCGAAAATAGCCTTATGCTTATGAGCAGTCGATGCTTGGATTCCTTTATCAGCATTCTTGTCAAGAACACAAGGCCTTTTGGTTGTGCTTTCAGTCAGGGCAGGCTGTACTAGTACCCCTGGTAATGGCTTCGAAGGCAAAGGAGCTCGACTAACTTTTGGTGTCGATCCCTGGTCCTGAGGAAGTATCTTAATTCTACGGTCAGTCTTTCTTTTTCAACCAAGCATTTGAAAATCGTTTGATAATCGGAGAATGATTGTCAAAGAGCAGACGACTAACAAGGCACTTACCATCATCTGCTGCAAAACCTCCCTTGATCTATATTTGAAATGGAACTCGGCCAGCGGCTTGTTAACTAGATCAAGATATTCAAGCCGATAGAACGTCTCCTGGTCCGATATTTTTTGTGGTTTTCCAAGCCTGTTGTAATAGGTCAGCTTCTGCATTGAATTGTAGACCGTATCTTCTCATATACTCTGTTGCATGAGTTAAAGCTCTGCCCTTTAACTCTTTTTCGTGAAACTTTGTGTTGATTGGCATGGTCTCCTGTTCCGGAGCAGAGATCGGCGTTGCCACTGGAACGACTTTACGGACACGCCAGACCTGGACTATGAGTTCTCCGAGCTGCGAGACTTCTTTTTGGTTGTGCGAAAATGGGGCATCGTCTCCTACAGAATCAACATCAGCTATTTTCAAGATTGAATTGAAGATTGGTCTACCTATTTGAAGCTCAGAAAACTGGAATGGTCTTAATTCTGTGTTTCCGGGTTGCCTAAGGCGGTCCCCTGTCAAAGTATGCTCCCAGTTATCTGGTTTGAATCCATTCTCATTGCAAATTACAGTTGAACTGTTGAAATGCTCAGCTTAAGAACGATGCTTAACAAGATCCGGTTTCATTTAATTACCTTGTCTTTTTCCCATCAACTATAGCGAAAAAACCCAAACAGTAATTTTTCTTCTTTTTGAACTTTGGTATCTTCGCAGGGTCAACGAGGTATTGTAATCCGAACTTCGCACCTGTCTTGGACTCGACATAAACGGACATCTTGTGCTGAGGGCCATTTTGCGTGTTATCATCCTCATTGTCGTCAAGATCGGGATACTCTGCTGAAATCTTAGGAGCGTTAACTGTAACTCTGATAAATGGAACCCCAGGTAAAATCGCCATTTTCGCAGATATTTCTGGTGAATAGGAAGATTGTTGAGAAGACTGTTGATTGTATGTTATGATTGATGGAAAGGAATTGCCTGGTGTGAATAAAAGAGAGCTACGCGACAACGTAACTGCCATTTTTGGTCTATTGAGCAAAATTGCAAGTGCATTCTACGTTACATTCCTCCAGTAATCGTGGTTTGATAGCTTCATGACAAATACATCATTGTTATCTTGTTATTGCTCACGAGATTTTATACTTTCTAGCCCATGATCATCTTGTACATCTCGACTATCAGATTCATTTCCAAGATAATAGGTCTTTGATCACCATGTGAATGGAAGGTAAAGTTTAGTATGTTATATTTGTTACCCATATTTAACTTGGAATATCCCCTATGCTAATAATTGTCGAGAATTCATCATATTCCACCATACACTGTTGGTAAGAGACCTTTGATACACCAAAAAAGATACTTGCTGGATGTAAGTACCTCGGGTCTCCTACTTCATGCTCTTTCCCTTCATCGGCGCCCTTCAACTCTCCTTGAGTGACTTGATATATCCAATATCATAATTCGCCCTCAAGTCATACGACAAGCATTCTTGACGTCTGTGTCTTGCCATTGTATGAACATTCTTGATCTCCATCATTTCTTGCTTCAACCATCTACGTCTCTCCCAAAGTCTGCCCCATTGTAACTTTATATCTGCCATTTCAGTATCAAAATCGCTCTTCTTGTCCATATTCAAGCATGCAATGCGGTATCTCAACCATTTGATTTGCTCTTGAGTGGTCGTGGAGGTGTATTCTTTCTTGTATCTTCTGAACTGGAGCTTGAGCTGGGGCATATTAACCGTGTTCGTCATGGTAGAAATTGTTGTGTTGCTCGAACGCAAATGTGATAGGTTCCGGATCTGGGGATAGCTAGATGGCTTTTCGGGCTCGACACTAGTGGCTTGCGAAGTGTCGGTCTTTGAGCCACTTGTGAACGACCAATCACTAGGATGAACGGCGCTAGATCGAGTATCTTCGGTTTCCGAAGTTGCCATTTGCTTGAGACTGATCAACGAAGATCTAGTCGGTGGATTATTGATGGGTGTCCAGCCACCAAATCGAGGAAGATCGGTCTGGACAGATTCGATCTGCGAAGTATGAACAGCGTGCCAGTTTCCGTCTTGAAGAATACTAGCTTGAGCTAAGATATCAACCTGAGCAATCTCAACCCCTGAGATACTCGATTGTGTAGTGTCGAGGGGTTTCCAAGCGATGATTAGGGGGTTTGCTGCTTGAGTGGTTGCAGTGATTGGTTTATTGACTTCGTATTGCGGAACTTCTTCTTCGACGTCGGTGTATTCTACATCTGCATCGTACTCGCTTTCTTGACCCATAATTTTGGCTTGCTCATCATCGGAATAGAGGTCGGTAAGGCCACGGGAGACCGATCTGCAAGGCAAAACGAATGTGTAAGCCATGAGGAATAAAGACTGTATCTCGTTGTCAGTTCGATTTGGTACAAAGCATGATATCCAAAGACTGCAGCAGAGAGAACTTACTATATGATTGTCGCTGCTATTGTCTTTGGAGATGCATTTCTATTGTAGCCCTTGAGGAAGAAGAAGGTCAAGTCTTGGGTTTCAGCTTTGAGGCCCCAAACTATCCACATTACTTTTCATGCCATTGACCTTTCCATTTGGGCATGATGGATCGAATTCACTTTACAAAATTTTCCTTCGATTTTAAGTTTGGGAGGGGTAAGAGATAGTGAATATCCAACCTTTATCACCAGGGTTTCTTTCGACCTGAAACTTTAGAACTTTAAACCTTCGACACCTCGAAGTCTATATTGGTCTATTCCATAGACTCTGATCTGACAAAACCCTCGAAAGTCCCTCCGAGCATTTTATGTTTCCCACTACAGAATCATATCCTTTCATAGAGATTGTACTACAAAGATCGAATTCCACAACTTTTCTGTCTGTTTCTCAAGGTCACCAAAGTTGGTGGATTGAATGAAGTGACCAGATCTTAACCCAGGAAGCCAAGCTTTCATCCAAGGAACACTTCGAGCCTAAGTGCCATATTTACATTTATTCTCATATTAACTTTGTTTCATGTATTTTTCAATGTTAATAGTTGATTATTTTCTCACTCTTTCCTCTGCATACAGCTGAGCAGGCAACTTTCAAGTGGGGAAAAGCTCCATCGGCATGCTATTTTTGGAGGTCTGAGTAGATGTCAAGCCTTGAAAAGACCTCACTAAAAAGACAACCTTTGAGTGGTGTCAAAACTATTTGATTGGTAATCACAACTACCGGCAAGTAACCAAATAACCACAAGCTGCAAGTTGGAAATATTGTCCTACTCAATATATCCTGTGTCCTATTCCATCCAAGCACTTCATCCTATTCTCCGCAACTGAAGATCGTTGTCCCATTTTCTTTCCATTCATCTCAAATATTTTGACCCATTAGCCCACCTTCATTCTACAACGAAGGCTACAAGAGGTCTGTGTTCTTGATCTAAAAATGTTTTCCATCAAAAAAACCAACGACTAACTTCAGGTCGCTGGCCCAACTTTGCGCATATTGTTTTATATTCAAGCACAACCGACAGTTCTTGCTCCTTCAAGCATCTTTTACACTTCAAGCATCCTTTGCACTTCAGTGCCCTCTTTTCCTCCGCAGTGCCCAGCAAAAGCATTTCCAAATGTAACACAATCATCTTTTCTTTCAATTTCTCCTTTTGGTACAGGAGAAGTGCTCGTTCGTTCCCTGCCATTTGAACTTCTACAGTAGCGAAACCTGCGAGCGGATGGTTAGGATAAGCAGCAACAAATGCGTATCCGGCAGCGTTGATCGCAGCTAAGGAACTTGGTACTGGGGGTAATGGTCGTGGAGGAGGTATGAAAACGGGTGCTCGTGGATTTAGGGACATCGTTTTGAGATAATACGATCGCGCTGGTTTTTCGTCTGCGTGAGCTGCGTTAAGACCATTCATATTAGCAAAATACCTTCAGATCGATATGTTTCAATCTGCAAAATAATAGCTTACTAGTAAAGCTGCTCTCCAGGTCTGAGCTTGTGGGAGTGGGAGAATTCGAGATGTCTTCGGAGGCCTGTGTGCTATTGCTTTGTCGGGTCAGTATCGTACCAACTGGATCTTTGGACTATTGATTTACCAAGTTGGAATTTGATGGAGATGAATTGAGGGGAGCCGTTGGTCTGATTTGTGCTGTTGGTGCCGTCAAAGACTAATTGCATTAGGATGGTCTGATATGTGACAGGTTGATAGGATAGTACTTACAGACCGAATGAATTTTGCTGATGATTTGAAAAGGAGCTGCACGGTGAAAAAGCGAGGTGTTGGACATGGTCTCGGAAAGTCGGCAACTTGGAGGTAGTGAATATGAAGATGAGATGAATGAGACGAGACAGATAATGTGAGAGAAGAGTCATTGTTTATGTCAAATTTGAGGTTTGAGAGCATCTGGGATGATGTTTTGGGCTCGTAGGAGAAGAGGAATGGGAAGAAATGGGTGTGGTGATAGTTGCTTTTGCGAATATTGAGAGGTTGAGAAAAGGCGAGGAAGTTTGCGTATTGTGTTGGTGGCTAGGAATACAGTATTGCAGAAAAATCATCTCTGATGATAAATGATGTAGATACATTAAGTTTATATCTATATTTCCTAACAATCAAGATTTCAGCTCTTCCGAAACTCTCACTTGAGTGACTTGACCCTTCGCCCTCTGAAATTCCTCCGCAATCTGCTCTCTCAGTCTCTGCTCAATCGTAACCGGGTTCTTCTTCCACGTCCCTACTGTTACCAAAACACAAACACCCGCAACTATCGCGCATACTTTCATATCCTCGCTAAAAGAATCCGAGTACGCTTGTCTCACTGCATGGAGTTGTGAATCTGTCATCGACTTTGCCGAAGACTCTAACGAAGCAAGTTGTTCCGGACTCACGATGCCAGTTAATTGCGTTTGTTGTGCTAAACCGAGAATAGCGGTACTGGCTGCTATTCTGATGCTGCCGCCTAGAATGCGCGCTTGCGATGTGATGCCTTGTGCGACGGCGTGATCGCGGATAGATGATTCGTAGTTTGACTATTTTGATTCTGTTAGGTAAAGATGGCTTCGCGAGAATTAGTTTAGTCGAGGTACTTACTAGCATCGATACCGTGGATACTGTCAAACCGAACCCTAATCCAACAAATACTAGAAAGCCATAGGTCTTTGCTTCCACATATTCGGTATTCGATAATGTAGACAGCGAACTAGTGCCTATAACACTCAGTCCAGATCCCGCGAGAAGAGTCAAAAATACCCTATTTTTCGTTCCGTTGAGTATTCCACCAAGAAAACTCGCTATTGCTGTTGATCCTAACATAGGTAATAACCCCAGTCCTGCGGTTAACGGACTCTTCCCATTTACAACTTGGAATCGTAGTGGCAAACTATAAATTACAACAAAATATGTAAATCCCATAAGTAAAGTCGTGGCCAAACCAAACATGTAGAATCTATTCTTGATGAGTCTCCATGGGAACATCGTTGCGAGTCTTTCTTCCCATTTTTTCTGCACTGTGAACTCCCAAGCGAAGAGCAAGATCCAAAAGACTATTCCCACTATTAGGGGTGTCAGGAATAGTGGTTTATCCCAAGAATTTGTTTTGAGACCTGCTTCTTGGAATGCGAAGACAAAAAGGATAGAAGCGATGATTAAGATACATGCCCCGACAAGATCAAGTTGTCGAGGGGGTCTACGTTTGGATTGATGAAGTTGAATTTCATTTGGCCAGAGGTAGAATAATATTAAAGGCACGATCCCGATTGGTGCACAGTGTATTTGTTAGCTTTCGCTCTTTCTAATAGGTCGGTTCAATTACTTTATCCAAAATATCCACCTCCAACTTGTGTACCGGGTAATGATACCTCCGATAACCGGACCAAGCACTCCGCTCATTGCAACCACAGCACTAGCCAAACTTCCGATCCATCTCCTCATTCCCGCGGGACTAATCTCTGTGAAGATAACCATAGTCAGAGAATAAAGACCTGAACCCCCTATTCCTTGCAAAGCTCTGAATGCAATAAGTTGATTGAGTGTTTGCGCAAATCCGCATGTAACTGAGAAGGCGAAGAATATAATGAATGCTGCAATATATGCATTCTTTCGACCAGCAATATCACCAATTCGAGCCAATAAAACAGCACAGCCTAGGTAGGATAAGGTGTAGGCGAGAGCAATCCATGAAACAGAGTTGAGAGAATTGAACTCCGCCCCGATGGTGTAAAGAGCTGTTGCTACGATACTGGTATCGAGCAGTGCAAGGAAAAGACCGAAACATAGACTTTGCAATGTTAGTATAATTTCAAAATCCAAGAGAGATCGAGGAGTCACCTGATACATAGACAAACGAGCCTCCATTTGGGGATCTCAGGACCATTTTCTCGTGGGTTAGGTCTAGATTCGGAAATGGGATCATCGGAGGCTGAAGATTCCAGTTTGGGAGTATTGTTTTCCATGGCTCTCGAGGCAAGTTTAGTTAAAGATGATTAAAGTAGCCGTTGACATTTCGTATCATGCATCTGAAGTGGCCATCTTATATAACACCTGATTGTCTGGTGATTTGAAGCAAAGAAGATTGGTGAGATTGAATCCGCAGGTAATACTAAATCCGCACGCCAATCTAGTGATCGGAGAGATATTCCAACCGCTTCACCCTCAACATAGTTGAGAAGATTCTGAAAAGACAACAGATGGATGAATAAATTGGTGTTTTACGGATTCATGGATGGATAGAAGATGTTGTTTCGCCGTAAGCGCCAAGCGTCCAGGGATGCGGACGATACGGGCGTAAGCATTGAGGTGTCTCGCAGTCTCTTTCCTGTTGAGCTTCACTTGGAGCATTCCATGACGCGTCTTTATGGATTCTTGATGGCATAAAAATTTGGATATCATCTTCATGCAAAGTTTAAGCACTAGAGTAAGTAAACCAATAGGCACATGATTGTTGACTCTTTTAACATCTCACGTGAGAGCTCATAGACAACGTGTGTACAAGTAAGCCACTTTTCAGTATGTTGAAATGAGTCTAAACAAAAAGTCTTGAACCCCTTCATGCTGAGGGTAGTGAGATGTAAGTGCCAAGCTTCTGGTAGATGTTCAAAATGCTACATTTTCCTATAGCCTAAGCACACTCCCTATGCATGATTGCTTATCTACCCATTATGGTCCTCAAAACTATTTATTAAATAATGCACCTCATCATAATGACGGAGCAAAAGAGACTGTTATTAGCATGGATCAAGGAGATGGAGACCCGGGGGCTTTAGCGATGTCTTATGATTTGGTATTTACTGATGGAATTTGACGAAGACTAAAAGGAATTGAAGAATTGAGAACCGCCGCCGCATGGCGCGGTTATATTCTTGTGTATCACTTGAGCCAGCATCAAGTGCAAACAAACTGTCTGTTACTTAACCGTAGCGTTGATTTTCAATCCATTTAATCGTTAGTAGGTGCGATCATATACATGTTGGGGTGTGAGAATATCTTATCGTGTGGGCTCGGTTCCTTTTACTACATTGTGCCCGCGGTGTGTGGTTAGTTGGTACATAGAGGACGACCAGCTGATTACTAATATCCAACCAGAGGTTTATTATGTACGAAGCTAATAAATACATCAATCGTCTTATCTTTACTAGTAAGTTGTTGTAAGTTATTCAAAGAAATCCGAAGTGGGAAGTGTTCGACATAATCCGGGGCTTGTATGGTGTGATTACTCCGCATTACAATTCGATTCTGACTCTTAACCTTGTACGCTACCACCCCGTTGCTGCTTTGCGGTGTCATGAGCTCCTCCTGTGATGGGTCAAGCTAAACCCTAATGCAACGTCCAATTCGAACTACTTGATGAGATCGGCCTGTATTTTCGCCGTTGTGGAGGATTATTATACACTAACTTTAACCTTACCTGAGGTTGTTTGCCTGATATTGGCCACCCAACCGCAAATCTTTATACTTTTGATATCAGAGCATTGAATTTCACCATCCCTCCCAAACCAAAATCGAGACGGGACACCTGGCTTGGAACACCCAATAGCATCCTAAGATTTGAATTCACTGTTCCACAGCATGAGTGAACTCTCACACAACAGACGTCAGGCGTGCACTAATTTAGCCTAGGATTTCCGATAGCAAGAACGATTCATAAGTATTTAGTGAGGCCTGCTTCTCAGGTTTCAGCAATCCTCATGAGGTACCAGAGATTACCGACCAGCGAAGAAGCTGAAATGGCGAACGAAACTCTTAATAACGACCCTACCTCCTCAAATGAAAACGATGGTGAACCAGATGTCAAAGACGGAAATGTCAACAATGATTACACACAACGGTCAGAAGTTGAGAGTCTAAACTTGACTGCGATACCACCTGGAACAATCGATCCAATATATGAAGCAAAGGCTCGAGTCTTAAATGAAGCTGTAAGATTGGATATCTTACCATTTCCAGGTGGCTCTGCTCAAACGTAATAAACGCTAATCATGTGATGTTATTCAGATCCAAGATATTGGCATGGGATGGTATCAATGGCAACTTTTTGTTGTGGTTGGATTTGGCTGGGCGAATGATAATTTGTGGCCAATTGTTACATCACTTATATGTATATACTCAATCTCGGGATGTCTTTTTTATCTCGTCAGAAAGCTAACTACGAACATAGTCACTTCGATTACCAATGAATTCTCACCGAAGCACCCACCTCTACTCACTCTAGCTCAGAATATCGGCCTTCTGGCTGGTGCTATGTTTTGGGGCTTTGGTTGCGATGTTTTTGGTCGACGTTTAGCTTTTAATGCTACGCTTGGTATCACCGCCGTATTTGGGTTGATTGCTGCCGGCTCACCCAATTTTGCAGCTATTGGATGTTTTGCAGCTCTTTGGAGTTTCGGTGTAGGCGGGAACCTCCCCGTTGATTCAGCAGTTTTCCTCGAGTTTCTTCCTGGTTCTCATCAATATCTACTTACTGTGCTTTCAGTCGACTGGGCCGTAGCTCAAGTTATCGCGAATTTAATTGCTTGGCCTCTCTTAGGAAACCTCACGTGCCAAGAAGGTTCAGCATGCCCTCGATCACAAAATATGGGATGGAGATATTTTCTTATCGTTATGGGAGGCATTTCTATGATCGAGTTCTTTATTCGTTTCACGTGTTTTACGATATTCGAGAGTCCGAAATATTTGATGGGAAAAGGAAGAGATGAAGATGCAGTTAAAGTTGTACAGGAAGTTGCCAGGAGGAATGGAAAACAGTCGAATTGTAAGCATACCCCATTCAATTATTCCTGTTCTGATCCATGCTAAACTTATATAGTGACTGTCACCCGTCTCCAGGATTGTGGCACCCTTCCTCATATCAACGCCTCGGCAACCTTGTCAAGAAAACTCCATCAAATGGACTTATCTCATGTTCGTGCCTTATTCGCGACAAGGAAGCTAGCCTTCTCTACAGGTTTGATTATGCTCGTGTGGGCGTTCATTGGTCTTGGATATCCACTCTATAACGCATTTCTTCCTTATATTCAAGCCACTCGAGGTGCTGAGTTTGGAGACGGAAGTACATATTTGACGTATCGCAACTCTCTGATCATATCTGTGCTCGGGATTCCTGGCGCTCTTATTGGTGGTTACCTTATTGAGGTGCCAAGTTTAGGTAGGAAAGGAACTCTCGCTATGAGTACGACAGCCACTGGAGTATTCTTGTACGCTTCCACCACGGCCATGACATCTACTGCGTTATTGGGTTGGAATTGTGCTTTTAACTTTTGTTCCAATGTGATGTATGCTGTTTTGTACGCTTATACACCGGAAATCTTTCCTACGAAAGATCGCGGTACGGGCAATGCTCTTACCGCGACTTCGAACAGAATCTTCGGGATTATGGCTGTAAGTTTCCCCTTGTTTATTGATTTAGATTACAGGAAGGCCGAGAATATTTCAAGGACATTGACTAATCTTTCTGAAGCCAATTATTGCAATGTTCGCCAATCTCGAGACTTCAGCGCCAGTTTACACGAGCGGGGCTCTTTTCATTGCAGCAGGACTTTTAGTATTGATATTGCCATATGAAAGTCGGGGAAAGGCCAGTTTGTAAACCCAAAGTTTGAAGCCTGTATTCATATGATATTTCTACCTTTCGATACTGTAAAATAACACAATTCGTGTTAGTAATCAGCATTGATCAACAATTCAGGTCATAGAAAAAAGAAGCTCGGCTCATTATCGAGAGCTCTTGACAATTATAATTTGGCATTACCCTCATTCTAATCTTGTCTAGTGAAAACAGGTATAGTGTCAATGGAACAAGCGACTTCCATCTCATGCCCTCCTTCCCAAGATTCATCTGTCTCCTTGCCAATCAGCGACCAAGATGTCCCCACTGGAAGATAAACCTTGATCTTGGTTACCCCAGCCTCAAACACAGGACAAACCAGATACTTTGGCCCAAACATGTATTGTTCCTCGACTTCCCAGCATTTCTTATCCTCCGGGAACTCATAAAATAGAGTTCTCATAACTGGACTTCCCTTTTCACTAGCCTCTTTCATCAACTCCCTAGTATACTCCCTCATCTCTTCTCGCATCATCATGTATTTCTTACAAATTCCATAAACTTCTTCCCCATATGACCAAACCTCATTATCCGCACCACTCAAACAAGTCGATCCACCCCCCTCTCCCACCTGCGGCTGTTTAGGTTCCCGATCTCCATGCAACCTCATAACTGGACAAAAAGTCCCCCATTGAAACCACCGTACAAACAATTCCCTAAAAGCTGGATCCGTGGGATCTCCTCCATGGAAACCCCCAATATCAGTTGTCCACCATGGAATTCCCGCAAGTCCCATGTTCAATCCAGCAGTAAGCTGATTGCGGAATGAGGACCACGAGGAAGCTATATCGCCGCTCCAAACCAGCGCGCCGTATTTTTGGGACCCGGCCCATGCGCAGCGGAGAAGATTCACGATGTTGGTTTGCCCCGAGGCGGACATGCCTTCGTAGAACGCGCGCGCATATTCCACGGGGTAGGTGTTGCCGATGGAGAGGTTGGTGCCTCGATGGTAGCGATAGTTGTCGAAATCGTAGGCTGTGTATTCGGGTTCTGGGTGAAAAGTTAGTTACCCAGATCTTCCTTCAGGCTACCTCTGTAGATTATTCAAGTCTACAAACGCATAGTACCAAACCGGATGAGATAAGAAATTGAAAAGTACTAACCTGCTTCATCTAACCAAAATACCTTGATTCCCTTCTCATAATAATTCTTCTTCGCTTGTTCCCAGATGAATTTCCTCGCCCCCGGATTCGTAGCGTCAAAATGAATCGTATCGCCTTCAAAATCCATCACAATCCTAATGCCCCGATCTGTCCTCACTAAATAACCTTTCTCCAGCATCTCTTCGAAATTCTCCGACCGCGTATCCACAGTCGGCCAAATCGACACCATGAGTTCAATCCTCATCTCTTTCAACTCCGCAATCATCGCATCCGGATCCGGCCAGAAATTCTCATCAAATCTCCAATCTCCCTGGCGCGGCCAGTGGAAAAAATCAATCACGATAAGATCAATCGGTAACTCCCTCTTCTTGTATTCGCGCGCGACTTGCAAGAGTTCTTTCTGCGTCTGATAGCGCAATTTGCATTGCCAAAACCCCAGTCCGTATTCGGGCATCATGGGAACCTTTCCCGTGACGTCTGCATAGCGATGAACAATTTCCGCCGGAGAAGCACCAGCCACGACCCAGTAATCGAGAAAAGAAGTAGAATACGCTTCAAAGCTCATGATATTTTTTCCAAAAACCGCGCGTCCGATGGCGGGATTGTTCCAGAGGAATCCGTAGCCTAGAGAGGAGATGGCAAAGGGGACGCTGGCTTGGGAATTCCGGTGCGCGAGCTCGAGATCTAGGCCCTTGAGATCGAGATAGGGTTGTTGGTATTGGCCCATGCCGAAGATCTTTTCGTGCTTGTCTTGAGATTCGAAGCGTTGCGTTAGATGATGCGTGGAGCTGCCGCCGGGATTGGGCTTGAATTCCCGGGCTTCGACATTTATGGCCGAACATTTGGGATCTGTGACGTCGAGACGATGACGTGCGTATTCTTCTAGGAGAATTTTGCCCTCGCCGTTGTAGATGATTATCTTTCCGCGAGAGGAAACTGTTGCGCGGATGGATCCATTAGTGATTGATGCTGATTTTTCCTCGATTTTAATTGTTGGTGTTGGCGAGTCGATTTCTTGGAGCGCCCAGAGTTCAGAGGGATCGGGATACTGAGATTCTTTGGTAGAACGGATTCGAAATGCATTTGGTCCCCAGGCATCAATCCAGAGCTCTTCGGCATCGTATCGATATATTAGACGGTTCCCTTCAGAGTAAAGCATTGTTCCTGTGTGTCGATATAGACCTTCTTTGAATTCGAAGGAAAAAAGCTCATGCAGCGATAGCTGAGCTCTTTTAACCGCAATCACTTAGCCTCATGGATTGGCAATGAAAAGATCCCTTCTCTTCCATTTGGGCATAAAAGGACGAAAATGACGACGAGATAACATTTATTGGCTGATGGGAATTTTACAGATGCTGTGTTGTACCATTGCGGGGTCGTGCAATCACAACCCCGCATCATGAGTAGAAGCGCACCAAACAAGTTTATTCGACAAGCACATGCTGCAGACTCGATATGTGGGACATACTTTGAATAGAATCGATCATCGTCATGACTCTAAAAAATACAAGGTGTATTTTGATCTTCTCGATTAAATGCAGCAGATATAAGCAACGGCTAAATACAATCAGGCACCGGAAAAGCTTCCCTTCTATAATCCCTGCCTCCACGGTGCTCGCTCGGATAAGAGATACGCAAACCTCAACATGTTTACGGCGTTGAAGTGTTTTGAAAACTAACAAGCATTCTCTATCGGCTCAAAATAGTTTTCAAAACAACCATCAGCTTCTCCTCTGGCTCATCAATCATTTCCATAGCTCTCCAAGCTACGAATCTATCCGGTCTAACCAACACACAACCACTCTCCCTAATTTCTCTGCGTCTCGCCCAATCAAAATACACATCCTCATAATCTTGTTTCCAGCCGATAGAATATACATCAACCTCAATTTCGAGAGCCTCTGCAGCTTTCGCAGCAGCAGCTCTCCATTTTTCTCCCCCAATTCCAGTGAAAAGGGAGAATTTTCCATGACCAGCTAAATCAATAGTCGAAAACTGTTTTCCTGGTAGTCTGGTATTCAACCACGCATGAGGGAAACGACTTCCAGGATAAGTAGTAATCTCATGTTCAAGGACCGGGTCTGCCGGTAATGCTGGTCTTGGTTTCTCATCCGCGAGGAAAATTGCAGAAGATTCGTAACGTTCATTCATTTCAATACCAACGGCATGGAACTCGCGTGCTGTTCCCTCAATCGCCGCTTGAAAGCGTGCTCGCCGAGCTGCTCCTTCAGGTGTAGCCTGCGAGAGTTCTGCAAAATGTTTTCGTCGGATTTCGACGGATGGGTCCATCATTCCTAAAGCTTCCCATACCGGAGCATGATCTCTAAGTCCTTGATTGGCTCGTGTGATGATGGATTGACCAACTGGTTGGCGTTCTGGGCTATATGAATCGAGAAGACTGCTTTCCGCTTTTCCCTTCAAGACATAGGCAATTTTCCAGGCGAGATTATATGCATCTTGAATACATGTGTTAGATCCTAGGCCGTTTGTTGGTGGATGGCGGTGAACTGCATCGCCGAGACAAAATCTTTTTAAAGTAAGCGAGGAAATTCTTTGATCAGGGGGCTCAGGTACATACATATTCCCATCAGAGTAGTATTCTGCAACAGTTTCATTGACCAGCCATTTGGAGACTCCAAGTATTTCTGCATGAATCGAATCATCTCCGATCATATCCTTGACACATCTTAAATACTCCTCGTCTGAAAGATTTAGGTCCGATCCGGCATTAGGAGATGGAAGAAGAAGGAACATCCATCTGCAAAGTCAGTATGTTCCTATTCAAACATAGTAAAGGACTTACTCATTCCAGGGCTTCACCATTCTAATCAAACCATTCCATCCAATAGTGGCATCTTCGTCTTCAGGTCTTATGATCCAATGTAAGTTTCCCATTCTATTTTCCATGATATGTTTCAGTTCGGCCTTGACCAATACATTGATAGCTAACCCTTGTTGAGGTTTCTTGATCAATGGAATCTGCAATTGCCGCAAAACTTGACTTCGAGCTCCATCACATCCGAATAAGTACTTTGATCGAACATGATATATTTGATTCGTTAAATTGTCTTGCAGTTTGCTGGTAATTATCGCCGAGGTTGAGTCTCGCTCAAAAGACAAAAACGAGGTATCAAATCGACAATTAAATCCACTATGAGAAGCCCGATTGATCAAAATCGGCTCGAGAACTGTCTGAGGAATATCGACATGATAGCATGGACTAGCAGCGTCATAATCACCCTGTGAAAATTGTTAGTCATCAGAATGCTATCATCACCTGCTCGTCGACCTACGGCACGTTTTGGATCGTTCCCCCATGAGTAAATTCTTGCATATTCCTCACCAGCCAAAGAACGACACCATCGTGTATGCAACATCGAATCACCCTTAACAGCAACTTGTAAACACTCCTCTTCCAAACCTATATCACGTAAACATTCCATTGCGGCCATGTTTGTTATGTGAGCTCGCGGCGTATCAGCTGTACCGGGAGTGGCCGCGATAAGCATTCCTCGTAGGCCTATGAGCATCAGTATCATCATTCATTTTCTCTTTGCACCTTATGATCTTCCGCAATCATCTAGTCATAAAAGACATAATTTGGGAAAGCTCTATAAAGGTCACGTGCCGAGACACCGAGAAATCCGCATCGACTCACCATGATGCCCTAGAAAACAAGCCAAAGCCGCCCCGGAAGGTCCAGCCCCAACAATCAACAAGTCAGTTTCAATAACTGCTTCCGTCACTGTGGCGGCTACATTCTCAGCATTTCCCGTAACATTTGTATAAGGCCAAGATTTGGAAGTCGACATGTTGGAGTTAATGATATGATAGTGCGATGAACTGAAGAAGATGTTTTGATCTTTACAATTTGGGTTATTGCTCAATCTTATACCAACGATCCCCTGACCATTTTGTGTTCAAAGATAGTATCAGAGAATGCCCACGATGATATTTACATGCCGTCGTTTCAATTGAAGACTTTGATTGGTCACATCAACTTCTATTTTCAAGTTCTCCACATGAAGTGCCGAACTAATGCTGTGCGCCCCACATTTGTCATTGTTAGATGAGCATTGATAATAAGTCTTTGGGTTTGAAATGTCTAAGGTTGACGTGGTTTATCAGCATGTAGCTTATATCACTAAAGTTATATGGCTCACATCACGATTACATCAAAACTAAGCCTCTTCATATATTATGTATAAACGAATTTTATATATAAAAGGGGGTGGCTTATATAACGATATAGCTTACCTAGTACGAGCTGATGAAGATGTTTTTGCTCGATACACAGACCACATCGGCGCCCTTGACTGCCGCGCTCGGCACCTCAAGGGGGATATGATAATATAGACTTTATGCTGATGAATCACGTTAAGCTTATGAATACTCCATCATGACTTGATATGATGTTTGAAAGAAATATAGTGTGTAGCTGGATGAGCACAAGTAGAAAGGCAAGAACTAATTAAAAAGGGGAAACATCATCAAGACATCAATCCTCGCGTACCATTAATCTACCCATCGCAGCTCCTTTAAAAGTACTTCCCCATAAGTGAGCTATTTTACCTCACTTATAAGTGTACAAGTTCGACAATCTTCATTGTCAGCTACACGATCTACGTAAGAAAAGGTCACTTTCACAACCTCGTATCTATGTACTGGTCATGAAATGAGCCAAAAGAATGACAGGTAAAACACCCATCGTGATCATGATTCATAGCAAGTGTTTTGCCGTTAGTTGTTGACGGTGAGTATTTCCATAAATATCATTGAAAGATGGAAAAATAACTTCGCAGCTTGGGCATCTCAATATGTAGTATCTCAAGGTGAGAAACTAATCAATAACGCAAAGGTTAAAGTTTCAGCTTATTATTCCGTGTCTGTGGGGTGTAGTTGTGGGGTATTAACACCCAACGTCTCACGAAATTGATTGTATATTTTTAAATCACACCAGTTCTCGTGCAATATCATCTGGAACAGACCGAGTAGAATGAAAGATGCAATTATGGTGGTTGAATCAAATGATAAGTAAGGCCACTTATCCAACTCAGCTGAAAAAATTACAACGACCCCCCTTATGTCAATATTAGAGAACAAATTCAACAACTCCATCTAAACTAATCAATTGGGAGCCTATACAGTGCCTTTCCTTTCCTCGTCAAGACTTTCGGAGTGTTTGTGAAAATTAAGTACAGCCGGGCTCGTAAAACAATCGTGAATATAAAAAGAATAGAATAAACATCTTGAAGCGGAATCAGAACAGAGCACCATGAAAGTAAGTTCATCCAAATCGTGCTGGGGTTGTAAAGGAGATCTTTCGACATCGCACGACTATTGTGTCTTCTGGCACTACAGGTGATGCTAGTGGCAATACCGACGATGACAGCTCATCGATGCTTCGAGAGCGATCATTTATAGGTAGTCCTATGTTGTCGAGTGTTGTCGGTCGTGGAACTTGGGGTGTCTCCAGAGTTGGAGCCTTTTTGCTCTTTATTCCTCTACGCGGTCGACGTGCTGGCTTATACAGATCACTTTTTGGTCGCGGACAAGTAGAGGAAAAGGGATCCTCTAACTCTTCGCTACTTATGTGGTGTTGGTCCAGCAGGAGATTCAAATTCACCGAGTCGTACTCGAGTTTCTCAAATGGATCGACCAAAGATGGCGTTGGTGTCACTGGATTGACAGAATTGCATGCTTGAGGTGATGCATCATCAGGAGATATACTGATACCGATATTCTGATTCGATTTCTTGACTTGATTACCACACGTCGAAGCAAATCTGGTCTTATCGGCTATTGTCGAATTTGAAATGTTCGAGCTACGTTCCTGGCGGGTCTGAGCGCAGTCTCCTGTTAAAATCACAGAAGAGATTGTGGTTCCGAGATCGTCGATCTCCACTAAATATTGATTCCCATTTTTGTCCTTCGTCTTGATAAGGAAGGTTAGAGAGTCTCCATCGAGGTGGAGTTCTAGAGAGTATCGCATGTAGAAATATCCTTTCTTTTTTCTCAAGACGGAGTGGTCCGGAATTTTATTGCGAAAATCAACATTCAAACAAATGGTTTCTACAGTTTTCGAGAAGAATTAGTCAAACATAGGCCATGAAATTGAGAGCAAAAGTTGATCACATACCGCACTGTGCCCCTCGAAGTTTCGTTGGAACAGTGAATTTATCTGGCCCAGGATGAATATCCCAAGCGTTGATTGTCTCCTGCCAAGAGAGGTCATTGTGTTCACGGACGAATCGTTCTCGCCAGAGATATTCATTGCTATCTGAGGTGAAAATTTGTTTCGTCGAAATCTTTTCACCCTAAACCAATTCGTTAGCCGACTAGAAACTGAGTATCTAGTAAGATAGTGGGAAAAATATTGAGGAAGCATACCACTTTACCCATCCAATCACGGGCTTTAAATTCCCACGAGTGATCAAATTGGTTCCTCGATGGCTGGTAAATCTCACGCGGCCCTTCCTTTTCAGACCATGAGAATTTTGTCAAGATGGAATATGAAGACTTCAGGAGCCTTGATTCCACGATATCAGGATTTGCGGCCATATCGACCGCCCCAGCTGCCACTGGCTTGCTTGTGGAAGTCAGAATTGTTTCTCCGAAACTCTATTTCAGGTTCATACCAAACTTCATGTTGACAGAATGTGATATCAAATTCCTTCCCAAGCTCAAACGAGGCGTCTCGAACGATACTCATCGTGGAGTATCCACCACCGAGAATCACACGCTTGAGTTTGTTAGGATTGAGATACTTCTTGATCCATCGGCCAATGAGACCTTACAGTTGGTTTGGTAGGGAGCCGCTTGATAAAGCTCCGTAACTCACTTACAATTGAATCAATTGATGCCTTTTTAAAGAATCCAACGATTGTTCTCCTAATGTTTCGTTAGTATATATCGATTCAGAAGATGCACTACCATTTGAAATGGGAATTGATTAATATTGAGTTTTAGAAGCTGTGATTTAGCGATTATATCCATATAAGAATAAAAGCCTAACTACAAATCGCTTTTCCAATATCGAACTAATCTATAAGGATCAAAATTGATCAATAATCTTGCATCTATAATATCATCTCCTCAAAGAAAGACATTGGAATTAAGGGGATAATATAATACTAAAGGAATAATTAATGATATTGTTAAGCATACATCAAAAGAGGCTATTGACTCAATGAAGATATCATACATCGTTCCATCTCTTCCAATTTGATAACATACTTTTGTAAGGTAAGTACCGATGTCCAAGCCAACGAATAGTCCTGAATCGGAATCCATGGCTGTATATTGCAATTGGAAGAAGTATTGTGATAGATGCTGCAAAAGAAAAGTGGTGTAAACTGAGAATGAGTATAAAGATGGAAGTCAGCAAATCTGTTGCAAAGTATTGAATAATCGAAACATTCATAAGCTGGAAGATTGAAGGGGTAAATATACATGGGATGATCGGAAGTTTCTGATGGGTTGTTGACACCAGATAACTTTTCTGTAAACAATAGTCGCATTGGTATGAAAAATTGACGTGACTTTAAGGCTTGACCTGTCGGATCTCTGTGTAGAGAGGGGTGATTTTCTTTTTTCATTCTGTACAACACCTGTAATGCGGAATGAAGGAAATTACTAATGCTTTTCTAAATATATATTTTCCTTTTACCCAATTACTTTGTATCTTCAGTGCAAACTAAAACAAAGTGATTGCATGTTGCTATAGAAATGTGACTTACCTTGCACTGTGCAAAGCCGCATATGCACCATCTATCTAGCAACCCTTCTGTAATATCTGCAACGTATCCGTGATCGGGTATTGAACAAAAGTGTCGGGTGTTGAAGCAATGATGCGGGTGACCTTTCAAACAAGAGCTTTTAATTAATCGCGCATACCTACCTGGCTTTCCTGTTGACTCTAGAGGAGCCTTCGCTCGACGCCACCAAGTGGCGCGATATTAAATCTAGCCGCGATATCCACAGAAAGCTTCAAACCACCACACCGAGTGCGTCTGCCTAGCACCTAATATGTCGATACCCGTCTACAGTCCTGAATATTGGCATTGTATTTCTTGATCAATCCCATATGATTCACCTCATTTGCTCGAATGGCCTCTGTTATTATCCGTGTCCAGATAGTGAGTCATTTTCTGTGCAAATCTAGACACCCCGATCCGAGTTTCTTTACTTTTCCTTCGGGGCCTTTTAGGCAATTCTCAAGCTTCAAAACTTTCTTAATTATTAGGATTAGAGAGAAAAATATTGAGAACAAACGTCGGGGTGTTGTTATGTTTTGGAATAAGGAATCCACTGGACAATCTGATTTGGAAAGGTCAAGATAAGCAACAAACAGTTTGTTTATTGTTTATCTTCTGTTGTTTGTTGTTCCTTCTCTGGATTGTGGCTGCGTTTCTCGATAGCCTAAGACTACCTAGTATTCTTTCATTTAAGCATTGGGCGTTCTAGCATCTATTTGCAAGCACTTGATTTATCAAGCACCTGAGTCTGTCTATACATGTAATATCTTAATACTCATTTCAGCTGAAGCTCGTCATTTTCGTACAATTCACTTGTTCGACACTTGTTCAACATGCCGGCAGACACCATCAGCGAAACTACAATTCGGAGGAGGGAAAAGGCAGAGCTAAAAAGAGTTAAGGCAGGAAAGACAACGAGAGGAAAGCAAAGAAGATCAAAGATTTGACTGACATCGGGACTGAACGTTCGCCAGTATGTGAAAGTTGTCTGTCAAGAGAAGTCAAGTGTATTGTGTTCCCTCCAAACTACAAGTTCGATTCAACAAGCCATCCACTCCGGCGCTGTGAGTTGTGCTATGAGAACAAGACCAATTGTGTGTACGACTGGAAAGATGCCGATGGAAAGTGTAACCACTGTCACACACACAAAATGGAATGTACAAGGCGGCCGAAAAGAATGGAAAATTTTCCCTCCAAACAGCGAACGATGCCATGTCTAAATTGCAGTAAGTGGAACCATGTCATATTGACTTCCCTCAATCACTAGAAACTATTCTTTTGGTGGTGTACCATAACTTCTTTTCACTTTTCGATTTCTATCATTGAAATTTGCTAACCGAAATTCCATAGTGAAACTCAACAATAAGTGTAGCTTGCCAGTAGAGCCAAAGACGTCGGAAGTTCTCAAAATGCCACAGGCTCCGAGGATTCTGGGAGTGAAGCGACATGTCTTTGCTGTCCACACAGCGCCATGGTACAAGAGCTTGTCACAGGGTGACCAAAACAAATACAAAGCTGAGCAAATACAAGTCTCTGGTATTCCAAAGTCTGGCGGACCTTGTCAGCGCTGTGTTGTACGCGGATTACCATGTCGGGTGTTAAACCCAAATTCGAAAATTGCAGAGTTCACTCGACCGAGCAGATGCGCACTTTGCATCATTGACGAGAGCACGGCCGAAAACATCAGCAGAAGTTGTACATTCAACTATGATGAGATAACACATGCCGAGCACGAGGCAAGCCTTCCGATTTTTACAGGAAATGTTCCTCTGCTCTGGGGCCTTTTTGGCCTGGAGAAGCCCACACCAGCTCCGTTAAAATGTACCGACAACAAATCTTCTACGTTTATTCCATCACCACTGGAGAACGAAGTAGTCATACAGTATCCGCTTGAATCTGCAGAAGTACAAGAACGCCTTGACGCGATTGATCGCTTTGTCGATTACACTTTAGTTAGGCCCGCTAATGAGAATATTATACGGGATGATTGTCTTCCACTTTCTGGATCTAACATTGCCCAGATAAATGATCACGACCGGAACAATAGGAAAAGTATAACAACCGCTTCACTCCTTGTGAACTCGTTACGAATCATGAATCCAAGTGAACATTCCCGACTACTTCCAATCTTCAAGCCTGGAAAAAATTGAGTATGAGAACAATATTTCGGGCGTTGGTATCACGGTACTTGTTGGAAGCTGTCTTTTCGCGTATGCCAAAAGACATAGAACACTTTCGAGCCAGTATGAATCCCCACTTGCAAGGTCAGTAATACCCTGTATTTTCTGAAGATGAGTGAATATCAACATACTTTAGGATATCCCGAGAAGATTGATGATGCGGTGGAGAATTATTTCTGTCTCCAGAACAATAGCACACGTTTTGTCGACAACCCAATAAGAACTGGATACGGAGATCTATGTTATTTCCCAGATAATTTTACCTTTCAAAAAACTGGCAAGGAATTAGTTGACGTACTTCTACCTCTGTGTCTTCTCAGTGGCAAGACTCGACAAGAAATCGTCACTGCTTGCACTTCACTGTGTACCGAAATTGCTTTTCTAGCCAGCGATTTGAATCTCATCATCAAAGCCAGACCTCGATCACCGGTCACATTTTATAGTCCTGTGCGAGGTGATGTTGTTTCAGAGGATAATGCTCGTTTATTCCATGACAACCGGAGACAATTTGGTGAGGTACAAATAACGCTATTGCTCGGTATCAAACCTGCTGGCAATCCGTCGAGGCCTTATGCTGCTGCGCGAGTCGAGCTCTTGAGAGATGACGAGGCATAGATCGAGGCTGAAAGTAGCCCTGTATTGAATGAAAAGAGTTGAGCAGTTTAATAGTTGATAGCCGTGTGTTAAATGAAAAGAGTTGAGCAGGTGAGCGTCTAATGATTTGGGATAGTAGTATTGGTATTTGACCGCGTTGGATGGCGATATATTTAGGTGGTTATACAAGGGCAGTATGAATATCAATTCCATTCATTGGATTCTTGCATCTTGATCAATTGTGAAGATTAATCTTTTATGCATGGTTCGTGGGTGAGCGAGCGAGCGAGCGATGGTGAGGTATTATATACTTTCGGGTGGGATGACTAGCGCAAATCGATAAAAGTCTACCTAGATAGGTAGGTACGAACTCAATATCAGAGACAGTGCACCGCATAATTGAGGGTATACAAGATGCGAGTGACTTATCAATTGGTGACACTGTCATCTATTCCAATCGTGCAGAAAGTTACTATTATTAGATATCGCAAAAATACTGAGCTCATCGATATATTATTTCGAGGAGTTCACCGGTTTATCTTCTCCCGGATAGCATTGATGATATTCGGCAACATATTGGAAGCCTTTGATATCTTTTGCTGCGTTCTCTCAATATCGAGATAACACGATTCCGATATTTGGATGATGATGATGATGACGACGACGATGGGAATGAGGGTGATATAAGACAAATCTGCAAGGGGTTGCAGACCAATCCTGCACAAAAGACGTGAAGAAGATGACTGATCACTGCTGACGCCGATCTTATGGCACAACCAGTGACATCGCCTCAAAGACAGCTCCAATGACCATATCTCCGTGAAACTTTTGACTTGACTTTCAGAATCGATATCACCCACCGCCTTGAGTTTCGCCTTTCCATTGAATCACTGACATGAAACTCGGCCTTATACGTATTTCCCGAGTCCCAATACCATCAGAAACGCTCGGGCTAAAAGAAGATATTGAAGAAATCTTCCCATGTCTCATATCCACTCTTGACACCTTCCACGATCTTTCTCCACATCTTTGGCGATCTTAGAACTAGCGAGTCATATAATTGGCGGATATAAGAATATAGGAGATCCTACCGCAACATCCGCGGTCTACTTATATCAACCCGCGCTCTCAAGATTGTGAATCTGTTGCTAGTTTCTCACTTCGGGACCTTCTGAGCGCGAAAGGATGAATATAAGAGAGAAGAATGTACTCGGCTGATATATATGGGATCACACTCAATTAATACCATCACATCAATCTTCGAACTCAACCGAAACCCACATACCGGTACCATGGTATCCATACATACTTTTCATAATCACAAATCTGAAACCGATCCCGCCAATCATCCGACAGATCAAGTATCCACCGAAATGGATCAAAATACTTCGGCTGGAGGTTCTATTGAATCCAAGGGAGAAAAATTATCGGGTGATGATTCTGAGATTATTGCCGAAGAACTACCTCAAGTTGCACCGAATCCTCATGCCGATATTCCAAACGGAGGAGTTCTTGCATGGCTTCAAGTGGTTGGAAGTTTCTTCTTATTCTTTAATTCATGGTATGAATTTCATTCCAAGAAATGGCACCCAATCAAAGCTGACCATGACAACAGGGGTATAGTAAATATGTTTGGTGCATTCCAAACTTTTTATGAAAATGATTTACTATCTCATGAATCACCATCTAATATTTCATGGATTGGTTCTATACAAGCTTTCTTGCTCTTACTTGTGGGGGTTTTCACTGGTCCTCTCTTCGGTAGTCCTTCCCCTTTTACCTCTCTTAGAATAACGAATTGCTAAATTTCTACTAGATGCCGGTCTTTTTCGTCCCCTTCTGTGTACTGGGACATTTATGGTTGTCTTCGGCATGATGATGACATCTATTTCCACAAGCTACTGGCAAATTGTCCTTGCACAAGCTATGTGTATGGGGATTGGATTGGGATGTCTTTTTGTTCCTAGTGTCGCGATCGTTTCTACTTATTTTTCAACACGGAAAGCTTTCGCAACTGGGATTGCGGCTAGTGGAAGCTCACTTGGTAAGTCATTTTCTCATTAGTTATCATACCATTGAACACAGTGGTACCGAGTCAGTAACTAATATTCTTAGGTGGCGTACTTTACCCAATCATTTTCCATAATCTTCAACCCAAAATCGGTTTCGGTTGGACAACAAGAGCCCTTGGATTTATCTTCCTCGCTACCCTTTCCATCTCCATCAGCATAATGAAGATGCGTGTGAAGCCATCGCAAAAGCGAAAGTTAATAGATTTGGCCGCATTCAAAGAACCACCATACTTGCTCTTTACTATCGCTCTCTTTTTCGGGTTCATGGGTCTTAATATTCCCTTCTATTACATTTCTTCCTACGCCATGGATGATAAAATTATGAATTCAAACTCGGCATTCTACATGTTGAGTACCATAAATGCGGCATCTATATTCGGTCGTATAATTCCCAATTACTTTGCCGATAAATTTGGACCCTTAAATATCATCATCCCAGGAACGCTCATCGCAAGTGTTGTAGCATTCGGCTGGACTGGTGTTCATTCTGTTGGCGGTCTGGTCGTATTCGCCCTTCTCTATGGATTTTCCACAGGATGTTTCGTGTCGATTCCACCCACGATCATCGTAACGCTTAGCCCTCACATGGGCGTCGTAGGCACGAGAATGGGTATGGCTTTTGCAATTGGCGGATTAGGTCTTTTGATCGGTACACCAGTCGCTGGACAGATCCTCTCGAGTTCCGGATATGTTCCTACCATAGCATTCTGTGGAGCATTGCTTATTGCAACAGTGGCTTTTTTCATTGCAGCTAGGTTGAGCAAAACTGGGATGCATGTCAAGAAGTTCGCTTGATTCGGGAAAAGATAGTACGGGATAGATACGGGAAATGCGGATGAGTAGCACGAATTATAGAATAGCATGGATATGAGCTTTAAAAAAAAAGCGAACGTTACCACAGATTAATGACTTGTAAAATAGATTTCAAGATGGCGTCGGTTTAGAAAAGTATATACGCAACTTTAAAAACTACACTCTCTGTTCTGTTTAGTTCCATGAGACGTCACCTTCGACTTGTTCTTATTATTTGTCCTTCTGCTTTTTCTGCTTTGAATATCATCGAGATCAATATGAAGTTCACGGAAGCACCGCTTCCTCTCAGCTGTCAACGACAACTCGCACGTACAGTTCCTCACAGATCCAACATTTCAATCGATATCATACATTCGCTAAAATCAAGATACAACAAGCATACTAGAATAACCCAATCCTCAGGATATTCCCAGTAAGCCCCAAGCCTTCAAACACCAATTTTACTCTTTTCCGCAACGCCTTTTATGGATTAAAAGTATCAAAATCCAAATAATCCCATCAATTTCCAAACCCCCAACTCCACAGTGCCTTAACACTATGTTCACCTTCTCCATCCATCGCATTTTTCGCAGTCACCAAGGGCACCTTAAGAACTAAATCCGCATTAGTTTCCCCCCTGACAAGAACACAACACACTTACGAGTCGAGATATCTCTAATCGATTCCCTCGCAATCCTCCTCCCCAAATCAATAGGTTCCTCATCTTCATACACCGCTCTCACATGACCCCTCTCATCCTTCACCATTCTCCCCCTTCGAATCGGTTTCGGTTTCTGGAAAAGTTTCCCTGAAATTTGGCTGTCGCGACGACTCGCACTATTCGCATTCTTATACCTATTCCCCGATTTACTTTTCCGCGCCGACTTGCCAATGAATACCTCTCGACTCATTTCCATTTTCTCGCTCAGATTTGCGATTTTCGCTTCCCCGATGTAGTACACTTTGATGTCTTCACCATATTCGAAAATGACGGGATGGCCCTCACAAGTTAGATGTTCGTCGTTGAATATAGAGGTTCGTCGAGAAGTAAATGGTCCCTTGGAACAAAAATGGATGGTGCCCCATCCACTTGCGTATCCTGAGTCTATGGATACGGAATTGGAATGTGATGTTTTGGGGGCCTTGGGGTCGGTGTTACTGCGTGTGCGGGTTTGGTGAAGGGTTGAAGATACGAGAGGTTTGTTTGTGAGGAAGGGCATGCTATGCTTAGATGATATAAGATGGTGTGAGATGTGATTAAATGGAATGAAATGGGGTGTTTGTGGAGTAGAAGGTTAGTGTTAAGGTTACTCTAGAATAATGATTCTCCACTATGACTATGGATAGTCCCGACATGCTATATTATAAGATATTACCAACACTTGCATGGCATCTTTCTTCGGTCACTTTTATGAGAATAAAGTCGCTGTGGCAGTAAAACAGGATTTATGAAGGTTACTTGAAACTTTGACCTGGAGTGGTGTGCGCTTTGAGTGGGGCGGAGGTTGGCGGTTAGCGGTTGTGAGTTTGCCTTGCACCAGCCTCTTGAAGGATCAACGGTTGGTTTCTCTTCTGCAATACAACAGAGAATCAAGAGTTGACGAGATTTATGACGCAAGTTGATATATATGTTCTGAATGTTTTTTTGTTGGAGTGAATCGAAAAACAGCCAATCAAGAATTCAAGACGAAATGGAGCAGACACCCCATACGTCATGAGCGTAGAGAAAAGATAGTTTCAATGATATAAATACAAATAAGCTAACTAATTGAACAATCACACCAAGAGAGACTTTGATAGAATAATAAAACATCTGCTGAAAACGAAGGGAAAGAGCGAAAATAGAAGAAAAATACATCGTGACTTCTAGACCCTCACCATCATACACGATTCTCTCGCTCATACCTGTACACGATACTGACGATTGAGATTTACCGAATTAAACTTCCTGTAGTCTTGAACCTGATAAGGACGAGTTTTATGATCATCGAGAGGGACTCTGGTCACAGATCCAATCTTATCTCTATTCCCAGCAGTTTTTGGAGCCGAGGTTTTGAGATGGTCCCTTCTCCCAGAAGGTATCTTATGTTCATTGTGGGAGGAATCGTAGCCATCTTTTCTTTGATGAGAGGGCTTCCAATTTGGTTTATCTTGATGATAATTTCGGTCTGTTAACGTTCTTGGAGGATGATGATTCGGCGTATTTTTACCATTGCGATCTCTCTTGGGTAAATCGATGCCATCATTGGGGGGCTTGGCTAATTTATTGTTAACTTATTACTTTTGCAAAATAAATAATGAAACACAGAAACATACCTTTCACATCTCTCCCAAGATGTCTACTCGAATTTCTACCATCTCTTCCACGGTAGTTTTTTTCCGGATCAGATACAGTACCAGAGTCTTCGCTTAGATTCCTTGTTTTGTACACGGAAGTAAGTGAGCGTGGTTCAAGATATGAAGTTTTTGCTGATGAATTTGGATATGGTGATTTTGGATAAGTTGAGGACGAAACTGGCGATGTGGTTTCTCGTAGGGCCAACGAATTCTCCGAACTAGAACGACTACTTCGAATTTTTGGTCTAGCTGTGGATCGACTACGAGTCGAAACTCTACGTTGGACTGGTTTAAATGAGGCATTGTCTCTATTTGAAGAACCTCCGTCTCTCACAGGATTCCTTGAGTCGACGCCTTTACACATGAATTCAAGACCCCCATCATCTTCATCATCCGGACTACTTGATCTGCGGAAGAATGATCTCACACCCCCGCTCTGCCTTGGTGATTTGGGTAGTTTCGGGCTGGGTTCACCAGTTGAAGAAGTATGCCATGATTTTAATGTGAATATACCGGGACGATGAGATGGTCCGCCTTCGACATAACCTGAATGTCTTCGTTCTTGCTTTGGCCTATCCCTATTAGATCGTACCGAGGTGGTAGCTGGGCCTTGCACCACTTTGTGCTTGCTTCTTCCAAAAAGGCCTTGCATGAGGTAGCATTGATTATACGGTACAAAGAGGAAAAGTCTCTCTGTATGTATAGGACGGGTGTTATGGTTTCAAATATTGCAGTTAGGCATCGTACTAAATATAAACTATGTTATCACTCGCTTCACTCGGCAGTTGGCCATGGGCAGTGGAGGCCGAATCTTGGTCAGAATCCGCTGCATGGCTCACGAGACATCAGAAGTTTGAGCGAACGGGTAGAGACCTATTGAAACCGATTTCTGTCCGTCAATGATTGTTGGGATCCGAACTCGACCTTCAACACGGCTTATTATGATGTCTTCAGTCTACAAGGCGTAACTAACACCACGAACTAGGGCGAAATTTCAGCTTTCTATCATTGAGTACGGCAATAACAATAAAGAGAAGCCTTTTAATATCAAAGGTATCTGGGTTTTTGAAAAAATCATCTTGAGGTATGCCTTGTGCAATACCAGGGACTCCCCGCACGAAAGATGCCAGATTCTGTGATTGAACAATTCAACTAAAGAAACGTGCTTTGAAATTCTTTGTGTCAATGTTCGGATTCCAAGGCATCCTCGGTTCCTGTGACCAACAAGTACACCATGACAGTACCGCGCGGTAAGAACCAACCAACAATCTAACGACGGCCTAAGGATTTTTCAAGAACGAAAAATCAAAACATAATTAGATAATTGTGGAGTGACAAATTCAAAGAAAATTGACACAAGTCAAACTGATACAAGGTCATTTGACCATGACAATTTGTTGACTGGTATGATGCGAATGGATTTCGAGTTACGGTGACACATCCGATACGATCAAACTATGTCATGGTAATACCGTTCTCATCGGAATGAGAAAATTGTGTACATGATAACTAAAATCAGCCAGAGCTTGACCTTTGAAGATCATTGCGCCGTCAGATCAAGAAAACTTTACGACATCATGAGCTATGTTTTGATTGAAACATACCTCAATCAACGACCTCAACAGCTATGTTGAGATATTCATACTAGCTGCGAAGAAGGATGCCAATTGGGATACTCTCAAGGGATCAGTATATGGAGAAGATAGTTCTGAATACTCGAGAAATCGGGGTCTTCTGCGTCTTGATTCGCCAAATACCCAAGTTCATAAAATAATGGAGGCGTCCACAAATCGAATGGTGGTACAGGCATGCTAGAACTTTTAGAAGATGGCCAAGCAAACACAACGGTGAGCTCAAATGGTATCTCAAAGAATAATATCCCTATGGATAATCCAGAAGATTGGAATGTCCAGGTTCAAGAGCTCATGTCGTATGACGTGATACCAGCCATATCTAAATATGCATATTACCCTGCCCAGCATTGTGGTAAGTCAACAACACCGATCCAAAAAATATGCTACTCAAGTAGAAAATGAAGTCCGACAGATAAACAAGGTCACTCAGACCCCTTTTTGAGCTGGCTTTAGTTGTGAGCCGTACTCGGGGTTGTACTTTTCGCGAAGTGGCTTGGGAGAACGGTGGACAGTTTCGAAACTATGAACTAATAAGATAAAAAAGCTGTGATATTTTGAGACATATGTTCAAGGCAATTTAGTTTTCAAACTACGATAACCAATGTCAATAGAGAGTGAAAGCCTTCCTGTCTACGCACGTATATGTCGGTTTCGAGTATCAGATTGAATATACTTCAAATCGAAGGTAGGTAATGCCTTCACACAGTGTTACGTACAAGAATTCATCATCGTGCGAGAAATCAGGCGGTTGAAATTGACATGCTCTATGGCTCACCGCCAGTTGAAATTGAGATTATGTATTTCTTCCTGCTGGGTTACATACCTACCGTATTGTCGTCTCGCTAGCCAACTAGATTTGTTCGCGACATGCTGATACGATGCGGGGTAAAATAACGCTCCACCCACAGACTTGAAACGGCCATGCATACAATCTGCCAAAGGGTGATCATCATGCCGACATAATTCGGGCAAGTAAGGGGCTCTCGTAAATTTACTTGGCAGTCGCTTGGCAGAAGTTCAGCTTCAGTCAGCTGATAAACAGCTGATGAGATCGGTACACCTATGATGGCGTTAAAAGACATCTTCTGAGGAGATAAATAGGATTGATATACCCTGATTTCACTCATTTCCTCTTCAATAACTTCCCTCATCTCTAATAAAAAATCTTCCAGGAATCTGTCAGAAAATGAAGCTCAGTCAAACTTTCAGTATTCTCACGCTCCTCGTAGTGTCGACTATCGCCGTGGCTGTTCCTCAAGAGAAAGCATGCACAGTATATTCTCCTATTCCACCCTTACCCCCAGATATTGAGTCATCAAATCTGATCTTTGAACCACAGCAATGTCTCACTGAGGGTACTTTCTGCTCTGGATTCGCCGGTCCTGTTGGCACATGCTGCGACGGGCTACTATGTGAAAACGCACCAGGGGTGGCAGATGATGCACACTGCATTCGAAAGAAGAAGGTTCGTGTCATTTGCCCCGTGTCTTGAGATATAAAACTTGATTCGATGAGAGCTCTACTGACAATGTCTTCCAATTTAGTGTTTGGCGAAAGGCGCTACTTGCGTGAGCATCGCCGGTCCCCAGGTTACATGCTGTTCTGGAAAGTGCACCTTCGTGGCAGCGGATCATAGCGTTTGCAAGTGAGGAGAACATCATAGTAGATTGAAAATGCACTTTTGCTGTGTTATTATTGGCGAGCGGCCTGTGGGCATTCTCACCCGTTCTGCTTGTTAGAAAATCCAAATCACTTTCCCCTATCTCTGCCTTTTTGGAAGGAAATCTTAGTTGTTTGTGAGCATCTGGTTTCCTCGAAGCTTGTCACTGACCGATTTTAGAGTTTTCAATAAACTAACAGCCCGTCATTGAGTTGAATTGCGATCTGAATGCTGGAATATTCCCAGCGTTCAGACATGTACAGACAAACATATGTGGGACGCCCTTGTGCTGACTTATAGCGATGCGGAAGTAAAGATGTCGTGCCATGGTCTCCTGGCAACCAAAGCACTCTAGAATCCTCAGGAATTTGTGTGCGAAAAGTGCAGTTTACTCTTAGTATCCGTGTTGATGTTCTTCTTGTGTCGGTTAGTAGGTGTGGAGAGATTCCGAATTGGTCACTAAAGAAGCTTCGGCGGTAAGGAATGGCAGAACTCAGTTCCAACTTGGACGCTTCCAACGACATGTGATATCAAATTCCTCCACTCTTCAAGAGTTCAATCTCTAATTCTTCTCTACATTCACAGAATAGGACAGACTGGCTAACTACATCTTTTCCACCTTGGTTTTATTTAAAGATTTTGTTTTTGACATGCTATATCCCGGCGTTCATGGCTAAAATGTACCCCCTCTTGATCGTCAATATGTTGGCATCTGAACAAATCATGCTTATTTCCTGCTAGCCACTATCGCAAAGAACCATACAACATATTCTTCTAGGCAATCTATGCATTTTGTTTTGTACCCATTGACTTGTTACCTAGGTATATCGCGATCGTTTGGGTTTGTATCTTGAAAGACAATCTGAATGGCTATGATGGTTTCTAACCCTTTGGCTAGAGAGTCATATATGACCTCGTCAGGTCTTTCAGTTCCAAGCGTCTTCATTTCAAGCTCATGGCAAACAAGAGTGTTACTTCTGCTAGTGATAGTACCTCATCAGTGTTTTTGAATTTTCCCAGCTGTCAAAAGTGTATTTACATAGTTTACTGCCGAAAGCTACATTGCCATGTATTAAGTCAACTACCCCACTTTCCAACCACCCCCTATTTCCGACCACCTAAAAAAATCATATTATTTATACTTAAAACTTTAATAATTTAATAACTATTGAACTTCAATAAAATCGCCTATAAAATCACTTTCTATAGTACTAAAACTATTATTTCCTTCAATTTTATAATTTCTTACTTCAATTTGTATACATTTTATAATTCTAATTTTTATAAACTTTGAATTTGAAAATATTATAATCTTTTATTTTTTTTTAAATAATATTTCATTTAATTGATATTTTAGTTTTTTAATTTTATTTTTTGTTTTTAAAAGTTTATAATTCTTAATATCAAATCCTTTTATAATTTTGCGAAATAGTAATTTTTATATTAGTAAATCGATCTTCTTTTTTTGAATTATTATATCTCTATATTTTCTAATATCGGCTTCTTTTTAAAGGGTTTTCTATTAAATAAATAATAAATATATATTTTATTGAAGAATAGAATTATTATTAAATTCAGAATTAAATAATAAAATCTCTTTATTGTTATTTTCAAGCAAAAGTTGATTTATAAGAGATTTAACTATATTTTTGGACTAAAGATTACTAATTTGTCATTTAGATTTGATATTTTGAATAATTAAACCTTCTATTTTAGTTTTTTAATAATAAAAAAGGAAATTGTGCTTTTCAATTAATAAGGAATTGAATAATAGATTTAATTTATTAAATTTAATTTAATATATATTTTTTAGAGATAAGAATATAGATAAATCAAGTGGTTATAGTATATATAATATATATAATAAAAGAAATAAGAGATATATATTATTATTAAAATATTTTAATATAAATATTATAGTTTTATGACTTCTGTATTTATTCAAAATAAGGAATCTTGAATTTTCTAGTTGAATAGGGGTAATTTGAGAAATATAAATCTTTTTTAGTTATTTTAAAGCTATAGTATCTATAATCTATTTATTTTCTATAGTGGTAAAGTTTTAATTCTTAAATAAAATCAAATCAATTGAAAATTATTATTATTGAATTGATTTTCCCTTATATATTATAAGGAAAGTAATGCTTTTTTTATTAACTAAAATGCATTTTATAAAAAAAATCCAAATTCAAGATCTAGATTGCTTTTTTTAAATAAATCTTTAATTAATACTTTTTATTACTAGTTTATTAAAACCCTAACCTTTTATTATACTTATTTTATTCATATTTTATTTATTAGTCAGCTTAATAACCTTGATTTCAGAGATTATAAGATTCCAGAATTACTTTTTAATAATATCAGATATAGCACCTGAAACTTGTGTAAAATCGATTTGATATTACTTTTTAATTTCAATATTAAAATGTTTTTGAAAAAAACTATATATCCATTTCTTTTTAAATAAGAGATCCTCTCTTTATACAATAAAAAAATGCTTTATCATTTTTCTGATTTAATAATATATAGAGCTAATATTAAGAGCTTTTTATACTAATATCCATTCTACTAATCGATTCTTTTAAATTGAAAATAACTTTTGAAATGTTTGAATACCTTTTTGATACAAAACTTTATTATATATTCAATTATGAAATATAATATATAAAATACTATAATTCAAATTAATTCTTTATATACTTACTCTATTTGTAATCACTTTAAAAACCTTTATGATATTTTTTTTGATATATTTATTCTTTATATTATAATTATAATAATTTCAAAATTTCAAATTAATTGGTTAAAGTATTATTGAGTTATTCAAAGTATAAATTTTATAATTACTCAAAGCAGTATGGTTTTCGAGGTGATCGAAAAGAGGGGGTGGTCGGAAAGTGGGGTAATTGACTTAATACGCTTAATAGCAGTTCTTAAGAATGAAAAATAGCGAGTTAAGTTTGCTGACCGAAGACCTTATGGACTAGTTCCAACCCTAGGATGGGTAGGCTTCTATATTTATCACAATTGTCGGTACTTGAAGCAGGTGGTCAACTCTTTCATGTCCTGATCGCCTGGTTATAATAAAACAAAAGCAGCCTGGGATGAAAGCAGCTCGGAACAAAGGGTATGTTGGGTATCAAGAGGGACATGTATGATAATGAGAACCCTTGGCTGAGCTCTAGGACAGTCAATGACAGGGTTTCAAATAGTTCAAGCTGCAATCTAACAATCAAAGCCTGTTAATTTTCGAATCCAGTAAGCATTTAATGATTTTCAAACATCAAGTTCATTTTTTTGGTGATGTTCGTTCTAAAAATTGAGTACCTGTATTCATTTCGCCAGTTCAGACAGTTCAATTCTTCAGAGATTCAGAACTCCAAATGATCTTGTAAAGCTGTGTGTTTTTGAATGTGCACTGCTCTGACATAATCAACTTGATATTAACAAAATTCCATGATCATTGGAGAAGCGCCGTCACAGGTAAGACAACAATAACACCTCTATTGTAGAAGAATCTGTTTTTTCTTAGTGCCTTTGAAGTTCAATAAACAAGGTCGAAAATTCCTTTTAACTCATCAGAACTCCCTATGTTTAGCTTTTTCGTATAATTTACAGATAAAAACTCATCGCATATCGTCCAGATATCGATCATGTGATCATAAAGAGATTAAATACTATATTAGCTAGCAAGGTGTTAGAGCTTCCTCGCATAAGTACTAGCTTCCCATAGATAACAATGACTGAGAAAAATCTACAACCATAGTAGACTAAAGTGTTCCATACTCATCAACAAAGTTGATAGCAACCCTTACACTCAAGTTGAATCCCCTTCAGTAGAGTGTTGCTGTAATTAATTATCAACACACATCTATTTCCAGATTCTCATCTTGTGATTGGCAGAGGTCTTAAATAAGCTCCAGTTTCAAGTCAAATCAAGTCAAATCAGACGTCCACCATGTAAGATCAACTTAACTCGTTTTCTTCAAAATTTCTTTTGGAAATTTCTGACCTGCAGTCTAGGGAACAAGAAAACGCTTTTGTAGCCTTGAAGCTTGAAGTTTCATCAAATACATCCGAGAATGAGCAATTTTCAGTCATAGCTACGTAAGAGTCATTCTAATCCAAATATTCATATCATCGACCTCTAACTCCTCTTTTTTCAATCCAGATCCTTCGATGACTCGAAACCCGGCAATGATGCAATCACAAATTCGAATTCAGAGATGCCAAGCATTGCAGACAGCAGTCTCGGACAGAAAACATCTACAGAGCTTACAAGCACCAGGGCTGCTCCAGCAACCTTCTTACGCTTTTCTCGTTTGCCTATAGAACTTCGAATCAAGATATGGCGCCACTCCTTTCCACGATAACATCTCATCTTGAGACGAGAGTCTTTCATGAAACCCCAATCGTCTCCCTTTCAGGCCACATTTCCAACTTGCTTTCGTCGTCCCTGTGATGACCTTCCAATGGCATTTGCAAACCGAGAGAGCCGAGCTGAAGCTTTGAAGCATTATCATGTACTTTACGAAGCGCATTACAGAATTCAAGCAAAGGAGTCCAAATCTGGTCATGCCTATTATAGTGGTGCAACAGATTTGCTATTACCACATGCAATGTACTTCAACCCGAAAATCGACTGTATCGCCATCATCTACTCAGATTTTTTTACTGAACCTTCCGAAATTCACTCTATGTTCCCAATATACGACCAGAAAACTGCTAGGTGTATCGAGAGTATTCGAGAGGTCAAAGTATACCATTTAACATTAAAGGAGCACAGATCTTCTTATTTGCACAAGATGAATAGACTGATCAATATGCTTGAGTGTTTTAAGAGTCTTGAACATATCAAGTTGATCGTGCACCCAGACGAGACAGTCAATGCCGATGACCTATTTGAGAAAGACTATTATAACTGGTTTATCAAGGAGAGTTGGACCGGAAAGGCAAAACTGGAATTTGTATGGGGAAAGGAGGACGATGGAAGTGAAAAATATTTCACGAGAGAATGAAAGAAGGTCTGGGTGGCATGTCATAAACGAGAGAGGATGAGATGTATTTAATTCATTGATAAACTTGATTGAGATTGAAATTTACAGGATGATGATGTTTTTCCATAAAGCTTTCTGTAGCTTGATAGCTCAATTCAGGTGACTGAGCTCTACAAATTGTACTTTAGCTTTCTATCATTGGCAAAATCAAGCAGCAAACAATCAATCAATCAGGGAACCATTATTGCTTGATCTCTAATCTATAAAATGAGATCAAGTTCCCATATTCCATGAAGTCCAGTAAAGTTGAATAATACGGTCCGAGAAGAGTGAATTTATCAGACAATTCTACAGTTATGAACCAATATATTTTGTGAATTCACGACCTGCAAATAACAAGCATCCACAAGTACCTAGATACTTGCTGATTAGTCAACTTCTTTGAGAGACACATGATTGATAGTCCAGCTTCATTTCTCAAAGATAATATGGTATGGTGAATTATACTAGCGCCATGTTTTGATACAGCTGCTGTTTAGCCGAGATCAATATTTTATCATATAAACCTTTTACTTTGCACAACATTTTCGAACAACACATCATCCTCGAGATTACAATCAACTACTACTTCATTGTGAGAATCTTTCTCTTCTATACAACAGTTTTGAACAAGACATCTTCGAGAATTATACTCAGTAACCATCGCACAATCAACAACTATCAACGATCAACCAAACAACGATCATACAGCAACAAACACAATCAACAGTTATGGATCATAGTGCCACCATGTAAGAAACACTTTCCCATAATTTGGATGACGACTTATGATTCTTTTTCAAAGGACTCCAAAACCATCATCTGGCAGTGTAGCCAAGAAGTCACAAAGCAAGAAGTCACAAAGCAAGAAGTCTCGAGCCAAGAAATCTCGAGCTAAGAAGGCTCAAGCTGTGAAGAAATCTCACAGTGTCGACCAAGGAAGTCAAACGATTGTTCCACCCACAGAGTTCACTCTGTTCCCCAATTTGCCACTCGAAGTACGCCGTCAAATTTGGCGCTCCAGTTTCGAAACAGGAAGAAAAGTCGAGCTGCGAGATGGTTACATCCGAACCACACCACGCGGGGAGTACCTTCCTTATGATGCACCCTACGAGCAACGTTCCCGAGATCGTCTTGTCTGCATGCAACACAAGATATCGCCAATCAGCCATGTACCCGTCGCCTTCGTCAACAGGGAGAGTCGCACCGAGACACTCCGTCATTACATGCGACTCTACCAGGACCTTCATGCACCCGAGCACGGCCCAAATCTTCGGTATCCTTGTACCATATATTTCAACCCGAAGATAGATATCCCGCTTTTCTACGCAAACAAACCTCAGCACAGGTTTGACAGAATAAATCTCTCCCTCGAGAGACTTTTCCCTTCCTACGACACACTTGCCGCCGAAGCGATGAAGAGCATCCGCTACGTCGAGATTGAGTTCGCAGGATTATATGAATCCAATCGCGATTCATACGACCTAGACTCATGTCGCGATGCGCTATCAATGTTTGAGAATCTCGAATCAGTGCTCATTATGAGTACCAACTTGCGTCCCAATCCCTCGTTCGATATCAGAGGCTTTCTAGCCCAATACTTCAGCCGCGACGAAAATGACCTGAACTTGAATAGAGCAACGCCAGTGAGATTGAGTTACTGTTCGCCACCGCGTCAGCTTCTCGAGCTTGTATCACCTAGTTCTCCCGAGGCACATGCTCAAGCGGTGACCTGGATCAAAGAGCAATAAATCCCTGTTTCCTTCTACAAGGACCAAGACTGAACGGAGGGGTTTGGAGGAAGGATGTAGATACTTTGTTTCATCCGAGCAAGAAACGATGTCGGGGGTGATTATTAGGTAGTTGTAAGCAGAATAGGCTGTACCCAACACCATACAATAAGATAATAAATGTCACAACTAATATCCCACTGTGAAAAAGAGCCTTGCAATTATTTTTATGTGCACACTAATGCAGGTACCAAAGAATGAACACAATCGGCTTACTCGCGAACAATCCGTCCCACCACTAGATATCCCACCACCATCTTCTTCCCGTCTTCTGCATTACCCCTCTCAGTCTCTTTCACTCCTTACATCATCTCTCATAAACCTAACCATGATACTTACCATCTCATCTCCTCTTCTCCCAGTATGTTCCGTTTGATTTCCCACTTCAGTAAAACCCATTCAGTGCTTCCTTTCTCTTTTCTTCCCCATCATCTCCAATCCTTCTTGATTCTCTAAACGTCCTAACATGTAGCTCCTGCTTCGTATCCAACGTAAACTCTATCCATCCAAATAAACCACAGTGCAACATCTAGCCTTTCCACCAATCTATCTTTGATCCTACATTCCACTGTAGCAACAGGGTTGAACTTCACTTTCCTACTACATCACTTATATGACTTCACTTCTCACCCCTCACTTCCCATCTCACAACCCACAAAAATGATTCAGCAGAACCTCCAAGTCCTCAAATCTATCATTTACTACATCCACCACTCTCTCACTTTCCAAAATTCCAGAACCTTCAACATTTCCATGAAAACCACACGCGCCATTCGCTAAACCTACAATACTATGACAAACTTCTCATTCTCCCATTCTCTCCATATCAACCATCACCGCACGCTCTCACAGTCCTCCACTCTTACCGCAATTCCTAGATTCGACAGGAAATCGTGTACCTACGTGGAAATGTACACGGTAGAATCTTCTATCAGTTCAGAAAATAGCCCATCTCACCTCCCCCAGAATCGCTACATCATATCCGTGTACTTGCGTAGTATCTCCATCTACCCCTATACCTCTCAGTTTTTCAGTGAGTTCAGGTTACCCTTTTCTTCTCTGCTCGCGGAAATGTGTCAAAATATCGACAATGAATTACTAACATCTTCTCGACCTTCACTTCCTTGATATGTACCTACCTTCTATCGCTCACAATTGACTTCTGCACTTGACCTACCCACTTAACCCCTCAACCTGACATCCCTTCTCCTCACTTCCCTACTACCAACAATAAAACAACCAACCAAACAACCAGCCAGACAAGCCTATCAAACTCTCCGATCCTCAAGCCCCCAGACCCCAACTCATAACCATCACAAAACGTCATCACATGACGTCACCAACTTTATACCACTACACAGCACACCACATCACATCACACGTAATCAAAACACCCACGCAAACACATCATCATTAGCAACGAACCCAAACCAAACCGAACCATAGTATTTCCCTATCCTATTCTATTCTATTCTATTCTATTCTATATTATTCTATTCTATTCTATTCTATTCTATCCTATTCTATTTTATTTTATTCTATTCTATCCTATCCTATTCTATTCTATTCTATCCCAGCAACACAACCCAACTCAACCCCAATCCAAAGTAGTAACAACCAAAAAATCCATCCATCCACACTGCGCTACCTTACACTACCTACGATGTACACTACACTACGCTAGGCCCAAGTCAAGATTGCGAATCCGCCACGTGATGTGGCGATTTTCTAGTGATTTCTAGCCGGGGCCATCCATACTTTATAATACACGTCGGGTATCCTAGTACTATTCTTTTTTCTCTCCCCTTCTCCGCGAACCGAAGGACCTAGGTTCGGGAAAATCGCGGGGGGCGACGGTGACGGTAAGGGTGATGGGGATGGGGATAGATTGAATAAGTAAGTTTTGTAACCCAGGCGAGCCAGGTAATGGTGATGGTGATCATAAGAAGAATACTGTAGATATGTAGGCTCAGTAGACATACACAGAAAATATCCTCGATATATACGAATTCCATGTATCGCCCTCGTTCGCACGATGATATCAGATTGTCTATTGTCTGATATTATGAGCATATCATATCATAGCTACCTCAAACACAGAAGTTTTTTTATTGAAAAAAAAAAGGTGAACTACATTGGTACTATTTTAACTACCAGTGCACCACTTCTAGGTTATGAAGTCCCCATCAGGGGTTTGCGGGACAGTCAGGTGGATATATTCAATTTAATCCAGTATTTCGATTCTATAGTAATGCATAGAGTTTTTGTAATTGCTCTTCCCTTGGGGCTCCTTCTATCTACCTAGTATTCTTTTGGTGGTCTCGGGGTTCATTGCATATCTGATTTTTAGTTTTTCGGTACTCGGTATCTATTAGGTAGGTAGGTAGGTAGGTAGGTAGGAATATCCTCCTGGACTTGATAATTATCGCGTGCTAGGTATCTTCTAGACTTCTAGACTTTCCCGTTTTCGAGGTTTCGACGCACATTCAAACAGGCGGATACCTATGCAGGTTATGGTGACAACCTTGTGTTGAGATGGGAAATCTGATGTGCGAGGGCTACAAAGGGGGTACTGTATCTACCATGGCATACTCGTGCTCGTGCAATAATAGATCGATACTGGGTGGTTAGTCGTGCGGCTCCCAGAGAAGAAAACCCAGTTTAGTGCTCGGTGGTTTGTGGTCTCGTGGTCGGTGTACGCATTTCTTTCTGTAGCTGCCTACCTAGCTACCGAGCGTTGTTATTATATACCTATGTACTTGGTATTTTCTGCATATTTTCAACCGCGCACGAGGAGGGTTCATAATTATCAGAATCATGAACTCATGAACTCATGAACAGCAGACGGGATAGACATCCACTTGAAGATTAGAAGAAGTATAGAATGAATCAATTAATGAGTGAGTAGGTAGATGAATAAATAATCCATCCATCCATCTATCCATCGTATAGATAATCAATCTCACAGCACAGGTCACGCAAGTATCCTAAAAGCGACAGGGACACGATGAAATAAATGGAATAGAAATGGAAAATTCACATACGTAGATAGAGACTCAGGAATGAGATTTGATTTCTCAATAGAGAGGGGGTTAGGTGTAGAGTTTCTTTTGAGGTTTTGGAGCGGGTGTTCTGTATTTCGTACGTACGATGTACAATGTACGATGTACGATGTGTTGAGTATATCGTCTATCGTCGAGGGAGGAATTAAGAGGGAAGTATTTATTACCCACCGACTTACTTACCTGGCCTGGGTACATATGGTGATACTCGAGTGTATCGATCCGTGATTAGAAAATTCGACACATACTGTAATTACCCAAAGTAATGCCCCAGTATCTCCTCTTCCAAGCTCCAAGCTTCAAAACAAGAGAAGAAGAAAATAAGAAAATGAGAAAACACAGAGAAACTTTATTAAATAGCTAGGTACGATACTTCCCTAGGAAATGCGTGAGCATGTAAGATTAATCTCGATGAATCGCGGTTCGTACTGTGTATTTTCAAGACGCGAAATTTGTATGTCTGAGATGTTGTCTAGGTATCTAGGTAGCTCGGTAGGTGGTATTTATTACTGGGTATGATGGTATGTATATGTGGTATAATATATTGTAAGAAATCCATTTCACACACTCACTCACTCACTCATCTACTTAGTATTCATCGCAGGAGAATTATGGTATACATACGATAGTATAGGTACATGCTCGAATATGATATATACTAATTATATCTCAACGCACCAACCTTCCCTCTCATCATTCCATCATTCCAAAGTATATTTGTTTCCATCATTCGAAATCCGACATGCTCTGAATCGAACTGCACATTACAGAACGGGGCTAGACAACATGAGATGAAATACAAAAGAGTCCGGAGAAACCCAATGGGGAGTGGAGACCCCGCGATAAAATTCAAAGAATGGATTCTAGAGTACCTAGTAGATGAGATGGAAAAAATGGATGAAACTGTGGAGTGAGAGAAGTTTTTCACGAAGATGGAGGCTTCTGGACTCTTTTTGATAGTTATCGATGGGGCAAATTTAGGTATGTAGGTATCTAGGTATGTACACACACATTGAAAACGGTCTCGATTCATGAAGAGGTAGTTAAGGGGTCGGTACCAGATTCATGTTTATTGGTTACTGATCATAGGGTGAACCGGTCGGGATTGAGATGTGTTTATTGGATGAGATGGAAAGTTCCATGTCTATCTCAAAGGGCACATTGACCGAGAGCCAAGTCATTCGTTGTAAGTACGGGATGTTAATATGTGATGTTGGAGATCGAGTTTGGGAGGAGGATCTGTAAATGGAATGGATATGATGTTGTATTATTCACGCATGATTCTTATGCTCTTGAGAGCTTATGAGATAGTTATCTAGTATCTATCTATCTATCTATCAATGGACGATGGGAGGAATGGAATAAGAGGAAGGAATTCGCCACAGTCACGGTGTGGAATCCTCTTGTGAAAAATTATACATTTATATATATACTCGGGTAGTGGGGATAGACATAACAGCATCATAACATGTGCAATAGAATAAGCAGAGTCCCACACTAAAGAATATCAGCTTTTGGGTATTATATGTAAGATGATGCTTGTGTAACATACACTGTCTCGTGTGGCTCTCTCTACATACCTAGTACACTCTACTTTTATGTTTCTACGAGGTAGCTAACGTTATCCTCATCCTCGGTTCTACATCGCCAGAACCGAATCGGCAAATCTTTCTCTCCTCCTCCCTCGCTCTCTCCCTCTCCATCTTCCAGAACCTGACGAACTGCCATCTGCCGATCCAAGCCTTTCTTTCGAAGAAATTGTTTCATTAGAATTTAGGAATGATTAGGTCCCGTTGAAGTGGAGATCCGATACCGTTTTGGGATCGTGGCTCATGGGGTGGGGTGGTGAAAATTCTCGAACAGGGAAATACGAGATGAAACGAGCTATTGTTTGGTATTTTTGTTGATCCTGGTAGGGATTGATGGAATGGGTTTGGATGAAGGGTCTGGGATGGGTGTTGTGATGGCAAATTCATCTCATGTTTTGATGCTTATACTGTACCTGCCTGTCTATGTAGTACAGAGGTAACAAATGATATTTCATGACATGATAGGAGGTAAATGGACTGTCGTTATAACAGAAATACCAACAAAACAATTCTGCACTTCCCTTCCCATCCAATCCAATCCAATCCAATCCAATCCAATCCAATCCAATGCATCCCATCTCCACACCCCCTACACGAATATTTCCCAAGGCTGAATATCGTAAACACAACCTATTTTCAGAAGTCGCCCTTGTTCTTCGCCCCTCGTGTAACTTGTTCGTTCGTACCTTTAATTTATTTATACCTCATTGTGCATACATATGCATGCAGAGGAGAATACAATACCTAACCTTGGAAATCGATGCATTTGCACATGGCGTAAGCTCCTCCATTCACAAGGCGTAATCATCATCTAGTATATCTTTGCAAAAAAAAAGAAGAGGAAAAAGGGGCACCCGGTATTAAAGTCTTCACGTGCCAAGAAGTTTCCCCTTACGTGGATGGTCTAGAGTGGCCCGACCCGCAGGTAGAGGGACTTCGTAGTACGTACGGATGCATGGATGCGTAATTAATTACTCAGCCCCTACCTAGTGTGTCGAGTGTGTGAAGTTTGCAGGAACCGTGGATGCTTTTTTTTGGGAGGGGATGGATGGGGATGGATGATGAACGGTTTGCACTGGTGCTGGTCTAGGTAGTGTACCTAGTTACTAGTAAGGTGGTTACTGACTAGTTCGTGTAGTTCATGTAGTACAAAGTACGGTACGGGAGTGTCTACAGAGTGGAGCATTGGAGAAATTGTAAACTAATTCCCCAAATGAGACTTGACTGACAGACATGACAGATAGACTAACTGATTTTATGAAGGGAGCGAGGGTTCAAGAAAAAGAAGGATGGATGATGAGTGAGTGAGTGAGTGAGTGAGTGACTGAGTGACTGAGTGACTGACTGACTGACATGTTTGACATATTCATGGCGTAAGAATCCTAGGAAATCCATGGATGAAATGCGTTCCAAGGTTGCAGATGGTGAACATGTACTCTGGATTGGACGGTGGCGTTTTTAGAGGCTCGTGGCGTTTCAAGGTACGCCAATCGTTGATGGGTTATCGTGTATTTTATATCGTCGGTACCTTTTGTTTTGGCGGGTGTGCAGGTTCTGTAACGACTGTGTAACACCATATCAGGGGATGAATGCTTGGGAGAAGTGATATGGTTTTTGGTTATAGATGCTGGATGGGGGAAGGAGAGAGGGTAGAGAGTAATGAGTGAAGAATGAAGAGTGAAGAGTGAAGAGTAGGTATGGAGTAAAGAGTAAAGAATAGAGTATAGGTAAAGAGTCGAGAGTATACAAGGTAGACTATAGAATCCTCACTTATACCGTATATTTGACCCCCCCCAACCTGACCTCAAATCTCGATTTCTATAATCCAAAGAAAGCCTTTCAATTCACAACCGCTACCTAATTACTTTATACACTCGATGAAGATTCCATAAAAACAGGGGAATTATATACATCTCCACATTTATCCATCTCTCCCCGGGGCTTAATTACGGTATGCTAAGCTCATAAGCTGACTTTTCCTAGGATCAGATATTCATGAGCATTCGTGCCATTGACCATTGACCATTGACCATTGACCATTCATTAATCAATCATTGATCCTCTTGACCCTCTTGACCCTCTCCTTCCACCTTTCAATGCTCCCTATCTACATAGTAATCTCTCAGGGGTTCAAAGCAAGCATTACTGCACATTTCTTTTTTTAAATCCATCCTTAAACCTCCGAAATACATCTTTTTCATCCAAACACTTGCATTTGGTCTGTTGGAAGACTCTCTCTCTCTCTCTGAGCCACCAAAGATTTCATCCATTCCATATTCTATCCAGAACTCTTCATTCATTCTTTTCTTCTGCTTCTTGAATCGGAATAAAAAAGAAGAACAGATCCAGTTTTATTTTCAAACACTCCCTCCTTTACCATTCATTCATCCATCCATTTAATATACAACCTTACATGACTCTCACTCATTGACTAATAAGATCTTCTCCAATTCTTTTTCAAGCTCCAGCATTCCATAGCAGAGTCAAGAGCCGGGTTAACTTACGAATCCATTCACATATCGAGCCATATACTACATATTAACCAGGTATTTCGAGGATACGAAGCAAATCTGATTCACTTTGTCAAGTCCGTTCACTCGTTCATACCACACATCCGCATAAACGAATCTGGACCTTTCCTTTACAAACACCCTCTACCCACAATTTTTGATACCCACCGCGGCATCCATACACTCTTTTCTCCAATCATTCTAGACTCCTATCTTGAGTCGACCCAACCTTCCAAGCCTTAAAGAATTTCCACAAAACCGACATCATGGCCGATGATTTTGGGGGTCATGACCCATTAACTTCCTCAACTCTTCCTCACGACAATCCCAATCCAACCGTTATTCATCCCAATCCTGAGAAGATTACTCCTAGTAGACAGAGCACGATGAGGTCTAAGGGTGGATTTGAAGTACATGCTAGTGGAGCGACCACTCCAAGTAGTTTCAAGAGACAAAGCAGACATGATTTAAATTTGGACGATTATTTTGTACGTTTATATCCTCTCTTTGCTTCCAGTCAGATCTTCTACCTTTCATCTGATTCACCCAAAACTCAAACATCCATAAACCTTCTAATATGACTAACAACCTCTTCAACAATAGGTCGGACCAAGAAACCTCGATGCTCATTCCAAACTTCCATATTTTATGCGCCTTCATGGATCTGTTATCCCTCGAATGATAGTACCTCTTTTCTGGATCGCATGTTGGTCTACTTTAATTACATGTATTTCGAAATTTTCGGGTACAGAATTGGCTGTTAATACCTTACTTTTGACGGTCCTTGGTTTTGTTATTTCTTTGGCATTAAGTTTTAAGAGTACAACTGCTTATGAACGGTTGGTTCCCCTCTTTCATTTCTTTCCCTTTTTGGATGGGAAGTTTGCATCAAAAAATTCGAGCGCAGCGAGTTAAAGGGGGTTTGGGGGCTTGCCCCCATATATTCGACCATTTCACCAGTCAATGTCAGACATTGAATAGTCAAGTTTTGTTGGAATGACGCTCCGCTGGCTCTCCGAGGGCCATTGCCATGGAGGCAGACCAAATTATTCAAATCATTATACATGGAGCTTTAACTAACAAAATAATAGTTATTCCGATGGACGTAAAGCATGGGCATCTCTCTCGGTTCAATCCCGCAACTTAGCTCGATTCATCTGGGTCAACATCCAAGAACGTGAAGGTGATATGGGAAAAGAAGATCTCCTTGCAAAAGTAACTGGTATCAATCTCATTCTTACCTTTGCTGTTGCTCTCAAACATAAACTTCGTTTCGAACCATATGCCCATTATGCCGATATCTCTGCTTTAACTCACCATCTCAATACTTATGCTCAATCGGCCACTACTCCGGAAGTCCTCATTGAGAAGAAGAGAACACCATGGAAGCGCACTGGTGAATACCTTGGACTTAGTTTCGCTGCAAGTAACCCCCGAAAAGCCATCAAGAGATCCAGCAAGCCCGTTGGAAATCTTCCAAATGAAGTCCTCACCTACCTAAACTCCTACGTCGAAGGAACTATCCGCAATGGCACTCTCGATTCTCCTGTTGTCTTGGGTCAAATTCTTGGTTGCATCAACGCCCTCACCGATTGTTCCGCCGCCGCTGAACGTGTTCTCCAAACTCCTCTCCCTATCGGCTACAACATCCTCATTTCCCAAATTGTCTACCTCTACGTCTATCTTCTCCCCTTCCAACTTTATGCTTCTCTCGAATGGATTACCATTCCAGGAACCATTGCTGCCGCATACATCATTGTCGGTCTCATGGCCATCGGAAACGAACTTGAAAACCCCTTTGGAAACGACGTCAATGATCTTCCTCTAGATCACTACTGCGCCGAGCTCGCCCGCGATTTTGATATCCTCACATCCGTCAAAGCACCTTCCTGGGATGAAATCGTCTACGGAAGAAAAGAACGCGTGACGGCGGATACCGAGGAAGAATTGATGCGCGAAAACAAAGTTCTCTGGCCACTCAGCAACTCTGGTGTCCGCATGTGGAGAAACAGAGGTGAGAAGGAAATCCGCGATGCGTTGGCTGCGAAGGTCGTTGTGGCGGATCGAAAGAGTCGAGATGCGTTTACGAGTGCGGGAGAGGGAAGAGCGAGTACGGCGAGAGCCAGGAGTGGGAAGAGTGATTTGAGTGCCGATAGTGCGGATAGTGCTGCTTAGTTGGAAAGAAGGATATGAGTGAGTGAGAGCGAAAATGGTGGGTTGTACAGATATTCGGAATAGAAAAGCGTAGATTGGATGGGCTGGGATGGGATAAATTGTTAGTGAAGAAAAGCAAATCAATGCCGTTTGGATGAGCGGACCGGAGTATATCATACCTTCTTATGACAGTCAAAAGTCCATGATTGGTACGCGCGCAAGGCAGAAAATGGGTCGTATGTATGTTTGTATGTGTGTATGTAGTATTTATCGGCGTTATTGGGAGGAGAATAATGGAGTTGTTTGGTTGGATGTAGTTTATTGTTTTGTATTTTATTTTACATTCATTTTACATTGATTTTATATCCATTGAGAATATATCTATTGAGAAACCATCCATCGCGAAACACAATACTTAATTCCGAGTTCTCGATTCTCTACATCCATCCATTCCATCACAAAAACACGACGATATACACGAGATGCTGCTGGGATATGATATGATATGATATGATATGATATGATACTTAACCAGCGAGATAGTCAACACGAGCAAGATAGTGGCATGTATACATCTAATTGGTATCTATATATCTAGTTATCTACAGATCTAGTTACCTACAGATCTAGTTACCTACCTAGTAGGCAGATTGGTGGATGTACCAACATCGATACTAGATGAATAGGAATATAGATATAGATATAGAGATGAATGAGATGAATGAGATGAATGAGATGAATGAGAATATAGATATAAGTGTGATATTAAATTATGTGATATAATATAATATAACGTGATATGGTATGTGATATGATGATATGATGATATTGAGGATCTAGATACAGAAAGAAATTATCCTGATTCGAGATTATATCATCTATATCCCATAGTGAAGATTTTGATTCAAAGAAATACAAATAGGTACACAGAATGCGTCATGAACCGAGTAACTATATCTTTCATTTAGAGTCACTTGACCAGCGCTTGGAAACCTGGGATTCATTCGGGCAAACTCCAACCCAAGTCTATTCAAATCCTGTTCAACAATCATTGTAAAAGTATCGATTTCGTATATTCTAACCTATCCCAATGCCTAGATACACACAGCCCCGGTACTCCTAAACCGTATACTCCCCGACCTTCTCCTCAATCAAACCTCAATCATCAGCGCCGCCATCGTCACCTCTTCCCGTCAATCCCCCCACCAAGCCTAACATTCTCCTTCCCAAGAGATCATCCTCACTAGCCAAACTGACCATACTCTTCTGTCTCTTGAGTCCTCCTCTTAACCTCGTTCTTCCTCTCTCTCCACTCCCGATTTCTTCTCTCAGAAGCTTTTCTTTTCTCCTCCTGTCGCCATTTCCATTCAAATCCCCTGGCTCTTTGCGCTTTCCACTGGTACTCATCCTCATTTCCAGCCCCATATCTTCATCCCCAGAACTTTCTGTTCTAGTCCTCCTATGATGTCTCTCTTTCCCACTTGCTTTCGCGAGTTCTCTCTGTTCCGATTCACTGAAAATTTCTTGCATCCACTTTCCACATTGGAAGATATATTTCCAACCTTCGGGAAAGATTCCGACAAATTGTAAGAATCCGTGACTGATCCCCGGGATCAACATAACTTCGGCGGCATCTTCTCCTTGACAGCGTCTTAATCTTCCGGCAAATATAACCGTGTCGTCTACTAATGGATCTCGTTCACCAGTGATAAAGTAAGTTTTAGGGAATTGAGCAAGTAATGAATCGGGAGCTAAAATTGGGGATAGAAGATAATCGGTTGAAAAGTCAGGACGGTTATGAGGACCTATGTAAAGAATGATCATGGCACGCATCATTTCGGGAGTAAGGATACGATCGTTAAAGTACGATATCATTGATGACATGGCAAGACGAGTTCGTAGAGGCGCTGGATGGTGAGATGTTGACGGAGTTAATGGTTCAACATTTGCCGGGGTTCTCGTTAAAGACGGGGAAAGAATTGTAGGAGCAGCCGTACTGTATTGAGGAGAGGGGAGTGAAATTTTAGATGGTTTTCCAGGAGAAAGTTCTGTGGTTTCTTCTCTGCTAGCCGGTGGCGAGGGCAATTTCGGTGGACTTTCATCCTCATCTTCACTTTGATGAGGTGTTCCTGCTGCCAAAGTATATTGCATACTCTTTCTTTGGATGATCCCCTTATTTGTCTTCCTATATTTCTTCTCTTTAATCAAACTCATCTGTTCATCACTCATCCAATTTCCAATGTTCATATCCAGCCCGGGATAAATGAGAACTAAGCCATCTGGAATCGGAAGTCTTCCTTGTCCCATGAATTGTCGAGCATCTGTTTTCCCAGATTCAATAATCATCAACGTGGTGCTAGCAGCTAGATTTCCACCGGCGCTATCTCCCGTAATGACAACCTTTGGTACTACATCTCCGGATAATCCTACACAACGTCCTCGACTAGCAATAATCGTACTGTAAACATCGTAACATTCGTTCAGTGCGTAAGGATATGGGAACTCTGGAGCTTTCTTATAATCCAAACTCAACACTGGCAAGCCAGTCTTCCCTGCCCACGCAAATAACTTGTCGTCATTCGTCCTTGGATCCATTGCCACAAATCCTCCACCCGGGATATCCAAAACAACCTTTGTATGATTTTTTAAAGCTGATAGTGGTCCATCAAAGAATAACCACCCATTAACTGGTTCTTTGTAATCACTACTCGATGGTCTCGGTATTCGAATCGCCCTAGGTGGATATCTCATGAACCGTGGTCGTAATAAATTCGACAAAAATCCCAGGTATGGAGTTGTTCCTTTATTCCAGCTAACTCTCAAATGGTCCACGGTCAACATCCCTCTGACCTTTCGTACTTTTTCATCGGCTTGCTCTGCAGCAATGAGATAATAAAACGTGAATACGACACCAGCCAGATCACGTATCCACTTCCGCCTTATACGCATGGCACTCCAAAACCCCGCATCCAAAGCTGTGGTAACCCATGTTGCTCGAAAGTATGATCTCGTATACAGGTTTGCCAAAGGCTCCGGACATTCTAGTCCCACGAGTTTCCCCAAATTTCGTGCGATGTAAAGGTAGAGGAGGGTTATGACAAGAGTTTGCCATGGTGTGAGATGTTTTTCGAGTAGACGGGATAGTTTTCTAAGTTTTGGTGGACCATCTCTGTTCCCTCTGTAAATTATGATGTTTAGTTTATGATACGATATAGGGTGGCGCAGGAATGTTACTTGAAAAGGTAGAACGACCAAAAGGAAACCACAGCCAAAACTTGTATCTTGCGAAACTTTACAGAAGGTCGTCCTAGAACATGATCTACCAACTTCGTCAGTAGTTGAATAAGGTGTACTGCTGGGAGTATAACATACCTATCATCTTGATTAAAGTTATATGTTGTTGTACAAAAGAGAAGATGCCGAGTAAGAACAAAGAATTGTTAATAACATGTGCGCGCTCCGAGAGATATTCGTCTTCCGGAGCTCAAAGGAGAATAGGAATAGGAAATTACAGGCGCAAGATCGATTAGTGTGGAAAATGCATGTATGTGACTTGAAAGTAGTTTTGGGGTGAAATTGTTTCACTTGTTTGACATGAAGATAGACAGACACAGAGCGCGGGAGAAGGTTGTATTGATGGAAGAGGAGAATGCTCTTCAAACCAACATCATAGCTTAGGTATACTTAGCTAGCTTGTGAAAGATTAAACAGAAGCATATGATCAACTCGAGCAGAAACAAGACCGAGGCTGATATGATCCCCAGTCCAATGTCTTCAAAGTATAACGACGAACAACGAATTGAAGGTCGGGGAATGTTTAATGTTAGAATGAAATCGTGGGGATTGTGTGGAGAACATCATTGATTGTTGTGTTTGTGTTTGGAGTGAAGTTTGGCATGTGATTATGTTGGTTGACTCAGCTTGAAGGCGCGTGCTGAAGATCAATTAGTGCATTGGCACTAGCGGCCGCTCGATTTGATAATTCAATTTTTACGAAGTAATGGAAGCTTTTACATTGACATTACTCGAGTACTGACTGTACTATTACTACCTACTTTATGTTCGATTCCAAGCATTACGCAATTTGCACACAATTGTTTCGTATGAAGAGAAGCATCAGATTTCGCTTTTAATCATGACTGCTATATTCTTACAACTTCTCGGTAACCCAATTCAGCTTCCACTTCAATCTCGACGAGAAACTCGTCCCCAATTACCCCTGATACTACCAATGTATTTGATGGTCTGACTCCCACGCACTTAAAAGCCCAACCATGTGCAAGACTGACCGCTTCGACGTCCTCTTCCTTCTGCAAGAATATACTGGTTCGCACAACGTCGGACATGTCTCCGCCCAAAGCTTTTATGGCCCGCGCAACGATATCTAGGATTGCCACGGTCTGGCTACGCGCACTTCTTCCACCTATTGCTGGAATACTTGAGACTGGAGAATTGGCCGTGGTCCCCGATACGCGAATAGTGTTTCCTGTTCTAACAGCTCGACAATAACTCTGTTAATAGAATATTAGCAACCTTTCTATCACATCAGGGTAAAAACATACTGCAATGGGCTCCCAGTGGCTGCCCGAAGAATATTCGATCCGAGCTCCACCAGCGATAGCTTTGGCGATCTTGAAATCATGATCTGTCTCTTCAAGGTGGTCGCTAAGATCACCTTTTGCTGTGAGAAATGGTGGTCGTCGATATTCATCGCCGCAGTCTCCCGGTATATCCGCAAGGCCCTCCTGTGCTTTTGCTATCAAAGCCTTATCTTCTGCGTCTAATGCGAAACTGAAAGCTTCAAGATTGCTCACTGTATACTTATCTGAAGTACTTGATAGCCTAGATCCAACAATTACAGCACTTACAGCAGGAAGGTCTAAAACATGTCTTGTTGCAACCGCAGAAATACCGACACCGTGCTTTTTGGCAACTGTGGAAAGTGCTTGAAGCACAACTTGATATGACGACCATCCTCCAGCCGCATTAATAAACCGCAGATATTTTCTCAGACTCCAGTTTAATTCTGTTTCATCCTTTGGTTCTTCAACCCCAAGCCACTTTTCACTAAGATATCCCCCGAGAAGTGTTCCATATGCCAAGATACCAACATCATTTTGAGTACATACTGATGCAAGTCGACCGCGAACATGACGACGATCAATAACAGAGCAGGATACCTGATTGGTTGCAACTTTGAATCCAGTATTGATCAACAGTTCGAGATGTGCGGCATCTGTGTTTGTCATTCCAATCATTCCAATTTTTCCTTGCTTCTGTAAAGTCCGCAAGTGTTCAAGATTTCGAATATAACTATCATCCGTATAGTCCCACGCATGATCTAAACTAAATTAGTTTTCTTCAAATAAATTCTTCGACTTTCTTACATTGCATCAATTCAATTTTTTCTTGTTTCATCCTCTCCAATGCAAGATCCACAGCTTTCTCCGCATTCTCGAAACTGGTAACTCCGTTTTCAGGTGGACACCATTTTGTGAAAGCTATCATTTTCTTCGTCGATGTCAAATTGTGTTGGCCCATAACTAGTTCTATCTGGGTCAGTAACCCAAGACTTTTGGAGACAAATACAACTCACCTGCGTCGCCATAATGATCGGCCATGTCGAAACAATCCAGTCCCGCTTCAATTCTTATATATCAATTAGTGATTATGTCAAAATCAGTCATGACTTGGCGATTCTCACAATGGTTCCATCGCTTTTGCCGCCGCTTTCACATCGACATTTTGATCGTGTCCTCCAGCTAGCTGCCATAATCCCGATACCATGCGGGGTATATCAAGAGAACCACCGATCAGGGTCCGCTCAGGTTTACTTGATTTGTTATTCGCCATGGTCTTGAAAAGTCTCTGCAGAAGGAGAATGCGGTAATTGAAGATTTCTGCAAGTATTTGGGGATCCCATTAATATGTATGAACGCATGTCCAGTACGCCTTTGCAGAGACATACCTGTTTCCTCGGCAACCATACGATTACTATCAAATCTGCAATGCAATTCAGATCTAAAGACCCCCTTGCGCCTTATCGGATATCCCGTAGATCTAAGAAGTCTAACCGCGACTACTATATCTCCACATCCGTTTCCGTATCCGTCTTCTTAGAACGCCGAGATAAGATTTCATCTTATTGTCTTCCCCAATCGAGAACTATTGAATCGAATTGAATAGGCGTAGCTGCGAGTAACCAATTGATGGTTGTTTATCCATGCAAAAGTCATGATAAGAAGTGGCGCTAAAGTTCGTGGAGTCCCTGCAAAAATGGGGTTTGCGGGTGAACTCCACCTTGATTGTGTGCGATACCGCCAATGCGACATTTCCAATTGATACGTATATAATGGGGGGTAAAACTAGAGGTAAAGAATGTTACATTTGTTATTGAGTAACATGCTTATTTGTTTTTGATTTCTTGATAAATATGCTTACCAGCAACAGAAAAGTCACCGGTAAGGATGACATCACCAATTTAGATATCCAAGCTGCGGGAGATGTCGATTCGTTGAAACATGGTGAAGTCGCAGTGAGTAATTGGGGGTCCGAGACGAAAAGAGAATTCAAATCAAGACATCTTAGTATGCTTGCTGTGGGAGGGACCATAGGGTATGTCTCTTGATTTATTCGATTCTCTCAAGGTATTTGGATGCTAGAAGACATTCAAATGTTGTCACAATCTACATTGCATACTTCGTTTCATCATGGTCATCTCTTCTTGTTTTTAGTTGATATCACCACCCATCTAGACGCAAATTTCTAGTCCCTAATAGGCATTGGACTTACAATTGCAATTGCCCGTCTAAATTCCATTGGCATCCTGATGCGTGGAGACGTTCGTTTTAATTGCATGAGATTAGATACACCAGCTGCATCACGTATCCTTATGTATACCTGGCTGATATACTGTCTCAAGTACTGGACTTTTTCTCATCTCTGGAGCTACCATATCGACGGCTGGACCTGTTGGGGCTGTGATTTCGTTTATCATATCTGGTATATTTGTATATTTGGTTGTGGCTACCGTAAGTTTCCATATAGTCCCCTTTTCTCCGATGAAGCTCGAGTTATGGCCAAAGAATCTAATGATCCATCACTGAATAGATTGGTGAAATCGCGACCATATTTCCAGTTTCTGGATCATTCGCAGCATTCGGCGACAGATTTTTTGACCCGGCTCTCAGCTTTGCCCAAGGATGGTCTTATTGGTTTCTTTGGGTTCTTACTTTACCGGCAGAACTATCTTCAGCAGGTATCATCATAAGCTATTGGCTACCAGACATTGGGACTTGGGTGTGGGCCTTAGTATTTCTTGTTGTGATCGTTGGTAAGTTACCTTTTCGAAAGATGATGCCTTTATTTACGTGTCTAACCTTTCAGTCATAAATCTCTTTGGAGTTAGATGGTTTGGAGAAGCGGAGTTCTTCTTTAGTTTCCTGAAAGTCTTCGTTGTTATCATCTTTATCATTGTCGGTTTGGTCCTTAATGGCGGTGGAATACCAGGCCACAAAGCTAAAGGATTCGATTACTGGAAATCCTCAACAGAAGGAGCTCCTTTCGCTGCAGGATGGCCCGGTGTTTTGTCTGCTTTGTGTACGGCTTTTTTGAGTTACGGAGGCACAGAGTTAGTTGGTTTGACTGCTGGTGAAGCCAAGAACCCACGTAGAGATGTCCCAAGAGCTATCAAGGGAACGATTGGGCGGATTTTGCTTTGCTATGTTGGATCTATCTTTGTCATTGTGGGTTTTAATCATTTAAAAATTTCCTATCGCATCTATGTATTTGCTAACAATAATAGAGTATCAACATCAAATCTACTGACCCCTCACTCCTCACTACATCCGCTACAGAAATTGCAGCTTCCCCTTTCACACTTGTTTTTGAAGACGCAGGTATTGCTGCCGCTGCTAGTATCATGAATGCTGCTATTCTTATCGCAGTGGTCAGTGCCGGTAATACCAGTGTCTATGCTAGCTCCCGTATACTTTTTGCTCTCGCAAAGAATGGACAAGCACCAAAATTTTTCGCTACTACATGGAAAGGTAATGGAGTTCCGTTGCCGGCTATGTGCATCAGTGTCTTGATAGGCTTCGTTGCATTCTTTGGCGCAATATTTGGACAGGGAGTTGTATTCACTTGGCTTTATAATTTGTATGTATCTCATCTTTGGCGTTTATGTCTTTATTATCCAATTTCGAGGTTTTCTTACTCTGAAGGCGATTCTTTTCTACTCAAACATTTACTAACAACATTCTAGGATCGCAATTTGTAATCTTTTAATCTACATGTCGCAATGTCTCGTGCACATTCGATTTCGTCTCGGCTGGGTCCATCAAGGAAACAGCTTGTCTGATCTTCCGTTCAAAGCGGGGATCTTTCCGTATACATCCATATTTGCTTTTTTCATGGGTTGTCTGATTGTCGCCGGAGAAGGTTATGTAGCTGTAACTACAAGACCATTTGCTTGGGCCAACATTGTCGCTACTTATATCGGGATTCCTGTCTTTTTCATTTTGTATGGAATTTGGAAAGTGTTCAAGAAGGTACGTTTAAAGAGATTTCTTCTTTTCAGCTAATCATGTTTCTAGACAAAATTAGTCCCATACTCAGACATGGATTTTGAGACGGGAAGATCACAGCCACCGAGTGATGAGAAGATTGCAGCTCTTAATGAGTTGGAGAGAACGGATGTAAAGACTTGGAAGGAGTTGGATGCTCGGGGACGAGCTTTGAAGGTTGGCAGGGCTGTTCATAGGGTTGTTTTTTGATCGTTAGATGGGGTGGCAAGGGACGATTTCTGTATTAATGCTTAGCCATTATTAGATAGCCTCAATGAGTTGATTGTGTGGTTAAGATAAGTATTGCTGATGGGGTAATATTATTTGGTGATGAAATAGAGTCAATCAACGTGGCAAAAGGGGAGTGTCTGAAGAAGCTTCACTAGTTTGGCACATTGATGAGTGTGAAAATTTATGAGTCTGATATTCACAATTGATTTAAAAATATTTATGTACATGCTAGAATAGAAGCTAGACGCTGAAAGTCAGACATATACAAATAAACGGGAGAAAGCTCTTCCTAATCCGACCAAAAGCCGACTCCCTAAACCTCGCAATCTCCAATAATATTTACATCTTCTACCTCGCCCTGATTTTGAACAACAGAATAATATATACACCCCTCATCTAATTTCATCTCGCACATCCTTTAAAGCAAAAAGATTCCATTCATCGCCTTGACAAAGTTCTCCGCAACCAACTTCTGAATAGCTTGACCAGGATGATAAGTATCATACCACAAGCACGAAGTCCCATCCGCATTCATACACGTCGCATCTGGCGAACCGTAGGCCGTTGGGTCGTCCAACACGGTATAGAAAGATTCGGTGGTGTTGAAAATCGTGCCAGTGACGCCACTATTCGCGGCTTCGAAGGTTGCTAGACGAGTGACGAGATCGGCGTTGTAGGTGGTTATGTTGCCACGTACGTAATCCATGTTTTGAGCGGTTTGCTCGGCAAAAACGGGAGCTTGGTCGAAGGGGGGAATGGTGAATAGAGTAAAGTATCGGATACCTGCATCGTATAAGATTTGCAGTTGGGCGAAATATACGTCGAGGATGTTGTCGAATGGAGTGACAAATCCATCCCAGTAGGAGTTTCCGACATCGTTGATGCCCATCCAGACGATGGCCATGGTGTTGTCTTCGGTCCAGGGCGCGGTGGAGACGTTGTGTGCAGCGTAGGTCGAGAATTCGGTGACTTGGGCAATGAGATCGTGGGTTGCGCCGTTAACGAGGGTGTTGTCGGTTGTAGCGCCATATTCGGCGTAATCATAGCCGAGAACAAGGGAACTGTTTAGTTCGGTGGCGACGACCCCGAGCCAGCCGAGACCGCCGTCGGTAGTGGATCCGGGGAGGGCAACTCCGAGTGGGTTTTCGGCGGAGGGGAGAGTGGCTCCGCCGTAGAATCCGTCGGATGTGTAGGAATCACCGCTAGGAAGGTGTTAGTTGCATATTTTTCAGAAATCAGCCCAAGGAAACTTACAAAACCATAAGATATTTGGTTCCGGATGAAGCGGATGAGCTTGCAGTGGAGGCAACTGCAGCGTTGGAAGAACTAGCTGCTACAATAGCAGCTTGAGTCGAGGTAACCAAGGCGGCGGATGTAGAAACAGTGGCAGTTGGGAGAGCTGCAAATGTTGTAGTAATGAGAGGTACGCTGGAAGTAGAAGAGGAGCTTGCAACTACTGCTGATGATTGGACAGATGAAGCGACCACAGATTGTGCGGAGCTTATCTGGGAAGAAGCCGCTTGAGCAGCAGAACTTGCTTTAGCAATGACCGAAGAGCTGGCTACTGAAGTAGAATGTTTGGTGATCGAAGTAGCGAAAGTAGTCGAAGAGCACTTTTTCTTCGTAGTGGCCGAGGAAACTTGTAGAGCGGAGCTTGAAACTGCTGGAGCTAAGCTCGAGACAGCCAAAGCGGTCGTCACAGGAGCGACTGCAGTACTCGAGACCACCTCAGCTGCGCTCGTTGCCGTTGCAGCTCCTGCTACACATTGATAATAAAATGCATTTTGGGATTGACAAACTGCCCCCGAAACACAAGATGTCGATCCTGTAAATCCTGACCCTCCACATTGACCATATAACGCAACATCTGCAGCCGAAGTAGCTGAGATGAAGAGACCAGCCGCCAGCGGCAAAGATTTAGAATTGATGACAACCATATTTATGAAAATTTACAGAGTATTGAAAAAAAGAATGTGAATTTTTCGCGAACAGCACGAAAATTGGAGAATGGAATGAAATATAAAGCAAAAGCAGTCAAAAAATTCAAAACTTTTGTAAATTCACGATCATCATTTCATTATATATAGAATGTGGAAAAATACCAATCCATCCAATCCATCCAGTCCATTAATGTTCATCTCATTAAGGATCATTGCAATATCCCGAAACGCGCATTTACACTTTATTTTCAATATATTTCAGACGGGAGCTCGGCTGTTGGGGAAAGAACGGGGGATATTTAGGGAATGGTTGATGGAAATTACAGGCGGCTAAACTTATTATGGAGTGCCTAGAAGTACCTAGGTAGGGCAGAAGTGGCTGATGTGCTTCGTTGAGTGGGGTAACAGGGAGAAATTACTGATGGAAAATTTATGAAACGTGTCACCCATGTCGAAATTACTTCTTCCATAGGAGAGTTGACGTATGCATGATGGAAATGTATGTCATCTGAAGAACTTGTGCTAGTTCATACCGGATGATTGAATTACCTAGGTCAGAATATCGATATGGATTCTACATACATGGCTCACGCTACTCACACTCACGATGTTGAATACCTCGCATATTATGATGGCTGAACGAGCCGGTCTTCCGGTAGCATCAGTATGAAGCGGGGTCTAGCTTTGAAATCAGAAATAAAACCGGCCCAAGACATAATGGAAGGGCACTCAACAACAACAAAATATACTAAATCTCCGTTTCGTTCAAAGGGGGTTCTCGGTCCCGAACTTTCCAATCACTTTTTCCACCGTAATGGTAATTGCCAGGCTTGTAATACCATCACCCTCACACTCTGTATCATGGCCCAAATGAAGCTGATATTTGATCACAAAGCAGACAACGAGTACAGAACCGCGATCAAAGAGAGTGGAGAGCGTTCATCCTGAACTTGACGTTGACAATTCTAATGAGGACGAGATCGCTTCAGTCAACGCAAAGCTGCTTTAATCTTCATTGGTAGAGCTAAGCTCCTGGGATGGTGAATACGCGCAGCAACGGTCTGCATACATGTAGCTATGTTAAAGCGGCAATTCAACCCATCTGGATGAGAAAATAAGGGCGGGCTAGTTGAGTGTTCGAATCAAAATTCAATATTTTACAAGATATGAATATTCTAACTGGTTTGGATACTTCACAAGTCTTCATTGTTGGACTTCAGTCTGTAATGAATATCACATTACAGCGTAGTCACTCACCACACTAACCTTAGTTCAAGCTAGCCTTGAACTAAACGATTGTTATTATATAAGAGATAAAAGATATCTCTTAAGGATCTCTTTCCTCTTTAGCTACTTTATTCTGGTTTATTTGACCTCTATCGATGTGGTCGTAACACAATCCGGACAATTGGATACTCTGGGACCCCGGGCCTCAGTTAGTTCATGGCTAAGATCTAGCGCCCTCTTCCATTTTTGAAGTTGGAGTACCTGATTGCAAGCAATACTCGAACGTCATACTTTGCTCCTGCCTATTCTGATATCTTTCCCGTGAACGAGGAAGATTCAGGGCAAGCTCTTTAGGCAATGATGTTGCGGGCTCATGATAAGTATTATTCATCTATCACAATCCATGGCTATAAAGTAATTCGTCAGCCACTGTTATCCCTCACAAGTAGGCCCCACACTTCTAATAAATTCGTTCTACAGCTCAAATAGAATGCTATCAAACTTCTCTTTCTCTTGAAGCCAATGAAGAAAGCAGTTCCGCAGCTGTTTGTCGCCTATACCAGTGTGTTTTTGAGAAAATACAGCGATGCATGAGTCTCACTGTGTGTGCATATTCAAGAATTCGAGGACCTGAATGGAAAGACAATGATGCATTCTAAGTATTAGTCGTGCAGAAAAAGAGCTCGAAACAAGCTACCGCGCAGGTTCGTACAATTTCACCAGCGATTCAAGCACGACATAAACGAAAAAGAACCTTGTTATTGATTTGAAGCAACGCTCAAGTGGATCATGGTTTCAATCGCTCATCATTCAGACTGGTCAATAGTTACTGTTGCTTTAAAATAGGACTCAGAGTACTGGATATTGATTGTACAAAACAAATTGGCACTTTACAGCAGTGTAGGCAATAGTATTTCCCGTATTTCGTATACGGGCTAGTTTAGTGGTGTATATCGATTTTCTTCGAAATATGTACATACATGATATTGAATTCAATACTATTAAAGATATTCAATATTATTTAAACTTTTGATATGATTAATAATATACTGAAGTATTGGAATTCAATATAAAATATGTATTCCTATTTATATTAAATAATAAAATTCCATTTCTTATTCTAAATCAAGTTAAGATCTCATATTTCTAATCTAATTTGACATAGAATGAATAGTTTATATTGAATTCCAATACTTCAGTATATTATTAATATTCTTTAGATATATAAATATATATAAAAGTAGTATAACCTTCTTTTTAAATATACTAGCTGTAATATCAATATATTAATACACGCTATAGTTTTACTATAGTATACTATTGCCTATTCTGCTTTACAGACCCTAAACTTTGTGCATATTTCTTTGAACAATTTATATTGTTGAATCCATGCTTGCTATCTAATATAAAATAGCCTGGAAGTCCAGACTGACAGAGGATTCTTCATAATCTCATCCCCGTCCCCGGTGGTTCATACCCACGGAACTTTCGTGAGATTTCAGAAGGTTTTTAACATAAAGCCGTCTCTCCTGCACGATATGTTTTAGGGCGATATTATCACGCTTACATGAGTTCCGCTCGTCCCTTTCCAGATCCTTTAGAGGTTCCCACTTTCTCCAAACCACAGCAGTAGACTTACACAAACCCCTTCCTTGATCAAATTTCTCAATACCTACACTACCCAACTCATCACCTTGAACATACTCTCCATACAGAGGTCCACTATTCTGTCCACCGGGCACGTAAAAGCGGTACGAAATTTCTTCTTCTAAATCCTCTGCGATTGATAGAAAGCGAGCTCCAAGTTGCCGTCCTCCTGCCGAAGAAGTCTTGGGATCTGCTTCAAGAAGCTCTTTGACAAAAAGTGCCCGGTCGAGGTAGCTTTTGCCATTCTCTGGAGTTCTTGAATAACACAGTGCTACGATAGCCTTAGGAAGACCAGAAGATATTGTGTCTAATAGACGGAAACTTTCGACTATATTATATTCGGATCTTGTTGACATGCCGGAGTAGGTATGAGTTATATAGAGGATGGTGTCGTGATCTGTAATTTGAACTTGGTTACTTATATAGTAATTCTTGAAGTTTTCTAGAAGCTCTGAAGGTCGTTTATTTTTCTGTTGAATCGAAGTTTGAGAAGTGCATAATCTTGGGGTTGAAGGGTTCTCGAAATAGTCTTTTCAGATTCCAAGTTCTCTCGCAGAGAGCTTTGGTGTTGAGGTAGGGAGTTTGACTAGAGCAGATCTCTCACGGTCTATGGTCCTGTTCGAAGATTCTTCTGTCATTTCTTCCAAGGCACTAGGACTGGTGGTTGTGCTGTTGAATGCAAGGTATCAAGTGAAAACTGCTGTGCACGCTGGGTCTAAGAGCGAAGTCGATATAGTGAGAAGACTTCGTGATGGATGAGACGGATAGTATCTTGACAGTAGTGGATATCGTACTGGGGTAAGTGTTGAAATGAAGTTATATAGTTCTCTTATGTGAAGGTAGCGGTACTATTTTATGAGACTCGCCCTTTTAAATGCATGTGTTTTGAGCTTGTAGCAGATGGATACAGGAAATGAGAATCTCGACAGCTTATATGGGCATTTTGAATCGTTGATGACTCTGGAAAAGACTCATACCATTGAAGCAAATGGTCAAGTTCAAGAAATATATATGATTGGTGTGGTGGTGTCATTTCAGTCACACAATACATTTTGCAAGACACGTTCAAAGAAACAATGACTCAAAATCAAATCTATTGAGAAAACCCATGGCTAATTCAGTTATTTCTAGATTACTCATCAAAATCCGACTCATACCAATTATCATTCGCAAACGGTACAGAAAGCCCACGCCTTGCCTCCATAATCGGAGCCAAGTGCCGCGCATCCTCTTCTCGTTCATCCGACGAGCGATCCGGCGAACCTCGTTTCAACTTCCAAACTCGCCCCCAGCATAAATCCCGATAGACGGGATCGAACTTCTGTCCAGAGGGTCTTTGATCAAATGGTTCAAAAAATGGTGATTCGGAAGTTGGTATTGCTATGATCGTTCCTTCCCTGCTTTGCATTATGTATTGGCCATTTATCGCAGGAGAGAAATCTTCAGATCCATCGCAGTAAAGTCGTTGCATGATTTGGTTGGCCAAAGTAAATTCGCTGGATAGGATGATAAATTGCGAATGGGGCAGTGTTACTGGGTCTTGTACAAAGAAGGCATCTCTGCAGAGTTTCCACGCAGGTTGTCCGTTGTCGTCCAGTGTCCATCTCTCGAATCCCACTTCGATGATAATTCCAGGTAGTTCTTCTAGACAGTAAGCATTTACATCGACTATGAGTCGAAGTCTTACCTGTCTGCCAAGATCTAGGGTTCGCATAAAGTGTTTATAGTGAGGGAGGAAATATTTCTGAAAGCGTTTGAGGATGTCGAAGTTGAGAGTCTCCTTGGAGTCACCTGAGTCAGGTGATTTAAGAATAGCTCCCTTGATAGTTCGAGCGTGCCATAACATGTTGCGTCTCCATTCATCGATTTCCTCTTGAGAATTCTCGTGGCAGTAGAAGGTACGTGGGGAAGAGAGAACAAGAGCATTGGGATCAGGAGACTCGGAAGCGATATCTGGCGCTTTTGTACTAGATCCAACGTTTTGGCAATGGATAATCCTGAAAATATCCATGGCTGCAAGTCTTATTGCTTTGGTAGAAGAATATTTGGTTGGAGACGGGTTTGATTTTCAAGCAGTGCTGAAAGATTGGAAGGATGTCCAGAGTTAATCGTATGACTGAGATGAAGTGACGCTCTGTCGTTGGGTTATGTGTTCGATACTAACGGTCTGCTTTATCAAGGATTTTGTTCTCGGAAACGTTCTCGGGGAAGTTAGAGATGTGCAAGAAGGAAAATCGCCAGAATTTATGCACAGGTAAGGCTCTCTAAATTGAGAATCCCTCTGACTCGAACTTGTATTACAGAAATGATTCTGAAATATTCAGACTTACAGCATGTTAAGCATTCGTCATAACCATTATATTCATACAGTCGAAAGAATTGCAGTGACTCCATAGTATGACTGAAATTATTAAAACAGATGAAAATACCTAGGTAGTGACTGATAGCTTTAGTACCCAGGCTAATAGACTCTAGTATGCAATGACTATAGGACTAGGTGAGCTTCGAGCCAGAGGGTCCAATAGTCTGAGCTGTATTCCAACAATGAAGATTATGAAATCATCAGATCATTTGAAACATCAAATCATCTGAATCCATGAACTGAATCAGAACAATAAATTGTTTTCAAAGTTTCAAATACTTCTGACATTCAAGCCCTTATATTGTTCAACTGTAGCCTGGACTATAGGATACTCTGCTTCTATGCTAGTATCCATTACTTAGTCTGCGGGCTCTATAAATAAAATACTCAAGCCACGGAGATCTCAGTTTTTTCTGTGCAGTACTCCGGCAACATTCAGTTGCACCGCGCATCTTCCGGATTCCAAGGTACAGTGATATCGAGAGATCTATCATAGGATCCTTTGGAGATGAATCATCTTCCGACGTGAATTATATTTTAAGAAAGCTCATAGTTTCATTCACCAGGATCTTGGGTGATGTATGTCTGCATCATGTGCCGCTCGAAAGAGATGTTTTTGTTAGGGTATTGATATTCCGGCAACAACATTATTATTGGAAGATTTTGCAATCGGAAAGCAGTGATGAGGAGACAGACGAAGACCAACGTAAGTTAGAAGACATATATCATGGAACAAGTGCAACAGCCGAAGAATCATGTCTAGACTTCCAGAATCAATAAGATCATTCCACAATCTTTGATCTAAACCCAAAATATCACACGACCAATCACTACCTCACAACCTAGAGCAGCAAATAAAACGCATTGTCAAATTATTCAAATCAAACGAAGAGGTTCCCAATTGTTTCGGAGCGCATACCAGAAATCCACATCACCAAACCCCAAACCTAGAAAGAGAAAATAGCAACATAACTTGAACTTTCAATTTAGACTCTTATCCCCCATCGCCGCTGCGATATAAGAACATCAACAGTTACAACGCACTGAGGTATGCCGTGCCCCCTTAATCTCAATCCCACGCCGTGACAACTGATCTTGTACCTCCAAAATTTCCACCTTCTTTCCACACTTTCCGACATCTCTACTCTTCTCCTCCCCCGCCCCAATCCCACCCCAACCTAAACAGTAGTAATCGGTTCCTTCAACCCACTCATCCCCTTACACCCCAGCGTAGAACAACAAACACTCTCTCCACCGGTAATCAACTCACAGCCCGACAAATGCCCATCACCATTCCATTTACAGAGTGTTCCTCCCGTTCCGGGGTTAGGATTGCAGCAGTATGCTGTACCTGGGTAGGGACAAAATGCCTAGATAAATTGAAGTATTAGCATGCAGTCTCAGGATATGATGAGAATGTGAGAGCGCAAAAATAATAAAGTGATGAAAAATCGCAAGAAAAAGAGGGAATTGAGATACACACATTTGATTTTGTGTGCCCGAGATCGCGCTTCTTCAAGTCCTTAAGACATGCAATACGTCAGTCAAAGAGAATCAAATCGATGCACGAGATCAAGGAATCCAGTTCTCCAACTCCCTTTGCCTCCCTTTCCTTTTTCTTCCGCCACAAAAAGAAAAACAACACAGCACAACAAAATCAAAAACAACCAAAGAAATCCCCATCCCAACTCACCACACTATTACTAAACGGCAAAACATTGTCCTCAGGCCCGGGCGTAAAAGTAGGCTTAACCCACTTCCCGACGACGGGTCCGCCTCCGGCGAAAGGAACCAGCCCATCATCTCTCGGGGGTTCAATATCCACCTCTGGTTCCGGGAGCGGGATTCCCTGACGCGGCATGACCTGTCGCAAAACCTTGTTTGGGATGAAATCTTTGGCTTCGAGAGCCGAGTCCGGGTTAGGAGCTGGGACGGCGATGGCGGCGCTGAGGCCGAGGAGGAGGGTAAGGGAGAGGATGGGGAGACGCATTTTGGTTGGTGAGATAGCGTGGGATTTGATAGAATGAGCGTGGTTTTGTGGAAAGGGTATCTGAGGTTGGCGCGTGATCTTCGAGTGTAAATGACACGGCGATTTGAGTCAACAGAAAGAAAAAGAGAGAAGAGGAGATGCGGCTTCAAGAGGATAACTATCCCTATAAACACACGCACACGCACACGCACATTCAAAACACAAAACTTCGGTTCTCGCATTCCTTGCGAACTTTGATTAGTAAATGTGGTATCATAGTGTAGATGAGGAATGAGAATTCTAACGATGAGAATGTAGATCGAGGTAGACCAAGAATGTGGAATGTGCCAGTTCAAAATCGTGATTTGCTATCCTATTTCGAAGACGTGTCAAAAAAACCAATTCCATCTCTGTAATGCCGCATGCCCGCCAATTCGACCCCTTTCTCCATACTAGTCCCGATCACAATCTAATGTTCGATAGTAGAAATCAAATATTACATCCCAACCACTCTCATCAATCCATAACCAACCGAGATGACCACTAGCCATGTAAGGATACTTGCTGGTACGCCACGAGTGATGAAATGTTTCACTTGTAAGTATCTTTGTCCTGTTTGTGAATCCTCCATCATAATTGCAGCTATATAGGATTAGCATTTCTTTTATCTATGAATTAGAAACGAGGATACATACTCATATTAGGGAAGCCACTTGTAGGCAATCCCATAGCGGCACTGCACATCAAGGTAGCTCCCATAACCAAAAGGTTAGGATGTGGCTCATCCATACTTGCTCCGACACTATGAACTAATGGAAGAATAATGAGAGCTGCGACAGTGTGACTGATGAATGTCGCGACGACCAACACGAGACATGAGAATACGACAAGTACGCTGTAAAGACTCAAACCCTCAACGCTCGCAGTGATTTCAGTGGCAATGGTATGCAACAATCCTGACGAGTTGACGGCTTTACCTAAAGAAAGTCCTCCAGCGGCGAGAATTATAATTGTCCATAAGAAATTGTTGAAATCCTCCTTCGTTAAGATGCCCGTACCAAAGAATAGAATAATTGGGATAATTGCGACAACTCCCATATCACCAAAGATTGCTTCAAGCTGATGACTTACACACCAGAGAACAATGGTGCCAAGAGTAACAAGGGTAATAAACCACTGAACTCCAGTGAATGCATCCTTAACCGGGCGAATAGGAACGATTGTAGTTCCACGGCCAGGCTTAAAGGTAAGAAGTAAGAGAATCCAAATGAGGACGATGGAAATTATACCGACTGGCAGGACGATGAAGAACCAGGTCCCCCAGTCTGGTTGTGGAGACATGATTTGAAGAGCGACAATATTCTGTGGCGATGCAATTGGGGAGAGCATTCCACCAATGTTGGATGAAAGTGCAATGCCAAGAATAACAGCTTTCGACATTTGAGATTCAGAAGGAAGGTTTCGAAGCATGGGCTAGGAATGTTAACAATAGGATTCAAAAGGAAAGAAAGAAGTCTCAAGCTCACCTGGATGATTGAGAAACACAAGACAGGTGCTGCAACATTACTGATCCACATACTTGCAAAAGCTGCTACGAACATGTTGGTGATAAGAACTGTTCTTGGCCTCGTTCCAGCTTTGCTTAGGACAAAGGTCGCTATCCTCTTAGCAATATCATATTTGGAAAGCGCTGCAGCTACTGTAAATCCACCAAGTAATAACATGATGACTGGAGTCCACATTGCGGAGAATATATATTTGGCCGCAGCTGGAGCTTCAAGTCGATGGTGAGGCTTTTCATCAGAGCGAACCACGCCTAGAATCACGCAGAGGAATGGAATCATTAGGGATGTCACGAAGAGAGGTATGACCTAAAGACCAGTCAATAAGAGATTATAGTTAGGGTACTCAAAGAGTTTCTTACCTCGGTAGCCCACAACAAACTGACAAAGACCAGCATTGCTAAACAATTTTGTTGTTCTGGCTTCTTCATGATCGGGATAAGCAATAGTAAAATGAAGATGGTAATGATTCCAACCAGTGTGAACATCGTTGAACTAAATAGCCATCTTGGACATTTTACTCTCCCAACCGGTGTTGATAATTCCTTCATGTCAGCGATGTCGGCATCATCACCTTGCAATCGGAGCTTAGATGGATCATTATCCACGCCCAGCAAAGTCCTTCTGATACCCATATTCGCAGCTTGAGCTTTCCTCTCAATGCCAATCATTTCCCTCCAGACTGTGTTTCTCTCCCAAACAACATGTTCCCGAAGATGTGATCGCAATTCCTTCTTTGCCATGTCGACATCTCCTTGAGTTGCCACATCAGAATACATGCGCTCTATCCGTAATATCTTCTCTTCGATATGCTTAAGCGTTTCGGGACGGAAAGGATATGCTGGAGCTACGACATCCTGAAGATATTTCGACTTGAGGTTTTTGTCCAATATTTTATCATATTTCTTGCAAACCTTCTTGAAACCTGTCTGATTAAGCTGAACGAAAGATTTTAGTTCACATAGTGACACATATAGACTGACTGCACGCTTTTTCAACGTAATCCCCGATGTATAAAAGGCATTGAATGCCTGCTCTGCCATATCCTCGTAGTTCATACTATTGCGTCGAGCAGGCTTTATTAAATCTGCTGAAGAGCGCATGTCCTCGAAAGCCCCCGTATTCACGTCTTGAGGAGAGCTCTTGCTTCTTTTTGACATGGGTGGTTTGCGCAGCGCAGTGTTCTCATCGTCGTCGTCGTCATCACTATCCTCGGCCCCTTCATCTATTGATCGACTTATTGTGCTTGAACGCCTTCTCCCTTTAGGGACAAAAGATTTGAAGATACTGTTTTGTCGTGGTCGATCGTTGCTCGATGCTCTTGGCCTGCCATTGCCATTGCCATCTGTTTGGTTGCTTTCTAGAACTTCAGCCTCGAATTCCTCTTCCTCCTTCAATAGCTCTGTAACCTCGCCAAAAATTTCAAGCTCCTTCGACTCGTAAAATGTGGATATTTTTTCCAATTCTGCATCTAGTGCTCTGCGAAAGATAGCATCTGAGTCGTCAATTGGTCTGATCAGAGGGGAATTTTCGGCGTCTTCGAGGGCAGTGGAGGGTCGATGTACATTCTTCTCAAGTTGGTAGATCCTGCGGAAAAAACATCATCAGCATCATTCAGAACTCAGTTCGCGCCAAGACTTACAATTTCTTCAAATTGCTATAAGCGATATAATGACTGCTCCAATCTGGAACAGCATTGAATTGTATACTATGTGAGAACTTCATCTCGTCTGCCTCCTCGAGTCTTCTTCTCTTTTCCGCCCTTCTTCTATCTCTCTCACTTATGTGCGATTCCGGAGGCGGATCGTCTCGTGCGCCAGGATATTCAGCGAGCTCAAATTCTTCGTAATCCTGTAGTAAATGTTGGCGCCTGTCACTTTGTAAACTCCCTCCTCTGTCCAGTCTTTTCGAAGATGTTATCTTATCGTTATCAAGTCGATGGAGCTGGTTAAGTTTCGATTTAGAGGAGGGATTGAGAATCACCTGCGAAGAAGCTATCTTGAATGTTCTGGACCTTCAACATCAAGATACTGTAGATGATTTCATGTAACTGGTAACATGTTGCGGTCAGGGTAAAGCCTGAGTGTGTGTGCCCAACATAGTGGAGACAAATGATGGTATTTTCGATGTGGTCAAATTTTGTTCACGCTTTGAACAAATGAAGCCAAGTTAATTGAAATGGTATAACATGATTTGTTGCATTGAGTAACCCAAACCTATGATTATGACAAGCATAGTTAATTCATATGTGCCTTGCTATTTTTACCGTATCTGTGTCTTACCCAACTTGGAATTTTTATCCACTTACAATGATGAAATGAAGCATGCATGTAATTATTACATTGTGATTGGTCAGAACATCATATCACAATCCCACGCTGCTACTCTACCTTCATCCATTTTTTGAATATTTTTTACCTACTAGGTACTCTGCATGTTACATCCGGGAGATCCTCGTGTAGCCAAGACATATCCCGTTTGCTGGTTCTATGAATCTGCATTGTGTGAAGTAACCCCCACGCTGCGGATGACCAGATAATACATTCGTCAATATATTGTGTTCATGGTTAAATAAACGGGCTATTGTTTGACTGAGATTGACAGATCCTCGTGATTTTGTGCAGCTAAACCACCATTCAACTCTGGAACCTCCCCTCTCTGGTCCAATGTGCAGTGGAAAATGAATTCTGAAGAGGTTGCAGATGGAAGGAGTACTGTGGCACAGTGGTTGTTCAGGGTGGGCTTGGAATGAGACCCCAGAACCAAAAAGGTCTACTGACCTTATTTTCACAAGCTTGGTAATCTGAGATTGGTATTGTTAGTTCACTTGCCCTGGGTTTACGGCTGGTTAATAACCCACGATATCAAGATGAATGAAAGGAAAGCATCTGGCATGCTTAATCAGAGGATGTAATTTTGAGAGCTAAACTCCGTACTTTCTAATAGATACCAACTGCCCGAAAGGCACAACTGGGGCTGCAGGTGATTTTAAGAAAACTATGACTTAACAGAGTTCCAAAATTCTCATTTATCGATACAATCAATGCCTCTCCAATGATACCTTGAACGTTCAACCTATCAACAGTACAAACACAAATCCCATCATCAAGGCAACGGAGCTACTTCCACCATACTGCAAATCCATAGCCTCTGATTTCTTTGAAGGGAGAGGTGCAATTACAGGAGCTGTGGCCGATGGCAAAGATGTCGTAGTTACTGGACTCGCTTCACCCCCTGTGTTATCACCACTGACATCATCATATGGATATGAGTCGGTATACTATTGGAGATCAGGACATTAGTGATTGTCTATCGAAGAAGTACTTTGACTCAAAATGAAATGTTGCATTGACAACGGAATGGGTGTTCAAGGAGACGGAGAGGTGGTGGGAGACAGAAATTGGTATCGGGCAGGGTAAATATATGAACAAATTACATACGTTGTATGTGCCATCAGATTTGCCCCATCCATCAACGATTTTTTTCAAGACTCCCTGGCCTGAGCCACAACTTGCTTTCGTATCAGGTAAAGGCCAGACTGGATCAAACCTATCTACTGATAGAGGACCTGGGTATGATGAATTGAAAAGCAACTTAGTGGTATTGACGGCATAGTTATCGTATCCTGCTTTGCTGGCGACAATACCAAGAACGTTTGCACCACAGTCCCAGCGGCCAAGAGAAGGGAGTCCCCAATTAAGCTCTATGGTTGAAAGCATACTATAGTGGTTGTAGAATGTATCATCGCTAGTGTTTTTGAAGGAAGAAGGAATAGCACCACCAAGAAGGATAGCAAACATCTTGTTTTCCTCATCCTCTTCGTCATTCTCATCCCATGTGAGTACAACCAAGGTATCGTTCATGAAATAATCATTGGTAAGTAAAGGTTCAAGGAACGTACGGGACCAGTTTCCAGCTACAGTATCATTGGTATCGTGGCCATTGTTTGTCATATTCGGTGTGATAAAAGACCACTGTGGTAGAGTCTCGTTTGCCAAATCTGATTCAAACGATTTAAAGCTTTTGATCAAAGCAAGCCTAGTAGCGTTGCTAGTGACTGAATCAAACATCACCAATGGGTTATGTTTGCGTACATAATCTTCTTGGAATGGGTCGGTTTTTGAGAAATTCCATCCCTCAAAGCCAGCATATGGTATATCTTCTTGGTATTCGCCCCAAGAAATTCCTTTAGTGTCGAGTAAGTCTACAACAGTCGATATGTTGGCCGGAATTCTAATGAATCCGTCTCCATCCATGCCGAATGTGTCACCTCCAACAACTGCACAATAGTTTGGTTGAGAAGGATGTGTTACTCCCCAGTAATTAGTGAGTGTTATGCCTTGCGCAGCAAGCCATTGAAAATTGGGGTCACTGGTAGCTTCCTTGTAATCCTATAATAAGGCTGTCAGTCTGTGGTCAATACTGAACATATAAGTCAGATATCTCAAGTAAGGATAATACCTTACCATATTCTCGAGCCATATTTGGACAAACCTGCTGAATACCTCGCCACCAACGTTAGAAATAGGAGAAATTGGTTGCTGAGTTGCTTGTGCCGCTATTATTGCAGTAAAGTCTGGCTCAATTGTGGATTGGGGTAGTGATGATGAGACGATGGGTTGTGTAGGAACAATGGCCAAGGTTGAGCCCAGAAAGATGGCCAACAGCTTGAGTGCTGAAAGATCCATTTTATGATTATCTGATTCGATGTGGATGTGTGTCAAAAAGTTTGAAACCCAAAAAGAGAAGACAATTGTTTTTGGTTGAAGTAAAGGAAAGGAAAGAAAAGAAAAGAAAGAAAAGAAAATAAACAGAAGAAAAGAAAGCAAATTGACCTATGGTCAACATTATAAAATAAGAAGGAGGATGATTGAGAGTTTCAAGCTTGTCGAATGAAGGAAGTCACCTCCGCAATACTCGTGGCTTTTCAATCTAGGACACGGGTCTGAAGACCAAAAAAGCATCTAGATTTGGTACCCGCAATGTAGAAGTATTGCAGATTGGTTCATTCAACTCGATTGATACCTAGCTTGACCCGTCAGTTCAAGATAAATTGCAAGTCAAGTGTTCCCGCTATCTGCTCATATCTTAAGGATACCAAACTTACCCTTCCATTCTGACACTTCCGTTATTTGAATCTACCACTAAATGGCGTCGCTTGATGTAAGCAGGAAATATAATGCGACTCCCTCTATTAGATTGAAGATCTCTCATGACTGCCCGAATGTTGCTTGGAGTGATCTTGTCGTACGTATCCGAAGACACATTGAGAATCAACCTGAATTGTCTTAAATCTGTATTTGGGTGACGCTCCATCAAGGAACGGTTGCACATCCGCACAAAAGACCTGTAGCTAATTTCTGTGTAGATCCACCATCGTTCTGTCCACGAATACTCATATCCTCCCGTGGCTTCTCTACCAAAAAAGACCTCTGTACGGAAGAACCGTGGTCGCCGTGGAAGTGCATAATAAGGAGTGGGCATTATCAAAGTTCGCGCGAAGAAGATATGATACGAATAAAAAACGAATCGCTCCTCGAGATTGTCCTTGTGCTCAGTATTTAACAGGAAAGCGAAGTTGTTTGATGAAGGAAAGTTCTCTTTGGTATTGATGATGGCTCGGGGTATTTAAGTAATAATCGATGAATAGAACGCGAAACCTTTTCAGTAATTGTACTTGGAGATCACCAAAAAGAAAAGTCGTTGGATGATAATAAGAGATGTTGGGTTTAACTGTTTCTAATCCAAATTGTCCCAGACTACATCCGAATAGCGCTATTAGTCTACCAACATGGTAGCTACTGCCAATCGCTCTATCCTGAAATCACAAAGATACTTATATTCCAGCTCTTGACCTTCTATATTCTTTACTACAGTGTTAGTGATACCCAAGTTTGCTCCAATTCTTACACTAACGAGTATAATATAAGTGTGTATCACGGATCAGAAACCAAATTAAATGACTTACAATTCTTTACAACCATTATACTTCTCTATTATTACAGTATTCATCAATCGATCCGAGCTCCAGTCATTACTTCAATCCTTGCAATCATGCTTGACAGTACATCCAACCAAAAAGAGAACACGCCTCTGGACCCTGTCTCGAAGAGAATTCGGAGAGATTCCAATCAGGAATCCACGCCTCCATTCAAGAAATATAAGAGATTTGAGTCGCCGACTAGTACGGATTCCTCTGCAGGATCTTCTCCAAAATCTGCTTCAGATTACGCTTCGAACAAACAAGATGCAATCACATTACCTCTTATAGAAATGCCAATGGGAAAAGATGGAGTTGATGCAGAAATATCTTCCAAGTCTCCTCCAAGAAAGGTGGTAACATTCACATCACCACTGGAAATCGGTCCTTCCAGTCAGATTCATGTAGGAAATCCAGAAACCAAGAGTATCCTGGTCACCAAAGAGAATTCTCCCGCTTCTCCCCTGTCACCTCAATCAAGCAGTGATATATCTTCCCCACAGTCACCTGAGCCAAGCAATTCTATGGTTTCTCCACCTTCTCCGCGACCAAAGAAACTCACGCTTCCTCCCCTTCCACCTCTATCGAGCAATACAATGGTTCCTCCTCTTTCACCTCGACCAAGCAATACCATGCCTCCCCCACCTCGACCAACTAGAGAATCTCGGAGTAGGAACACTGATAAAAATGAGGAGAGCATGTCATCATCTGCTTCAACCTCTCCATCTTCTTCCCGGACGCTTAATCCTAAGCCTTTCAAATTACGCTTCAAATTTATCAATCGCAAACCCAGAACTCGGAATATTAATGAAAATCCCCCTGATGATGAAGGAATTGATGTCACCCATGACATTCATGATTCCAAAAAGAATGATAGTGTTGAGGAAGTCGATAGAGAAGAGAGATTGGTTGAAGAAACAAGTACTGCAAAATCCAGTACCTCAACCTCAACATCCCTTGCCAGCTCACCGATGATGCGTTCATTGCAAATCGACCAAAGAATTATGTCAAAGCCATCCAAGGCTGATAGCGTACCTACTAAGGCAATCAAAATGGTCAGAGAATCAAATAAGAGTTTAAGCCCGGAGAATTATGGAACCCCTTTCCCCAATCCTCCGGTCCCTCCCTACACTATTACTTACCAAGGGTTAGACTTGAAGGCCCAAATAGAAGCTCATAAGTGTGAACTTTGTATACCCAAGGGTTGGAAAATTCCTTATCCCCGATTAGCAGATCCTATTATCATGGGACCTCTCTACCGCAAAGTCCTTCACCTGCAAAGAGATTCTGATAAAATCATCACTACTGCTATCGAGTTTACAGATGCCCCGGGCGAAGATAATGTCCACGCGTTCCTTGATCGTGCGGAGAATGATGCCCACAATGCAGGTATGCCTATGAATCTCAAGCCGACGATACTCGCTGTCAGATGGGGAAATGGAGAGCAATCTGGTAATCCAAATTACCGATCGATTTACAGTTTATACCGTGATTCATTCGTTTTTGTCATCGCAAACTCTTTTAGTTGGAGATTTGTAATCAACAAAATGCGCAGCAGGTTTATGCCAAAACAGAACTGGATTCTTTGGTGGGCGGAGAAGGATTATGTTGAAGATTGGGAGACGGATCTTTCGCGATGAGGCTGAAGTAAGTTTATCGATCAGCGCATACATATCTATGCACACAAACATGAGGGGACCATGCACCTTTATTTCCTAAAGCAATCGAAAATGAGAGGCGGAGGAGCTGTGATATAGACTCTGTAACTTTTCTATGCTTGGAAAGTTAGGACGGAGCAGCCAACTTCGAAAACCTAGCGTCTTTGGTTCTTCCATCACTTCTCATGATCATACTTCTGTGAACCAAAAATTAGCTATCGATTCGGTGTAGGTTTAAGGTGAAGGAGTTGTTAGAGCCGGTCTGGAAACGAAGCTTGCGCTCAATTCAGAGTCAAAATAATTGTACTTAGCAACTGTAGTCAATGGATTTTTTCCTTCAAGTTGTAGATGTTGATCAAGCCAGAAGAATTCATAGTCTGTACCCATCCGCTCTTCCACGTCGTTTTGACTGATGCAAATCACTTCAACCCAAAGAAAAAGATCTGCTTTCAGGATAGAAGTCAAGTCGTCCTCGAAAGCTCAAAATGGCCCAGGAATTTTGCAAGGTTTGCAATGACTTAACTTCGACACCATTCACTGTTATTGACGACAGTTGGGTAGAATCACCTCAATATATAGAAGCGCATGGTATTCTTTCTTCCACCAATATTGAAGCAGAGATCGTAGTACCAAATCTTATTTTTGAAGCTAGAACTGTGATCGTGCTCGAAAGAACATGCATAAAGGCAATTCCGACCGCGCTCTAGGATATAGTCTTGTCAGGCGAAATTTTTCGAATTCTCGGTTCTGAAGACGATATATCGAGAGAGGTAAAGGTATTTTTGTGCTTCGAGTGCGCTGTGATTCTTAGTATACAGTATTTTTGGTTTAAAGAGGGAAGCAGAATGAATTATTCGGCATTTGTTAAAGTAGGAAAGATATCAACGTGTGATGATGTTATGTGATGATGTTATGTGATGAGACTATTGAGAGATTAACTAAGTCCAAGTTTGAGTCTGTTTGCCTAAAATAATCATGTGATCATGCATCTCAATCCACATTGCTTTTTTGCCCCCTTTCTTTTGGCATCAAGCGGTTTCCCCTGATGCATGCCTCTATAAAATGATAGAATGAACGTCCTCTAATATTCATTGGAAGAACCTTAGCAAAGGTCATACATAAATTGCTTGTGTTTGATATTTCTTGCTTTGAGCACAATCATTACCCAGCATATAAGAAGCACCTGCCTCCTCTCCATTAAAAATGCAATCCGGGAGATCAACATCAATCATACTCCAACTATCTCATTGCGATTTGTTGATTCTGAGTTGTTGGCGTAACATTTTCTCCTAATATACTTAGCCTTCTTTCTTCTCTTAGATTGGCCTGATCAAAAATAAGTTCTTCATCCTCTTGATCTATACTGATCGATCGACAAAGCTCGCGTAGTCGACCAAAAGCGACAAAGATGGAGTCTAGCGATCAAGGCTATCTTGAATACGAATTTTCAGTGGCGGGGCAGCAACACCGCATTTCAGACCTCCCATTCCGCACAAGGGAATCTCAAGAAACCAGTAACCTTCCTCATCCTCAACATTCTGTTCTAATTGAATATCGAATTGCAAATGAAACTTTGGGCACCAGACTATTAAGTATGGGTGTTCTTTCCATTCACGAGTCCGATTCATATTCCGACCTTCTAGCTGCAATCAAAGGCAAATCAAATGATAGAGAGAATGTCCCATTAATCTGCAAAGAGAAAAGTATTGCGATTAGATGGAAAATTGGTCAAGCTGTTAACGATGATTCGTATGACACCCTTTGTGGCCCTGATGTTATCATGAATAGGCTCATACGCATGATGCGTGAGAGGCACTGGAAGGATCGACTGGTCGTTGTGTACCATGCAGAGGAGAATGATAGTAGTGATAGTAGTAAGAGTAGTAATAGTGGTTGGACAAGGGTCGGAAGTCAGGGGTCATTGAAGTTTTTTTGAAAATGTGATAAGCAGCAGATAGCCTAGCAGAGGATCGGAAGCGGAGGAGCTTTCATCGGGTGACTTCTAGGACTGTTCCTACAAATCAAATAATTGGATTATAGCATGAATAATGGATTAACGAAAACACTGGCCTCGGCTAAGAGAAATGTGAATAAATTGGACCCGACTAATATCTATGAGACTCCGAGGAACTTCAAAATTCTACTACACATGACAAGGGTTTATCAATCTAAGAAACTTCCTGTATTAATTTGCCGTCCATCCCATTTCCACTAGCCTTCACTCCACCTTGAAACAACGCGCCAATAGGACCCTCCATCCATTCTTCTGGTACACCGATTCTATTTCCATCCTTATTGCTAACCCATCGCACAAAAAGTGGATTTGGCTTCTGGGGTTCTCCTTCCGGAGTTGCATCAACAGCTGGGCCATTAAGATCTCTGCGGCGAGCATTAGTCTTGGGCGCTTGCTTCTTGAGAAGCTTGTTGATTGTTTCCATCTATAATTTGTGTTAGCCAGGAAAGGACGCAGCGAGTAGAATTTAGGCATGTATTTGAAGAATCTCTTGGGATATAATTACCTTCTCTTCCTCGTTCCGTTTCTCACTAAGATTCTTTCTTCTTCGCGCCATTTCAGCGCGTCTCATGGCGTGCTCCTCAGCAGTAAGATGCTTCTTCACTTGTACCTCTGAAAAAGACATTAGCGCGCAATTGAGAAATCATACAATAACTTACCATCGGGAAGAGCCATGAGATATCCACTAGCAGCATCGTCGAATCTTGCTCTTTGCCTTCTTGTCAATTTGTTAAGATCGGGAGTAGAAGCTCTGCTTCCATTTGCGGGTGTTTCATCATCACTATCGAGCAACTCGTCCTCTTCTGCTGCCACTTCAATCTCTTCATCTTCTCCTTCTGCATCTTCGTCATTTCCACTCTGCATTACCTCTTCTTCCTCAAGTTCCTCTCCCAAGTCACTGTCGAGCTCACTGAGCTCATCATCATCATCGTCACTGAGCCCAAGTCCTTGCTGTCCAACAGAAACAGCGGGCGCTGTGGGTGGCTCCTTCACTGTGATCTTGGATTTTCCAGCCGACGCTTTTGAAACTTGAATGGTAGATGAAGTAGGTTGTACGTCCATATCGATATCTCCATCAGCATCTAGGTCATCATCTTCACCTTCCGCATCTGGATCGTCTTCTCCCTCAGCATCTTCCATTTCTTCATCCTCATCATCGCTTTCTGTTTCCAAAACATAACTTTTTTTGACATTCCTGTTCCTCTTGCCCTCGAGGATTTCGCCGCCAACAAATTGATCTCTACTGTTAACCATAACAGATGGGCCGGTAATCGGGCTAGATCGTGTCGCCTCTCTCAGTTTACTCGACGACGTCTTGACGGTCAAACGCATTGACTCGGGACTATTCGATTGTGGTAGTGCCGGTCCACGTGATACGGTGGCCGACGAGGCAGGCTCTGGATTCGTGCGACGCGATCGCGATGACCTAGGAGATAGTTGTTCAGAAACAATGATTACGTCTCTTGCCTTGGCAGCGGCAGACCGCTGACTGCGACGTGTAGACATCTTATTCTTACACCGCAATCAAATACAAGATGAACAAATTGAAGGGGGTATGTGGTAATATTGATGGATTCCTTGATCCACGATGCTTTGTCTTGAGGTTATTGATGATACGGTAGAAAGATGTGGAGTGGTCTAAACACAATTGGTGGTGAATCAGATGGCGAGTGCTTTCGGGTCACTGCCTTGATTAGACAGAATTGCGGAGAATGACAGGTGAGCAGGCGCGTTGCATATAAACGCGCTGCTCTTACACAACTGCCCAATCCTGCCTTTTCACCATTGGCCAACCACGTAGCTAATAAGGTTCATTCTTTGATGCCTCATCTCATGCCCCTTGTTTGTACGACGATGGCAAGATATGATTATCATAAAAAACACGAGGGCTAAATCAAAAGTGGGAATAGAGTGGACGGTTAAAGGTAACTCTTAATTACGGAGATTTGCGTGCGGTAACATGGTACAAAGAGCAGAGGGGATTAACGCCATTGTGAGAATAATGGGATTTCAATATCTGGAGATGCTTCAAAGACTTACTCGTTCTTGTTGGTGGCTGGCTCAGCCCTACCAGCTTTTCCACGGTGATCTGTCCAATCGATTTCTTCATCTCCCTCAGAATCAGTACTGAGTTTTCGTATGCGCTTACTGGGCCGTTCGGCTTTTCCTGACATTTCGATTATCTTTGATATCCACTCCGTAAAGTATGTTGATGCTTATTCGTAGGCTTGAACGTTTGAGGTATGTATGTAGACTCTAGAGTTGGGTTGTAGCACAGTTTAATGATTGTTGCTCGAAAGGATACCCAAGTTTGAAAGATCGTATTAGATGGAAAGGGTGATATTGTAATGCCAAATATTAAAAGGATGAAGTATGAAAGAGATCTTCCCAAGCACTAATACTAAAAAGTGTAATTGTGGTGATGCTCTGGTACTTCCATAACGATAATGTCGGTCACCGCAACAAATTTTGGTCCCAATTAGGACTACTGTTAGATTATGTCATCAACCGAGGCACATACAAATACAATCCCTAGTAAATATTGACACCGACAATCTATCTACAAATGCAGAGCTTCGAAAGTTTCCATTAATTATCTAGGGGCTTCTTGAACAAGCAACATTTTACAGTATGAGTGATTCTGACGGCGAATCTAAACCTCCGGGTGTGCCTTCATGGCAACTTAAACGCGACGAAGAACAGTCCAGTGAATCGCAGGCTACAGCTACTGAGCCACTAAGTCGGACTGCAACACTCGAACAAGCCAGGAAGTTCTTGGAGGAAGATGATGTGAAGAATGCATCTACGGATAAGAAGATTGCTTTTCTAGAAAGCAAAGGTCTTGAGGGGGATGATATACAAGAATTACTGGGCGTATCACGGAATGATGAAGCTACAAATACGTCTATCTCTGAGGTCAAATCGTCAGAGCCAAGGGCACAACCTCAATCACTGTCACGACATTCACCTCCATCTACTCAAACAAGCTACGCACAAATGCCTCGCGATCAAGCCCCTATAATAACATATCCTGAATTCTTGGTTCAGCCATCTGCTTCCACTCCTCTAATTACCAAACACCGCCTTCTCACAACCCTGTATCTTTTCGGCTCCCTCAGCTTTCTACTTCACGGCACAAACACCTTTTTAATACGCCCTATGATCAATACCCTCACTGAGTCCCGGCTCTCTCTATCCTCGGCTACTCTTAATAATCTTCAAAAACTAATTCACAAGCTCGAGAATTCGGTCTCCGAAATCCCTCCTACCTACCACCACCATAAACCTCTTCAACCCGAATACCTCGACTCTGATGCTGGCTCCGTAACCAGTGATCCCACTGAGCTTTTCCATCGTGATATCGGTGTCCAGACGTCTCTCCCATCATCCCCTTTACAAACACCCAGTTCGCCCTCCCTGATATCCCACGCGAATACTGCGACCACAGCAACATCTATACAGACATCGCGTCTCACGACTCTACAAGGTACGTTGTCATCCTTGCTGGAGGACTCAACCTACGAATCATCTACAAGTGAAGAGCTAGAAACCAAGATGTCTATATTGAAAGAATATTTACAAGCGTTGATGTTTTCAACACCTACATTTAGTTACGGGTCAGGAGGTTTTGGAAATGGAGGAGATAGGAATGGAAATAACAAGGACGGAGAAGATGAAATTGCAAAGGTTAAGAAGGAGATCAGGGGAGTGAAGGGAGTCTTGCTTAGTGCAAGAAGTTTTCCCGGAGGTGTCAGGGCGAGATAATGGAGGTTGGAAGAGTAGGATGTATCAGGATCAGTAGGTTTATTAAATGATAATATATGAGTTATGAATGGATATTCATTTTTTGGAACCCATTTTAATCTCTATTGATAACAGCCAGTGTGAGTATAAAACGAGTACGAGATCACTAACTACGGATGAGATGTCTCAATTCGGCAGATTCCAAAACAAGTCTGACACCGCGCTTAATATACCAGACAGATTTCTTGATTTGTATCTTTCATCAGAATAGTTGGGCTCAATTCTGGGCGGCTTTAGATGGCATAAACCCAAATGGTCCGTTCTACCGGTATTTCGCACCATCATGGTCTCTATACTTGATCTCGGAGAAGGTCCCAGATTCTGTATCAATGGTTTTTCGCAAGCTAGAGAGCTAAGTAGCCCCATTCTAGACCACTGCGTTAAGACCATTGAGCTATTGCTCCAAGGGTAACCCGTCAGTTCATGAATTTCTTCCGCCAGCTCATGGACTATACCGGCTATCATCTTAAATAGAGGAAAAATTCTGGGCCCGGTTCTTATCGACACAATGGTATCTGTGGGATGATATGATACTTGGGTGTTGAAGATATCTACTTGTAAGTGTCGATGCGAGATATCTATCCTTGGAGATGAGGTTCCATATTTGCAGCTATATATGGTCATGTTGTCGTGTCTGAGAAAATTTAAGTGGGTCGCATTGGAATGAAGGCAACGTACTATTTAATGGCATTGTCGCGAGTCGCTTAGTAGAATCATGTATTCCGTATTGTCGCAAATAGATCGGTATATTGAGAAACTCGATTTTTCCGATTACTAATGTAAGAATAATCATGAGAAGGACTGGAAGGCACCTATGTAAAGCCAGACCAATAAAGTTATCGTTACCATATTCTTAGTCTGGTTATCGGTGGTTGTCGATCCTGGGGTGACTGAGTTAGTTGGAAGCCAAAATGATACTAGATAGCCTTCTCAATGTGCAAGAAGTAAGCCAAGGAGAAGCGAATTTTGAGCTAGATTAGGGCTAAACGTCATCATAAAATGTGACTACAACCTTATTAATAATTTCTCAAAACTTCGCAAGTCAAAATTGATAGATGTGCTAATAGTATGATAGCATTCTGATTCATTGAAAGCTTAAAGTTAAATCGAATACTCCCATCTGCCAAAGAACCCGGAAAATTAACCAATCTTCTACCACCATCCCAGGAACAGTGCCCTTGATTACTCGGCAGTTATGTCCACTCCTTGAATTATCTATGTACAGGCCTCGAATGGATGGCAGCATAAGATTGAGCCATAGAGCCCGTGTAATAATCTCCCTTCATAGAAATGCTCTTTGTGATCAGCTTGCGATTTCCGAGATATCATATTACGATCTCACAACAACGAACTTCGCAACTTGGAATCTTCAAACGCCCTCTCTCATCGATTTGCTCGTCTCTGTCGGTATCTCCTCCAATAAACGTCCAGTTTGTCCTTCTTCCGCCTCGGAGTGACAGGGATATTGTGCTTTAATATTCTGGAATGGCACACAAATAATATCGAACTCTAAGAGCCACCCCCTGTCGGAGTATCGTGCGGCCCTCTTTATATATGGCTTCCAGGAGAATGCTAACGCCATAATGTATAATACGATGCAAGATATCATCTCAAGAAACAGGACGACCCAAATGATAGGGTTGGAACCCCGGCCCCCTTTTCCCAAGGGCTCCACCCAGGAGAACAGCACAGTGACTGTCGCCCATGCTGCTACACTTGCAATTAAGTTGACTGTGAGCGCACAAAAGATTTGGCTTATACTGTGTAGTATATAGATCTTGGCTGGTCGTTCTTTGAGCTCTTCCGGTGACAAAGCAAGGGTATATATCAGCAAAGGTGGACTGTGCATGGAGGGTACAACAATAGGGAGAAGCCAGATGATATCATTAGATACAGTATCGGGTACTGAGCCACCAAACACATACCAAGAGATGGCAGAGATAGTGCAAGCAACAGAGAAGGTGCAGACTATTGTACTGAACATAATTGTGTGTTGGATCCGATGATTTGATCAAGTGGGAGTCGGGAGGCAATGCGTGTGATATGTGGGATGTATGTTTTGACAAATTTGAGAAGCAGGAAACCTGAACCAAGATGATTATTTTCGGAGCAAGACAAATGACACTATGGGCAAAGATGACTTTGGTGGTGAAAGAGAAATTATTCCTGTGTAATGGAGGGGTTAATAACTACTAACTAGACGAAGTCTGGCTTATGCATCATCGGGTGTACTTGCCATCTAGGAGTCGAATGACTGCTAAAATTGACTATGAATCAAACCGGCGTAACATTTTAAGTTCAATTAAATCATCGTTCCGGGAGACTAACTGAACAAAAGACAGTAGGTATGATTGTGTAACGAAGAAGTGCCCACCATACTTGACTAATTCGTAATATGGTTGTGATGATCACTTGATGTTCACTATGGTAAGAAACCAGAAAATTCAAGAAAAATTCATACAGCATTGAGCTTGACACTTGATCAAAATCGTGATAGTGACCTTCGTCCTTAACCCTCCATATCATGGATACTGGGATTCAACTACGATGAAGATTGCCAAAAGACGATACTTGACGTACTAGGATTGAAAATACATGGAGAGATAAGCTCAGTTTCTGTGATCTCGATAGGCTGTGAAGGAAGCTTCATAGCAGAATTTGAGTTACTAACTCTTTAAAAACAGAGAAATATCGTGCGTTCAAACGTGATAATTTTCTAGCTTCTAAGTTTGCTGTCATCATGATTTTGGTTAGGATGAGGATTTGATAATTGCAATAGTACTTATATCATTCACTGGTGCGATAGTGACTTGCCCCAATCACGAAGAAATATATTTTGAAGATTCCTTCACGGAAGAACCCAGTTTCGAGAAAGCAACATCGAGGAGGAGGAGGATAGATCCGACGTCGACTATAAGCTTAATCTTATCAGATACGACACACTCGGTCCCGAACTACGACACCCCTACATCCACTTTTCACCACCTCGAACGTCATTTTTTGAACCACAGGTGCTTGATACATTGATTCAAAACGTAAGTCGTTGAAAAAGAGTGACTGTTATGCAATTAAAGCTCAGCAGTCGCAGGCAGCCACGCAATGTATCCACTATCTACTATCTATTGCTTCACCAAGCTCGGTGTGACTCAAGAGGTACTTCATGAATATATAACAGGCAATGTCTTTCTTCGTTGAGGGCTTTACTCTAGCTTCTGGCACACGAGAAACATAATCATTGTAAATACATCATACAGTCAGTGTTTAATCAAAGATTCAACATGCCACCTCCACAAGGCCGTCGTACCTCATTCACTCCACATCCTGGATGGTCAGCTGTGGATGAATACACAATGTCAAAACTTCATTCCAGCCAAAAACCAAATCATGGAACGCTCGCTCACGCTCTTCGAAATTGCTCAGAGAAAGGCCTTCCGTCAATAAGTTCGTCTCCCGCACAAGGGAAATTCCTCGCCTTACAAGTAAAATCTATGAGAGTCAAGCACGTGCTGGAAGTTGGAACGTTAGGAGGATATGCTTCGATTTGGATTGCTACTGAGAATCCAGACTGTAAGACTACTACGTTGGAATTCGATCCCAGGCATGCAAAGGTAGCACGCGAAAATATCGAGCATGCTGGAGTAAGTGATAGAGTTGAGGTTTTGGAAGGATCGGCGGTGGATATATTACCTGGCTTGTTGAAGGAAATTGAGGAGGGGAAGAGGGAAAGGTTTGGATTGACATTTGTTGATGCTGATAAGCTCAATAATTGGACATACTTTGACTTCGGGGTCAAGATGAGTTATTCTGGAGCTGCAGTCTTCTTGGATAATATGGCCTGCAGGGGAGATCTAGTGAGAGAAGATCGATTTGATGATCCTCACGTTGAAGGTGCAAGAACGGCAATTGAGAATGCTGGGAAGGACGAAAGAGTCGACTGCGTAGTGATGCAAATTGTCTCGGAGAAGAATTGGGACGGGTTCTTGATGGCTGTTGTCAATTAAATTACCTAGAAAGATCATGTATTATCCTTTCTTCAATTGAAAAATGAGCTCTTTTCCTCTGTGGCTGACCAGTGCTAGGCAATCACACCCACCTTTCGGGCTGCAGTCCCAGTGGAGTAAGAGACTCGACGTGATTTGAACTCAATATCATGGTCTGGTTCGGGGGATATGTACAGGGCAATATACAAGGCTCGTGATGTAATTTGTTGATTAAGTTTACGAAGAGGCAAAGCTGATCGAATCAATCCACTCTCGAGCGCAAACATTCTGACCCCGAAACACCTTAAGGAAACTGAAGGACAAAGATTCTCTAGATGGCGAAGCAGAGATATCAAGTTACTACTGCAAGCTTATCGGGATGACAAATTGCTTCGTAAGAGTTCTGGCATCTGTTTACTGTAACTTATATATAATGCTTTTCCGGCTAAAATATGCGATTATTCAACTTTTTATATTTTAGTTTATCTATTACAATAAAAGACAAAATTTAAATTTTGCCAAAAAAATATTATTCAATTAATCAAATTTTAGAAAAAAAAATTAGAATATTTATTTTTATTTTTTAAAAAAAAACAAAAAAAAAACTAAAATGAAAACTTCAAATTTTTATGAAAATTTGATTATTTTGTATAAAAAAATGTTATATATTAGAATTTTTGAAATTCTTTATATCAATATTATATAATTATTTAACAAAAATGGTGGAAAATATTTCGAATAATTTTTTATATTTCAATTATGATTATTTATTATTTTTAATTTTTTGGAAAAAAATATATGAATATTCGAACAAAATATTTAATACAATAATTTGTATAGAAAACCCCCATTTTTGTAGGGATTTTGTTACATTTATTATAAGGGTGCGGTGAGCAGGTGTCAGAACTCTTATATGGCATGTGTTAGATGTCATGTCAGACTGCGAGGCTCACACCCCTTTCGGAAGTAGTCTCGCATAAGCCAAAAGCTATCTAAACGGTTTACATTATATAAGTAATGGATACTCAGTAGAGGAATGGGCCGGTTGTTTGATCTTTCTATATTCACATTCATTGGAATCGTATTTGAAGTACTGTGACCACCATGGCAAACTACATATCTGTCATCGTATGCGCGCATATATTGCTGGTTGTGGCGCAAGCAGCATTGAATACCTCACTCAATACAACCATCTCTATAAATCCAGAATCGGCCTATTTAATACTTCCTAATTATCATGGGAACATCAATCAGAGCTTTATCGACACACAAACAAGCAATGCGAGTTTATCAATCTTGTTTACTTCCGCAAAGTCCTGCGCATTCATATCCTACGATCCAGAATTCCTGAAACTTCTCGGTAAAAATCCCATAGCCACTCTTATTGCCCAACGAAATTATTCCTTTGCGAATGAAGCCGGTATATGGGTACCGGACCGCAATGAAGTGTGGTTCACAAGCTCCTCAATAGACGACACCACGACGATGTCGGTTCTGAACCTCAATACCTCCAAAATACACACCCCAAACACCAGTATCCCCATAATTAATCCGAATGGAGGCATCTATTTCAACCATCGTGTATATCTCGCTGGTGATGGTAATGCCACTGTCCCTCCTGCAATCTATGCTATCGACCCAGCCACAGGCTACACAGAAATCATCATAAACTCCTACTTCGGTGTTCCTTTCAATGGACCGAATGATCTTACATGGGTAAACCATCATGGAACTCCTTATCTATTCTTCACCGACGATCCGCTCTCCTCTCTTTACGATGGTGGACCGTCAGCAGTTCTCCCAGATGCCGTCTGGCGTTTCTCTCCCACGACCAAGTCTCTTGTTCCTGTTATATCCCGTGCAGATATCTTAGTACCTAATGGAATCAACGTTAATGCCGCTATGGATACCCTCTACGTTACAGATACCACATCCATCACCACAACAGATTCTGGTGGATACAATTCCGGCTCCAACGCTATCTATAAGTATGATCTCGATACTGACATGTTTCCTATCAACAAAAGACTAATTGGAATCTCGAGAACCGGAATCCCAGATGGTATTCACATAGATGATCAGAATAGGATATGGACGGCTGAGGGTGAAGGAATTGTAGTGAGAAATAATGTAGGAAAGGTATTGGGTTTGTTTAATGCGGAGCTCTTCCTGGACGATCCGGCGGGAGAACCAGGTATTGAGATTGCAAATTTTGCTTTGGCGGGCGATGTTTTGGTTGTGGAGGGAAGTGGAATGTTATGGACTGTGAAGCTTGCGGAGGTGGTTGTGAGTCCCGATCGCTATATACTCTGATGTCTAGATGGTCATATCAACTGGTATACAACAGTTGGAACGAGCAGACTAGGACTACAAGTACCTAATATATTACTCTAAGCCAAGTAGAAAACCATGACACCATTGATTATTATGTTCAAACAAAACCAACAATCTTCCCATCTGCTACCACCATTCTCCCGTCCTTTATTACACAGCTGACGTTCCTAATAACTTTTTCAAACTCATCTTTTTCCAAATCACCATCTAAAGCCACCAAATCTGCAATCCAGTCCTCACCCAGCCATCCAAAATCCTGCCCACACAACTCCCCACCACAGGCTTCCCATCCTCCTAATGTAGCAGCTCTTAGCACATCAGCTACATCGATCCCAGCTTGAACCATTAACTCCATCTCCCTCGCATTTTCTCCGTGGGGGAACGGTCCTGTATCGCATCCTGTGGCTAGTTTTACTCCAAGTTCCCAAGCTCGTCTGGCGTGCTCTTTGCATATAAAAATTGCTCTTCCTCCATCGTTCGCCTCTAATTCTACGACCGATAATGTAGGAACATATATAGTACCCATTTCTTTCATCACTTGCAATGCCTTTTCACTGGGCATGAGTCCATGCTCTACAGTCGTGACACCTGCTTTAGCAGCCATAATTACTGCCTCTTCTGAGCTGGCATGGCTTGCTACCGGGACACCAGCTCGCTTGGCTTCAGCTACCATAACATCCATTTCTTCTTGACTCCAAAGAAGAGAATTCGGGTTTCTCAACTTCTCTCTAGGGCCAAAAATATCTTCTCCTCGATTTCGAGATGGGGGAAACTGAATATCTTCGGAACCTTTGTATGTAGATGCTGGATAGCGTAACGCACGTCTCCGATACTCAGCATAGATCTTAATAACATCAGCACCAGCTCCAATTCTTCTCCTCACACCTGCTCTACATCCTTCAATCCCATCACAAGGATCACTCAAACGCGGAGTCTCTGTTCCGCCCAACTTATTCTCTTGCCGAATCTCATAGCTACCACTAGAAGCTAGAGGTTCCGTGGCGACGAACAAACGCGGTCCGGGGATGAGACCGCGGTTTATGGAATCACGAACACCAATATCGGCATTATAGCATCCTTCGGTCCCTAGGTCACGATACGTGGTATATCCGGCTAGCAGCGCGAGACGGCAATTGGTTGTAGCATGAATGGTGCGGGAGATGAGAGATTCGTCTCGTTCTTGGTTCAAATATGGTGAACCGGCTTCATCTACCCGGTGGAGGAAGACATGAGTATGCGCGTCTACAAAACCTGGTAGAACGGTTTTTCCTCGGAGATCGAGATCGTTGTCTCCTAATAAAGTAATTGGAGAGCTTTCACGCGTGCTAACTTTCGTTATTAGACCTGTCTTTGTGTTCACTCTAAGAGAAACATTTTTGTCGAAAGACTTGGTGCGACTGTTAAAAAGAGTAGTCGTGTGAATCCAATACTCGTGATTAGAAGACAAGGAAGAGCCTAAGGATGTTGATTTTACGTTCTGAGAAGAGTTGGATGTGGGTGATCGTGATGCCAAAATTGATGCAGAATCGGATAGAATAGATCCTTGTGTAGGAAGTTTCTTTGTCATTTTGTCTGGTATATGCTAAGACTTCAATTTGAGCACCACTGAGAGCTAAGCCAGAGTGCCAAATCTTCTCAATTGATTCACAAAACAAACGGCCGTCTACACTGTGTACCATGAGATGAATATATATTTCCTGACTGGCATTTAGCGCTGACTAGTGACGTACGCTTCGATGATGGTATTGGAAGAGAGCCTGGAGTCATGCTGGACACGGTGCGAGCTACAGCGTGCAGAGTCCGCATTTCAAGGCTCTGATAGGGTCATTCGTGTAAAGAAGCACAGGCTTTTACAGGGGCTGATTCGGGATTGACTCGCTTATTCCGAACTCCGCTACTTTGTTGCGTCTTACTCCGTCTGAAGCAGTCCATTTTTCGAGCACTCAATTGTTCAACACTGATTCTGAATCGAAGGATAATCAATCATTTGCTCCCTAAATTCGAAACGAGGTAGACAGGTTAACATGGAAATCGCAACGGTGTGTTTGAGGGCTCATCAACCAATCAATATCAACAGTATACAAATGGTTCAAGAACGCTGAGTTTGCTTTGTTCTATCTTGTTATGAAATATTAGTACAGACTGGCAGTGACTGGTAGTCATAGTTTCGCTCGAGTCTTCATGCTGTTTTCGATCACTTTCTCACCACCATGATTCACGAGCCACACCTTACAACTTTCGTTGGCTTGCCAAAAAAGCCCCCTAGGAGTATCAGCACCAATCAACGTGTAAGACTCTCGCGTCTGTATTAGCAAAATATTTCATATACACCGGAATCTTGCTACGATGGGAAAATATCACGAAGCGCGCGCAGCTTGACGTAATAATCTGTAGTCTGGGTTTTTTGGATTCTGATTTCTGGTGCGACAGCCATATGCTCCGATTCGAATTTAAATTACCAGCAGATCATCATTGTTGAATGATAAACCTTCTTCCAATATACCGGATTTATCCTCAAGTAGCAACTCGTCATGACCTGACCCTTCAACGACTAACAATAAGTCATCATATTGTTCTTCATCCTCAAGTTGCCAAGGGTGGCCGAAAAACATCTCCTCAGATTCCGATTCTATTGCCAATCTTTCCATTTCCTCACCGTTTGATAAAGACTCATAAAAATACTCATCATCTTCGAGGAGGAGATCGTCAAATCCATGGTCTGGCATACCTTCATCATCACTGAGTATATTGTCGAATGCTGAATTTTCACTGTGGTTATCCATAATCCACCGAAATTCATCGTCCAACATTGCTGAATCTTGTACGTCAGCGTCATCGGCGATAGAGTCCAAAAGATCTTCATATCCATCAATTCCCTCAGCCATAACAACGTCCTCTGAAGTCGAAAGTTTATTGATAATCTGGCGAGCAGCTGGTAGATCATGTAATGTTCGTTGCATCATTGACCATAGTCGAGCTTTCACCACAGCTGTCAGCCTTTTCTCAGAGCCTAACTCACCATGCATCTCTTCATCAGTTTTTTCGTCAACAAATTCGGAGGTCGGCATGTTTGCAATCTGCTCAAATTTTTGTCGCAGGCCTGGTGTTTGAGCATTGCGTGCCCATGAGGTCATCATTTGCATGATTCTAGGGGTGTAGCGAGAATTATGAGTTACCGACTATGTTTCTTAGTAATTGAATTGTATATGAAGAAGTACTGATACTACCTGCTTGAAACCCGGACAAAACATGACTGGACCCAAGGCTGCCAGTGAAATAGTTGATATTTTTGAGTTATTGTCAATCTTTATTCCCTTCGTCGTTCTCCGTCTCGTCTCTAATCCAGCAATCATAACATGCATCGCTGCAGTCACGAGCTTGCATGATGCTGTAGGATCAGGTACGTATGCTTTATCTTGAGAATTGAAAGTCGCATTGCACTTTTGGGAAACACTTCCAATAGTTGAGGATTTTGATGAGTTGTGGTTCGAAGTTTGAGCGCAATATCTTTTGTCGCCAGATAGAAGCAGCATTTCGTCAAAGGCTACATTTTCTGGTGACGTGGAAGCATCCTCTTGCTTGATAAAAGAATCAGTTTTCACCCTCTGTGAAACTTTAGAAGCCCTTTTCATCCTCTTAGGAGAATCACTCGACGAAGTCATGTATCTAGGAGCGGACGGGAATTTGGAGAATGGATTCGAACTTATGAAAGAATTCAATTGAGATAAAGCAGGTATAGCATGCAATGTGATACTCGAGGTTAAACTCTCAGAACACTCTTTCAAAATTTCAGAAATCTTCACTTTGGAGCCAACTTGAATGATTGATAATGTGCTGGGCACCCTTGCTTGAGTAGCTTGGAATCGTTCACTAGAGTTGGAGTACCCTTCCAGAAGCGACAATATGTTCTCACTGGGGCCAAATTTGACAATTAAAGATTTTTTAGGTGTACCTGATTGTGCGATCTCCACTATCTGAGAGGAGTTTTTGCCAACCATCGAATTTAGGGGAAATGGTTTCAGTCTTCTTGAAGTTTGACTCCCTCCAGACGTAGGTCGAAATGATAATCGTACTTTTAGCTGCTCCATTTCAGCGCAGAGTTGCGCGTCCGGTATCCTAATGTCGGTAGTTGTACATGACCAAGGTCGAACGTCGAGAATCAGTGAATTTAAAGGCTCTTTATTGTTTAGCTGAAGAGAAAGACTGTTCCTCTGCATTGGTTCATTTTGCAAATGAAGTATCGCGGATAATCCCAGCTGTTCCCATATCTTTAAATGGTGAGTAAGTCAATTTTTCTTTAGAGCATTGATTCGACAAACCTTTGACTCTGCGACGAACTTACCCAACAACTCCATGATATGATTATTATTGGTTCCAAACGATTCTTTCCCATCAAGATCAACAACGAAGTCAACCCGGCATGAATTTCCGCTAGCGACCCATATTTCTCCCGATGTCAAGGCTTTCAGACACTCGTCAACTGACAAAGTCTCCAGGTTCCCAGACGGTAGTCTAATAACAACCTCGTACTCTAAATGCAGAGAGAGATTGTCCGAGAGAGATGAGAAAGCAACAGGACCAAAGCTTAATGCCCTCAGAAGCATGATAGAGAACACGATAAATCTGATCAAGCTAGGTAGTCAACAATGTCCTTGAAAATTCACGCCTGGAAAGGAACAATGGAATTAATAATTAATGAACACGATAAGGTGTGTAAAGAAACCGATCTAATGAAATCAGAAGACAGAGGAAAGAGAAATTGTAAGAAATGAACAAGAGAGTATTGATTGAGAAAAAAGGTTAGTAGTGTATTACAGATAGTATATCAAATTCCGCTCATCAGGCAGGATATATTGTCCTTATCTGGTGATCTCCCATATAAGAAGATGTGACATTGAGATGAGGCACGCATGAACGAATGTGTGTGTGTCACTGTCGCTGATAACTTTTGGTTGATAGAAAGATAGAGAGAGAAACAAACGTGTGATCTTTTCACTACACTGTCACTGGTAAATATTGATTGTGACAAGTAAAAGAGAGAGACAAAGAGAGAGAGAGAGAAAGTGTATTTTTCGGCAAAAGATTCTGCCCCTGTCTACCGCTCAAAATGATCTAAATCACATGTTAAAACCTTTGGTGACGGTATAACCCACAATTATATACAAGGATGCTCGATGTCTTAGTCTTATTTCAGCCTCTCTTTAATCCACTACAATAATCTCAAACCTAAATCCCGAATCCAAGAAACCTCCATACTACCTAGTCTCGAACGCTCGACCAATTCCAGTCGCCAATAGCCAATCCCAAGTCTCTGTCGAAGCCTTTGCTTCCGAATTACAAAGTAAAATCAACTCTTCGAGCCCCAAAATAGTGCCGTTCTTCCAGAACCCTATCCGCCCCTCCCCTCTTTCAGAGTCTTTCCAAAACCACTTTGTATAACTACCTACCGCTACCATGGCTTTGAGTAATGTTGGATCAATCGTTCTGCAAATTCTTATATTTCTAACGACTCTGGTGAACTTTACCTTCACTCTCACTTCGCTGGGACCTTTCTTTCTACTCGTCCTGTATGCACTATCTAAGATTTGTGCAACGGCACCCGAGGAAGATATATTCAAGAAATGTCAATTACGTCACCTCTACCACGATTGATGAATGATACATCTCAGCCCAACCTTGACGAGCCTCAAATTTCATATTTGAAAGATGATTCATCTGCGAATGAAAGCGTTCATAGAAACCGAGGGTCAAAATCCGATATAGAAAACAATTATGAGCATGCCAATGGGAGTGCAAGTGGGAACAGAAATAGAAGTGGAAAAGCAAATGGGAATGGGAATGGGAATGGGAATATTTATACCAATGGCAATGCAAGCCACAGAGGCTTTGCGGTATTAGATGCCTCCGATGCGGGAGGTGATCATGGAATAAATGGAGTGGATCAACAGCCAGACGCTGAGGATACTGCAGTTGCCAAAGTCAGTATTCGTGATCGTATTGGTTGTGTTACATGGACATGGTTCACTTTAACAATGGCCACTGGAGGAATTGCAAATGTCCTTTATTCAAGTATGTCAATCGATACAATTACATTTGAGACCGGTTCTAACATCCTACAGTCCCATATCGATCGAATTGGCTGAGAATAGTAGGAGAAATAGTCTTCTTTTTTAATCTTATATTCTTTGTAATGAATTGTATATTAATATCTCTTCGCTTTAAATGGAATCCTGGAAGTTTCTCTAAATCTTTCCTTAGTCCATCCGAATCTTTGTATATTCCTGCTTGTGTAAGTCGATTCTAGTCTCAGTGCCTGTTGAAAACTTGTCTAATATATGATCAGATGATATCGTGAGTAATTTCCCGCCATAGCCAAATGATCACGTCTAAACCTTTTTAGAATGGGAACAATTCTCGTAACCATGTGTCAGTATGGAATCCCCAAGACTGGCCTATGGTTCCAAACTACCATGCAGGTATGCTTTTGGGCGTATTGCACTTTGAGCGTAGTTGCATCGTCCGGCATGTACCTATTGCTTTGGTCCACTCAGTAAGTCTGAGTATACCCTTCTCTTTGCAAAACGTCGGCTTATATTACTGCTTAGAGAATTTCCCATTGCTAATATGACTCCCCTCTGGACCTTCCCTGCCTACCCCTTACTACTGACTGGTCCAGTTGCAGCGAATCTTATCTCTACTTTACCAAATGCAACTGCAGCTGCACGCATCAACTCTACTGCTATAGCTTTTGGGGCAGTTTGCTTCCAAGGAATTGGATTTCTTCTCAGTCTCATGATCTACAGTGCTTTCCTCTATCGATTAATGACCAAGAAACTCCCCCAAGAGACAACACGACCTGGAATGGTAAGTCATACCTGTAATTATTCTTTCAATTAATAACTAAGTATCTATAGTTCGTATCAGTTGGCCCTTCCGGGTTCACAGTGACAGCAATCGTTTCTCTCTCCAATTCGGTGCAGACGACCATCCTACCCAATGGTATTTTTGGCAATACCGAGGGCCCTTTCGTTTTATACTTGATGGGTAGTTTTACAGGACTCTTCATCTGGGGTTTATGCCTTTGGTTCTGTTTGATATCTGTAGGCGCTCATTGGCAGATTATGCAACCTAATCACCCGGAGCATCACATTAGTGCGGACATGACATGGCAAGAATCTTCCCATCTCAAACATCTCAAGCATTGTTACTAACATAATCAGGAATTCATTCGTCTTTCCAAATACAGCACTAGCCACGGCTACGATACAAATTGGTACGGCATTTGGATCTAATGCTATTCGGATTGTTGGCACCGTGATTAGTGTCTTTCTGGTTGTCGTTTGGTTAGGCGTGCTGTTCATGATAGTTAGGGCAATCTTCCTGAAGAAAATGCTCATGCCAGGACACCTTAATGGGGCTGCTCATCAAAGAAAGAAATGGGCGAGAAAATATGATAATGGTATATGGAAGGACTAAAGTCAGAATCGTGGAATTATCTACCTGGTACAATCCATCCGAAAAACTATTTGAAATATTTTTATCTTTATCAATTCCTGATTCTAGGAATGGTGGCTATAGATTTGAATTTCATTGGATATTTAATAGGATACTTGTAAGATGGGGGTGATAGAATTGTATGATAGTAAAAGAGATCGAGATATAGACAAGGGTCACTGTGGAGTGTTCAACCCATTTAGAACTTTCTAGATTATCCAGCAAACTTAAGTTATCAAAACCACTGATCGTATCACATTATTGGAGAATCCATTTTCAAACATTGAAACCATTCCATCCCAGCCGTGACAATCTTGGCCGAAGAGCTCTGACGTCATATCTCGTCGCGTCAGAACGGAAAGAAAGTAAATAATCCTTCACACATCAACATAGATAACGTGTTAAAATTCTCCACTTTGTACCTGAGATTGTATTTCGCTCAAGCATTGTGCTTTAATATCCATATATTAACGACAGAAATAACAATATGCCACCGACTAAACGACCTTTGGCGCAAGCCGACACGAACGTGATTCTGCCGCCGAAGAAGAAACAGAAGGAGAAGGATGTTACACTTATTGATGATCACGCATCGAAAAGTAAGGGAGAGTTGGTGGAGTTGTTGAAGGAGCGATCCATGCCGAGTAACGGGACGAAGGATGTCTTAATCCAGAGGTTGAGAGATAATGATGGACACGTCGCGTCCAGGGATTCAGGAAAGACAGAGCGCAGGAAGTCTGCGAGGATAGATGCTGCAGAGCAAAGTGCGAAGATGAAGGAAAGGCGCGAAGAAGGCTTGAAAGATCTATGGACTGTCAAGAATAAAGCATTGGCTTCTCCGAGTGCGCCAATCGTCGAGACGTCTTCCGCGACATCTGAGAGGAACTCGGCCGCAGTTCCCCCACAAAGCTCGCATGGGCATCGCATCAATTATAGAACAAAGGATAATAGTAAATTGAGGGCATTGTTACGCGATTGGCGAGTGATGCAGCCGGAGGAGGTGGAGAGTATGGATAGGATGGCGATGATCGAGAGGCTTGAAAGACATGAGATGAGGGGTTACGGAGATGATTATGAGAGTTTGACCTGTGATCAACTTTCCACATTATTAAGTGCACGGCTACTTCCAAGTAGTGGAGTTACGAAAGCGGCGCGAATGGAACGATTGAGATACGATGATGCTTTGGATCGAGACAATGGGAATTTGGAAGAGCGTAGTCTGTACACTAATCTTGTGATTTGTCAAAATGAGATACAGAGATATGAACAAATGTTGAATTGGGTTTATGATGAGGAAGGGGAAAAGTTATACCAAAATTTGGGTGTGGGGCAATTGAGATCCCTAGTGGACTTGAGGCAACAAGGGAGAAAGATAAAAATTGTTTGTGAAGATTCTGAATTAGTTGAATGGTTAGAAGCGGATGACCAAAAGCTGGCGCGAAAGAAGAAAGTCGAAGTATCCAGTCTCATGGGATGTGAAGTCCCCGAGGAGCTGGAACGATGGGAAAAGAAACTTGCGGATACGAGAGTGGAATTAGAGAGTAGGATAGGCCATCCACTCCCAGCCGAGGTATCAATGCAGGAATCGTTCAAATACGATGTTCCTGTTGTTACGAAGAAAGCTGGGGACCAAGGAGCCTTGAATTGTGATCCTAAAAAGACGAATTGGGGACTATTCAGTTCTGGGGAGCTTTGCAAAATTGCTAGGGAGAAAGGTGCACCAGGTTATGGAACAAGAGATGCGATGATCAAATGGCTTGAGACTGGGATCCTTGAGTATGAGGATATGCACATCGAGTCGCTTAGGGAACAGTGTTGGAAGCGCTTAGTGCCGCAATACAGTAATGATGATAAGGAAGCTTTGATAGAAAGACTTAGAATTCTGGATAAGTATGAGGAAGATAGCGAGGAGAGCGCTTCAAGGGAGGCTAGCGAAGTTGCCGATGCCGAAAGTGTTGATGAAGGCAGTGTTGATGAAGGCAGTGTTGAGCAGGATGACAAGATTGTTTCGATTGCAGGGCCATCCGCAACTGGCACCGTGTCTAGTGACTCGCCATATGCAAAGAAAGACAATAGTATGCTTCGAGTTTTACTCCGAGATCGACACCTTCAAATTTCCGGTACACGGGAAGAAATGATTCATCGCTTAGAAACTTCTGCTTACAATTACGAATCCTACACTTCCGAAAAGCTGTCACGTATACTCAAGCGTCGGGGATTCACCAATGCCTCTCGCGGTAACAAAGCACTCAAAGTCGAGCGACTGAAGAACAGCGATGAAGATCTCTGCGACCGAACCAACTCGGAAGTAATGGAGTTGTACAGAGAAGCCCATAAAGATGACCAAAAAATCAAATACGTAGAGGCAGCTCTGAAAGCTTTAGCTGGAAAGAAAATCTCTTACCAGAACTTGGAGCCCCCTGCCCTTTTGATTCTTGCAAACAATATGGGAATACAGACAAGTGGGGATTATGATGAGATACGAGCGTCATTTCGAGCTGATTGCGATGAGCGGGGCCGTCAGATCAGTGATCCTGACTACAGAGAGGGATCTATTGAAAGATTGGAGTTTTTGCTGGACATGTTTAAATCCGAATCTACGATAGAGAAAGCAGAGCTGAGAAGGATTTTAAAGCACCCTTGTTTGGATGTAGCAGCTGTTATAAAGCAATGTGATGATGTGTGGGTCCGCGATCGTGAGATCGTGGAAAATCACGAGTCCGAATCCACATTAAAAGCTCAACTGGATTCTCATGCGACAAAATCTCCCACCCCAAGATCGCCAAAGCCAGGACCTAGAAAACGAAAGCCGTTCTGTGATCATGATTGGAAAGACTCACATTGGGCGAATAGGAGCATGAGAGATTTACTTGACATTTGTGAAAGGAGAGGAATGAAACTCCACGGCACGAGAGCTATATTGATCAAGTACATTGAGACTGGCGAGATCGACTATGAGGACCTATATGTTGATGATCTGAAAAGTATGTGCGAGAAGCGGCGAATCAGATGTAAATCCAGCGCAAACAGACTTGATATAGCGAAGCTATTGAGGGAGACTGACGAGAAAGAAATTGCTTATCGGGATCTGGGAGTTCCAGCTCTAAGAAAATTGTGTAAGGAACGTGAGATGAAGGTCAAGTCAAATGAACCAAGACAGGACTTGATAACAGATCTTAGAGTAGCTGACGAAAGGACTGGGCGGGTATAGGAAGCTAGGTTGAAGAGGGCATTTCATGGGTACTAGTAGCGATCATTTTGTCACCTGGAATTTCGATGATTTTTCTTGCAAGCTCGTTGCTTTTTATTAATACTATTACATTTGTAGATATTGTAGTCTGAGCCAGCGACAACTTGGTGGATGACTAACGTGATGATTTGCTGCTATAAAGCCGTACCGTTTATTTCAGGACCAAAGATGTTGTTAAATGGAGGACTGGTCCATGGATGAAAGAGCGGCGCTTGTGGACATGAAGTGGGGATAGTTAGAAGAGGAGGAGCGAGAGGTCGTGGTCAATCTAGTTGACGAGCTTCTTTGGGTCTGACAGATCAGGGAGACACTCGAGCTTAAGATTGGATTGTGGTGGGGAGACTTCTGTGATAGATCTGGCTGTTTGTGGAGTCGGATTCTATGGTGGACACCAGCGGTTGTATAGGTCTAGGGTTTTGGAGGAATCGTACTTCGACATTATGCATATAATCAAACGGTTTGGGTATCTCAGGAATCTGAGAGTGATGGATTTCATCCAATGCTCTAATCAATATAGAAATTTGTTTATACAATCACTTCATACTGCCTGCAAAGGGGGTTGTCAAAGTTATTACGCATTACTGGGTAAGATTGTAGAACATATGTGTTTTTCAGATACTACCTAGGTAGGTATACATGACTGCTATTAGATACTTGGATTGTATTGCACACTAGATAATGAAGATATACTTATCAGTGGAACGCAACAGCTGCTTTTGGGTTCCTAGTACTCGGCGTACAATCGTAAGTTACTCGGTATCCTCGTCCTCGAGCCATCGTGGTTTGCTGATTATGTTATGTTGAAAGTTGCGGTGCGAAGAAGCATAAGAGCTAGACCCGATTGGTACTAGTGACCACTTAGGACAATTGGCGTTCTTCCGTTCTTCCGATCCCGTCGTATCCTTTCCTCTTTACCATAATGTACATTTACCATACCGGCAGTCTAACTGCCCTCGAATTCTAGCCTTATACTTCCCATCGCTCCTCATGGTCGAAGAGCAATAATAGAAGTCTCGTTCATCCTTCCGTTCTTCCTACATCCAATCATCCAATCATCCAAAACCTTGTGGTAGCAGTGGAACGAATACTTTTTGGCTTGGTCAATGTGACAGCTCATTGGCTCCATATATTAAACGCGAAGTCTCATGCTCACCTGAACTTCACGCCCCTGCCATCACCAACGAAATCCTCGGACCCTGATTTCTATTTCTACGTCATCTCTGCCAAGCATCAAGATTTCTTCAAAAAAGACATACGAGTAGCACACTGCCACAATGTCAAAAAATCTTGAAATGAATCCCTTGTCGTTGCAATGTGTGATTCAATTACCTCACCGCCAACCATTCACATGCGATGATGAACTACTGCTACGAATCCTGGAACACATGAGGACGTACGATGATCTTATTTCGATATGTATATATACTGGATACTAAATACTCGGTCAAGCTGCAAGTATCGACAAATAAATCCATCGTCACTTCGACTGAAACATAACAACAACAACTAGAAGACCCATAACCAGCCTCCTCCAAAACTTAATATTTTTTTTTTCATCAAACAAAACTTAACCCATACCCCCATATTTCTCATCTCTCGGCAACTTTAATATTTATATCGAAGAGATCGATCTGCAATATTCCTAGAAATCACTCTCTGGAGATCAGATTCTACACAATACCTTCAAATTAATTTTCCAACGATAATTATACCGAGATCATGGCTTTCGCATTCACCCTCCCTCTTCGCATCGTACAGGCGGTCTTCTCGATCATCGTCCTCGGTTTGATGGCCTATGGTATGTACACAGTTCCCCTCATATTCCTTCTACTCATTACTAACACTATCTAGCTGCCGACGCATGGTCCTACTGGTGGTCACCCGATTCTGTCAACTTCCTCGTCTTTACAGCCGTTTGGACTATCCTCGCTCTCATCTACCTTATCATCGCACCCACTCATTTCCCAACTGCAGCACATAAATATGGAATCCTATTTGCCGAGGCTGTTACCATGATCTTTTGGTTTGCAGGCTTTATCGCCTTGGCTGTTATGCTTAATAATGTCAACTGTGGACATTCCAACTGGAGCGTATGTGAAGCTAGCATTGCTGGAGATGTCTTTGCTGCTTTCTTATGGTACGTATTTTTTTCTCCGTTCTCGATAATCTTTTCATGTCGCGGAAGAATGGGAACTGACGTTGGTTAAATAGGTTGTTGTTCCTTGCTACTACCATCATGGCCGCTTTACACGTTTCCCGCAGCAGTCGATCCAGCGATCGTCATGATCCTGCTATGGAAGTCGCTGTCTAAACACCATCGTACGATGTCGAGCACTACGGATATGCATCGAGGCTTGATTCCTTCACTTCTATGAATATCTTTTGAATATAATTGGTTATAAGTGATAGTATGGGGGCGTTTGGCATGGGGTTGGGGTTTGGTCTTGGTGATGAATACGTGAAAACGATAAACGAGATATGAAGGGGGGAGGGAAGTGGGGTGATGGGGGGGGGAACGTTCGACTTTTTATACCCAAAATTGCTTGCTTTTTGTTTTATTGAATATCAATAATTATCCTGATATCGTCTATTGTGTTTGTTTATGAAGTATTTATCAGGTGATGTGATGCTATATCTTTATACTATCTTACTTTCCTCCACATGTTTGTGATTATTCTGCATTGATCTTCTCCATCACACTGGAAATTGCAAAGCTTGTTAGATATTGAATATCTCGCTGTCATATGTGGATATTTTGGTCCGTCGTCGTGTAGTCACGATACGATGTCTTTAGTTGCTTCCAACGCCTCCCCTCGATATGAGAAATAGATGGTGGGATTAAGATGAGACTGTGTGTTGATATATTTAGCTGAGTGGTGTAGGTATGAGGGATCTATGTGAGGGGTAGAGATTTGTAGGATGGGATGGGATGGGATGGGATGGGATGGGATGGTTTTATTTGGGTTAGGTTGGTGGATAGATGATAGTGGGATGGTGGATGGATAGCATATAACCTTCAGATATCTACTTGAAAGTGATGTAGTAGTGTATATTGTACTACCTCATGAGGAGTGATTTCAAGTATGATTGTAATGTTATGTTATGTTATCTTTAATTCGACGCTTGTTTGCACCACAACTTTAAGTCCAATGTATATATAGCCAAGGGTAACAGAATGAGAATAAGATGCGCAGACCAACGCCATCCCATATTCTAGCCATCTCGTTGCAACTCCTCTCCTAGTATGGAAAATTAAATACTTTGTCTGGACAATGTACCGCGAAAGAGATTTTGTAGTAATTCGCTACGCGATTCATGAAATCCACACAGCAATTGCAGAAAGGCTTACTGACAACGATGAAAAGGCCCTCGTAATATTCTGGCCTTATAGGCTCATCACCTTTTTCCCAAATCACACATTGGTTGCTGGATAGTGTACTCAGGACATGAGTGTAGAGCCAGTAGGCTATAACTTTTTTCTCGGCGTGACATGCATTGTAAATGCCTGGGTTCCCGCGGTCGAGTGAATCATCTCGCAACTTATAACCGATCGTTTGACACATTTGCTGGACTTTTTCGGTCCAGATTTTGTTCGGGATAAATGAATTTGGACATCCTTTTTCGAGTACCATGGGAACCCAACCGCTGATAGCATTGATAACTTGAGCTTTTGAGGCGTCGAAGTTCGTTGGTCGTCGTGTTGGTGGTGGTGATTTTGTTGGTACATATAAACGAGCTAGATGAAGCATTGTCAGACAATCATGTCGAAATATGACCCAACTGAAGGGACTAACACACCTACGGTCTTCGTCGCCTTTTTCACTTCGAATTTCTCCAAATGAAAACGATGGACCCGCTCGTACAAATCGATAGTGTAGTACAAACTTTGTGGTCTTTTTGAATGATATTTAAACCAAATCGATCGATCGCGTGAGTCCTGGGTAGGCTTTTCCGTAACCTCGACTTCTTGGTGGGGAGCCAGTGTATCACAACAATTCTCACATGGTGTCGATACGATATTGATATTCTCGTCTGTGGAGTTATCGGTCCCAGTTCCAATTGAGGGAACTGCATTACAAGAATCTTCGTTTTGAATACCGTGCTGTGCAGCAAGCTTTCTGGCAATCTCGGGAGAATCGAGTATATGTGAACCCAGCTCTAGAGCTCCTTGTATAAGAATTTTGAGAATATCATTTCGCCGCCCGATAGCAGAGTCTTTATCGCCACCTTTCAACTGCCCTCCGTCTGCAGTCTTTTCGAGAATGCTATTGACTTTGCTCAAGATACTTTCGAGCCAGGAAGGGTCAGGCGTGATATCAAGCGAGCGATAGCTAGTCAACTTAGGATCCGCATTATCCGTTAGTTCGTTCCAGATTCCCTTGGGTGCCTTCTTTATGACTGGTGTTTCGAGTGTAGTTTCGGAAAATGCTTCAATCAAATCGCCAATACCGTTGGATGTATCTTTGGAATAATTTGTGCTTCTAGCACCATTGTTCTCGTGAGACTCAGTGGCTGGTTCATCTCCGACAAGGGTTTCATCTGCTTCATTTGAATTTAGCTCTTGTACGACAGGAATGTTACCAGACTCAGCCTGACTCTGTCGAGACTTAGCCTCTTCCTCAGCTTTTCGAAGCTTAAGTAATGCAGTAGCCTCCATCATTAATTCATATGGTTGCTTTTGTCTCGCACTTCCTAATTCTGATAGCCTTAAAGCCTCCGTCATCTTTACTTGATCACTACGCCTAGCCTTACGATTTGTGTACAGAAGTTTTGTTTATTCTTTGTTTTGTCGCGTGGGGTCGAAGAGGAAGTTCAATATATGTAAATTATTGAAGATTGAAGATCTATCGTTCGCATTTATTACCTCTCATCATAGCTGACAATCTGACTCAGCCTCATACCATTTTGGATGGTCGCACAGCATGAAGTATCTTACTGTGTGGGCGATTTTGCAGCCAGCCTTGTATCTGCCTGGCCCAAAAATGCCTGATTGAGTGCCTTGGCGTCTATTATTGATTGAACGTCCTCCATGGAACTTGAAAGAAAATAACGAGGTGCGCAAACCATCTACTTAGATTGGCTGAAATTGTGACTCACATCTTAAAACGCAGGGCTTTCCAACAGTCTCAGCACGTATTTTGCTTGATCGCCCTTCCAAGGATCGTGATAAATCCAACAGACTTTCCATTATTTACAATAGTTGGCCAAATTGTTGGAATTTGTCAGGATCTACACGAAATTCCACGTGAATGTTGTCTGAAATTCCAAAGTGCTTTTTGAACTTCTCGATAAACTCTTTACAATCTTCTAAGATCTTTCAACTGACAATCATGGGGGCTCCTCGTGGAGCTGAAGCTTTGATCTCTCGTTAGAGAAGAGTATTTGGTAGTTTCATGCTGACTTGATATCCTGCGAATGTATTCTCGTAAAGATACCAAAAAGCAATTAATTGTTACCGCATGACATACATAGTACCTGCCCAGAAAACCATTGTCCAGATCTTTTTGATGAAAAGTTTATGGTTGATGATCTTGCAAAGTTCTTCAACTTGTGATGTCCAGGTCAAGCTCGATATAGTATTGTTTTTTTAAGGGAGGGGGGAAGTTGACCCCAGCCACTAGCTGCGGTACATCGATGAAGACCATTTATGTTGAATCGAGCTTAAAAGCAATATTTCAGCGCGATTCGAATAACTCTTTTGAGGAAGCTTCAGTTCCTGAGTTTACAGGCCACTGACCAATTTTCATTTTCTGTCTTGGTATAGGATAGCTTTGCATAACTCGTGGAACGAGCTGACATAATTCAACGAGTTGATCAGTCGAGTTTTGGTGGTACCGAAACCAGCGTGAGAGATCTGGGTTGATATGTTCGGATTCGTTCTTGTCTTCCGGATGCTGAAAACATGTCTTCTCGAGTGGAGAGATTCAATAGTCAATAATGCCGGTAAGTTGGTTGGGACAATGATCAATCGATTCTGTTGTCTTTATGTCGATATCGGCAAGAACGTTAGGAGCACGGGCGACGTAGTAGTCAACATCGGCACCAGTATCATGATATACCACCTCTTCACTCTTCTCGATGAATCCACTCCAGCTTTCACTAATATTGATCTCTGAACTGTGAGATCTAAAAGCTTCAGGATCCGCATCCCTCCGTTTCGTAATGATGGCACATAACAATTGATATCTTCGTTCTGGATTCTCTTCGTTTTGACGATGTCTTCTCTCCTGGTTCATCCCACTCCATTCCATCATTTACTTGAAAAATTTCATCGCCAAATGAAAGAATCAAGTTCGATCTGGCTTTCAAGCTCTGTAACTGTTTCCGCAGTCTCCGTAGCATGTTCTTCCCCAAATTTACGGAGGCACTCGACTTCTTACTTGCCACCTTGACCACTCTTATCTAACTTCTCAGCGGCGATCTGGACAGAATTTTCTTGTAACACAGCAATGTTCTCTCTCAACTCTGTAGACTTGACATCGATATTGGTCATGGTTCCTGATCTTCCTTTCTCAATAATCGCCTGCAAACTTCCATCAACCAATCTCATAAATGGCCCTTGTCCCACCGGTATTGCTTTGATCACTTTCACACCTTTTGTACTAGCATTCCCACTTTTTCGATCTCATTGCCCGTAGAGTCTGTCCCCGTCGAGAATTCTGCTTCGGTGGAACAGCCGAATCAGCTCACGTCATGTTGGAACTATTCTTTGGAGCAAAGATTGGTTGTAAACTTCTAGATGTTCAAGTGAATTCAGACAAAGTTCCAATGTGAACGATAAATTTATCTTTGCGTTTACTCCTGGTGTGCCCGCTTGACCTGAGTCAGCAATTTTCTGCGTGGTTGCACAACATGAGATTCACGTGCGAAGCACGTGCAATTTCCTATTTATATTGAAGCAGAAATTCGAGCTAATGTCTCCCTTCACTAGAAACAACAATCGATATCGCCAGTAGCCATTTGCCAGAAGTCTTAGCCCCCTTAAAAGATTCACCTGTTTTCTGCGGTAATCATCAAAAGCTAGTCCAGATCCGTACACAACAGTTGGAATCTGAACGGCGGAGATGAGTGAATATCAGTACAAGTGTGGCACATCATCTCGTATGACATGGAATGATTATTATAACCTCTCTGGGAGTCTCCTCTCTCACCATTCTCAATAATGACTGGCCAAATACCTAGATCTCTAATTTGATTTTTTGACTTCCCACGGGAGTATCTTGCGTCAAGCGTCGTCTTCATTGGCAGTAACTTTGAATCATTAGTTGCGGCCCAACTAGAGGCTTTCGGTATCCAATCTTCGCTTCCTATCCATGTACAGCTTGGCTAACTGTCTCAGGTATTTCAAACCTCTCTCAAAGTCAAACCTGTGACATGTCACAACCACCGGACCCCAAGGAGCAACCTCCTCGTCGCTTCTTTGGCTACCCAATGCTGGTTGAAGGTCCCGAAACCCCGTTCAATATGCCAGTCGAAGTGAACCCAATTCAGAGCGGCGTCTCTTTGGTTATTCTAGGATGGATGTAAGTAGTGTGATATTCGTCTCAGCGATCTGTCAAGGGCTAATAAGCAGCGGCCAGCGTTCCTAAATTTAAGTTCGTTCAAAAATTTATTTATAACAATGCAGGTTTTACTATGTTAAGAGATCTTGACTTGGGAAATGCTACAGAGAGAATGAATGTAAAGGATGTCCCCTCTTAAATTGTTGAGTACATGGCTAACATAACTAGCCTCTTGTTATTCCCCTTGCCAATGATTCAGACGTTCCATACGTCCCTGATCTTGACCGATCATCATTCCAAGATTTCCCTGGCCGTTATCATACAGTCGCAGATTATCACGAGAAGTATATTTTAGGAGAACTTACCCCTCTTGCAGTATGCAAATCTCTACTTCCACTCATCCGTCGAGATATCGCCACTCCGTCCCATTATTCCATTTCTTTCATCGCGACAAACGTTGATTCTGTCCTTGCTGCTGCAGAAAAATCAACTGCTCGTTATGCGGCAGGAAAGTCACTTGGATTACTCGATGGTATTCCGACAGCTATCAAAGATACGACACATGTAGCTGGATATTGAACAACCAACGGAAGAGCTGCAAACGACGACCTTTTTCCAATATCAGAAACTTCTGATTGGCCAATTCAAAAATTAGAAGAATGTGGAGTGATCATCCTTGGCAAAACAAACATGTACGAATATGGCAGCGATACCACAGGCCTCAATCCATACTGGGGAACTCCTCAGAATCCACACAACCGAACTACTATACAGGAGTCTCTTCGTCTGGTTCAGCTTACGCTGTAGCAGCCGGATTAGTACCCTTCACTTTTGGAGCTGATGGAGGAGGAAGTATCCGAATTTCGGCTGCTTTTTGCGGGATTTATGGATTGAAACCTACGTATGGTCGCCTAGAAGACACGTCAAGTACCGTTGTCGTCACTGGTCCCTTGGCATCTTCAATGATGGATCTAGAAGCCATGTATCGAGTTCTTGCGCAACCAGATCCATCTGATTCAATTTGCCAATCTTTTGCGCCTCCAAGCAAGATTCTTTCTACGAGTTTCCAACCAAAAATCATAGGCATCTATAAGCCGTGGTTTGAGCGGTCCGATACCTCAGTTTTTGAAGTTTGCCAAAAAGCTATAGATTACTATCAGAATCAATTGGGTTACGAAGTAGTCGATATCGAACTCCCTTACATACCCGAAGGGCAGAAGGCACATGTATCCACCATTCTGGCCGAACTAGCCATTCGTGCGCGTTCCAATCATCTTCCAGATGAAAAACCTACTTCAAATTCATGGCTTGCCGATCTCAACCCAGCAAACAAAATAGCTCTTGGAGTTGGCTCACAAATGACTGCTCAAGACTATCTTCTCGCGCAACAAATACGTAATATCCTTCTGCAACATCTTGCGTTTCTGTTCAAGGAGTATCCGGGATTACTTATCATGACCCCAACGTGCCCTATGCCTGGATGGGATATCAAATCTGAAAGAGATCTCAAATACGGTTGCACGAATGGTAATCTTACCTTTCGTAGTGTGGAATATGTTTGGATCGCTAATTTGTGTGGAAATCCTGCGATTAGCGTTCCTGTTGGATATATTGATCCCGTTGAGACGGCCGGTGAAGGAAAGATTCCGATCGGTCTTATGGCAATGGGTGATTGGGGATCGGAAGATCAATTGTTGGGATGGGGTAGGGAGGCTGAGATTTATTTGAATCATGTCTATGAAGGTGGCAGAAAGAGACCCAACGGTGATGGCTGGGTTGATGTCTTTAAGCTTGCAAGTAGCCAGATGGATACCCTCTCGTAAACCCAGGATTTGGGCATTAGATCTGAAGACATCGGTTTAGGTTTATGACTCTGTGGTGAATTCCAGAGAATGGAACCGGAGTCGCGGAATTAGTAATTTCGCTTTCTCTTATCAAAGCTTAGTTGAACTTTATTTCCTGTGTCGAAGTAATAGTATATCTACTATTTCATTGCGATCAAGAATGGAGTACCTGGCTAACGGGTAGACTTACTGCATTAATCTTAGCATGACCAAATACTATCTCGTATCTGAACAGCAGGGACCCCTGTCCTCCAGATAAGCATGCATCAACCCCACTAATTCTGGAATTCAGAAGCTGTCTTCAAATCATCGTCGTCAGCATGCCCACTCCTCATGACATCTTGATCTAGGATGAAGACGTCAAAAATTATACATATAGTCGCCATGTAGCTCATAAAGTTGACACGCTCTTTGTTCTCTCCTGCGCTTTTGCTCTTGATAATTTGTCCAGTGCGATCTTGTATGATTATAGTTCAATATGCGTCTTCTCAATCTCATCGCGACTGTGTGTCTGAGTTCTTTTACTGCAGCTTCAAGAACTCCAGATGCCTCTTCTCAGCTCCGTACAAGATTTGTAAATGGCACTCATGATAAACCAATCACACCAAAAGTTTTCATTGTGGACATGGTAAGCAAAAGACCATAGTTTGAGTAGTAGTCTGCTGACTCGAAATGCAGTTTTCAGATGAAGGAGAAGCATGGTATGGAATCAAAGAATTTGATATTCTGGCTAGAAATATCACTGTTCCTGGCATAAGTCCACTTTTCCCCGAGGTACATTGTACACTAGACGGAGAAATCTGCCAAGTTATAACTGGAGAAGGAGGTAAGAAATTGGGTTTCCGTTCGACAAAGAATGTTTTCCATGGTTCTAGCTAAAAATTCTAGAAATCAATGCTGCTGTGACAATCAATTCAATTGCATATTCACCCCTCTTCGACTTGAGCCAGACCTACTTCCTCATTGCTGGTATTGCTGGTGTATCTCCGAAGGTAGCCACTATTGGTGTAAGTATCAATGTTTATCCCGTTAAAGTACTGTGCTGATATAACAAAGGCTGTTACATTCTCTCGCTACGCTGTATCTGTAGCTCTTCAATACGAAATGGATGCCAGAGAAATTCCTTCTAACTGGACCACTGGATATTGGCCTCAAGGATCTTATTCACCAACAGAAACAGTAACTGAAATCTACGGTACTGAAGTTTTTGAAGTCAATGAACCACTGCGACAGATCGCCATGAATTTTGCCCGAACAGCTGTTCTTAATGATACTGCCGATGCAATGAGCTACCGAGCTCTATACGGTGCCACAGAAGCATATGCTCTTGGCGCTCAACCACCTTCAGTTGTGGCTTGTGACACTGCAACCTCAGATGTCTACTTCACTGGAGAGCTACTCGCCGATGCTTTCGAGAATACTACCTCGCTGTGGACAAATGGAAGCGGCATTTACTGCACTACGCAACAAGAAGATAACGCCACTCTGGAGGCTCTTCTTCGAGCCGCTACTAACAGTCTTGTCGATTTCTCTCGTATCATCATCATGCGTACCGCATCTGACTTTGATCGTCCTCATGCGAATCAAACTATTTTGGATAATCTTTTCGAACAGAACCAAGGTTATGATCCGTCTATCAAGAACATCTATTTGGCTGGTATCAAGGTGGTTGAAGGTATTGTGAATGGATGGAATAGTACATTTGCTGGGGGTGTTGAAGCTACTAATTATGTGGGAGACATAATTGGTACGCTAGGTGGTGAACCAGATTTCGGACCAGGCTCAGTCTTTCCAAAAAGGAAATTGAAGCAAAGGAGGGGTATGAGACGCCACTAAGCGCTTGATTAGATATTGTAAAAACGAGTGATAAAAAGAAAATGTACTAGTAATATATAGACGTAGTCAAGAAGGTTCGATGGAGGTAACGTCCTTCTCAGCCTGTCTGCAGCCCAATTCATCATTGCGAGCTGCTCTATTGGTGACAAATTCTTTCGAGCCAGCCTGCACCGGTGACCTTGGAGCAGCATCATAAGACACATGATCGGCATCTAATGATCTGGTCCAAACCTCCGTTACTCGAGCTCACATCAATACATTCAAATTGTGTGTAAAGTTTGACTATTGGGAAAACCTTCGGGTTTCTGTTATCACTTGTATCAAAGTGATTTAAAGAACTTTTTCTCACATAGCTGTCCAATGAGCACATTCTACTTTCCAACTTCAAAAAAAGATGTACTGAATGAGCAACTGTCCCACATAGTCTCAAGGAGGAAACAGAAGGACAACTTGTAAACACATGACTGTTGAAGTTATCTGCCAAGCATTGAGTCTACACTTCATAGGCACATAACTTCCTTATTCATCTGAAAGACAGAGGTCATTGCGCAGAATTTCAATGCAGTGTTCTGATATAAAATAAATATTTCTCCTGCCTTAGAATAAAGCATACTTCTCCCCGTTTTCTCATATTCTATGCAGAAACTATCTCGTCACACCTGAAGGCCCCCACTAGTTCATCGAAGCAGTCTTGATGCAACCTTGATAGAGATATGACACATGTACTACATCAATATAAGCCGAGGCACTTGCACGACTGCGGTGACAGTAGCCAACACTGCATTATAGCAAATGAAATCGCGATACACAACATCAGCGAAGAACCACGAAGGATTTCCCCAAAAACTAGTTATGCAATGCATCAACATTTTTGTATTCCCGCCCCTTCGCAAAAGCACAACAGGAAACTATACAAGGAATGATGATAATATCCCGATATATTTTGAGGGGATGGAATCATTCTTCACACCCATTATATCGACGGAGAAAATTTCCTCATCTCTCCGCCCGCTTGCTTGCATAATCGCGAGTTCAATCAAAGTCGAGCTTACAAATATATTTCACAGCGTGATGTCAAACTGTGTTCTGTGGTACTCTATGATCAATTGAACATTCGAGCCGTTTGAAGCGTACTTTTCCTTGCTTTGCCACAACCGAGAAACGTCGGTTTGATGTACAGTATGCTGTGACGGCCGCAGTGCAAAGGGTTGCTCAGGATCAATGTTTTCCTTTTTCTTTTTGTAAAAAATTTGTGCGGTATACCATTGAAGAGGAATCCAAGGAAATAGAACGCTAACTTCCAATTATTGAAATGTCATATTTATCCAATGTAGATTTATTCATTTCACCACTCCAATCCTTGTAGTATGGAATGTGCTCGGCGGGCAAGATGCATTAGTAAGCTACTTTGAAACCAATTGATTGAATGAACAAGCGATAAGGATTCAGAAACAACTTTTGGTACCTGCATTAGGGCTTTCGGGGGCGAACATATTGTGATAGTTGAGAGAACGCATGGGAACAGGGAGAATATTCAGGGTCATGGCCCGGAAAATGTGTCGATGACACAAGATATACAAACTGATGAACGCTTTTGATGAAAGGTATATTTAGATATTTCTTGGAATTTCATCCTTCTCCACGAAAATCTATTTACATATGACCCGTAATGATGTTTATAATCTATATCTATAATGATGATAGTGATGATGGGAAGTTGTGCAGAATATGTGATATATCTTTATATGGGGAACAACACAGTGTACAAGTGCTATCGTAACTCGACAGCCACAGCAGTAGGAACTGTGCATGACTTCGAAAGTCCAAATATGGCATCTAGCCATGATGTTAGTTCTTCTCTAGGACCAAATTCCGCCACAAGCCGAGAGGGCTCATCCATAATTGCATGAGCAATTTCTGTGGCATTGCCCAAGGTGTCTTGATTATTTGTGCAGTGAGTTTGATAAAAGATTCCATTCATTAATTTGGAAAAGGCCTCGATGGTCTCAGGGATTCCAAAATGTAAAAGAAGTGCCATAATGGGGAAGACAGCAAAGAAGCCTAGAATCGGGCGTGTAGAACACTTCCGTGGCAAGGTGGATATAATATGTGCTAGAACAAGAAGCGCACAAAGACACGACAACACAGCTAAAGCTGGAGAAGGAAGGACGTGTATGTATATGGTAGAGAGTCCAAAGGTAGACACGAGAGTTAAGGTACAAGCATGACCTCCATTGCACTGTGATCGGCATTAGTACTGGGGATGATCGTTGTGAGGAAAGAATGAATTATGAATGCAATATCAAACTCACAAGAATTATGACAGCAGCCCATAAAAGTGCCTTGAAGATACTGTAAATCGAGAGACTAAGAATCTCCGGACTTTGTTGCTGTGAAACCAGGAGGATAACGGTAAGGAAGCAAACTACCCAGCAGCATGTTTCTTCCAGGTGTAAAAATAGTTGATGCACAGAGGGAGCTTCATCACGGGCACTATATGACGTGCTTAGACGTGCATAGATAGTCGTTTGGCAGATGAGAAATATGAGACCCAAACCGATAGTGATAGGGCTGTATGCCGAGGGGAGAAAGAGAACACTAGTTGAAATGGCGAAGAGAATATAAAATATTAGATTAAAGCCATAATCGGTTGGATATTCTAATTTCTCTAATTTGGAGTTGCTAGGAAGAACATGATGATCGGCATCGTTATTTCGAGTGACAAAGTAGAGTGCTGGAGTAAGGAATGGCTGCAAAAAGTTTTAGAGTTTGAGTGATAAGTCGAAGGATGATGGGGACAAACCAGTATCCAATTCACTTCCACAAGCGATGCACAGACACTAGATGTAACGATAAAGAATGCAAGACTTGTTGATTCTGCCTCGAAATCACCTCCTCGGGCAGAAGGTATCTTCTTTCGGGAAATGAACGAATAGACTTTGATACCAGCCCAAAGCATACACCAACATAACCACTCGGAAAAGAGATTCAAAACTTGTGGGGTATGATCGAAAGCAAATGAATAAGACATTCTAGAAGGATAAAAGGAAGAGCTAATTGAGGCAAGGGTATAAGGATTGTGGAGAAATGAATAAAACAAGGGTATTGAGCAACGTTATCAACAAAAAAAAAAGAATCTCTATGTAGAAACGGCCAGTACCATACTAACAAAATGACTGAACCACCACAGTACAACTCTAATTTTCCAGGGAGGCATGATGTGGTTTTATGAGGGCATGCCAAGAATAGTGTCAGCCTGTCCGCAGACCCCTCGTTGGATGGGAGTCGAAGGATTTACGCGCTTGAGGGCTTATGAGGTATATGTTTCTATAATTGGATAGTAAGCTTGCTACAAAACCAGTGATTTTGAGTGAAAATCAAAAGACGAAGGAGATGAAGGGGATGAGGGGGACGACATATATCGTCAAAGTACTCTGACTTTGAAGGCTACATTAATCCTACAATAACTTCTCGAACTTGAAGTTACTTGGCGATGACCAACGAACAAACAAACAGGCATGTTGGAATATTCCGGGAATCAAGGATACAACCAAAGGAAAGGTAGCTGTGTAAGTTGCATGAAAGAAACAATGCGACAAGAAACGGAACGAAGAACAGGATCTATGCAGTTCTATTGGTATCTCGTTGGTGGTGTCATTGGTGTGTTGGCTAGAGATTTCACAAGTAAACACACCTCGATCAAGTGAATCAGATACTTAGGTATCTTGGTATCATATGAAGATATCAAAGACCTATCTAGATACTTGGTTGGTAAGTAGATACTTTTAAGTACGATGTAAATCGAGGGTACACCTGTTGGTGGTACCCGTGGACCTACTAGTTACGAGCACCAGCCGCAATTGCGAGTAGCTGCTGGGGCTTGGCAAATGAGACATCACGTGAAAATGTTTGAGGCCAGCGATAAGCTAATCTTACTAGGTACTAGGTATGTTTCGTTTCGGTCTTCATCTCCACTAATAATAAATCCTGCGACCGTGCGGATTATTGTATACATTTTTACATCATCATTCTTTACATTTCACAATTCACGCCGCACTCAACAGACAGAAGAGAAGAGTCGAGAAAACATATTTATTTCTGTGTCCTCTTTCCTTGCCGGTATGTATGCAATAGCAGAGTAACATCGACCAAACTATTCAAGCCCCCATTCTAGATCGACGTCTGCCAGCCACTACAATGGAAAACCAACATCTAGTGTCGTTGGTATCATTCGACCTTCGACAAATCCGTCGAGCGTTGCAGTAAAGACTGATGGTGTTGCAAAACTCATTCATTGTAGGAGTGGGGGAGACCGATCAATTAATATGAATTGTAGGAATTGTTCATCTCGTCCACAGTGCCTTCTTACAAAGCCTCGACCCCAAAATCTCCTTCATAAAACCTCACTATCTTTCACTTTTTTACCCTTCGTTGGAATCATTTGGTGTCCTTATCTCACACATAGTAAATGAGTAGGAGACGAAGGAAGTGGCGTGATCCCACGACGTTTCAAGGGTTCGAACTGGTACAAATTGGTACCCATTGGAATCATTATCAAATCTTCCATGCATTTGAGTAACGAATGCTGTGCTTGCACGTAGTACTACTCTTTCTGGTGTTTTGCATTATGATGCATTCAATACGGATTCGAAGTCGAAATACCAACAAATCATTGTGTACATGTACAGTGTATAGTTCATTGTTGGCAGTGTAAAAAAAAACAATTGAAATCTACTTTGGTGTTGCTATGCAAGCTGATGTATACGATGGGCCCCTGCAGTGCAGTCATCCTTTAGCTGCGCTTTAGCTGCGCTTTAGCTGCGCCTTACCTCAAAGTGAGATTCTTACTTTAATTGGTAGCTTCCATTGACACGAGAGTCTTACATACCGCAATTATTCTAGAATTTCAATGTCACATTGTCAAGGGATTGAACCTGTGTTTGAGGACTAGATGTAATCTCGACATGATCAAGTCAAGGTAACCTAAGCTTGACATGGAGGCTTATGTATCTCCCAGCTTCACGGGAGGGCTGAGTGCCAATCGCTAGAAAAATGCTGGAAAACTCTATCAGTCTCGATTATTACACATATAGGACGGACAGAATCCTTCGTGATGGCCTGTTCTGCAAAATTGCTTTCAGTCATATTCATCTTGTGAATCCTGCTTTCTAATCTTTAGATCGGCCGTAGTTACCTACCTGTGGCCACAGGTTCTTCCTAATATCTCACCCTCTAGATTATCGATGAATATACAACTCTGAGCACTTAGATATGGCGAGTTCCTTACGACTTTCGAGGCGAAGACATTGTTCTAGCTCATTATTATCTTTCTGGGATGGACAATTGACTGGCTCGATGTCCGTGATACTGGTCATTCTACTATGTTTGGTACAGCCATCGTGGCAACAGAAAGATCCTTTGAACGACTTTTGTAGGAGATGGGGACATCAAACGACTGTCATTGATCGACAATTACTTATTGATGGCGGAATGCTCGATTGGAATCCATTGTCGCAAAATCCAGCTAATTACTCTAGTAAGTTATCATCAGCAAAAAGACATTATTGAACCATGAACAACACAACTGATGGTACGATAGACTCTTGGCTTTTATATAATGATCTCGACACAAGTCCATCAGGGCCGGGAATGCCTCAGTTACACGCCAATCTTTCAAAGAATGCATCGATCCCGAATGTGAGTGGTGGTGTACTTTGGGGAGATGAGGTCAACAAGAGATTCTATCTTTTTGGCGGCGACAACTTCGGCAGTTCGCCAAGTGCACCCAACCTTTATTCATACGACCTGCTATACAATCAATGGGAAAATTTTGGTTCGCCTAACAACGGTGTTACGAGCGTTTCGTATGGCATGGGAGTTGGTATTTCCGATCTAGGGCAAGGTTATATGCTTGGCGGATGGCAAAGCAATGCTTCGATTCAGGGATGGACTGGACCGCCTCTCGCAACAAGCGGCTTGATCAAGTATGATTATCAGAGTGGAACGTGGACAAACAATACTGGACCAGATCAGATTGGAAGAGCAGAGGGTGCCATGGTGTATCTCCCGGCGAGTCGTACCGGAATTCTCGTCTACTTTGGAGGTATACAAACGCCATACAACAATGAGACAATAATAGCATCACCGATGAACCAGATCCATATTTACGACATCCAAAGTTCTATATGGTACACTCAGAACGCAACCGGTGATATTCCTGGAGACAGGAGGAGATTTTGCGCAGGTGCTACTTGGGCGCCTGACCAGTCATCATACAACATGTAAGTATTATATCGTCACGTTTTTCATGGCAATTTACTAATATTTTAAGCTATATCTATGGAGGTGCAGGCTTTGGAGCGAACTCTTCAGGATACGATGATCTCTATATTCTCAGTCTTCCTTCCTTCACCTGGATTAAGTGGTGGGAAAATGCTCCAAGTTCTGCGAGACCACATAATATGTTGAGCTGTAACGTGGTTAATAGAGCTCAAATGCTCATCGTGGGTGGATCGTTTCCGAAAGATCAGTCTAATTGCGATAGTTCACCTTCTTGGGGAACGCATAATGTCAATCTCAACGAACCAGCCCCAGGTCAGGCTTCATTCAATCCATGGAATACCTATCAACCGGATCTTACCTCATACGCCGTACCTTCAGCTATAATCTCTGTCATTGGTGGATCGTACGTATTGATATTCTGAAAGCTGAGATGAAATGCTGAAAATTACATAGTCCTACAGGTGGCGCAACCATGCAAGCTCCTGCTACTGGTTTTCAAAACGGCGATCTGAGAACATACTTTGCGCAAAAAGCATCTGCCGTGAACCGTACACCCACTAGAGCAATTACCACTGCAACTGCTTCTTCAACATCTAACCCCTCTGGAAACAAGTTGGGCCCTGGTGCAATTGCTGGAATTGTTGTAGGAGTAGTCGTTGTAATTGTCGGTCTTCTCGTTGCAGGCTTCTGCATCTTTCGTATCCGTAAAAGTCGTGCTCATATACCAGACGTTTCTGCGCCTATTGTACCTGCATATACCCCTGGGAACGCAACCAAAATGTACCCACAACGACCCGATCGTAGTTACGATCCCCAAAATCCACACATTGCGCAACAGCGGAATACGTCAGCATACCAAGTACTCCCTTCGCATGCTCCTGATCCAGTCGAGCTATCCGGGACCAACTCGAGTTTAGGAAACTACACAACAGTTAATGCCGATGGTAATTCGATATATAGTCCAAATCCAGATGGTGTACCTCCATACACAAATACCTGGCACCACCCAAATTTACCACCTCAGGATCGGAAGAGTTTTAGTCCTACATCTCAACATAATCAATTTTCACCGGTGGCAACGGAATTGGACGGCGAAAGTGCTATATTTTCCGCATCTCCCACACCAACGTATTCAACATTAGGAAGAATGACCTCGAAAAAGATAACCCCAATACACGAGACATATTATTCTTCTTGATAATTCATTTTGCTATCTTCGGTCTCAGTCTTATATCACTTTTTTCTTAGCGAGCGTGTGATGGGTCTGTACATACATGAGTTTTGGCGTTTTCAAATGAGGATGTGTTGAGGAGGAATATTATTACTTACTTATTACTACGGACGCCTAATTTCCCGTTCGTCTATTTTCTGGATGTTATATATCGATTTGCCAACGCGGTTGGATGGATTTAGTTGAAATTAAAGCTACGATATTTTTGAGACTTTATTGTGTTCGTGCTCTGTGCCTTTGTTCTTTAAGCCACATGGCAAATTGATCCCCAAAGTTGTGTTGGTTGGTTATCTACATGATTCTGCCTTACTATAATATAGCTTTGATCAGCGCTTAGAACTTTTCTTCCGATCTAGATCTAGATGTCAAGGATTCTGCGCTTAAGCCAAGACCAATCCTCCACGTTTGTCACTTATGTAATTTCCCAAGAAGTACAACATCATTCCGATCCAAAACCACGATGAAGGTTCTTGAAGATTCAAACTTGTCGTTGAACGGCATGTTTTCGTTGGAATTCAGTGATAATGGGCGTTCTTTGTATGCGCGAGATGAAATCCTGTGTTGCCATGTACGGCCGATTTCCGATGTACGTAGGTAGTACTTGGTATACAATAAGTAGTACTAATGGAGGTTGTCTTCTTTTCAAAATACCCCTCAATTTACAACTTTTTTTCTCAGATTTCTTAGGAATAAGTGACTGATACTTCTGCGCTGAAACTCTATTTGTGAGCATCTGTCGCCTTATTTATGCATAGCTTTAGCTTTCCGGAATTCATTCTTATATAAAATTATCGTGAAACTATTCTACAATGTCATACACGTTCATCGTTCTCTGCATCATCGCTCTCGAAATACTCAGGAGACTATGCATTTCCATTTACACTGCATTCTTCACGCCGCTCTCCAAAGTTCCTGGTCCCTTGAGTCTCAAATTATGCGGCAGTATATGGCTATATCATACCTTGCGGGGAGAAACGATGAACATCGCCCCGAAACTTTTCAAAAAATATGGTGATGTTGTGAGGATTGGTAGATCTTTCTTCTCACATTTCACGAGGTATGGGCGTTAATAATGAACAGGTCCAAATGAAATAATGGTCTCTTCAAAATCCGCCATCCAGAAAATCGTAGTCGAAGACGATTTTAGGAAAAGTCCCCTCTATACTCTTACCCAGGAAGATCAACATGTGAGTAATTTGTTTACGGAGACGGATACTAGGGTTTATAAACAGAAGGTATGTATCCTCTTCCCCCCATTTGCTATCTTGATTCCAATTAGAATCGATAGTATAGAGGCTAATGACATTTATTAGAGGAGACCTTTGTCCGCCGGATTCTCCATCTCTTTCTTAAATGCAATGGAACCACTCATGAAATCCTGTGTTGATTTCATGGTCGAGGTATTAGAATCGAGATGTATTACGGATATCGAGAGTGAGGATGGCAGGGCTGTAGTTGACATGTTTTCCATGCTTGGGAATCTAACAATGGACGTAATGTCTGCGACTCTCTTTGGTGGATCATTTGGTCTTGTCATCAACGAAGATCCACATGTGAAAAACTTGTTCCTCGATCGTCTACGTAGGGTGTATATTGATGTCGTCCTGCCATTCGTCAAATATATCCCTCTTATACCAAGTCCTGTTCAGGAGATGGATCGCATGATTGATGGGATTATCAAGACGAGACGGGCAGAGATGGGTAGGGGGAAAGGGTTGGGAGAAGACAAAGCAAGAGAGAAGAAGGATTTGTTACAAATTTTTTTGGATGCGAATGAAAGTGATCCGAAGGGATTTACTGACAAACATTTAATGGAGGAAATGAGGCTATTCATGTATTATCCTCTTCCAATCCCACACAAGAAAAATGACTAACCTCCTACAGGATCGCCGGCAGCGACACAACGGGCACAACTTGCACCTTTACACTTCTTCTTCTTCTCAAAAATCCTTCTAAACTACAACTCCTTACACAAGAGATCCTCTCCGCGTTCCCATCCAAGTACGATATCATCACCTTTGCAAATACACAAGAATTGCCATATCTAAATGCTGCGATTAATGAGAGTATGAGACTCATGCCGATAGTCGTTTCAGGATTGCCCAGATATACTAGTGAGACGAATTGGATTGATGGGTTTGAGATTCCTGCTCATGTATGTCTTTAATCCATCCCCTCCCTCCAATTTTCTTCATGTATCTTTATTATCCCCCAGAACTTTTAAATGGCAATGAAAGCACAACGGGAAAGAGATAACGCTGACACATAAAATCAGGTGACAACCTACGCTTTCCCCAACATGCTTCAAGTCGACCCACGCATCTGGCCTGACGCTGATTCATACATTCCCGAGCGCTGGCTCGACGATTACAAAGGTGTACCTGTGGATAAGAAAGCATTTCTGCCGTTTTCGGGCGGAGTAAGAAATTGTATTGGACAGCAGTGAGTTTTCCCTCTTCTTGTTATCCCACCTCGGGATTCCGATCAAAAGATGAAAACTAACAGGGGAATCTATAGATTTGCACTTCGCGAGATCCGTCTCATCCTCGCTACGGTGATTAGAAGATTCGAATTAGATTTGGTACCGGGACAAAGTCACGAATTGAGAGTTCATGCGGTGCCGTATTTTAAGGAGGGGAAGTATTTGATGGGGGTGAGGGTTAGGAAAGAGTAGATGACGGAGACAGTTGTGATGAGATGATATGCTTGGAGTTTTCTGGTCTGAGTATTCATACATAGCGTGGTGGATAATAAATTGGAATGAGATCTTGGTGAAGAGGGTATTGGTAGGTGGCTGGAATGGATAGTCTTTACGAGTACCTGAATTAGACGGATATCCTATTTTCTATACAAAGTTTATTGATTATCATCATTATCGTGGCTAGGCATTTGATAATCAGCTCTTCAAAGGTCTAACTAGTTCCTAATGGGAAAAAGTGAATATCCCCGGAAAGTATCACGAATCAAACTCGATCACATTGCAGTTGCTTATACATATATAGGTAACCGATATCCCTACTACGTGCACGACCCTACTATATGCACACTTTTTTTATATCAAAACAAAAATCAATTTAAAATTTAAAAATCATTATAATAATATAAAATTTAATTCAATAATTAATTAATATTATTAATTTCAATTTATAAGGATTTCGAATTATTAAATTAAGAATTGATTGAATAATTAAATAAAGAGAATATAGAATCTTGATATATAATTTCTTAATAAATAATATATTAGAATCTATTTATAGAATTATAATAAATTTTTATAGATTTTTTGATATTAATAATATTATAAAAAAATCAAAAAAATCAAAAAAGTAAAAAGAATTAAATTTAATATAGATTCTTAGATTTTTCTAATGATTTATAATATTTTTAGAAAAGTTAAAAATATTTTTTAAAATGAATTTAAGTTTTATATTTAATATTAAAGATTTAAAAAGTAAGTTTTTAAAAAAGGGATTATATTAAATATTAAAATATATAGAGTTTTGATTAATAAAAGAAAATTATTTAAAAAATATCTTTTATTTTTGAAATTTTATTTTTAAAATTATCTAAATCTTAATTCTATTATATATAATAAGATTCTAATTATATAAAAAATTCTTTAAAAAGAATTTTTTTTTCAATTCAAAATATTATTAATTCATTTTTAAAAAAATTATTTTGAATAAAAATTGATTTAATATTAATTAATAATTTAATTTTCGAAATTTAAATTTTTTTTATTAAATCAAAATCTGATCAATATAGTTTCATTCTTTAATAATTGATTAAAAACTATATAACAAAAAAGTTTAAGATTGAAATTTCTTAAAAAAATTAATAAATACTTATATTATATTTATTATTAGATTAAATCAAATTCCTAATAAGTTTTTATAAATCTTTATTTAAATTTAATATTAATAAATTATAGATTTTAATATATTTATATTTTTTTTAAAGATTATTGTTATTATATAACTTAAAAATAGAATAAAATATTATAAATTCATTATTCTATTAATAATTAATTATTAAAATATTTTTTATAAAATATATTAGAATTTAATATTAATATAATTTCAAATTTTCGATAAAAAACTTTAGTTTTTTTTCAAATATCTTATATTATAATATATAGAACTTCATAATTTCATTAAAAAAAACTTATATTTTTAATTATATTATAAAATATATTAATAAATAAATAATTTTTTTTATAAAAATTAATATCTTATTTATCATTATTATTATTATAATTTTTGAGATTTTTAATTTTTTTATTTCAAAATATTATATAAGTTTATTTCAATTATCTCAATTTTGAATTTCAAATTATAATATCGCTTTTTCAATTTTTAATTCAATTTTCTATATAAATAATAAAAGTGTGCACATAGTAGGGTCGTGCACGTAGCAGGGATATCGGTTACTTGTATATTTGTCTTTGATCATTATTAGGCATCTAAAGGAAGCTGATAACTTATATAGAAAGGCGCTAGTGCTTCGCTAGCTAGTGCAATGCCCTCTATGATCACATGATTGATATCCCGACAGTTGGAAATCTGTCGACCGTCAGGTCTGAAGGCGGAGCTTCAGGATTGGATCGGTGCTTATCTTTCGTTCCTAGATGTCCACATTCAATCCCACATTGTCAATGACGGCGATAGATCTACCCTGCTATGCAGCATCCTATGGCAAGATAATTGTAATCCACGACCGAAACCCCCAATTTTGAGCTCTCTTTGCCAGTTGAAATCGAAACTCATGGTATAGGTGACCAACGATATTATCCATATATTCAGAACCAATCGCCCTGCTCCAGTGCAGAGTGGTATTTGCAAAGGAGGCTACTTTATTCTCGTAAGCCTCCAACGTAATTTCACCGGAAAGTTATTTCGAGAGAAGTAAGCAGTGCAATACACGCTGATTTGTGCTCTGTGCTGCATGTGGTCGAAAGATTGCATACGCATCTCCAACCAAGAATAGCTTACCCTCGAAACATGATGCTTTCGTCGAGATGCAATCACAAATTCCTGTGACAAACGGCGTTTCGATCTTGTTTACTAACTCTTTGATGGGAAGGGAAGTTTGCACTGCCGTAGGCTTGCTTTCGTGCCCAGATACTTGGACGGACTTTACCAAATGGCACGGTTCTCTGGTGTTGTTTCCCATCAATATAAGTCATTATAGAAAGATCTCAGGAGAGTCTTTGTGACAAGTATCGTACCAAACAAGAATCGCGTGTCTTTCTCCCGGTTTGATATCGCCATCATCTCCTGGGATCAAATATCTATTCTTATTTTAGCAGAGCTTTCACATCATATATATTATGAAAGGAGCTTACACTACAATGTAGTGCCGATCAGCATGGTAACGGATGCATCTATCAAAGAGAAAGTTTATAGTTCCCTTAGAAACAGCACTTTCTGGCACTATACCTCGCCAGGTAAGAAACCCGGCGTATTGGGTCTTCAAATTTGGAAATACAATATTTCTGGTGACTGAGCCCGTACCATCTGCAGCAATAACAAGATCGGGATGAAGAACCTCGTTCTTTTCAGTTTGAACACCCTCGTAGGTGACACTGAGCTCACCCTCCTTATTGTAAGAGACGTCGGTGACTCGTTTTTCCACGTCATAAAAAACTACCTGTCCCTCTTCTAGAAGGCTAGGAGGAGGTTTTGGAACGTACTCATATTTTAACCCATCGAAATTTGCCCTCAAACGGTAATAAAATGTTTTCCAGTTAGTGAGTTTGGACGGGATAGAACGGCTTTCCATTACATTGAGCTCAGCGTCAACTACCTCTAGTTTAGAAGCGGTAACAAAGTGTGGGCGATCTTTGATCTTGTCATATCTCTTCAAAGGTTCCTGGCCGTGGATACCTGTACTCATCCCAGCTGCCTGACTTTCTTGAATGGAGGTTGGTATCGTTCAAGAATGTGGACGTTATGAGAAAGCTGCTTGAACATCACGCTATACATTAAACCAGCTAGTGAGCCTTCAATCTGGGAGAAATCAAAGTCAATTCGACAGAGCATTTTTCGACGGGTGGTGGGGATTACTCACAATAACTAACTGCATTTAGTTGGTATTTGGCCATGGTTGCAATGATATATGAATATTGAAGGATAATGTTTAAGAATAAACACCTAGATTCTCCAGCATCAAAGGGTTAAGAAAGATGTGTATGATGTTCGAATATTTGTTCGTTCCTTAACGAGGAACAAGCAACGCGGAACCATGGTTCCGGTCGCCACTGAGCGTCTCCGTCTTACTGCATGAATTATTGAGGCTTTTTGTGAAGTAATTCACTCAAGTAGCAAGCATAATGTTCTTCGGCCGCTTGCGTGTATGATCCTACACAGCAGGTGTTTTGTCTTGGATTGTGATATGTTAAGAATTTATGAAACTATTCTTATCAGGGTAGAAATGAGCCACACCCATGAAAGGCGGACGGGTCTACCGACTAAACTGCCAAGTGAGTTAATTGATCCATGGATCTTATTAATTAGTTAGCGACATGATGGGTGTTACACATTCATAGCACGATACAGACTTAGTAGTGAGAACGACAGTAAAGGCCGAGTAAGCTAAGCATAATGATTCGACTATGGCATAAACTATCCAATAAGTAGGCTCATAAGCCCTAGAAAACGAATTAAAACGTGGGAATTTAATATTTAGCACACCTTCCAATGTTCCGGACTTCGGAGAGTATCGAAAGGCTGATTGCAAGATTGTTCCGCAGCCGCAAAGTCGGAAACAGGGCTTTGCCGCGACTTCTCGGCCTTGGCTGGTGAAGCGACAACATCCCACTGGACTAGACCAGAGACACAGGCTATCTGATTTGAACATTCTTGCTACTTCTATGTTATTGCGCCTGTACCGTTCAATATTAAGTTTTCAATTCTGACGAAAAGTGATTACGCGCTATAATGTCTGAAACTTGACCCAAATGGTCTTTGACACACCTTAAGCAAGAGTGTTTTGCTGTACTTGTACGAAAGACGAACTCTCAAACCGAACTTCCACTCTGTCTTCTCAAGAGCTTCTCTGTAATCCTCAATGTAAAGGAGTCAAAGGTAGCCCTCAACATTCGAAGACTGCCCTCTACCATCAGAGAGCGATGTCGATGCAGCAATGAACTGATGGCTCTAATACCGGGCCAAATGAAGGGTTTCAACAGGGACATCATAACTTCGATCCAAAGTCATAGAACTCACTCAGACTCTTTACTGGAGTTGTAGCCGCTGAGAGGCGTAGACTTGCCTTCCATGCTCTGACATCTTCAATCTTAACGGGAATTTTCACGCTGGACACTGAAGCCTCATGGTCATGGACTGCTATAATTTCTTGCTCTGCATTGAAAGTTGAAACTTTAATATTATTTTCAGCGGCGGCTGTGTTCTTTGCTGCTGCAGAAACTCCAGTAGATGCCTGTGCAATAAGATGTATAGACAGCTTCGCGCCAGTTGGAGAATAGGGATGGATGTACTGGTTGAAAAATTCGAGTATGTCGTTCTTTGTAAGTGCTTCAATGTTTTCGGCGTCACAGTAGACTGTTAAGGTTTGGTCGATCAAGTTAGTCTATGTACAGGAACACAAATAACGTGTGCAAATTGTGTGGATTGGAAGGATTTGGAAAGTAGCAAACGTACCTTGCTCAAAGTCAAACACCTCACTTGTAATATGATTCCAAAAACGCAACGCTTCTTGGCCCAAATTCTTCAATTTCTCCAAGCGTTTGTTTACCAGACCGATTTTAAGTTCCTCCAACGTCTCGTTGGTCATTGCGCGTAAAGTCTGCTCAAGCTTCATCAAAAATGCATCGCAACGCTCTTCGAGATACTTGCAATCCCTCTCGCTCTGTACGAGGATACACCATGTGCCGACAGCCGCATAGACGCTTGCCTCCGAATTGATGATATACCCGAGCTGCTCTTTTGTACGAAGTGTGTTAAAGCACGGCTCATTGGCAATCTGGGCAAAAAGTAGCAACTTGGCTCGTTGTACACGATCCGAGATAGAGCCGACCGAGATGATATACTCGAGACAATGATTGACGTTATCCGGGTTCTTTAGTACTCGCTCGTATAGGTAGTTTACACCACTTGGCAACGCAATCGCGCGGCGTGGCGGCCACTGAGCTTCTGGTAACCGATGTGGGTGGAGTTTTGATTGCACAAGTTCTGCAATGCTTAGCGCTTCTTCTCTATACGAGTTACCATGGACGAGAAGCTCAATGTGCATCTGTCGCAGCAGTTCGTGAGAGTATGAGCGCAGATCCTCGGCTGTCACTGCCTGAAGCTCCTCGAGCATTTCAAAGGGAGCCCAAGATCTTTCGCTGATCAACATGCGCGAGAAGGCATTGATTTGTCGGTAAGGTTCCCTGTAGTCAAATTTTTTATACATTTTTCTCGCCTTCTCCTTTACGACGTTGAAGCGCTCTTTCTTGATATTCAAATCTCGTACTCCCAATAATAATTTCTCCAAAAGCACGAGCATCTTGTCGTTGAAACCGTCTATTTCTATATTTAATCCATGTGCACTTTCGGATATACTATAGTTCAAACCAGCTATTTCTGCATTTTAAGTGTATTCCTTGAGGCTGTCTTCGACCAAATCAGCATATAAACGGGTCATGATGGTATTCATTGGAGTAACCGAGGCCACGGGCGACCGAAGAAAGAGTCTGATATTGGCTTTTGGTACCCAGAATTGATCGTCCTTTTTGAACCACACACGAATATCGTCGTCATGACGAATCAGCGTAGGATACCGAGCTGGGTCTGGGATATCATTCCGCTCAACCTCTAATCGTTGCGGAATAAACTCGTTCACAGCTGGCAAATGAACTCTAGAGAGCCTCTCTTTGATCGGCGCCCGAGATGTGGCCCAGAGTTCTTGCATGAAATCCTCGGGAATTTTTTCGAGCTTGTATTTATTCTCGTACCATTGTTCAGTTACGTTCCAATCTCCCGGAAACTGCTGATCCACAACAAAGAATCGAAAGTTATCGGGGCGCAGATGGGATAGGCCGCGCTCAATGTTTTCCGGATCAAACTTGCGAATGAGGGAAGTACTAAGCAAATGTTCGCGTGGTATACAAGCTTCCTGCATGGCCTGGGCTAGACCACTCACAGTTCGGGATGGAGGGAGTTTCTGCCTGAATTTGAATTCCACCTCTGCCAAGCGGCTCATTTCGTCTGAGATCCAAGTAAGTGGTGGGCTTTCTTTCAGCATAGCAATATATTGGAAAATGATTTTTATGACCTCCCGGTATTGCTGCATTCCATCTTCAGTGAGTCGAGTTTCAATACAAAAAATCACTGTGCCGGGACATTGAGCAGTAGCTTCGGCAGACAAATAGTCCGCAAGACCTAGCTCCTTCAGATAAGCAAGGGCACTGCCAGGGCCCTCATGCCCAATCAAGTGTTCCAGATACCGACTGGGATGGGAGTCAAAGAGTTCTTCTTCGTCGGGGTACGTGAAATGAATGTTTAAAAGTCTCAGCTCCATCACCGGCTTTACAAAAATTTGAGTCATGAGCTCCGGCTCATCTAGGACTGGTATACCATCCCACCTCAAACGGTGGAGATTCTTGTTTGGTACGTTCGAGAAGAGCTCTTGGACCCAGCTCTCTAATTCCTGCAGTGGCTCTCTACCCAGAACTACGAGCTTCATACTGTTGGCCGAATAGTACGCCTTGTAGTAAAACTCAATGAAGCGCTTCCGAACATTGACGCCCCGCGAAACTGGAATCTCATGCAAGCACTGATAATTACCAGCTGCGAAATTGTTCATGGGATGTTGATCACTTGAAGTGCTACGACTCAGTTGCATAAGCCGCCACGCGTCGCTTTGAAGATTTTTCTTGTACTCTGAATCTACGGCGCGAAGCTCGCGGTCCAGAGTATCCGCGAGAAAGAGTGGCTGGATGAAGAATTGCGAAAAACGATCAAGAGCGCCATACAGAGGAGCTTTGTCTTTGGCGATTGGAATATTGGATCGCTTTACAGTTATGGATGAGCCCGGAATATTAGACGTTGAGCTCGCGGATAGTTCAAATAGTAATTGGTTGATGTCGTGTTACCGCCATACTTGGTCAGATACGTGCTATATTCGTTCATCAGTGTCTGGATCGTGGATCAAAAGGATCTCTAATTGATTGGGCAATTGAATCACCCGGTATAATCGATTGTCCAACAGCGGTTTCTCCATTCTGTCCGATAAATACTCAACGGAGCTGGAATAAAGTGCTTCTCTCATGGTCTACTCCGTCTTGATAGCGTATATTTTCCTTGATATCTCTCTTATGACCAAGTGTAATAGCGAACCAAATGCGTTAGCATTGAAAGCTGTAATTTCTAGAGTATGCTTTCTGCTAGCGAAGATACAGAAACCTAACGACGAGGGCGATGATAAGTTTGAAGGTTTCAATAACCACGAAAATTTAGCGGCTTCGTCAATGAAGTTCACAGAGAGACGAGAAGAGAAATGAGGTTCGTACAGTGACAGATTGAATGTTGCGTAGAAGCAACACAGTTATAAAATGCAGTCCAGCAAAGAGATGACTTAGCTCAGTTTGGGAGTTCTCATTTCAGCACACGAGCTGATGACGAACTGATGACAAGGCGACACAGAAGTCATTCCCTAATCCATTCAAGCTTACAATCGGACCAGGGAAATCTCAAGAGAACCGGTACACACCGCACCTGTCCTTGTCAATTCCGGTCTAAAACTCGACGGATAACGGGTAGACTGTAGGGTCTTCTTGGGACAAATAGTGATAAACTTCAACTTCTTAGTGTAGATCGCTAGTTTTAGATATGGATCGTATAAATTTCACAATCGTAAAATCGCATAATCTAAGTATTTAACTGGTTAAAAACATTCAAACTACTTTATGAAAAAATGAAAAAATGCCATTTTTTTAACCCATTTTTTTCACTGACTTTTAAGTTTTTCTAAAAAGTAGTTATTTTTATTCTTTTCTTCTTATTAAATAATTCTATGAACTAATCAAATGCTTATATTATGCGATTATATGATTGTATGATTATATAATCGTATGACCTGTTTTAAAAACTAGCAATCTATATTAAGAAATCGAATTTTATTACTATTTGTCTCAAAAAGACGTTGTAGTAGACATTTCCGTTCACTGACTGATAAGAATCCTAGCTCAAGTGGTCGAGAATTTCTTTCGCAATAGATCGACAGTCGCCTATAGCTGCCTGTCTAGATAACAGACCCCTGTTTAGCGCAGTCACCTAGACTTTTTAAATGTTCTTCTAAAGCCCTAAGTCCCCCGCTTTATTTTGTAATGTTTGTTTTCCTGCTTGCTCTCTCAGCAGCTAAATAGACACAATTTGCGTACATTCCTCAATTGGTCGACACTAATGGCTTCTATGGATGTGATCCCAGTCCCCATCTTAGCTTCAGGTGAGCCGCAAAAATCGCTAAACAGTGGGCCTAATGCTGTGTTGGGAAGCGAGAATGAAAAGTTCGCAGAACAGTCATTGGAACTTCCCATCACAGGCAGCGATTCAGATGTAGTCCTCGTCGACTATGAGGAGAACGACCCAGAAAACCCATTGAATTGGTCGTCAACTCGAAAGTGGCTAATTGTGTCCGCTGTCTCGTGGATGGGTTTCGTCAGGTAAGCGTTTCTCCTCCTATAAATTTTTACATCTGTCGCCGTTGACTGACCGAATTAGTGTCTTTTCAACAATGACCATCACATCCACAGCACCACAGATCTTGGAGGAGTTTCATTCACACAGTTCGTTTGACCAGACATTGCTTGTCACGATTTGGGAACTTGGGGAAGGGATTGGTCCCTTTTTTATCGCACCGCTCTCTGAAAGGTTCGGCAGACTTCCCGTCTTCCACGTCGGGAATTTCCTCGCATTATGTTGCTTGGTCGCCACCGCTCTGAGTGTGAACATTCCCATGGTGATTGCGTTCCGATTCCTAACGGGCTGCTGCCTGTCAATTCTCACCCTTGGGCCCGCGATTGTCGGGGATATGTTCCACATGGAACACACTGGTGTGACCATGGCATTGGTCATGGGAACTCAGATGATAGCAGATTTCATCTCACCTGTCGCAGGATCGTATATCGCACAGGATCTGGGTTGGCGATGGTCGATTTGGCTAGCGGCCATTGTGCTCAGATTTTTTAGCTTTCTCTTACTGGTCGTGTACCGGAGACATACGCAGTCGTCATTTTGAAGCGTAAGGCAAAGCGGTTACAAAAGGAGAGCGCGGATGCCAAACAGAATCGTTCCAAACATCAGGCGCGCGTTGATGCAATCACCATTATCGAAAGCGTCATGAAGCCGTTGCACATCCTGATCCTCATGCTGACGACGAGTTACATGACAATAAAATACGCCTTAGTCTCATTGATTCTTGCCACAATCACGGAAACCATGGAATCAATGTACCCAAATGTCTTTTCTCGCGGATCCATTGGCCTCACATTTTTGAGTCTCGCCATCGGAAATACCATCGCCTTAATCTTCTACAGTCTCACTTCTGACCGCTGCATGATCCATCTGCGAAAAAAGAAGGGCGAATCATTCGAGCCGGAGTCGCGGCTAATACATCTACTCCTTGCTGCAATCATTCTTCCCATGGGCTTTCTCATCTACGGATGGTCATTGGAGTTTCACGTTCAGTATATTGTGCCACTCATCGTAACTACTGTTGCGGGTTTCAGCATGACACTTTCCACTATACCAATCGAAACATATGTGGTGGATGTTTACAAGATTCATGCAGCATCTGCTATAGGTGCTGGCGTGATCTTCCGCGCATTTGCAGGGGCTTTTCTCCCACTGATTGGCCCTCCTCTGTATCAAGGCATTGGGTATGGTTGGGGCAATAGTGTTCTAGCATTGATTGCAGCCTTGTTTATTCCACCGTTAGGCATGCTGATGAGATACGGAAACTGGTTTCGTAGCAGGGAACGATTTGGATCATCGGGACGGTAGATCGATTGTCATATACAGTAAAAGTGGTACGAAGGTAGTCATACTCACAGCCTGTGGTTTGGTAATTCGTAGGACGCATATATTAAATCACAGAGTAGGTAAGTCAGTCATGGAATTAATCATTCGCCAGGAATTAAGATTATAATATTATTCCACTTGCGTTCTGTATCAGTTTATGGCTATGTAAGACTATGAGATCTCAAGTGATCTCACAGTTAAAAGGGTGTAACTAGTTTGGATAAAAACCTGGTCATTAGTGGGAACAGTAGGCATGGGATTTGTAAACAATATAAGGGGAAATATAGCCTCGTTGAAGCTTTTATATCATTAGCTTGTTTTCCTGAATAGACAAAATCTTTGTGCTTAGGCTGGATAGAGTATTTTAGCAGCTTTCCAGGTGTTACCTCATCAATACGATCACAAATCCAAACACTCTTGAATATTAATGACACCAATCACCAAAGAAGGAAGAGTGGAACTCGATAACTGTGATATTCACTCAATGTAGAATTAAGACCCTCGATCAAAAATATAGGTATTCTCGTTCTCAGTCGACTCAAAATACGCCTTCTACACTTGACAATGAACCAGTCATATGTCCTTGATATTTCCTATCTATCTATCTACTACTACCTCCTTATCAAAAACAACTTCTGGGTATCTGGAATAAAGCATGATACGGCAGCGACCGGACCGGATATTGCGAATTCTGCGTTGTCATTATTCGAACAGGGCGTCTACATGGACGAAGTCATCTACTGTGATCGCCAATGCGTATCGTATGATCATAAACTGCATCACAGTGTAACAATTCAACCGAGCTTACCAGACCGATCCGAAAGTAGGTGATCAGACTCCGATCTCCAGCGTACTCAGCCATGTCACGTAGGTGATAGTTTCTATTTGCATCAGATCTACCTTGCGAACGCAAGCTGCAACTGCAGCTGCGATGAAAAACCTAGGTATGGGCGAGAAGGTAGTACTCTAATTTCAGGCTTCGGCTCTATTAGTTGGGGTATAAGTCACAGATGTGCAGAATTCTGAGAACTATGGCGACGTAAAAGGAATCTGTACAATTTGTTTTATTGATTTATTGATCTATAAGACGAGAAGATCTGCAAGAAGGTGCACCTAGATATGCAGGTTAGAGTTGGTTAGTGCCTTCTTTTTCTCCTTCCTCTTTTCTTCAACCTCCCTAGTATTTTTTTCCTCTTAATTGAGAAATAGTTAGTATTGAAGTTCGGCCGATTGGTTTGTCTAGTACGAGCCGCAGGTGCTTCGAAGCTTATGGAGGTATTGGCCATGTAGTGGAATATGTCCATGCGCGAAAGCTATATTAGGAAATAGTCCGATTGGTTCATGTGTATCGAGCTACAGGCAGATAGATACGCAGAAACTAGTTTCCGTTGTCTCCCTTTAACCGCTGAATGCGCTAAGCAGGGTTATCATCCCCCGAATCATACATGTTTCTTCATCCGCATGGCGCGGTTGAGGGAATAAGCAATAGAGTAAATGGCCCTGTAGGGAATACCCCGGAAATAATAAAATTAAGCTTTTTCTAATTTTACGCCCTACGCCCGCATGAAAATCCCAACGTCAACCAACGCCACATGCGCAGTCTTATCATTCAATGACGTGTTCTAGCACAATAATACGACACGCAACCTTGTAGCTTAAAGAAAGATAGGATCGGTCGGTGCTGATAGATTTTAACTGAATTTAATTGAAGACTAGTAGTTCTTATGTGGTGCTATTCGATTTGAAGATTTCAACATTCCTGGTAAATTGGTGGGGTGTAACCCCGGCTAAGGCTATATAAGATATCGCTTACTGACCGAGGGGCAGTAGATTGAGATGTCGACTATATCAGGGGGACAGAACTAAAAAAAAAACCCCTATATTCAAATGAAGAGTCTAGCACGACTGTAGCTAGATTCAGTAGCTAGCTTTATATCGATTGAGATTATGATTCTCATTATGTTTTGGTGGCTAGTTCCATGATACTGGATAATGCCAAGAATTCTTCTCTCGCTAGATGTCTCGTTACAGGCCTATTGGAACATAAAGAACTGAGACTATAGAGGCCGACGAAATTTCAGCTTAATACAGCCCGCAAGAGGCGAAGACGAGAACACATCTTCCTGTTCCACATTTTCTGTAAACTCCTCATCTAAATGAGTCTCATAACCTGTGTAGATAGTGACAAGAAGCTCTTTCATGGCTAGTTTCATTAGCATGTTCTCTGATGGAGTAGACATCGGGATAGTAAAGGATAAGACTTACCACGCATCGAGAAATGAGTTCCAATGCACACCCGTGCACCGCTTCCAAATGTCCAGATCCACTTCTGCATCTCCGCGAGCGTGGTCTCGTCAGCTGTAAGCCACCTCACAGGTTGCCATTCTTCCGGAGATGGAAAGGGAATGGGGTTAAAGTGGAGAGCCCATGCAGAAGAGCTGACGACAGTGCCACCAGGGATATCAAATTCTCCTGCGAGCTGACAGCCTGTATCCGGCACGACGCGAGGAAAAGGACCAGGTCAGGGTGCACGGGTTCGCATCGTCTCGGTCGAGCACTGGTAAGCTTGCGAGGCGATGGGCCAAGCTTTGGTCGCTAGGTTCGGCTAGAGTGAGGAGTTCTTCTCGGAGCGTCCGTTGCCAGTCCGGAGCTCGTGATAGCTCTCACATGGTATATGACAATAGTATTCCCAGTCCGATGTGGCTGGCTGAAAGATGGTCGTCGCACTCTACAGCGATGCGTGAAGCCATATCGTTAAGCGACATTTCGGGATCGGTGGCTTTGAAAAAATCGTAAAAATGGTCGTACAGACTCACAGTGGAAGAAGGCTTGGTGGGGTGTCTCCTGTATGAGTCTGTGATCACTCGCGTGATCCACGTTTCCCACCTGCCCCTAGCTTCAGCATCGGGTAGCACGTTGCCACCAAGTAAGCTTGTCAAAAAATTCATCGGCCCTTCAAGACTGGTTCGCACGTGAAGGTTTTTAGTTGTTGCTTTGGCCAAAGTTGTGAGGTCATTCTCAAAGCTTGGACCTTGTAGAGTATCAGTCGCATTCTCACTACCAAAGAGGAAGCCAGAGACAACGTCGAGCATTCAGCATTTAGCCTGCTGGTAGACATCGATAGCAGTACCGGTGCTTGCCCACATTGCCATTCTTTCTCTGAGGCGACTTGATACGCAAGAGATGGTACTGTCGAGGGTCTGAGAGTTGAGAATGTACGAATTGGAATAGGGATGTGCAAGCATTCGTCTACGCCTTCTGTGCTCGTCGTTACCTATCATCGTGACCATAAAGCCAGTCATGTACTGTATTAGATACTAAGTTGTCACATTTGACTCGTCAGTTACAAAATTTTTAGAAAACCTACTGATTAAACAATGCATGGTAGAATTTCACGTCTTTATCGAACTTTGCACTGTAAATTGTGCGAACTCCCTCATCGATGCAGTTTATACTCACATCACGGGGTCCAAGTCGAACGATTGGACCGAGACGACGATGGAGATGAATTCGGCTACGGTTTTCCAATTTTCGCCATCGGATAGACAGCAACCACAGGCGTGAATATGGAACAGAGCAATGGGCATTGGGGATGCCTTTTAAGCCCGAATCGTTGCTTTGATAGATTGATGCGATGATCCAGAACACTAGAAGAGCGAAGCCGACGAACACAGCTAGCATTTTCTTGAGAAAGACTAATCTTCACTAGGAAAAATAAACGTTGATTGTTCTAAGAAGAAGAAGTAGTAATAGCAGTAGTTGATTCTTTCAATAATTAGCTAGAGCGATTGGAAATGTCCAGTCCGTAGTACTTATGTGTCAAACTTGAAGTTCTTGTAACAACGCTCGTAATACTAGTACTTCTTGATTTCACCTGATTAAAAAAAACGTAGTTATTGCTCCGTGCAAGTTATTATTAACCTCTATTTGATAATATTCAGTAGTTTCATCCTTTCTATGCTACCCATCTAGGCAGGTGCTTGCTTCAATCATATTAGCTCGTTACTGACATAAAAAGAAAAATCAGTTTAGAAAGTACTAGGTAGAGCGTGGGATGATATGGATACATTTATTCATCCTTGAGGCGAGGTATGGCCGTGTCTGCGCTTCACAATAGGTTAGTAGGTAGGGGGTGAACGTGGTTGGATAATTCAAAACTTCAGGTTAGAGCATAAGTCTACATGTATCCCTGCTGTGCCGTGCTATTGTCGGGCTATGTCGTATAGATATGAAAAGATAACGAATGAGTACCAAGGATTTACCGTCAAATCTTTGGATAGCACCGAGACTTCTTCACAGCTATCTTTGACGCGTGGTCTACGCTTCCCACGCATATTGTTGTCCAATATCAGTCAAAATAGTTCTAATGCAATCGCTATACGCTATTGTTCCGGATCTTTGCAAGACCCCAAGCATAGATGGAACTAACCCTACGTAAAAGGATCTGCTAGGAGTTGACTTGCAGCAAAGAAGCTCAAAACACTAGAAGCGAGGATAACGACGAGTTAGAAGGCAGTTTCCAGGTATCTCCCATGACACAAAATACCCCACAATCAAAGATAACAAACATGCATGAATCCAAGACAAAAATGCTTGGGGTAGCTTTCAAGTGGCATTCTTTAGAGATAGAATGCTGCCAGAGCATTGATCAAAAATCCTCATGCTCACTCTACATAGCGTTAATGAAAGTCAACTATCCAGGCTGGATCGAAGTACGAAGTTGATACAGTTCACAACTATTCCAGGTAGAAAGCAGTCTTTCTCATTAGCGATCAATTCAATTCATATCGAGTGATGAGAGGCGATCGACACTATTGGAAATGGTATTGTTACTTTCAAACAGGCATTTGAACAGGCATTTTTGGAAAAAGAATGACATTTGATTCTTGATATCTGGCTAGCTTTTATACGTATAAAGCAAAAGAGGGACTAAATGGTCGGTCATGCCTTAAGATTAGGCCAACTCCCCCCTCCAACAATCACCTCCTTCAACAACTTCTGGCCCTGGCAGTTCCTTCCTCTACGAGTCAGAAGTGCAATCACACGGTTCTCAGTTCTCCTCCACATTCACAATATTGGTGGTAGCGGCGTTCAAATTGCTCCTGAACAAGTTGAGCTTCAAAGGTTCTTCGTCAATCTTGTCGTTTTGCGCACTCGCGTCGGCGCCGGACTCAGCGTTGACAGCAGGAGCATCTGGCTTGAACAAGTTTTGGACTTCGTTCATTGCTTGCCATGGCTGAGATCTCTGAGTGGAGGTGGTAATGCTGGTGGATTGAGGCTGGAACACAGTTAAATATGTCATCTATGATTGAGAATTTTACCTACTATTTTTGAATTATGTGTGCTTGTTGTGAAGTCTGAGTGGATATATAATAAGCTTTCTTATTTGTAGGATGTGTTCGTGAATAATGGAGATGGCTGATGGAGATAGAGATGGAGATGGTTGGGGGAATAGGAGGCAGTTTATATAGACGTTTATATCTCGGTTACGACACTCAGTCTGTCGTCATCGCTGGCATGGCGTATAAACTCATATTCCTTATCTCACTTGATTAATAAGTTGACATGCATACGATTCTTCGAAGATATGAGGATACAAAGAGTTGGCCTGCATGCATAGTACCAGGACAAAAAAATGTAGTCCCTGTTCTTGTACATTCGATGCATTTCGAAGGTACCAACCAATTATAGAATACGAGGAGCTGGCCCTCATACGTGATAGCCATATTAACAACTGTAACCCTGTTATTGTAACTTTGATACATTTCCTATTTATCACACAACTGCAAGACGTGGGGAGTTGGCCTTCATACAAGGTATTCGGAGTGAATATTCGTAGCCCCTGTTCTTGTGCCTCAGTTGTACTTCGTATCTATCAAACAATCATTTCACAGAGCTCAAGGTTATCTTCTGAGTTGTTTTATTGTTTAAAGCCCATGCCTCTGAATGGCATAGAGAGCGTCTGAGAGCAAGGATAGTTCAGTTTCCGTGGGCGTCAATGGTCGGTCACTCGGGGGGAAAAGGTGAGGATTTGTCTTCTCACGGTCACCATCCATGGAACAAGTCCTTTTTGACGCACGGCAATGCCTTACTGTGCATTTGTGCCCAGGAAGTGCTAGTGCTTATTACAATATCACGGAATACCAACTTCGAATCGTCGATGAACACAATCAGGATTCAGATTCTTAGATACCTCGGAGGATTGCGTATGCCTTCTTAGCAACCCCAAGCAACTCCGCAAATCTGTGTCCCGCAAGCGATCATTACTACCTATGGTGACGGGAGACCTACTTTTTGGCTCTACAGCTGCAAAGACCCAGAGAAAATTGCTTTTCTTGTGCCGTTTGATGTTCAATATGACCCCGTCCCCCGCCTCGAAAAACAGTTATTAAATTTGATCGAAAACTAAAAAGAATCAAAGTCACTTGTATGAGCGGGTTTGCGTCTCGCTGTCAAGATAATATCTAAACAAGAAATTTGTTGTTGAAAAAATGCCAGGGCTTGAAGAAAACAATACAGCAGCAATGAGCGTTGTTGACTCCGATGACTCCGTCAAAGCAATGATCCAGCATCTTGCCAGAGACAACCAGCACAAGCTTGTGAAGCCATATTACTTGTACCTCGACTACGACTATGATCTTCCTTCAACAAACACAACCGCCGATGAGCAATTTGTTCAGATCCGTAATGCTCGTAAACTGGGCATTTCCTCGAGAGAGATGTTCTCCAAATGTGGCTTTGCTCAGCTGCATCTAACTTGTCCTTTGACACCTGAGGAGTATTGGTATAACGAGAAAGTGGAAAAAATCTTATATCCTAAATACAAATCAATTGCCCGGTTTTTGTTCCCCAATGCTGTGCGAGTTGAAGTCCTAGAGCACGCAGTAAGCAAAGACCCGAAGATAAAAGAATTGAAACTGCTAATTGACCGAGCCAGGTTCGGAAACGTCACCCGCGTTGGATGTCTGAGAATATAGAACGAAACCATCTCAAGACAAATCAACCGAGTGATTATATACACATTGGTATGTATTCTCAATCGTACATACAACTTTGGGACTTCGTTCGCTGACCGGTCTGAGACATGACGGCCTCCTCGGCGGCAAAATGCGCCATTAAGCAGTTCAACATCAAGCCGAAAGATTATTCAAGATTCGTCGTTGGGAAGTATATCTGTTGAGATTCCCAGAAAACGTGTCCATGAGCTTACTATCCATTGCACCAGTCTATGGAAACCAATAAAAGGACCAGTATATGACTTCCCGCTCACGCTGTGCGACCGCCGTATAGTAGACTATGAATCGCAGACCACTGCCATGGATGTCGTTACTCATAATTTCGCTAACGAAAATGCTCGAGTATACTTCGATGAGAAGCACGAATGGTACTACTGGCACGGCTTACAAGTTGACGAGGTAATTGCCTTTGTACAGGCTGATTCAGCAGCAGAGAACAAAGCAGGTATGATGTATATTACCTCTGTCGTCTAGGGAATTTGTTTCCTAACATTACAACGCAGGAGTTCCCCATACCGCTTTTCAAGATCCCCGGATCAATGACAATAAGCAATTGCGGGAGAGCATTGAGGCTAGAGTCTTTGTTTATTTTGACTGAATGTCCCGGCTCTCAAGTGTCCTGACCACATGAGGGCGATAGAGTCATGTATTTGATCAGTGTGTCGGACTGGAATGCTCCTATATGGTACAAATTGCCTTGAAGGCCTTGGAGGTCTTAAGCCGCTTAGCCTTTGTTTTGGGAAAATGTTTTTCTATCTGACCTAGCTTCAAAGACAAATATAATTTCGTATCGGTGGATAGATAACGCGTACCTGCCCAGAGGTGAATAGCGGATATGCACAAAATCATTGCTCACAGTACCGAGATCTAACAAATCATGATTTTATCATGTCAGTTCCTCGTGCCCTTGCGTGTGAAAAACCTCTTATCGCTCGTATGTTAAATGGGAGCAAATATTTGGTGGTACCTCACTCATTGATATAACCTATTCACTGATCAACCACGTTAGAGAAGACCTGTAAATACTAGTTACAAGATATGACCACGTGATCAGCACACAGTTTCGCTCACATTATACTATATTTCAGGTCAGATTTTACAACTAGAGACGTAGACGTGGTGTTATTAGCACTAAAACATGCCTGATACCGCCAGCCAGCTAGCTAGTCAGATCATCTAACGCAGCCAAACACAGCCTGCAATCATTGAATCTGTCATCATAACCTGAGACTCAAGAGCACAGGAAAGATTAAGACAGCATTGTGACAAATACCATCCAGATTGACGAGATAAATGAACATCAAATCACCTAAATTTCAAATTGTTGTATCAAGTTAAACATTTTCCGCAATTCACGGGGCCGACGTCAAGTGTTGGCAGGCATTCGAGGGAAAGATAAGACATGGTCCACACAAGTGTACCTAGCTAGCTCCCTAGTATATTTTAAGGTTGCGATCGACAAAGCTTGGTATGCGTCGCCAATCGACGATCTGTGAGCAGGGCTGAGACAGACGCGTACGGTATAGCCCGATAGCGTGATCTTCACTCCGTAGCGGTCAGAATGGATATGGTGTTGTATTCATTGTGCATGTTATGATTGGGAATCTCATGGGTTTACTACGGGAGCGGGATGGGCTAGTTTGTGTAGACCGCATGGTATCGCGGGCAAGGGTTGAAACATGTTGTGTAGATGAGGTGGTTGGGATAGATGATCGGAGGGCTATATTTGTTAGACTTGGGTGTAGACTATGTGCTGATGTGAGTTATCTATTTAATAATATCCCCCATGTTTTAGCTAGATGTTTATACAAAAGATTTGTTCTTCGTTCAATTTACCATTCTTTGAATTGAGTATGAAATTAAACATATTGATTTCCCATCATTACAATCATCATCTATACAAGAATGGCTTATTTTGAGGAAAAAGTACCGTACGAAGACAACCTACATGCTACTCAAACCCAGCATGAAAATCCATACTCCAGCTACAATACCACCTCCACAATACTCTCTGATAACGAGATTCTTTCCCAAACACAAGAATCCACCCATCACAGTCCACCACCCGATTACTCACATCCAAAACTTCCCCGACCTATTGCAGTACCACAAATCGTGCCTGGAATCGGAAAGCCATTTGCTCGCATATACGCACCCGCACTCTCTGATTATAACCTCAACTCGCAAGATTTTGTGGAATTCATCGATAATCTGAATGTCGTCGCCAGCGAGAATCCACCTGTACAAATTGCCGATCTAGTGGGTGATGCACTAGACACGATATCGTATCACTGGGCACAGCTCACCGAGAGCGGCGTACAAATCCCCACACATCTAGGGAGCGCGGCCGTGACCAAAAGTAGAACAGATACTTACATGCAAAATGTCAATGCGAAGCTTTTTGCTCCTCGAGGACTGAAGGCTTCGATTGCTACCATGGAAGCTATGGCTGCTGTCTTACAGCTACCGCCCGATATACTGAGATCAATTACAGTGACTGATGAAAACACGTCTGCTACTGTTTTTGAAAGACGAATGAGTGCAGTAAGACCATATGTGATGGAAACAACACTTGATGTTCCTCCACCAGCCGCACAAATGAATGAAATGGCCCAGATGAGCGCGGCGCAAGTAGAGAGACAGATATTTAGGAATGAGAATCGAGCTCGGAGAGAAGGGGATAAACTTACCGCGAAGAGCGATAAGCGTGAAAATAAGGCACAGAGAAAGATCGAGAAGGTAGAAAGGGAGATGAGAAGGTTGGATTTGGGAATCGAGAGATCGCAAAGAGAGCTCGGGGACTTGAGATTTAGGGAACCTGATAAGAAAGCGGATAAGACAGAGCGGAAATTGGAGAAGGAGAGGAGGAAGCTGGAAGATGCGAAGGGGAAGTTAGATTATACGAGAGGTGAGAAGAATGAGGGTGTGAGTGATGGAGGGAGAGAAGGTAGGAGAGAAGTCGAAGATAGCAGATCGAAAGACAGAAAGGCATATAAGGAAGTGAAACGATCAAGAAGGATCTTGTGGATTCTGGTTGAGAACCTATGAGAGGTTTTTTAAGTTGAGGGAGATTCATTTGTACACAAAGCCGCTAGCTTTGGGAGAGCTCGTGTTCGATTCTCACTGTCAAGTCCATCAACGAGCTGATGGTTGCCGCTATAGATATTGCGATTTATTGATCGACATCATACTCTCCTAGTCTGCCCCAATTGTGATCTGAATTGAAAATGACTGAGAAAGAACCTTGAAGATTTAGAAGCAGTCCATCACGCGATTGAGATCATTTGAATGTTCTGGTGATGTTTAGAAATTTTAGAGTTTTTCACAATTAACCTTAGATTATAGTACAGGGTATTGGAAACTCTAAAACCCTTGATAACTAAGCATAAATCGATTGATATCATATCAATACAATCATCAACCTAATCCAATATTCTCCTGATTATCCAGTTGATACAATAAAAACATTCTCTGAAATGATGTTTGCTTTATTATTCAAACACGGGAGGTTGCTTATACTACAGATGATACTAGAGCTAGTGATCGGAACTCGGTGTGAAATACTCTAACCAATCAACAAGCTCTTCGTCGCGTCCCCTGAATTGCTGTACAACTCCGTCTCTCATTTCATGTTGACCAGAGAAATTATTTTGAAAGAACAACAATTCAAGTATTCTATGCAGCAACGTTCATAATGGCGCCAAATATAACTGCTCTGCCTCTTCCTTTTCACCCTTATTATCCTTTAGATCTCGAGATTCCTCATTACCTTGCTAATCAATGGGATACTTTTACATTGGTCTCGATATTTGCTGCAGGATGCGCTGCCATTTTCTCAAGTACTTATCTACTGGTGATGAGAGTCAGACCACGGATCTCAACAGCTGATTTATTGACTGTTCTATGGTTTGTTTTATGTACATCACCTTCTGAGATCTTCATCTGCCATGAAAAAGAAAGCTAATGAAGATTCCCAGGTGGTTGTATTCACCTCCTTTTCGAAGGATATTATGCCTACAATTTTCGACGCATGCCACTCATGCAAGATCTCTTTGGCCAACTCTGGAAAGAATATTCACTGTCTGATTCGCGATACCAAACACAAGATGCTTTCGTTCTCTGCATGGAAACCATTACAGCAGTATGTTGGGGCCCTTCATCGTTTATCCTCGCGGCCATGATTGCAACGGATCATCCGCTCCGATATCCATTGCAGGCAATCATATCGTTGGGCCAATTGTATGGAGATGTATTGTATTATGCGACATGTTTGTTCGATTTCTATATATTGGGATTGGAGTATTCAAGACCGGAACCAGCGATTTTCTGGGGATATTTCGTTTTTATGAATTCTTTTTGGATTGTGATTCCTTGCAGTAAGTTTTTGATCCTCGGGGATATGGTAAAGAGTAATTTCTAATGGCTTGTAGTACTTCTGTTCAATAGCGTAAAGGTAACTGGTAGAGCATTCTCGGCGTTGAAGAAGATGGAAAAGACACTGAAGACAAGTACAAACGGCAATGGTTCTTTGAAGAAGACGATATAATCGGAAGCATATAACCGGGCGGTTTACCTCGGCATATAATTACAGGATCACTCAACTGTTGGATCCATTACCTACTAGGTAGCTACTCAACTATTGGTCCAATGATTTGAATGATCTGGTTATCAACCTTCTGTATTCACTTCGCAATGCAATCAACCGTTAACCCCACCATGAGATTACAAATACAACTTCCCCAATTTCGGGCATAACAATGCAATGTCATAATATAAAAACTCCAGAACTCCCTCAGTTGTCTTTCCTTTCTTGGTATCTTCAATCCTTGACTCCGTATTTCCTGTTCAATCAAACCGACCACAATTGAAAATGTCTCCATACAAAACCCCCGCTCAGAATCCCCCAGCGGGAACCGCGTTATCAAAGGATCCACCAACCCTATTTTCTCCACTCACCATCCGCGATGTCACGTTTCAGAACCGCATCTGGGTAGCTCCTATGTGCATGTACAGCGCGAACGACGGACACCTTACAGATTTCCACCTTGTACACTTGGGTGCCTTTGTTTATCGTGGAGCGTCTCTCACTATTATTGAAGCTACTGCTGTCCGCCCTGAAGGTCGCATTTCTCCAGGTGACGCAGGCTTGTGGGAAGATGCACAGATAGAGGGGTTTAAACGGGTGGCGGACTTTGCTCATGGTCAAGGACAGAAAATCGGAATTCAATTGGCTCATGCGGGAAGAAAGGCTAGTACGTTGCCCCCTTGGATGGGACCTAGAGGGAAGAGTGCTGTTGCAGAAGAAAAGGATGGAGGATGGCCTAAGAATGTTAAGGGAATGAGTGCGTTGAAATGGGGTGAAGGGTATGCTGAGCCTAATGAAATGACACTTGAAGATATTCAAGATGTCATTGATGGATTCCGTGATGCGGCCAAGAGAGCTGTGGCAGCGGGAATTGATGTGATTGAAATTCATGGTGCTCATGGATACTTGTTGCATTCTTCTTTGAGTCCAGTTACAAACAAACGAACCGATAAGTACGGAGGAAGTTGGGAGAACAGAACTAGAATGTTGATTGAGACGATCAAGGCTGTGAGAAGTGTCATTCCAGAGGGAATGCCATTGTTGCTCAGAATCAGTGCTACAGAGTGGTTGGATGATGTGGAGAGTTGGAATGTTCCAGATACTATCAAATTGGCAAAGTTGCTTCCAGCTCTTGGTGTTGATTTACTCGATGTTAGTTCAGCAGGTAATTCACCAACCCAAAAGATCGGAATGCATACAAATTATCAGGTCTCTATTGCTGGGGAAATCCGCGCAGCGCTGTTTAAAGAAGGGATTAAAGATTTGAAGATTGGGTGTGTCGGCATGATCACAGAAGCTGAAGCCGCAAAATCTCATTTGGAGGATGAGCCAACTACATATCCAAACGCGGGGGAAACAGTAGATGTTAAAGATGAACAAGGAAAGGTCGCAAAGGCCGATATCGTCTTGGTTGCTAGACAGTTTATGAGAGAACCTGAGTGGGTTTTTAGAGTCGCTTATAGATTAGGCGTTGAGGTTCAATGGCCTGTTCAGTACTTGAGAGCAGGTTTTTTGAAGGGCTCTGTGATTTAATACACGATAGATGGGCGGTGCTTATAGATAAATATAAAGTCCTATGATACATATACATAGATCGCTCTTATAGAAATTCTATTTCAGTCTATATAAAGTCTAAAGTCTCAAGTCTAGAATTTATGGATATAAAAGCTTTGCCCTCCCACCCAAATTTACACTTCAAAGCTGAGAGATCAATATTGCATCTCACTGGTCTCAGCACTGATATCCCAGCTCATAAACTCAGCATCCCCTCCACCCCCTCAAACCACAAAATTAACCTTCTCCCCCTTCAAATACCCCTCAAAAATCTCAGCAATAGCCCTAACACATTTCTCCTGACTATCCCTCCCAAACCAAGCCACATGAGGACTAACAATCAGATTCCTCACTCTCTCCTCGCCCTCTCCTCTAACCAACGGACTCCCCCCCTTCTCCACCGGCTCGCTCTCAAAAACATCCGTCGCCGCTCCCAAAATCTCTCCCTCGTCCAACGCCCTCGCCAAATCCGCCTCATTAACCACACCGCCGCGAGCTACATTGACGAGAATCGCATCGCGACGCATCAGCGATAATTCAGGCACGGCGATGAGATTCTTCGTCTCGGGTGAGAGAGGACAGGCAAGAATAATGGTTGTGCATTCCGTGAGGATGGAGGAAAAAGCGGTTCGGCCTGCGCGCGCTTGCGCTTGGGGAATCGATTTGCGCTCGGAGATGAGTACTTTCATCCCGAGGGCGGTGCAGAGGTTGGATATGGCGAGGCCTGGGTTTTGAGTTAGTCGTTTTTCTTTGTCTTGTTTGTACAACGCTGAAAGCTATGAAACTCCTATTCTAGATGTCGACCCAGTAGATCAGATCGACGTCAAGTTTCGCGGCATTATCACCTCCTTCTCGAGATTCAATATAACGATTCAAGAACTCTTGTTTCGCTGATCTCAACAACTATATCCCTGCAGATCGATTCGAGTATCCCGTAATCTAGAGACGAGAAATGGACTCAGAACTAAGAGTCACAAAAACTCGCCATCCATTCCTCCGAAAAGCATCTAGAATAAAAAAATAAAAAAAATAAAAAAATGAAGAGATCACCCACCAATCTTCCCACCACCTACAATCCCCACGACCTCACTTCTACAACTCCTCGCGCCACCACCTTGCCAAGTATTCATACCCAGAATACCCGTTCCCTGGCTCGCCCACCGCTCCGCCTTCATCGTCCACTCATGCATACTCACCACATCTCTCTTGACTGCAAAATACAGCGCCAACGCGTGTTCGGCCACGGTATCCGTATTCGTATCCGGCATGTTGGAGACTTGGATGTTGTTTTCGGCGCAGTAGGCAAGATCGACGTGGTTTGTGCCGACGGAGGTGATGATGATGAGTTTTAGTTGGGAGGGGGGGAGGAGCGAGAGGGTTTCGCGGGTGAGCGGGCAGAGGGAGGTGAGGAGGATGGTGGCGGGGAGGATGCGCGGCGCGATTTGGGGGAGCGGGGTATGTGGGTAGGCTGTGTATGTGTGTGGGGTGGGGAAGAAATTAGAGGGGAGAGGATGGTAGTTGGAGTCTAGGTAGACGATGGTTTCGCCGGTTGGGGTGGGCGGAGCGGACATTTTGGGAGAGGGGGATGGCTTGGAAGTGTGGTATCGCGGGGAATTGTGAGGGTTGTGGGAGCGGAGGATGTTGGGAGAAAAAAATTTATGATGTGGGGTGAAAAATGCGGGCCGTGAGGGGAAGATAAGATATAAGATAGGTGAGAAATTAAGGAGGATTGTAAGAAATAAAGTGAAGGTATTGGTATACATGTAATACCCCAGCAAACACATATATCGTACACCATGAAACAAGTCAGACTATCCCCAATGATCTCAATATACTTGACGCAAATCCTGTGGACGATATGATAACTATCAGTTGAATAAATCGCCATCCACCATCAATTTCCAACATGTTTAGTAGAACATTCATAAAGTAGGACCACACATAGCAGTCCTTATAAGTTATCATTGCTATTAATGCAGAACTTTCAAGATAGATGGATGCTAAGCACAAATGTTAGGATGGTAGACCGATGCCTAGAGTACATTTAATGACGACATGAAAGATAGACGCATAGAAATTCACATAAATAGCCCCCAGAAAATCATTTGGCTAGTTCGGAAGAATGAGAGGTTCGCTTGGAGCCCAATGATGCAATGTCAAACAAAGTCTCCTTTTTTGATCTGCTGCATGCTCGCTTAGGACACCACTGTGATTCCTATTTACCACCTACGAGATACAATCTTTTATCTCGCTCCAAGGATCTTGTCTCTGGTCTCTTATAAATACCTATCTAGTTTTACATTGATTGAATTCTGATCTTTAATCATTGACGCAACTACTTACCTATTAAATAATCGTATTTTTATTAGGTGACAATATTAATTAAATTCACATATAATCTAATCATTATCATTTAATATCGTTTTGAACAAAAATGTTCGTACAACACGTCATACAATATCCAAATGATGAGCATGCTAATGAAGAACCCCATTTGATTCTCTCTGAATCCCACCTAATTCTCACGTTACCTCGTTTCATCTTATGAGATCCTAGTTCCTAGATTCCCCGTACTCAAAAACCCTTTATTCCCCATAGCGCCTCTCCACCCTATACTCAAAACGCCAAATATCAACCTCCCGTCTACAATTTCGGTTTCTTTCCCCCCCTTTACACTATCCGCAGCTTCACCATCATCCCCAGAAACTTTCTCTTCAACTAAGAAGCAATCCTGTCGAATGTCTCCTGGTGCTAATACAGGTCTCTCTAATTCTACATCTCCTCCGTTTTCCTTTTCTGAATCAGAAAGTACAATCTCCCAATTTAAGCTTGTAGCATTGAATCCTTTAGTAGTGGTCAAATGAACCAAAGTTAACGTAATAGGGTTATCTTCTGTGATATTTTCTAGTTGGGCCTCTAATGCATATTTCTTGGATGAAGAACTACTCGTAGAGGTAGATTTTGGAAATGATAATGGTCCGATTTTGGTACGGACCACGAGACATCCTTTGCAGATGAATTGATATAATTTACGGAATGTGCGAGTACGTGGAGGAGAGGACGGAGACGATTCGGTATATGTTACTGTAACAGCCAGAACATGAGAACCTTCTTCTTTGAGATCGAAATGAAGGACTTTCTGTAATGAACTCTGAGATATGATTTCTGTTTCCGGGGTTCCTTCCTTTGGGGTGGTAGAGACTTGTGGGGAAGACTCAGGACCAGAAAGAGGGAGCAATATAGGAGTTGTTGTGGAAGGGATTTTCATTTCTGCAGTGACAGAGATGTTTGATATTATTTTGGTAGTATTGGGCGAGTTTGCGATATCCGGAGAGGTATGCGTTTGAGCGGGCTGAGAAATAGGAGGAGGGAGCTCATTATTAGCGCAAAGAGTACAACTAAATGTCTCTCCTACATATGCAGATCCAAAAGCTGGAGGGAGTGTGAGGAGAGGAGAGAGAATAAAGTTCGAAGGGGTGGGAGATGGGTATGCGAGGGAGGCTGAAGGAGCGGGAAGGCTGAGATTTGGAGGTGGTGAAGGAGATGGTGTGGGAAGTGGATGTTGAATTGAAAGCGATGGACGGGAAAGTCTATTGTAAGATTTAGTATTTAACACGACTTTCACAATCAAGCAAAGTAAGTCGTAAGTTGCAGGAGAGAACTAAATACTACATACCTCAAAACCTTCAAACTGACAGAATGCGGTTCTTTCACTCCGTCCAAGGTCGAGGTAGTTCGTTGATGCGACATATTCAAGGATATATACGTGTCTTGCGATTATCTCATGGAGATCAACGATCAGTTCCTAATTGTACAACGAATGCGACCGTCACGAGCGTTTCAGTTGTCTGTTGTGAGAATCTCGTTCTTAATTGTAGGCTTTGAAGTCCAAATCATACAAGGTCTAGAATCGAACAAGGCTGAATGTCCATACAGACGTTCGACTATTTACTGCCGTCTCCACCGCTTTCTTATCGCTAGCTTCATACTTTATCGATACGCCGCGGCTAAAGTTTCACATCCTTTCACTGGTTATCACATTTTTCTCACATTTTCACTCTAAATCACGAAAATCAATTCTCGAATCCCATCAGACACACATTACTCTATAAATCCCTGAAATCAAAATGGGCGACGCTGGTCCTTCGACACAGGAGACTTTCCAAAAGTCTACTGAAGGAATTCCATTAGCTCGCTCCACCGGACTGATGCTAATCCTCGATACTCCCAAAGGTAATGACGATAGGTATCGATACCATATCTACGACATTCCCACCTCACACCTTACATAAACAACCATTCATACCAAATTGCAGCTTCGTTCTATCACAAATCAAGTATCACTAATTCCCATATAAATAGGCCGAGGAGTATTTGCCTCTCAAGACATTCCCGCCCGTAGCGTGCTAGAAGTATGCCCTGTATTAGTTTTAGATCCCAGTGAGAATGAAAATCACATAAAAAGGACGGAATTGTATCATTATACGTAGTGAGTTAGCCTGGTTGCATTTTTGCATGTTGATACGAATCTACCGGTTCCTTTGGAACCAAGTCTTGCTGATATAGATGGTTTCTAGTAACTGGCCATATAAACCTAAGGGTCCTATTGAGGGCTCAAATGGGATGACCAAACCACCTACCACCACCCAAGCCGTGATACTTGGGCTAGGTAGTATGTTTAATCATTCAACATTACATCAAAATGTTGGATGGGAGAGAGATGTTCAAAATCTCCTCATAACCTATACTGCACTAAGGGATATCAAACAAGGAGAAGAATTATGCATCTCATACGGATCAAGGTTGACGTTCAAGGACACTGAGGCAGATGCACTGAATGAAGTTGAAGACGAGAATGAATTATTAAGTAGAATTGAGTTGATTGATTGACCATTACTTTCCCATTTTCGAGCGTAATGCTACCTATAATTGAGAACCTTTTCAATGTTCTATTTGGAGAGACATGACCCTTCTGGGCTGAATGCTCTCAATGTACCCCAAAAGATGCAAGTACAAGTAAGAAGTATCCATAATTTTCGACATTCAAGACCTAAAGCAATTTAAGATTCTCGTAAACACAAAAATTAAGAGATAGCATTTAAAAACCAGGTGGAGGTGGAACGGCACTGTAGCCATTATTACTTCCTGGTGGTGGACCTGATGGTGGGGGAGGAGCCTATATTCTCAAGGTTAGTTTCTCTCGAACTATAATTTGACCGTCCCTTCCCGTCGAGGAAAAGGACAGTCTTGCAAACCTAACTTCTAGAACAGAACTCGGTTAGGAATATATGAAGTGAGGAAATAGTATACATACCGATCCACCGGGTGGTGGAGGTGGGGGCGCCTCGTTAGGAGGTAGTGGAGGACCTGAGCCTGGAGCACCTTGTTGTTGCTGTTGATATTGAGTCATAGCTGCCATGTACTGTTGATAATATTGAACATATGCCTCATACCCACCGTATTGAGCATAAGGATCAGCATTTGAACCATAGTATTGAGCAGCTTGGGCTCCATAGTCTGCAGGGGTTGAAGGACTGGCCGCGTTAGGAGTGTTGGGAGCTGGTGATTTGTTGTAGTTATTGTATCCACCACCACCACCGTACGAGTTAGACCTGTCTGGGGCGCGATCTCCGTAGCCTCGCTCTCCTGAATAGCCGGTTTGACCGCCATAACCACGTTGTTGAGGTGGGCGAGCCTTGAACTCTTCATATTGCTCTCGAACATTCTTGAGAAGATCCTCACAGAGCTCTTTGGCTTTTTGTACCTCATTCGGATCTGGGCCACTAAAAATACGTCAACCAGGTGCCCGAGCAAAAGTGAACTTACAAACTAACGCGACGTGAAGATACATATCTTCATCACTCTCACGACCGGTGCCATGTTCCATGAAACCAGAACCACGTCCCTTGATTTGAACACGACATCTAGTTTCCTGTTGAATGTGCTTTACGTAAGCTCCACCGTGGCCAACAACTTGAGCACGGAGGTTAAAGCCTTGAATAGGTTCAAAATCAATGGGAATCTTCTCCTCGGGCCATTTGCGCTGGTTCGTTTGTCAGCAACCAGAATTCATGTTGTCTAGAACGGAACTTACTCTGCCAAATTCGTCTCTCTCAACTTGCTCAGGCTCGCGTCTACGGAACCGACGTTCGTCAACCAAGTTAGGGAGCTCCTGCTTCATTAGTTCTTCAATCTTTTGAACGGCTTGCTCAAGGCCTCGCTTTGTTTGACTTGTAACATGGAGATACAATGGGGGATTCTAAGCATATTATCAGCTCGCTTTCCTCAATATCTAACTTCATAAATTGACTTACAGCAGCCGTAGCCATGCTTTTATCCGGGTAGTAATTTCCTCGCGTGGTGACATCTTGAAAAGTCAATATTAAAATCTCTAAAACAAATGGTGAGTTGTAGGTATTGCGTACCAGCGCCGGTTTCTTCCTTAATCTAAATGTCACGCAGCGGAGGTTAGCAGATGCCAAAAGGGTGTATGTGTATGGTGCTATTCGCGCTTCAGGTAAGCTTGAAAGTCTTCCCACACAATGATAATTTTACTTTGAAAGGGGGTAGGAGAAAGTATAGAGATGATTCATGGCTAGACCTATGAAGAAAGCCTGATGTATCAGTGGAGTATAACACAAGGAGTATTTACCATCTTTTGAGTAGAGCCTTTAGTCAGTGTATAACGGTTTCGCAAATCGTTGACTTCAATGTCTTTGATATAATCGCCATCTGCGATATACATCTCACCATTTATATTGCTTGCGCTGTTACCTGCTCCGGCTCCTGGAGATGCTGACTTTCCGACTGGGCTTTCGGCTGCGCGAATAGGTGGCACATCGGCATGTTGAATACCTTTCTTAGCTTGGATTTGTGCATTGATTTTTGCAGCAGCGGCAGCTATAGTATTTTCAATTAGCAAGGATTTATGTAACGTATTTCCGGGATGGGTATGTACCTGCTGCTGCTGCTGGATCTGCACCTCCTTTCTTTGCAGATTCGGGAGCCGGGCTGCGAGAAGAACGACGGCCAAGGGGAGACCTGCTTCGTCTTGCATCTGCCTTTCTCGCAGGTGGTGATCGCGAACGTCTATCGAACCTTGAGGTTCTCTTCGGCTCAGGCTCCTTTTGATCGAAGCGCGAACGCTTTGCTGTGCGACGTTCAGTATCATCCATATTGATAATTAGTGATGTTTATAATGGTTGAAGTAAATATTGTTTGTAGTAATGTGAGATGAGATAATGGGTCTCGAATTGCAAACAGATAACTGTTACAATTGATTGTTACAATTACTAGTACCCAGTAGAATTTATGAGGCTGAACTTTATTTCGAGTTTTTGTGCTGGTTGTTTGGTGACAAGGATTTCGTGCACCGACATATATTCCAAGACACTAAAATATCTGGGGTCAATACAATCAATGATCGGCAAATGCCGTATAGAAACAAATTCAACCTTTTGGTGCGGTATCGGGGCTTGATTGAACCTAGACCGTCACTTCTTCCGAGTCAATTTGTTTAATCCTTCTCAGTTTTTTGAGATAGGAATATAATCATTAATAACCTCTCAAGAAGTGTTGGATAATTTCAATTATTCAATATGGCTTCACGCAAAGCTATTCTATCACTTTCTGGAGTGAGGGCAGCAATCCCTAAACGCAGCACTTCTATTACCCCTCGACAAATTCAAAGATACCAATCCTCTTCTACTTCAGCTCTAGAATATAAGGCGCTTCACCGTCGCATCTCACCTCTTCCTACATCCGATGCTCCTCCAGCATGGTCAGCACAAGCAGCTGTTTCTAATATTCTCTACGAAACCCCCGCCCCCTCTGCCACTCCAGCAAAACGTCATGTCCTTAACTGTCTCGTACAAAACGAACCCGGTGTTCTCTCCCGCGTTTCCGGTATTCTCGCAGCTCGTGGCTTCAACATTGACTCCTTGGTCGTTTGCTCTACTGAAGTCGAAGACTTGTCTCGCATGACAATTGTTTTGTCCGGTCAAGACGGTGTTGTTGAGCAAGCTCGTCGCCAATTGGAAGACTTGGTCCCAGTTTGGGCTGTTCTCGATTATACTACTTCGCCCCTCGTACAGAGAGAATTACTTCTTGCGAAGATCAATCTTCTCGGTCCAGAATACTTCGAGGAATTGTTGGCGCATCACAGAGAAATCACTGCTAGTGATCCTGAAGCTTTGCAAGGTCAAGATGATTGGGCTACAAAGCGATTGGCAGAATTGAAGGATAGCGATGATTTCCACCCCGTCAAATTGGCTCAAAGTCAAGCTTTGAGACATAAGCATGAGCATTTGAAGTCGATCACATATTTCACACATCAATTTGGAGGCAAGGTCTTGGATATCAGCACACACAGCTGTATTGTCGAGGTGTAAGTTATTAAACTGCTCGATTTGCACGTGTAAATGTACTAATTATACGTTTTTAGCTCCGCCAAACCAAGTAGAATCGATTCATTCATGAAGTTGATCGCTCCATTCGGAATTCTCGAGTCTGCACGCACAGGTCTCATGGCTCTTCCTCGATCTCCATTATATGGTCCAAACGAACAAGACAACTTGGTGAAGGATGCCGAAGAAATTGTTGATGCAAGCACTTTACCTCCAGGATAGATTTGATAATATGTTGTTCAATGGATATGGAGTTGGCGTCACAAATTATCTAAAACAATGGAGGATAAGATTTATTTCTGCATGCAATTCTGTGTATCATTTATACATCAACAAAAATTAAAATAAAGGACAGTGTTTCCAAACGCCAAATCAAAATGCGCCCAATGACCGCAGTTATTAATACTGCTCCCAATCTATGGTATATTTCATACAATCTTGAGCATTCCGCTCCTCAAAGTCTAACGTGAGCACCGATTCCTGAGCCCAAATACCAGATGGTCTCCGTCCATTGACCAAGCCGAAGACCAATCGTGCCCTTCGCATCTAATTTTAGAGTGCCGCCTAATGCTCTCTCTACTGCGTCATATCCTACCCCATCAAAAGACCAGTCGACGGGCAATTTAGGCGATTCGCTTGCACCAGGGGGTACTGCGAAAGGATAGTCGTAAACAATCTTGCCAACTGTTTCGGTATGGTTATAAAATGCTTCAGCATCAATAGATTCAATGTAGATTGTGCTATATCGTAAAGGTGAGAGTAATGTAAACTGTGCTGTTGATGAGAAGAGATGGAAAGTTGCATCATCAATAAAATGCGGTTTCCCATCATCAGGACCCTTATCGTTCCCAGTCCCAGGCGTTGATAATCGAGGTGTAGGCATCGTGACTGCAAACTTGCTAAGTGCCTTTCCGAGTTTTGGTTGATATGGAATAGATCCTTCATGAGTTTCGAAAGTAAGAGTCGTATTGAAACCAGAGACATATTGCGAAATTAATTCCCGACCAATTTTGCGCCCCTTTTCACCACCGAATGTCATAGGATCCCAAGTAGCTTCAACAAGAACATTCGTATTATTCCCTCGCGAGACGCTGATATTGCGCACTGTGGCATCACCGATTATTGAGCCGTTATTCAAGATATGAATATTCACGTAAGGAATTCGAGCAGTGTATTCAGTTGGATTAGTGAAGTTAATTTTCGCTTGGAGATTGATTGATGTCCGGCCTGTGTTGAATATCTTCAAGTCGCCAACCTTGAGGTTGAGTTGGTGGAGATCACCGCCCGTGGAGATCGCTGCAATCCCGTCAGCTTCAGTGCAGTTGCGCTGAAATTAATAGGTCCCTAACGTTTCAAAGGAACAATTCCTTCCGCGGGTAAATCTTTAATAATGAAATCACCTAGCACAGTAGATATTTCAACTTCAACCAAAGCATCAATCTTAAGACTAACAGCCTTGCCACCCAGATAATAATCAGCCACAAGATCTCCAAATACATCCTCATCTGTGATTTCTAGAGGCGCATTTTTGATATGTGATTCGATCTTCAAAGAAGCATCGCCTTTACCATTAACTCGTTTCGATCGAGCTTCCTGCCATTTTTGTAGGTTTAGCACACCTAACTTATCTCCCTTGTAAAATACATCGGCTTTCGCACGAACTTTCGAAACGTCAAGGCTAAAATTCATCTCCTTAGGCAAAGCTGCTAATACCATTATATCCCCAGAAATTCTTGGATTGGACTCGGGTGTTCCGGGCTCCGCAAAAGGTCCAGGTAAGCTGAAATCTGTGTTTGTGAGAGAAAAGTTCTTGATCAATTGATCAAATGTATGACCTGGGAAAGGCACTGGTACAGTGACGCTTGATATAATTTGAGTAATCCAATCGGGGGTCTCTGGAGATGGTGTATTTGAACCTCGAACAAAGATGGTTGTATCATTGCCGTGAATGTAGTCACTGAGAAGCAGATCCAGTGGCGAGGAATGTGAATTGGGGCAGGTTTGCAAAAGACTTTCAGGTAGATCTCGAACGATCCCTGCGACGTCAAGGGTAACATCTGAATATGGCTCGATCATGATGTTATCAGTAGTGGCATCAGCGAGTTGAATATGTGGTTCGTCGGCAGCGCAATTCGAAACTAGTATATCGAAACGCATCGGAGGAATACTTAACCTTATTGGGTAGCTATTTACCAAGGATAGCGAGACTTCAGCAGCCATTCCACGATGGCCATCTTTGGAGAGAGGGATCTCCTTGAAGTTGAGACGAGTTATGTTATACTTGGGAATGGCTGGAATATCATTGCCTATGGGTCAGTTAGCAACTTGATTTCAAAGTGCAAGCTTTACATTGAGGAAACATCTAGGAAGTGGTGACTGCGCTCGCGGACAATTTTTTGGATACACCTATAAACTATAGATCGTGTGTATATTGCCCGAAATCCAGCCACAAACTTCCTTCAACCGATACTTTTCTCCCCAAAGTACAATGACGCAAAAGAACGATAGAGAGATTGACCTTCAAAAATCATTGACTCGGATATACTCTGAGATCCGAGCGGAAGTAACCCTGACTTCAATGTGACATCGGCCTTGCCTAACACCCGCAACTGTCCCAAACGACCCTCTAACCAGTCATTGGCAACTTGTCTTAATCCATCGACACTTCCTGCTTTAAGATCGGTAACGAAGTCGATTGGTGTGACAACACCATTTTGAATATTTACCACCACCTTCGGCACAACAGCGGTTCCGATGAGAAGATTATCGTATTCTGGAAGATAGACCTCGAGGTTCGATTCCTGGCTTTCAACCTCTTTCGCGATCCATGTACCAAATCTCCCAATATTTCTAACAGCATTGCTCTTCACCCTTGAAGCATCCATCTTAAAGTTTACTTGTACGCGAGCTTTCACTCCATTGGCGGTGAAGCTGTCTATCGATAGGTTCGTAGGCTCGATAACAAGAGATTCCTTGGCATACTCTTCAACGATTGCAGGCGCGAAAAATGCACATATCAGAATGACGATGCCAGCTAGAAACAACATGGTGACAGCGAAAATCGTTGGCCATCGAAACCCTTCATTGGCAGACTTGCCAGAGTCTCGATTATGGATAGAACGTAGAGATTCTGCCGCTGGCGATACGATTCGACCATCCTCATCTTCGGGTTCTTCGCCGTCATATCGAGGAGTATCATCAGAGTGCGCTAACAAAGGTGATGATTCGTATGAGTCGCCAGAATTGTCCGAGTTATGTGAATTGACTGAACATTGAGAATGCTTCGACGATGGTCGTTGCTCTGGACTGAGCAGGAGTGGAGACCCCGCACTGTCCGACATGATGGAGATAAGGATAGTTGATTAAATTGGTGCCGGTATGTATCACTCGACGCACCGCGCGAGGATGGATCTAATGATATCAACAAAGTGATATTATTGTGTTCGATATCTTGAAGATGATGAAAGTAATGTTTGAGGTGTCTTAGATATTGAGAGGCTGAGTGGGTGTCGTAAGTCTTGTATACGTTCCTGGGGAGTGTAAGCAGCCGCCACACCGTGCGTTAGCTTACGAGAACGCCTTATATTAGTTGATTGGGCCAACGCAGTGGTATATTTATGCATGCATTGTGCCTTTGTACGTGAAAGTTATGAATTGATGCCAACAACCTTGTCAATGTCTCAGAAATATGTATACACTCGGAGACACTACACAAGATACAGCATATCTTCATCCTATCTTTATATTTCACCAACAAGCATGAACACGACACGTTCGTCCTACTTCGTATAGATAACACAACTGGGCTGGCGTTCTGGCCAGTGTCTTTATGAGCCATGCCTAGAATCAAGTATCTAGAAGATATTGTATCAGCAAGTGTATGATACTTACAGGACATTCTAAATCTCAGGTCAACGCTTTCATGTGAATTTGAACAATGAAGTACTTTCCTGGTGCGCATTTGACATGGACGGATTCTGTTGCAATATTCACAGTCATGGTATCTGATGCAAGTGCAGAGTCCTCAGTATGCTACTAGAATGATGATTAACTTGTCCTTAGTTTTGTATTGCAGTGGAAGTCTGAGTACATGTAGTGGGACTACGTGGTCTAAGTGCAACGCGATAATTCAATACGAGGATATCCTGAATGTCACTCGGGTTCTGGTAGTCTCCAGAGCGCTTCTTCGAAGATGTCGACTAATGGATCTCAAATATGAAAGATGTCCCAAGGCTCCGCGGCATTCTCACAAGATTCTCTGCAAATTTGGTTGCGGCTGTCATAAAATGATCTGGCCTTTCCTAAGGTTTGTGCTGGTCTCATCGAGCATTTTATCAGTAAATTCTTCAAGTACAATGAGTCTTCCCTCAAATGACTCCCATACTGTTACTCTTGAAAACTTTCTGATTCCAGCTTTCTATTCACACGCATTGAATGAGTAATGGTTTAATGACAACATTAGTCACTGTGTAGACTCGCTCTCTATTAACTTTATGACTCGCGACTACATTCATTGACTCTTCGAAGCACTCAAGTATGCTTGAATAAATACAAGCTAACCCAGGTCTACTTTATCCGCTCTCCCCCGTAAAAAACCATACCACAATCCATCAAATCCACACAACACAAAACAAAACATCAAAGCTTATTTTATTGTATCCGCTGTCTCCTCCGTCGAACTAGTTTTTCCTCTCGTCGATCAACATCTACCTCAATTTATCACGCTTCAATTTGCAGTAGGCATTAGCCGATTAAGGTCTGTCCCAATATTCCGTGAAATCGGTTCAGCAGGATCTACATCTGCTTGATAGCTAGTTCATTAGACTAATCAGGTAGTCATTAGAGACATGGAATATACTTCAAATCACAATACTCTCATTCATAATTTCAAAGTCCATATGCGATCTTACGATTCAAGAGGACCCGAGTATCCTGGGAGGGTATTAATTCCAGGGTGGCGTCGACAAGCTCAACTGGAATTCCTTCTCGGAATTATCAAATCTTACAATTTAGAGCTTAGGCGCTACCATTGGTTTGGCGACGTAGAGGTCTTAGATATCGAAAATGATATGTACGAGAATATCAGGTTGTTGGGAAATGATGGATATCTACCTACAGATATTGTCGAGTTGGCAAATCGCCTTCAACGTGATGCTCGGCCGACAAGAGGCATTTATCGGCTGCTTCAATTTGCCTACCAGGTGATTACTGGCTCGGATCTCAACATATGTTTCCACAACAATAGGATTTGCGATAAAATGGACGCAAACGATCGCATCAATGGTTTAGACAGAAAGGTTTTGGATGAACGTAATAAGGCTAGATATAATGCTCTCGTCGATATGAAAAAGCACTGTCAGCCAGATCGTGGCCAAAACGACAACGCAAACAGCTTGAAAATCCTACTTGATTGGGCAGAAAGAAACATGAAAAGTTCTCAGGGTAAGGAATCACCGCCCTCAGATTCTGCAACAACTAGAAAGGAAGCCGAAGAGCTTCGGAAGCGATTGCAAGCTTACAAACGAGAAGATGCGAAGAGACTAGGGGCGGAATCAGGTACGACCTATAAAATTGACACAGAATACTGCTAACCATATACAGAGCGCAAAGCTCATCGGCATTAAGTCTCTGGTTTCAGAAGATTTCTGAGTGATAAATGGAGCTCGAGGTTGATATTTTCTAGATGGTGGATGACTGGGATTCGACTTTTGCGTGACTTTGATAGTACTCCATAGCTAAATGGAAACTATCCTCAAGACCTGATTGCGATATTGCGAATTTTCATATTGTCATTGATTTTTTCTAGTTATTCTACTTTAAAATTAAACACGATAGCACCAGCCGACCTTCATTGTTCGCTTTGTCTGGTACACTCTCGCGGATAACACTCAACCTTGAAGAAGACTGATTTTCTCCATTTTGTTTGAGAGGTAGATAGATCAGAGGCTTAGATATATTAGAGGATGGAAACTTGATACATTTACGTAGATCTGGTAAAGATTAAGTGAAACGAGATTTGGGTAGCTAGCATACAAAATCATTTTGAGCGAAGTAGTTCTTTCACAAACCAGCGAAACCCAGGATGTCCGGTGTACATCGTGATATATAACAAGCAGGACTCAGATTGTACAACGAGCCATAAAATTCACCCAAAAGTTCAAGGAAATAATTTGCTAGAAAAAATGACATTTATTCGCAATGTACCAAGTTCGATACATTCGTAGACATCACGTCGTTAGGCTGCTTTAGCGAAGGGGCTAGGATAGATTACAGAGTGGGGTAGGTTCCAACGATCTGCGCATCCGTTTGATGTAAGCGTAAAGCTGAATACTCTACCTATTGCGAAAACATAATGAGCTTAACATCATGGTACCAAGAATCAGAATAACATCCAATCTCATGGCTCTCCTTTCGAACATTACCCCTCGTAGCTACAGTTCTCTTCTTTCAAACTCGCCATCATAAAGGTCAATAATTAACATCATAACTTGACAGACATCAAACCAAACAATATTCTCATTGACTATGAAGAAAAGGCCGACAAGCTTCTCCACATCGAAAGCGTCCGCGTCTCAGATCTGGAAGATTCTATTGTTATCTCCCCTGGAACAGGAGTTATCGGCGGTAAACTTGGCAATCAATTTTGGCGCAGTCCCGAATCTTGGTGTAAAGCAAAGCAAAGCGTCTCTTCTGACATATTTTCTATGGTCATAGTTGCCATCTATATTATGGATATGCAGATGATATTTTATGACGGTTCGGAAAATGAAGACTTTGTGAATGGCGAGGCATGGAACCAAATTGTAATGAAGCGTATCTCGTTTTTCTGGGATAAAGATGATTATCTTGCGTTTCTAGATCAAATCGGGGAGGATAATCCGTTTTTCGATCGTGTCATCGATATGGTCAATGACTTTGAGGGTCCGATGACACTTGTCCGGAAAGGGTCGTATCTTGACGCAGAGTTTAGAGATCTGGTTGTGAATATGGCGAGGTTAGATCCTCATAGTAGGCTCAGTGCGAGAGAGGCCTTAGAGCACCCGTTCTTTGATGATGTCAGTATACTTTAGTGGATAGCTAGCGATGAAGTAGGAGTCAATTTCGGTATAAGGTTCGAAATAACATCACGATAGTCTGCCAGAGGCTAGAAGAATACCACACAGGTATTGTCTGATTGATCGACTTATTAAAAATTTCTCAGAAAGTTATGAAGTGGAAATTTCTCGTCGTATTGAAAAGTCTAGGTGATCGATCTGGTCGGTTGGCCCAACTCAAGTGCGGCCATCATTGCATTTCGCTCGAAATGAATGCCATCGAAAGTAGTATCATAAACTAAAGGAGACCTTGACTCCATTCCTACTCTCCATCTGCAATCTATGCTGTTTCACAAACCTTTCCTCGGGATCACGGTTCTCTAAACCCTTGAAAGTTTTTACAAACCTCACTAGAATATAAATACATTCATTGAGCACCATTTGCTGTGCAGGACAAACTCGATCTCCTTGGAGAATGGAATATACGCTCGGGTTTGCGCGGTCCCGAGCTTCTCCCATCGCTCTGGTCTGGGCTCATCAGCATCTGCGCCCCATACATCCTTATCTAAATGCATAGACCTAAATATGTAATTGACATCAGTTCCACGAACAACTAAAACTGGATCTTTTCCATCTGATCCTCCTCCAGTAGGTAAGATGCAATCTTCGCCACATGATCTTATACTCCTTCCGGAAGTTGCAAGTATCCGTAGACCTTTGGCATATTGAGTTAGCACCATCATCAAAGAGGCAATAATCTGAGAATTCAACTCACTTTCATTCACAATGGCCTTTGCATACTTCATTTGCTTCAATGACTCGTAGGTTAGAGGTCCATCATAGTTCGATACTTCATTTTGAAGTCGGTTCCACACTTCAGGGTGTCTTGCCAAGTTGAAGAAGATGTTTCCAGCAGCGATCGCAGTTTGATCTCGAGCAGGAAGGAAAATGTTCAGTAATTGAGAAGGAAGGGAAACGCGGTCTTGCGTCGTCTTCAATAGCTCATCTAAGAGAACAAGTCGTCTGTTCGGGCTTGGGGATTGGTAGGACTTGAAAGGTTCTTCGCCCTTTCTATCGCTCTGTCGATTTGCTGATCGATGAATGTGTAAACCTCGTCACGAGCCTTCTTCCAAGACCTATCTAAGCTTTGCAGAAAAGCAAACTTTCCCAAAGCCACCCGCAAGCCGATGCCTTGCAAGACTGTGTCAAAAGCTGCGAGAAACGTCTCGATGTCAAATTGACCTTTCCCTAGCTCCAGATTATTGATCGAATGACCAAAGATCAATTGCGTGGAGGTATCAAGAAACTATGTATGTCAGTTAGATCAACAGAGTTTTTAATCCAGGGGCGTCATACAAGCCGTTTTAACAGAGGTAATAAGTCTACAGTAGTACCATCATGCGGTATCATAGCAAGTAAAACATCCAGACGCTCTTCTAGGATGTCTAAATTCGATATTTGAGCCCTTGCAAAGATCGATTTCGAGGCAAGGTGAGCTTTTTTCCATGATACGCCATCTGTGTTGAAAATTCCTCGTCCTAAGAAGCATTCTGTTGCATGTAGTCTAGAAGGCTCTACCATAAATTATTTCTGGGACGTAACGAGGATGGTGTGTATGTTATCTGCATCCATTGTGTAGATGGCCTTCTGGCCCCAGCTGTTTGCTTCGAAGGTCTTCCCATACTTATCAAACAAGGATTGGAAAAAAGCAAAGTTGTTTTATTTCGAGATAATCTTCGCTATGCCCACGAACAAATCGATGCCCCAAAAAGGATCTTTGTGTGAATAATGACATGGTCTGTAACAGTTATGCTTCTGTCGAATTCGTTCCTCTTGTCTGCTCTGGACCAGCTTTCTGGAGAAATTAAGAACGATGCTGGGAAACTACAATGCATAAAAAAGTACCGTGGTTGAATTCCATATTATCTATTGAAGACTGACTCATGTAAAATCCTCCGAGACAAGGAGGCACATTGGTCGCTGTCCGATTATTGGGCCAGAAACAGAATAAAAAGTACCAAGTATGGACAGTGGGCTTGGAAACCCAGATGTTTAAAATTTTAGCATTCGTGAGAAGTAGGAAGTAAGAAGTGAGATCGCTTCTATGTACTGAGATATAGTAGCGGCCCTGTGGAGTTTTGTCCTTCAGTCTCTTTTTCTGCTCGCCGTCCTGAAGTGATCATAACACCGATCCAGCTGTTGGTTAAATGAGTCGTTCAGGATCAAACCACTCAGAACTACTGACTATGCGCAATGTGCTTTTCCTGATAAAGGACTGTACGAAGATTGGTAGGAAAGTATGGATGTACTGTGACACGTTGGTGACATGCTTCATTTGGAAGAGTCCAATTATTGAATTCACTGCACCAACACTATCCAACATCACCAGCACCCCTCATATTTGATTACATTGCAACATTGCTGCAACATCTCTGCAAGGGTTCTAATTTCAAAAGTGGAGTACGACGGAAGGATCATCGCAGTCTTTATTTGCATCATATTTTACACTGATATATATATCAAAAATCTTGTTACCCATTTTCAGGTATACCAATCCTATATAAATCCGGCATAATGGCATTTAGCTGCCTCTCATCTGGCTGCCATCTTCCTCTTATATCTCTCCACACCTCTGTTGCCCTAGCCTGACCAGAGCATGTCGCGAAAGCCTTGAGCACATTCGTTACGATCCAAGTCGACATGTATATACCTTCTACACCTTGGTCGAGGGCTTTCAAATATGCTTTCCACACACTTTCCAGTCTGGCACCTGTCCACTTCGTGTATCTAGTACCACCATGAATACAGAATCCCTTGAAAAGAGAGAGGAAAAGTGCGCCGTGTAAGGGAACGTTGAAGAGGCCCATTTCTTCTAGAAACTTAGCCGCTTTATCTAGCTCGCCTTCTGTAACTGCAAAATGATTGACCAACAACCTATAAGTTTGAATATCCGGACAAACGATGGAGCTTTGTTGAGCTTTCGCTCGGCCTTTTGGATCATGCTTGAATTCCAACGCCATTCGTAACAATGCGCGCTTGACTTCTCTGCGATTCTTGAAATGCCTGTGCCATTCCTGCGTGCCCGAACGTTCCGCATGCATGATTTTCATTCGCTCATAGATATTTAGCGCAGCGCTGGGCTCATATGACTTGATAAGAGCCGAGATCATTGCGTTGAGAACAACGGTATCGACAATTTCTCCAGCGTTGACCAACGCTGCATACGCTGCTCGCGCTCCATCACCGTCGCTTTTCAGACCACAAGTAAATATCATGCTGACATAATGAAATCGGTTGTACTCGAGGCCCCTGGCTATCATTTCCTTGTAGATCATTTCGCCAAGGGTGAATTTGCCGGCTTTGCATGCGACATCATAAAGAACATTGAATGTCGCATAGTTGCCTCTGACACCTGCGATGTGCTCCATTTCCCTCCACAGTTTCAAAGCACTTTCGACCTCTACATCTGTGGCCTTGGCAACGTATTTGGAAGCAAAAGAAATGGCACTTGTCCATTCCGAAACACTTAAGGGAATAGCTGTTGATTTCATATCGTCGACAACCGAGAAGTACCTGAGCATCGAGTGCTCGTCCTTCCTTTCTACGATACTCAAGTGGCGAAGTAACATGTGTCTTAGGTTGGCTTCTAAATAAGGAACTCGAGGTTCTGGCAATTCACGATAGATTTGATATACATCTTCCGCCTCATGGGAGTAGAAATTCTTCAGTGCGGATTCCAGCTCTTTGAGCTTTTCTTTCGTTTCGTTATTGGCCGGCCATGCCTGATGAGGTGGCCATTCGTCTTCCTCTTCATCCGAAACTTGTAGATGGGGAGCGTACCCTGGCTGGTGAAGGTCTGGAGATTCCATAACGGGTAATTGATGTGTATACGAAGTCCCATGGTACTGGTCCACAAGCTCCATGAGCTCCTCTCGAGTCTGATTTGCCTCATTTGTGATCTTCTCTTCGTCCACCGTAGATTGTGCATTATATGTATAATTTCGTCCCCGTGTATTGACTTTGGTCGACCGTAAATCCTTCGTAGATGTGTTAGGTCTGTGAGAAGTGAAAAAAGTTACCGGTTGTAAAGGCTTCGGGGTGTGTCTGTGGCAATGGCCTGCACTGGCAAGTGAGGAAATAAACCATGCTTCGAGTCCGACTGTACTTGAGATCATTTGTATAGGTTTCCTGAGATGATTTCGTCTGGAAGGCTTCGTGGAAGCTTTTTGGATGTCAATTGGATATAAAAAGGAAAGAGCTTGTCGAGGGGCTGCTAGCTTCGAGATGAGGGTGCTGCTCGTCGAGGAGGAGATACAAGAGGAGGACATGAGCCGGCTGACATTTTGAGTTTTTGTCAACGTCTCTGAAAAGTCATTGGAGCCAGGCCAGCCCTCCAGTCCTTATCTGCCGTTGTGGTTGACTTGGGAGCTTGTGGGGGGTTGAGGATTGATATGTTGAAAACTTTAGGACTTATCGCCAAAATTTCCAAAATTTTGGCGGAGATTGCCGCCAGGCTTCAAAAACCTATCAATATTTGCGACCCAGAACACCACCACCCCCGCAATATTGTTCATAGATTATTTTGAGACTGTAAGTTCGATATTTTGACTGAGTGAAATAGATTCTAATATTTCGAAAGTTCCGCGAGTATGAGGGGCCTCAATTTAAAGCCATCGCGCGTTTACCAAACAGCTTCGGCATTACTCGCATCTGAAAGTATTTCCCAAGCACCACCATGGTATAAGACAATCGGCTCAGTACCCCCTTCTGAAATCCTTACACGGACACAACCTGTTCAACACCGAGGAAGCAATGGCAGACCTAGGACGAAAAAAGCTAGCAAGCTATTCAAACCACAAACTATTGTATACGAGGAAGATCGAATAAGACAAGAATTCTTCCGTGATCATCCATGGGAGTTGGCAAGACCTAGAGTTGTGCTGGAGGACGATGGACGAGATGGGCAAAGATGTGATTGGAGTAAAATAGCACAGCCAGGAAGACCTTTGACCGGTGAAAGGTAAAATTGATTCTCAGGGTATTGCGACGTTTGGTTAACATTTCGACAGTGTGGTACAGAGGCAGCTTTGGCTGATACACAACACGCAAATGTCTAATAGTGAGGCTTATGATATAGCACGGAAGGAATTCTATGCTCTTCGTCAGGAAGAGGAGATCGAACGAAGGATCGCGAAAGAAGAGGCAGAATACGTTGGAGCATACTTTCATAAAGGTGCTTTGGAGGTTGGAATGGAGCTGGAAGATAAGAGTTACGAGGACTGGAAGGCATGGGCTACCAAGGAAGTCGAGGCCGCGAACTTGCAACAACAAGGAGCATACACTGGTGTTGGCACCGAAAGTGAGGATGCTGCTCTTTTGGATGATGCAGAGGCTGTTGAAGAGCCGGCAACAGCCGCATGAAAATGCTCAATCTTACCAGAGGCATGTATAACAGCATTATAAGGGCAAAATTGGCGTTAATGAGCATGAAATTTACCAGGTGATGTTGGACTAGAGTTTTGAAGGATTTATCAAAGGTCGGTGGTACATGCGGTAGGGCTAGTAGGTCACTGATATTCTTTTGTGTGGTGATTATCTAGGCCAGCTGTACTGTTCAGAACTGTGTTTCCTCAAATTGGAGAACATATTACTGATGGTATTTTGGCGTTCTGCTAATGCACCAAGAAGCCCCTCCATTCCACCCTTTTCTGAGCATTTTCCCCATTTATCTGTCTAGCAAGTCCTTCCCATTGAACGAGGAATCGATCATAAATACCTAACCACAACAAAACTTTACCACTCAAACTCAATGTCTTTACCCTTGCCCAGCTTTCCACGTAAATCGTTTGCATCTTCCAAATTGGGGCCACCCCAAGAAACTTCAACAGGAAGCTTGCCATGACCACAAGAACAGCAGTAGCAGGACCATTTGTAATGATGATATCTGGATATTGCTGGTGTATTGTACTGGTTATCGAAATTTTGTGTAGTGCCCTGAGACATCCCAGCATACACCAGAAGGATGATATGGGCGCAGTGTAAAGTGGTTGATGTATCTCTCTTGCTCTTGGAACAACTATGAGATCCCAGACCCCCGTGGTAGCATCAAACTCGCCAGATTTGGTACATGGCGAAGAAGGTCGAAGCTTCGATTGTATACGCTCCTCGCAATCTTGAGCCTTGGTAGAAGAAAAGTTATCTCCCGCAGATATAATATATGTCCGGTGTTTGTATCTGGCTACATTCGTATCGCGAAGAAGAGATACCATCTCTGCAGTATGACCACCAGAACCAAGAACCACCACCATATGAGATGGCTCATCCTTGCTTTTGACTGGAGGTCGCCGAGCATTTGGAGAGAACAAATAGAGAAGTCGAAGCTACATTGTTTCAAATCAGTGCATCATTCTAGAACATTGAATATGATCTTACAAATGCAGTGGTGATGATAACCAAGGCTGCTGCTGTGATCAGAGACAAGGCTGAAATATAAATCATGGTTGGAGCCCATGCGAGGCTGAAGGAGCTAAGTGGATGTTTCTGGACCCTTCAAGGAGGGAGAGGACACGAAGTAGTTTGGAATATGTGTATAGGAGTGTATGGTGTAAAATAAATGAATGTATGGTACGAATTGGGTAGATGATTAGGATGATTTGATATACGGCTCTCATATCATGAATTAACAACAGTATATGATATGATGTGAACTTGATCAGATTAATTTTGAATTACCATTATCATCTTCATCATCATCATCGTCATCATTCTTCATCATTATCAAATATGGTAAGCATTATTGTTGTCTCTTTCCTTTCCATCGATCAATACTGTACCGAACCGAATCGGTTATTCCTATTTTGTGTATAAAGGCCGAAGCTAAAATTTCGAGTAATCGTCTAGACTTGAACTTTAAAAAAAAATCACACTGAGCAACGCGACGCGATATTAAACCCCCCCTTCGGCATGATCTTCATCAACCATGCAACTACAGCTTCACAAATTTCACAACTTTCAAATCATCAAGACAACTCACACTTTCATCAACTTATAGACTACCAATCAAACTCACATCATCAAAGATGTTTTTCAGCAAACGTTTAGTTTGTTTTTACTGTGGACGAAAGTCAAATCTTACATGGAATTCTCAAATCTCATATTTTGAATGTGAAACCTGTGAAGCCACCAATTATTTGGATAGCAATGGCAATATTACAGATCCACCATCGGCCGTCACTGGATCAAACTTGAATTTTCAGGATACCCAAGCAAACACCACTGAATCATCTATATTCTGCGAACGATGCTTGCGGAATCAACAATACCACTACGATGTCATGAGGCAGCTCGATGTCGAGCTTGACCCTGAACATCCAAATTACCAGGCTTCTGAAGAGAAGATCCGTGTTATTAAGAAAGACCTAGACAAGCGTTATCCAATGGTTTGCGAAAATTGCGCACCAAAGGCTCAGGAACAACGTGATAGAGCAGATAAATTCGCAAAATCTGACTGGCTTGGAAGGTTGAACGCTCTCAGCGAACGAATCAGAAGCCAAAAGACATGGAAGGATACCTTTCAAAATGTCATATATCAAACCCTCCTTTACCCAACTGTCTCAAAAATCTGGTACCTCGTTGTTATCGGACAGGTTCTTGCTCTTGTTCTAGGCCTCTTTAATGTTACAGATATTTTGACCAAGACCTTGAACTTGATCCCCTTTTTACCGGACAACCTAATATTGAATATCATCTCTTTTTTGGCATCCAAGAGATGCTTTGGATGGAGTATATTTCACAACTTTTTGTCATGCGGCATGAACCCATTCTTTTCACGATGGTATCCAAGAGGAAATCCTAAACGTATCGTTGGCTTCCTCGACTGGTATGGATACCAAGTCCTCTTGCAACTGGTCTTGCGAGTCATTTTAAGCTCCACGTTCGAAAACGGACTTTTCGCACACCTTTCATCCCACACAACGATGATAGCCAATATTTGCACCGTCTTTTTCAACTTTCTCATTGCATACGGATCACGTTTCTATCTTGGTCCTAAAAAAATTGCGCTCTGGAAATCAACCCCAGGCCCAATATACACACCATCGGCATTCCAGACCTCAGAAAAATCTGGCAATGCACTGTCAGATGTTCTTGATGAAATAATGGCCTCAACACCAAAAGGCCATCATCAAACACCCTCACCACCAACACACCACTCTCAACAAAGCAGCCAGTACAATCAAGAACAGTCATATCAACATGATCGTCAAAGCCACACATCTGGTTTTCGCGAAAAGGCTTCCGCAAATACCTATGCTCGAAACTACAATCAACGCCATGAAATTCCAAGACAAGCGGATCTTCTTCTGAAGACTACCACCTCTGGCTTGAATCCCGTCGAATTCAATCATTACCTAGCAACTGGTGAGTTGCCAGATTGGAAATTGCAAGAAGGCGAGGAGATGGATTGGGACCCTACCGTTACTCGTGTAAACCATGACTTGAATATTCGTCATCGTGCTCTGGACACGAAATCCAATTATGAGACCCCCTTACAACAATTCGGTCAATCACCATCCTCTTCGCAATCTCTCGCTCCATTTAACGGCCCTTCTCCATTTTATGGCAAACTGCCAGCGGCTCCAATCAGTCCGGCTCATCGACTTCGCAATCCACCAAACAGGCCAAGGCTTGAAGCGCCATCTGCCCAGAGAAAGGAGAATTTCTTCAACAGCATGACTCAAAAGCAGGCTTTTGGCCAGACGAACAACAATCGCCATGAGATTCAGATTGCAAATCCAAAACTTCACGTCCCAGAACCTAAAGCTTACCAATTGGATGATGGTTTTGAGGAGGCTTTTGGTAAATTTTCGCTCAAGGAAAATGAGGATTTGCCCACTCAAGAATTCGGAAAATTGAGCTTTGGGAAGGCTTTAGGGTTAAGCTTATTGCTCGGTGGATTGGCAGTGGGCGCAGGAGCTTACTATAACTCCAATTCTTCATCGCAAGACGAGGTTTCCTCGTCACTTGAATCAATGTCAATTGAAAACACCTCCACTATGTAGGTGGGGAACTTCCTCCATGGGTTCTCCCATGGGGCACGTAAGGACCCTGAGATTGTCATTGATTCACTTGACTTAGAATATCTTTTCTTGCGGTGGGGAATTGGGATCGGGATTGGATCGGGATTGGATCAGGATTATAAAAGGAGTTGGATTGGAGTTTCATTGTATAGATTGACTTGGGGCTTGGCTTTGGAATTGGCTTGGACATTGGCATGGCGGTTCTATGGCTTGTATTGAAAGACATCACGGATTATGAATTATGATTAAGATACCCTGTATAGATAACCAACTTATTAGAAATAGAACAATAAATCGATTAATGGCTATGCGTTTTGTATTTGAATATTGAAAGTGAATGTGCAACATTATTGATACTTTCGCAGCATTCTTACCTTTGCCCTTTCCGGTACCAACGCCAGTAGACAGTTTGATTGCCAAATATGCAGCGAAAAGGTGAAGATTGCTAAGAGGCTCCGGAATCTGCATTTCTTGGTAAAATTCAAATCTGGCTTACAGTACGTACAGCATTAGGTGTTGTAGATCTTCAATATCAACATAAAACTGACAGTTCTGTGCCATCGATCTGTAACTGCATCCACGTACCGAAAAATGATATCCTGCTCGTGGGTTCTTCGATGCCTTCGAATCTGGCGAGTATTGGACACTTTCCCATGAGCATCATATTCCCCATCTAGGAAAACTTCCATGAATCTTTTCCCGACTCCAGAGAAGAGAAAAAGGAAAATCCAGTATACTGTGATACTCCCACTCACAGATACTTGAGGCTTTCTTCTCTTAACTTCGATTTTATCGCTATCATTGTGAGGCCGCTGTTTGTTTGGGGTAAGTTTGGAAATATTACGGATTCGGTATGTGGGTTTTCGGTCTCTTGTACATGAGTTTGCAGTCTTTAACTCAGATGAAGGAGAGCAAGTTCATTCTACCATAGACTTTTAAGTCACCATTAAAGTATCAGTACGGCACAACAGTCATCGTCAGCTCAATGATAATCTTTCGACTTTTATAGTCACTAATAATCGTTCATAACAAGGACATACAAAGTCAATGAATTGCAACAGTACTACCTCATTACTCAAGAAACTCGAGCTTCAACAATGTTGCTTCCAAACTTCTCTCCACAGAATCAAATGAAATCGCGAAATCAACAGCGTCCCGGAACATCTGACCAGCAAATTCCTCCTTGGAGAACGGCGTGAGGTCCTTAAAAAAGAAAGGTCACGAACTTACAGTATGGGGAAAATGATTAGACGGAGTGGTCAAGACATGATGGATACCAACCAAAGAATTGGGAACACTTAGCACGGAATTGCTTTTTAACTTAAACCTCAGGCTTTCTTTGGAAGCGACGATTTCATTTGACACTTTTCAATTTGCAGGCCATCCACATCGATACGGCGATACCGCCGATCCTGAAGTTTCAACACAGACAATATAGTAGGCAATCGAGTCACCTTTCTGCAACCCTAAATTTAAATGCAAGTAATAATTCCTCCTCATCTCCATTCGTCATAAATAATTTATAAGCTTTGGTATTTAGCACCAACCCACCTCTTCTTTCCTTAGAGAAATAAGCTTCATACAGAGACAGAGCCTAGAATGTGTCTCAAATCATCCGTGATTCTAACTGGCACCCACTGACACCAGGCACTCCGCTATTGTGAATCAGCTCAACATCAAATACAACCGCCACTTTTCAAATCAGTAGCAATTCTCAGCTTGCTTCTCAAGAGAAAACTTTACACAGGTTGGGAGAGGACGCTTGAGCATGAAAAAAGGAAAGGGTTAAGGCGGATAACAGTATTGCACATGTCTGGAACCTCGTGGAGCCTCCACGAGATATTCATACTGAGACAAGTACACCCTGGGAGGTAAGTGAAAAAGCTTGATCGGGGAATTTCACGGTTGTTTCTGAGAATGATACCTACTGCAAGCTTGATAGCATCTTATCACGCTTGAGGAAATGGCTGCAAAAAGGTTCCGGTAGTTACTATGTCCGCAGAAACATGGGACTTGGGAGAAGGAACTCTGAACTTCCGGTCAGCCGCATCTACTTTTGCGGATAAGAAGAGCCATTATACTTTTTCCTTCGGCAGGTTCTTCCGCTATCCGCAAAAATTATATCGCCAACAGGTCCCTTCTCTTCAGTGACGCTATCATTGACAGCAACTTTTTGGTCGCCCGGAAGTCTTGTTTGCTCGAAGGCTGGTAAGTATCGAAAAGTCGGGTACTTGATATGAAAACCTTGTAACCAACATTTTGACCGACCACATTGTAATACGGACATGAGAACTCCCAAGTGAAACATTTCGAACATGTCATCTGGGTTTTCCGAGGTAAGAGTCAAACAAAAGTATGATGGATTGGGCATTCAATGGGGTTTAACTTTAGGGGCTTAACTTTGAGATTCCACAGACGTTTTCGGGAAAATGGAATTGGAACAGTCCCTTGAACCGCATACACATGCTGCCTTAGGCATTATTCGGCATTCGAGGAACTGGCAGCAGTATTTGAACATTATCTGCGGCTCTTGTCAATATTGATCTTCATTTGCAAGACCGTTGTTTTCTTGTATTGTGAAAGAAATTTGGTGGCTTCATGGAGGGGAACTTGACCCAGATTAATGGCTCGGTTTCGATGAGACTACGGTATCAACTATGTCAGACTTCTCAGGGAATCGCAGACTAATGACTTAGTTGAATGCTTGGCAAACGTAGGTATTATCGAAGAAAAGCGATTGCTTGCCATGTCCTGAATGCAGTCATACCCAAGGCTATCGGTTGCTATTCTCACGATCTAGTATCAAAAATCGCGGAGGCCTTGGTCGAATACAATTCAGCTGTTTCCTTGTCATTCTGGCAGTCTTTTTACGTGCCGGGGAAAATTGCCTGTTCGGCAATGGTAAGTAGGACAGATAGAGCTAACTATCTAGTGAGTTATCGATGACATGTACGCCCATACCTCGAAATTATAAAGACAATGATTCTACTCGCAATCTTATCTTCAGCCGAACTACGAGTGCCGTCTTCCACGTAAGCTTGAGTTGGAAGTAGGTATGCAATTCATATCCCCCCATCAACCTGACGCATGTAGCAAATGCCAAACATTCTGTGATAAATCTAGAAGCTGAACATTGGTCTTTGGAAGACGTATTTAAGGTTCTCATGGTATGAATAATTTTTCTTGATGGGACAGATGGTGATTGGTATCTTGGCGAAAATTGAGTTTAGTCAAAGCTCTATGGGGATTTTCTGGAGTCCCCGAATAGCGTACCTATCACCTACACTAAATTTGGACATGATTTTTCCTGGTGAGTAGGAAACGGGATTTGGTACAGCAGACACTCTACATATCGATATCGCGAGAATTGAATGCGAGTAAAGGGTTTCTGACAGAGAGTAGGATTCCACAGAGATCATGGTGGCGGGACTCGAGGTGTGTGGGGTGTTTGCCGTTGAATGGGGATATTCCGTATGGTCATATTTTGACTGGCGAAAGCCAGCTGTCGTGGCTGTATACCCCATGGACTTGTCTCTCTTCCACCGTTACGCTTTTGGGATTAAGTGTCGAGGTGATCATCCTGTGAGTATCTATCGATCGACAATAATGGATTGGACTTATTATGGCTCGGTTAATTGTTTTTCTGGTTAGCTGTATGTTGGCCCTCGAGACCATGTAGGGACCTATTACAGGATTTGAGAATGTCAAGGACCCAGATAGTCAGCAAATTCGTCAACTATTCACTCACTAATAATTTCGATTCTGGTAGTTACCCACATACTGTTTATTACCATTTATCCATTACCAGTAAGAAGAAGTCTCGTCTCCCAGCATCATCGCCTGTTATCAAACCAGAGGGCACACCACAGGGCACACCACAGGGCACACCAGAGGGCACACGAGCACACCACTTTCGCAACAGAACATCGGTATCTAACACAGACTTAAGCAGAAGGATCATTTGTGCATGATCTCTACAGTGAAATGTTATTAGGGGGTATCGGCGGTCTCCAATAAAATGCAATAACCCTGTAGAGACATGCCTTCAAATGCATTGTGTCCATCCCTAGTAATGAAGATGCAGGTGCGGATGTAACGGGGAGCTCCAATTTATCTCCTGATTTGCATTTGCCGCTTAATTTCTCTGTACAGTGGAAGAAAAATCCACACTTCACTAACAGCCACGTCAATTAGCTACCTGGTATGTCCTTTTATGAACACAAACCATAATTATGACCTTGTATATATATATATATCTATCTATATATACATTCAATATCTATTTGCATATCTATTCACATATATATCCAAAATATCAAAAAAGATGGGTCCTGATTTGCTTTGTGAATCAATTTCATTGTGAGTTTAGTTAATAATAGGTAAAACCTTTATGGCTCAAACTCTGGGGTTCCTCGGGACAATGGCGAAAATGTGCAGAGCAGGATGTGGTGGACGTGTGAATATGTGAATACTAGCTTGAATACCTTTATTAGTTAAGCCAAATCTTACCTTGTCTGACTTGAGTTAGATTCATCGGACATTAATAACTTCCTTGGAATTGGCTTACCTAGACATACAGAAGTAACTATACTAGTAACTACTAGGTAGATAAATCACCAAAAATCATCATTTTTTCTGGTACGATCAATTTTAGTTACCATTTTACAATTTTAGTTATGAATCTACCATATCTAGCTCTCGCACAATGCTCATTACTTTAATTCTCCCCAGAATTTAAGGTATTCGGTATTTCCTTCTATTCTTATCAAATCGAACGAACCTACCTACCTACCTACCTACCTCCTCCCTCCCTCTCACATACAAAAACAAATCCACATACTCCATACATCCTTTCCTCTTCACCTCACACGACACCACGACTTTCAGCAGAACATCTACTTACCTCTCTCTAAGTATCCCAAGAGCACCTTAACCGATTCATCTACAGCATGTTAATGAAGAAATTTATCCGTGGTCAATAGCGGCCAACCGTCAGAGGATAATTTTCACTTGTGAAGAGGATTCCCTTTTTGCAAGCACCAACATACGCCTGAGACCCCCTACCTCAAGGATATACTTAGATCCCTCAAAAACGACCATTGTCAAACGACGACCCGTACATATATCACTTCAATCTTCATATAACCCTACAACTCCCTCATAACATGGCGGATGAACTAGTCGCAAAAATCTCCCGACGATCAACAAGAGTTTTCGCTACAGAACAAGAAATTATGCAGCCAGGAAACGCAGGTGTCGCAGGTGTCGCAATGGCCCCTCATGATGCCAGATACAGCAGCAGTCAAGACGAGAAAGACAAGGAAAAGGACAAGAAGCACAGAGAGGCTAGAAGCTCATCCCACCAAAGTCCTCTCCAAAGTGCCGATGTTGGAAAGGATCTTGGTATATTGTACCCTGCCAAAACCGAAACGATTGCAACACAAGGTAATTGGACTAAACTCACATATATTCATTCCTGTATATCAGATCATTAGCTAATATGAAGATTGAATAGTAACCAAGTCAGTTGACACTACCAAAGCTTCAGCCAAGGAGAAGCAAAAGGATAAAGAGAAGGAGAAGGAGAAACATGATCTTAACTTTGGTGTCATTGCTCCAAATGCAATTTATCGTAGCAGCTTCCCCCAACAAGAGGACTTTGAGTATCTAGGAACTCTCGGTTTAAAATCTATCGTGTGAGTAATTGCATGACCGAGTTTGATGGCTAGTACTAAGTTCTGAAGCACGCTCGTGAAGAAAGACTTCCCTCCCGAATTTCTCGCATTCATGGAGGCTCATGGCATACGTCATTATGTCATCGAAATGCAAGGAACCAAAAAGGTCGACATTCCCGAGCATATTATGAACCAAATCATGAGAATCTCTCTTGACAAGGAAAATCATCCATTGTTAATCCATTGCAATCATGGCAAGGTAATTAACTCTGATCCTTGTTCTGATTGAATCCAAGCTGATGAAAACTCATAGCACCGCACTGGTTGTGCTGCTGCGATTATTCGTCACGTCTCTGGCTGGAGTGTTCAGTCGATCGTTGAAGAATACAAGACTTTCGCCTCATCCAAGGCTCGTGATGTTGATATCAAATACATCACTGAGTATCAAGTCTCAAGTCTCAGTGGGCTCGATCGTAATCAGTCACTTCAACCAACTGGTCCCTGGTCCTTCAAGAAAGCTCGTCCTTTCGCTCTTGCGTTCTTGCTCATCTGGATCTACGTGAACTTGATGAGATTTTGGGATCATTAGCTGGATGCATGGCAACTAATTCTCTATGGTGTTTGGGTATATTGGGTGGGACTGGTATCTTTTGGGATAGGGTATTAGAAAGACATCGGTTATGCAGTGCGCGTTAAGGCCGATGCGATTCGGAGTTTAAAGGGTGGTGTTGGATTACGATTACGGGCCACCGCGCTTCAACTACATACTCAAGATAGAGTGCAGCATTCTTATAATATACTTCCTTGTAATATGTATAAACTTTCTAATTCACACCTGACTATACTCTTCACATAAACAACTCTCAAGATGTCTCATTAGAAATCACAGAATCCAAAACCAGTGACTTTGCTGATGACAATTGACCGCAGAGTGGCATCCTCGCTACTGCTGTCGAGATTTTTCTTTTGATAACCTTTTTAACCCCCTTACCCTATATACATAATATGATACAATGTCCCAACCGTAGCTTTTCATACATTCAAAGGGTTTTATCCTCAGTCTCCCGCTTGCCAAAAGCATATGTGATGCCACCTCCCACCAAATTCAGACCTGCAACACCCATTGCAGCACCTCGGACCATACCTCTCGCTCCAAATTTACTCCCAATTCTTGCATACATGTTCTTTCCCGACGCTTTTCTTCGGTTTGCCATGATGAGATAGAGACCAGACCAGGCAGCTGTCAAGCCGGCGGAATCAATGGCGTACCCGGAGAGATTGAGGTAGGTACTGAAGAGGAAGACGGGGGTGAAGGCTAGGGGAAGAGGTTGGAGGGGGCGAGCATGTAGAGCGGTAGTGAAGGTTGCGAGGAGGACGGGAGGAAGAGGGGAGCCTAGAGTGAGAGATGGGTTAGTTTTTTTTTATTCTCGAAGGAATAGAAAATGAATTGAAGGTATGGTAACCTTTCATGTGAGAGAAAGGGCATATTCAAATCTGTGGAGGGGTCAATTGAGGGGAATGAGACTCACGGCCCCAATCTTGTGCGTAAGAAATTGTAGTCTTTTTGGCATTTTCAACTGCCTGGTCTTGGTCGGACATCTTCTTCGATTGATAAAGTAAATATGTATATGAAAAGTATGAAAAGAAAGCTTCAAGTAGATGGTAAATACCGTACCGTGATGTATATTTACAATGATTTGTCTATGCAACCGATCTATACGGGTTCTATGACGACGGTACACAAATAGCCATCACGTGCCTATATCGTCCCAAAATTCCGGTGTACAGTCCATGCATTAGCGCACGATAGCGAAGAGAAACATCGACAAGCACTTTAGCATCGTGGCCATAACAAACTGCGACACCATCAAGATATTAATTATTAGCATTTGCGAAGTCTTAAGTTTGATGATAATTGGGACATTGAGACAAAAAGACACACTGTTTGATCTGCGATCCTTACAATTCAGCAAATAACGGCGCAATGCCGGCTACCACTTCTGGCGCTGATACAAAGGCCAACGGAACCGCAAAATCGCGGGAACATAACCAAGGGAATCAAGACCGCAAATATACGACCGAGCAAAAGGCTGCGGTCATAAGGGTCAGAAGATGTGCGCCCACGGCATTTTACGATATTTTGGGGCTAGAAGAAGTTAAAACTACAGTGACGGAGTCGGAGATTAAAAAGGCCTACAGGAAACTGAGTTTGTTGACTCATCCGGATAAGAATGGGCACGAACATGCAGATGAAGCTTTCAAAATGGTCAGTAGGGCATTTGGGGTTTTGAGTGATAAGGACAAGAAAACGCAATACGATAGATATGGCGGGGATCCAGATAGTAGATTCGGTGCAGGAGCACCGCAGTCAAATCCCTTCTCAGGATTTTCGCAGAGAAGCGCTGGAGGAGGGGCTGCCGCGAGACCTGGTGGGAGATCTATGTGGGAAGAGGAGATTAGCCCGGAAGAGATGTTCACGAGATTTTTTGGAGGAGGAGGTTTTGGTACGATTCCCTAGTCTGGTAAAGTTTGATTGGAACTAATAACTTGTTAGGTGGTGGTGGAATGTTCAATGATCGGCCAGGATTCGTTTTCAATCTGGGTGGTGGGCCTGGTATTAGAGTACATCAATTTGGGGGTGGAAGACCAAGGAGGAGGCCGAGAGACCCAAACGCACCGCCAGAAGCACCAGCTTCGTTGACTCAGACCCTTATAAACATATTACCACTCATCCTTCTCTTCGGTATACCTTTATTGTCGTCACTATTTTCTGGAGGTGGTTCTAGTGGTCCTTCTATGCGATTCGATAATCCTATACCGCCGCATACCCACCATCGAGTCAGCTCAAGAATGAACGTTGACTACTATGTAAACCCTGCCGAGATCAAGGGTTTTAGTGCACACCAATTTGCACAAATCGACCGAGAAGCGGAGGTTCAATATGTCTCACGATTGAAGGTTGGCTGCGAACAGGAAGTAGAGCGACGAAGTCAATTACTCCAGGAAGCCCAAGGCTGGTTTAGTAGCGATATGGATAAAATTCAACGGGCTAGAGACATGCCGATGTCGAGCTGCAAGAAGCTGGAAAGTATGGGTGTCAGAAATTAATGCTGATTTTGACGTGTACACGGTTTATGTAGCGTATATGCTTTGTAGCAAGGCGTTTGGGCTGGGAGCATGATGCAAAAGACTGGATGAATGACTTTATGTGACGGTCTTTCGTTACAGGTATAATAGAGGACGATTTTCAATATAATACAGTGGCCGCAGTCATTCTTGGTCAATTTATGATCACTGTCTCGAGACATCGATATATACTCCCTTCACTCGAAACTCTCATTCAATAATTCACATATAAAAGGTTTAATATGCTATTGGATCCTCTTCTACCTCGTAATGAATTTCATATCGTTTCTCGGCTCTACTATTGTCTTATGGAAGAACAATTCAGCGGAATTAGACCAATGTTCTGATCCGTATTGAATCTGGAAATGAATCATTTCGGGGTCTGTATAGTAATTTATCTACCAAAGAATACTGTCAGGATAAATGTAATGTTGATTCATGAATCGTCTGGAAAGGATTCTATTGTGAGACTCATAATTGCTTTGTCATTGAATGGCAGGTAAGGCTTGCACAGCATACAAAAGACCGTACGAAGAAGTCACTAGGTAGAAGCTTCGAGAGTAACGTAAATTAATTACCCTTGCAAGGTTTCCTCGATTATCAAGCCTGGAGGCTAATCGTAGCACTGACTGATAAAGCCATCCACCCCACAAGGCTACTATCTTTAGCCATAAGAGCATCTTCGATACATCATATTATCATCTTTCCAACACAACATTATCAACATTAAAATTTGATAATATGGCAGATCAACCTCCTCAACCGCCCAGTGGGCCAGATGCTCCAGATAAGGAGAAGATGGAGCAGGTAAGAGAATCTATTCTCATATGCCATGATACTTACCAGAGTTCAGCGTGGCTAATTTTTGTAACCTTTTCATAGATCCGACGCCGCCGCATGGAGAAGTTAACTGGTTCCGCATCTTCGGGTACTGACAAGATTTCTGGCGCGGGCGCAGAAGCTTCAACATCTCTTTCTACTTCACAAGCACCTGCACCAAAAGATAATGCTTCATCAGCTCAACCAGTTGCTAAACCAGCGATCGATATTAAACCTACGAGCGTCACTCCTACGCCAGCTGCCAATCCTTTCGCGAAATTGGGCGCGCAAGCAAGCTCTACTGAGAAACCATTGTCTGTAAGAACTGATCCTTCTCAAAACGTTCTAGGCAAACGATCCAGAACTGAATCAGACATACAGACACCTCCTCGCCCAGCTCCATCCACCCGCAAACCTAATCCCGTCGAAGAGTCTTTAGAGGACTACGAAAATCGAATCCTTGCTCATATCTTTCGAATTACTCTAGATCCCAGCCAGCGAACCGATTCTTCGAATCACAAACTAATATTTCTGCCCGAATTGAGAAAAGAGCTCGAGGAGGAACATGCGGAGATTAGGTTGTCGGCTGATAAGCTTGATGGTGCTCTTATGGAAGCTTGCTCCACCATCCCACATAGTAAACCCGTGTTCGACTACCTATTGCCATGTTGGAAACGAATCATAAAAGCTTCAAAGGGACTGCGGGGTTATGCGGGGCAGAAGGATGCGATTCTCAAGGAAGCCAAACGCTTATGTATGAGCAACTGCATCTTTGCTGCCGAAATGCCGGATATTTTCCAGTTTGTTTCTTGGACCTAGGACATTTACATTTAACTAACATTTTCCAGACGAGAGATCAATCTAACTACAGATGTCCTCACCCCTTACTTCTTATTGGAACCTGGCGAGGATAACGGCATCTGCCCCGACTTTCTCGAAGAAGCTGTAGCTCGCTTTGCGGAGGATGATATGGCAAAATCCATGATTGTCAAAGCATTTGTAGGCATGAGTAGTAAACTTTCTAATATGACTATGAATGATGTTTACAAACCCTACGTTCATGTAAGAAATGTAGAATGGAGAGATCAACAACTGGAACTAATGCTATTTGCAGGCTTTCAAATTGCTTACGCAGTTCAATCCAATTACTACAGCTATTGCCGAATCTCCACTGTTCCAAATGGCTGTTTCAGCAAATACCATCGAAAAGTACACACTACTTGGCCCTTTCTTCAGAATATCTCCTTTGCAACAAGAAGTTACTAGGGAATACTTCAGTGCGCCAAAGACGATAGATAGGCGACATATTGCCACATCTCAAGATGCGTTACGATTGACCTTACAAACCCATCAAAAAGATTTACTTGATATCATCAACCACTTTGTTAGAGCAAGTCCAATAGCTAAAAGCAAAACCTTGGATTGGTTTGCCTACATCGTGAACCAAAATCACAAGCGTCGAGCACTTCAGGTGGACCCAAAAGAAGTGTCTTCTGATGGCTTTATGCACAACGTTACTGTCGTTTTAGATGGTCTTTGCGAGCCGTTTATGGATACCACATTCTCGAAGATCTCGAAGATTGATATCGATTATCTACGACGTGAGCCTCGTGTTGATATTAAGGACGAGACCAAGTTAAACGCTGATGAGAAGGCTTCCGAAAAGTATTATGAGGCCACTGTTGATGGCACTTCTAATTTTATCTCCGAGGTCTTCTTTCTGACGCTTGCTGCTCATCACTATGGTAGTGAAGCTCTTAATGCCACACATAAGAGCCTGGAGAAAGATATCAAGTATATTCAAAAGCAATTGACTGCTATTGAAGCAGAGCGTGTCAAAGTGGCACGGGTAAGTCAAGAACCTAACCTTGAAATGTCTACACGTTCGTCACTAATAAAACACAGGATCCTCGGGCTGTTGCCGTACTTGATCTGAGAATCAAAAGAGTCAATGACGTCCTAGAAAATGCGATGTCCAAGAGAATGGCCATTGAGGGTGTTCTGTCTGACAAACCTATGCAAGCAAAATCTTTGATCTTCATGAGATACGTTACTGTCTGGCTTCTGAGAATTGCTACGGAGTCTGATTATACCCCTAGCAAAACTATTAAGTATGATTATAGATCTTTGAGACATTCCCATTACAGTCGACTGACCAAAACTAGGTTGCCTTTACCATCAACACCTCCTGCCGCTTTTGATTATCTTCCAGAATACGTTTTAGAGGATATCATTACCAATTTTAACTTTATTATTAGGTTGGTTCCCCATTCCTCGATGATTAGGAAAAGGCTAATTTCTTGGTAGATTTATCCCTGATGTTATGATTTCAGCTGTTGGCGATGAGATCATTGCACTCAGCATCACTTTCTTGACAAATTCTGAGTATATCAAGAACCCATACTTGAAGGCAAAACTCGTATCTCTACTTTTTGCTGGTACCTGGCCAGTGTATCATCGCACTAAAGGTGTTTTGGGTGATGTTTTAATGGGATCAAAATTCGCTAATGACCACCTGCTTCACGCATTATTGAAGTTTTATATTGGTACGTGCAAAATTCAAATGATGATCTTCAATCGTATTAATTCTTTGCAGAGTGTGAATCTACTGGAGCACACACTCAATTTTACGACAAATTTAATATTCGATACGAAATCTTTCAAGTCATCAAGTGCGTATGGCCGAATGATATTTACAGACAGCGTTTGTCGCAAGAGAGCAAGTATGTATAGCCTGGTGATCTGAAGATGTATAAAGGTACTAATATAATTTAGAACTAATACGGACTTTTTCTTGCGATTCGTTAACCTTTTACTAAATGACGCAACTTTTGTTCTCGATGAGGCTCTTACAAAGTTTCCAAAGATCCATGACCTCCAAGTTGAACTCAGAAGGGAGGCAGAACAATCGTCAATGACTGCCGAGGAACGAGAGCAAAAAGAAACTGCATTGCGCGAGGCTGAAGGTCAAGCGCAATCCTACATGCAATTGACCAATGAGACCCTTGCTATGATGAAGTTGTTCTCTTCTACCTTGAGTGCCTCCTTCACCATGAAGGAAATTGTTAATCGTGTAGCAGCAATGCTGAACTATACACTTGATACCATCACTGGAAGCAAATCAACTAACTTGAAGGTTGAGAACCTCGAAAAGTATCAGTTCAGACCAAGAGCTTTCCTTAGCGATTTCGTGGAAATTTACATCAATCTCGGAGTTCATGAACCATTCGTGGAAGCTGTGGCTAGAGATGGTCGTTCATACAAACCAGAGAATTTTGATAGCGCTTCCAGAATTTTGACACGTTATGGACTGAAATCAGCGGAAGATCTCAATGCCTGGGAACGTCTTAAGACTCGATTCAAGGTTGCCAAAGAGATTGAGGATCAAGATGAACAAGATTTGGGTGAAATACCAGATGAATTCTTGGATCCTATTTCCGCAGATCTCATGGAAGATCCAGTTATGTTACCTACAAGCAAAGAGGTTGTAGACAGGGGCACTATTAGTGCTTTATTATTGGGTGATCAAAGAGATCCATATAATCGTGATCCGTTGAAGATTGAGGATGTAATTCCAGTTCCTGAACTGGCAGAAAAGATTAGGGTCTGGAAAGAAGAGATCAAGGAAAGGAAAAGAGCTGAGCGAGCTACTGTTGCTGCGGCTGTGGCGGATGCGGCTTCAAAAGATCCGATGGATCTTTCAGCATAGTGTCACTGCATAATTGTCAATGTGACATGAAGCGTTGGGAAAAGGAGAATTGCATAAATTGGTGTTATCTTTTCTATTGTAATTCTGCCTGTTTGGAAAGGCGTATTGAGTTTGGGAAAGGGACTTGGAGAGGAAATCCATATAAAGAATGAAGGAAAGATTAAGGAAGGAATAAATGCTTGCGTTGTTAACCGATTATCATGATTACAAGCGCGAAGAAATGGTTGAAATGAGGATGGTTCCAAAGCGGAGTTTGCACTCATGAATGTATAGAGGAAAACTCTTATTAGCTCGTATAGAACGTGCATCAGCGAAAAAAACACAGCGTTAACGTAGGAATAGAATAAACTTTCAAGATATGGGATAGAAGATATAAAGCAATGGCATGAGTTGAGTTGAGTTGAGGTAATGGTTTCGTTTCATGTGAAGTGTGTCTAATCGGTGGACTAGAGTTGTGATAGGTGGGCATATGAGATGTAATAGAAAATCAGGGTTTATCTATTACATATTTTTGAAATTATCTCTAGTCTAGAGGTGAGTGCGACGGGACGTGAAATGCGAAGTGGTAATTTAGATGGATGCCGAGTAGCCCCTTTTTTATCTCGCGTATTTTTGGGGCGTTGGGCGTGTCGGGTAGGAATTCTGTCTTTGTTTTGTCTTGTGCTTATTTTAGTTAGGGTTGCTGTGTGCGTGGATAGATGGATGGTTTAGTGAGAGAAGAAGAAAGGAGAGGTGATTCAATATATTGGGATTTAGTTGATCAAGTGATTGAGTGATTGAGTCAAATTGGCAAGGGAAAGTTGGGGAGGTGGGTATGTATTTATTTTGTCTTGTTTGTCTATCTATCTATGTGTCTATTTAAATGTGTATTTTCTAGGATGTGAAATTCAATGCATGTGTATGAATGAGTGTTGTTGTGAAAGAAAGGAAGGAAAAAGTTTGATGGTAAAGACTGTTGAAAATGCCTAAGCGATGAAAGTAAAAGGAGAAAGGAAGAGAAAGGAAAGGAAATCCAATGATATATAATGTCCAAAATGCTTCATTACCCTGAATTAGTTAAGAGAAAGAAAAGATATCCAACGCCACATCATGTCCAATTCTTGATTTATCCAAGATAGTCAAGAGAGAATGAGAGAATAAAGGAAAAGAAGTCCAATACAAAAGAACTGTCTAACCGAGGGTGTCCAAAATTGAATCGAGAGGATTGGTGGTGCGGATTCTTCTACCATGCTGTCTGAGGGACCGTTGAATACTGTACAAGAGAGGAACTTAACGACGAGTTGAAGTATTCGGAGCTCGTGAGCCCGATGGCGACTGCGACGATCTGTTTCGGCTCGTCGAACCTTGTCCCACATTCTGCTCAAAGACAGCACGATCCCATTCATCCAACGTTTGGATGCGTTTCTTGAGCGCCTCGATTCGATATCGACGTTCCGTGAGCTTTCGCACTACCATTGCTTTTGCACTGCTGCCGTGAATCAATTCGGATTCGGGCTTGTACTCACGGGCTATTTTGAGTTTCTCGATGTGGGCTGAGACGCTGACTATCTCGGCTTCGACTTGCCCGCGGGTCATTTGGGAGGTGGGGTTGTCAGGGACTGCATCGTTGGTTTTGTCATAACTGGGCATCTTGACGGATGGTTTGAGGATCTCGGTGGATGATTGAGAATGAGGTTTGAATAGACTTGGAAGTTTCAAAATGCTTGGAGCTGATTACTCAGGATAGACTTGTATGCTGAGAGGGATATTCGCGGAGAAGATTGAAGGAATTGTCAAAGTGAACTTTAAACTGTGAAGTTTTGTTGGTATGATTTATTGGACTTAGATCTAAATGTTCGATATCGATACTTCAAAAGAAAATTCTCTCCAAAGGGGGTAACCAGAAACTATTTATGCCTTTTTAGACATAGCTATCCCCCTCGATGACTATCATATCGACAACATATCTTGGAATCATTGTATTCTAGAAAGATGACAAAAAATATATCTCGTTGAAAAGATAGGTTGCCATGTGGTGGGTGTAGGATTCTGAGGGATTTCAAGGGTGCCATATGGTAAAAGGGGTAGCTCGCGTGGAGATATCGTGGGAAACTCGTGGGTGTGGGGTATTCGGGACATAAAGTTATGATTCTTTGAGGTGACTGGCTTTTGTTAGAGATATTTTGGGAAGTGGGTATTGAAGTGTTGGGTCATATACATAGATGGAGTCATGAGTATGAAGATTGATAGTGTGAGTTTTATGTTTTGATATTGTTTTCTACTAAAGGATAATGTTATGGAATCACGAGAATACATTCAGCAAGGCAGTTTTAATTCTGAACGTATTATGCCGAGAAGTTGATTCACCGACTGAGAGCGGATTTGGTACTCTGAATGTTCTCTTATGGTAACTATTCCCATTCACAATACCATGGAAACGTTCATTCACAGTACAGCTACAAGAACCAAAACGATATTCAACCCTCTATAAACATGTCCCTTATTCCCTCTATCTCTAACTCCCACGTCTCAATACAAGATAAACCTATAACCAGACATACGAAACCCAATCAATCTTAAAACCCAAGCACTTCCACCAAGATAAAACAAAATGATCCCCTTCTCCCATCCCATCCACCTCTCTCCCCCGCACAATCCAACCCTTCCCCATCTTCCACCACTCCTGCGACTTCAACATCTACAGCAGCAAGCAAGTCCGCACCCTCTGGACCAGCGCCCAACAAACCCAAAACATGAATGAAATGAACCGCGTTGCTGTGTTGATCCAACATCATTATACGATTCTGAACCAATATCGGGATCGGATTCTAGAATATACTGTGCGGGAACACGGTGTAGATGAGGGTGTGAGAAATCAGTTGAGACGGAATCTGTGGGAGGAGTATGAGAGGATGGGAACGACGATGGTGGAGGTTGAGAGATTTTTGAGACGGTGTGGTAGGTTTGGTAGGGTTTAGTTTTGGAGGTTAGGGATTGGGAGTTGAGGGTGTGGAGTGGGGAATTGGAAGGGCGGGCTTAGAGAGAGAGAGATACATAGAATCATTGGAATTGATGAGCAGTGGGACTCACCTGTTGTATTCAGTATCTCCACTCACATAGGAATAACATCAAGATATCAATATTGCCCGCTTCATTTTCACACTTGTGACCACCGCAATATCATATGTTAAGACCATAGATTCGAGCTCAACAAGTCTAATCTCAAAGATATGCTCTTAAAGTATATCAAGACAGCAAGATGTCCACTTCAAAGGTCTTGGTCCTCAACAACCATCATGAAAAAACCACCAGCTCAACGCTTTAAGCGAACGAATTAGAATCTCACGCCGTCACTACAGCCTTCGACTCAAAGGCAGCAAAGTCCATCCTATCCGAGAAACTAACTCCTCCTCCTTCCTCATATTCTATATAAACCTCGATGCTGCACCGTCTTTCGACGCTTCCGTAAAGATAAATACATTATAAAGCATCCTCTGCAAGAAAATTCCCAGTTGTGGCTCACTCGAGGATTCAGAGAAGGATCAACTTTGTAAGGCTAGGTTATCTCATTGCGCTAAGATCCTATAGCAACTATGCTTTGATTGCAGTATAAATTTCGATCTCCTTTTTGGCATTATATGTGGTGCTCTGAATACACAATGCTAGGATGTTGGAACTATTCAAAAACGAAGGGATTGGAATACTGTAACACACTGATCTCCTCACAAATGACTGAGCTATCTCTTACTTGAAAAAGAGAATATACAACGAGCATACAGTGAATGAGATATCTCAGAGAGCATACAATCCACGAGCAAAACCTAACTTGACACTGTCCACTGTATCAAGCTATGAAGAACAATCATAAGCGATATATACAACACAACAAAGCAGCCACGATATATGCATCAATATTCCTGAACCAATCACATTATCGTCGGAAATTTAAGGAACCAAGGCAAGCAAAAACAAGAAGACCCTCCTTCTATCTCCCATCAAAGTGACACATCTATGACTTATTCACTATAATGATTCGAGTCTATTAATACCACGAGACATTACAACAGAGTCATGTTGGAGTTATTTGAGTCAAATCGAGCGATTCTAGGTCATGGTGTCAATAATATTTCACTAAATTTGTAACATCCATGTGTGATAAAACCTGCGCTTCTTAAAAAGAAAATACTCAACACTACAACTTCATTTCGTCGGATCTCATGGCATGTTGATAGATCCTCCATATGAAGTACTTTAGCTTTCTCATAGATATTCAGACCCGGTACCATGATTATATCATCAAGAAATCACACGTATATCAAACAAGCAGAAGTTATGCAATGATGAGCTCTATAAAATTGCAGAAGTGTATTAAATCTAAAAATCACGCTTGCTATTGACATTCCTCCACCACGAGCACTATCCTCATACAATTACTGAACCCCCACGAGACAAAAATAGACCAAGCCAATGAATACCCAAAGTCGACTCCAAAGAAAATCCCCTCAAAATCCAGACTAGTCCTATATGTAAAAAATTCTATCCCGCAAACCTCGTTAAACATCACTTACATAAATCCCTCCCTCCCTCCTAATCATCGCTATCGCTATCAGTATAACCTAACTCCTCCTCCATATCATATACCTTGGCCCTCAAATTTCTCAATTTCTTCTTCCGATCATCCATCACCTTCTTCGCAAACGCATTTGCCTTTTCTCTCTCTCTCTTCCTACTCTCTTCTTCCCTACCACCTAGTACTTTCTTCGCCTTTTTTTGAAGATTCTCTTTCGCCACATACCTCGTCTCTTCCTCTGCAAACCTCTTTTGATATCTTGCCTCTTCCTCTGCTTCTCTTGCTTGTTTATCCCTAGCATTCCGCCGATCATCTCGATCTCTTGTCGCTTTCTCCCTCCTTCTTCTTATTTCTAACGCTTTCTTTCCCTCTCTAATTCGCTGCTCTTCCTTCTTCTTCTTTTCTTCCTTTTCCAACCTCTCCTTTTCCTTCATAGCTGCTGCAAACTTAGCATTGTGATCTTTTCTCTTCTTCTCCTTTTCAATCCGTTTCTGCTTCTCCTCTTCAGCTTTTTCCTTCTTCTTTGCCTCCTTCTCGTCTCTGATTCTTTTCTTCTCCGCAGCTTTTTCTCGCATCAAACGTTGTTGCTTTTCGGATTTCTCTCTCTTCTTATTCTCTCTTCTCTCTGCGTCTTTCCTCGCCATATTCTGCATTTCATCTCCCTCTCGCGTGCTCCGAATATTCGCCTCGACCTCCCATTCTTTCAACTTGCCATCCACTTCATCAACTCTAAGCTTCAACGAAGAATCCCTACATGCATCTGGAGTCGCAACCATATCTAATCTCCGCCTGTAGTTTGCAATCCTCAACAGCATGTCAGGAGGATTAATTTTTCCGTCGGCCCATTTGTGTCGTGTATGTGCTATTTTCTTTTCCAAAACTTGCATACGTGAATGTATTCTCTCAGACTCATCATACAGCTGATGGTGAGTAGATGCACGAGAGCCAGTAGAGTGATGTTCCTCCAAAACTTCGCTGCCACTATCGGATGATCTGGAACCATACGAACCATACTCATACGGTTCGGTATAATTTGTCCCAGAAAGAATTGATTCGGACCTAGATCTTGACGAAAAATATGATCCAGAACTATGTGAGCTAGGCGCGGCTGCATGGTAGGCCGGGTCAGGTCTCCTACTAGCTCGACTACTAGCCGCAGATCGTATCGACATGTTTGCAGTTCGCAAGTTGTTGATGTTGGTGAATGAAAGGATATGTTATTGGTATCAAATGTAAAGGTAAGTTGTTGAATCCGAGGCTACCGACCGTGAGACTAGATTTCGATATTTCGCGGTATGGAAGTAGTCTACACTTTCTTCTTTCGAAAGCAACAAATATTGCAATAAGAGACAAGACAGAATACGATACGAAGCTTCACGATGTGGTTCGAATCGAAGTGAAATAAAGCCCAGGGAAGTGAGGTAACGCAAAGTGATGGAAAATGTAGAGAATGTAAGAGCCAGAATACAAGAGATGCGAAGCAAGCCCAACCAATGATTTCGCAAGCTGAGTTTGTTCCTAAGAATTGTTTTGTATGGTTGTTAATATTAACATCAGCAATAGCATCGACATCAAAACACAAAAGAATGAATGTATGTACCAAACGAAGGGAACTACACAACATGGTACAGACACCGCGCTAGATATCCACCTCCACCTCCACTCACACCTACCAGCCTGTATAATGTGTCATAAACATAAACAAAATTGTTCTCTCTGACCAATACTCCGATGAGTCCGACTCCATTTTACACTTCGAGTAATATCACAAAGAGCGATTAATCTTATGAGTAACACCAACCCACCCATTCCATCCAACCAGCCACCTCAATACACACTACATCTTCCTCAAATACCCAAGCATCACCACAAAGAACCACAATTCCATCCTTCCATCATCCATATATCTACACCACAGTCTCCACAGCCTTGCAATAGCGATAGATGGATACAAGACGACTAAGGAATAACTTAACAGTTGTAATAAAACAACAAGCCAAGAAACCCTGCACTGCCACATCTACAAGGTATTTTAATCTCAAGTGCAATTTCACTCTCACTTGAATTGGATAGTTCCTCTTGTTCTTCATCAGACTGTAAAATTTAGACCACACAGGTCAACCCTCCAGTTCTTCCACATCCATCGACTTTCCATTAAGATCTTCCCATTAAAGCCATATTATTTCCCACTTAGGATATAACATACTCGCCTCTTGACAAGAATATCGAGAGAAAAAAAAATACAAAACATACCTAGCCATCAGAGTATATACTTCAGTCGCGAATGAATAATGCAGATTTCATCATGATCAGCATACCAGGAAGAAATCTTGTTTATTTTGAGATCTCTATGTAAAATTGACTTATTCGATTCAGTCATTGTAGTACCATAATTGCAGATCCATGCTCCATGTGCTATGCTATGCCGTACTATGCTGTCCAATTTCTTACAGGAAAATGTAAAATCAAGTGTCCGGATTAAGCTCTCCATATTTCGGAGAGACTTGGGTATCATTTTTTAACTATAAAAGAAGGGTTGTTGCAATGACGACGAAAGCAGTCATCAAAGAAAAGTAGCTATTAATCTGGTTTCCACTCGAAGTTTGAGTGGCAGTAGCAGTCACAGATGATGATGCCGACACGGTTGTTCCAGGAGACTGAGCGCTAGCTGAGGCTGATTCTTCCGGGAGTAAAGGATTTAAGCTTCCTGTTTGAACAGCAGAAACTACGGAGCGTGTGTTAGATAGAGATTCAGAAGAAGAAGTGGTTACTGTAGATCCAGAGCCAGGAACAAGGACGCTGGTAGGATCGACAATGGAAGTGCTAGTGCTATATACGGGGACTTGTGTAGTAGGGCCAGGAGTAAGGGTAGAGGTAGAAGTAAGAGTAGAGGTAAGCCCACCAGAAGAAGACGTTGATGTTGCCGAGGATTTAATAGCTTTCTTCTGCGCCAAACCTACAATTATTAGTACATGTAGTAGAAATTGAAGCATAGAGTGAACTTACCAACACGATCTTGATCAACATCAAACAAGGCATACACGTTCTTGAAGAAAGTATCGCCAATTAACCACGAGTTTGTGTCAACCACAGCCACAGCATAGACATTACTTGTACACACCCCATCCACCGAAGGCCCTACCCAATCTACAGACGAAACATTATATGTAACTCCAGAGAATGTAAATGAGATAGATATGGTGGTGGAACAAGGTACTGTCCATGTGTTATTGTCTGTGGTAACAGCATCAGGCACAAGTGCATGGAATGCTATCACATCTGTTGGTTGCCCAAAGATATAAGATGTTCCACTATCGAGGTAGCCCAATCTCCCAGTAGTACTGAGCTGATTATTGCCAGCTCCCACGCTATCAAGAGAAAGTGCCCAATGATTTGGGCCGTTTTTTGCGACACTTGTATAACTTAAATCACCACTGAATCGTGAAGTATCCGGAGCACCGAAGTTAATTTCTCCAGTATTCGTACCATCCGAGGCACGGTTCAAGTCCATCCCGAATACATTAGCTTTGAGAGACTTCGAGCTTACAACGGTTTGTAAGAAATTGGGAACTGGGCCAGTTTGTTGGGATAAGCCTAGAATGCCGGAGAATGGGAAAGAGTTGAACTGATCACTAGTTTTATTGGCAATCCCTAGAGTTAAAGGAAGACTCATGCCAGCAAAATTGATCGTGTCGGTAGCATATGTTCCAGTGACATGGCCGGATCCGTACGCAATATCCAAATCCATATTAACCGCTATATAAGTCGAAGAGTCTGCTGCACCGAAGGAAGCACGAGTCTTGCATGCACTAGAGGTACAATCGGGACCCATAACCCAACTTGTTCCAGCCCCTGTATCAAGCAACATCAACAGAGGATCATTCTTGCTCCCTAGTTCCACCTGAGCAAAATAAGAAAAATCAGTTCCGGTCTGTAGGATTCCCGCACTGTTCGTCTGTGAGGGAGTTGCCGCAGTCTGAATCGATAATGATGCATCGTCATATTTCACAAGATTGGATTCACGCTCTTCGATTTTAGTAGCTTTAAGGCCCATTCCAGGGTTGTATTTGCGAATAAGTCGATCTGTCAGCTCGCGAATCTGAACATCTCTGGGTATATCGGCCTTACAATAATGAGTTAGTAACAGCAAATCAAATCGAACCATCTTCAACTTACAGATGGGAGCTTCTGGACAAGCTTGAGAACAGCATTGTTCTCACGACTCTTCCCGCTTCTCTTGGATGCATCTAGGATGGACTTATATGATTGGTGCCTCCATTCTGGGACAAAAGGGTAAAATGCCGTGGAACATTGGAGGAGTGCAAATAATGCGAGCAAGACGAAGTTGAAGGACCACATGATTGGTGATAGGATGAAGTATCTCCAGGAAGTAGGGTCTCGAAGTCAGCCAAGGGCCAAGCACACAATTCGAACTCTCAAGTGATGAATGCCGAATACAATGCAGAACTTTGAGAAATTGGGTATCTTGTGAAGGTGGATTTCCAACGAGGTATGTAATCAATTGAAGGTGGTAGATCTGAATGTCAGGAGATCTAGACCGTGAATATTTGGTGAAGAAAAAGAGAGTGTCCTCGAGGGGGGAATTTGAATCAGGTATTGTCTCTTTGGTATGATCAAATGATTTGAAGGGTATCATCCACTGATGGGTGAATTGGAGATGAGCCTGACTGGGAGTACCGGACCCTTTGTATTTTTATTGATATTAGATATTATGATTGCCGTGTGATAGTAGATGCAAAAGATTAAAAAATGCCAAGCTGGTCAAAGACAGTGAAGTCGTCAACTGTGCTTGTTACGATTTGAATATGTACGAAGGTGTAGAAGAAGAAAAATGAGACAGAAGTCGTAAATGCCAATTGTGAGATCCGTATGGCAGCTTGAAGATAAGAAAAAAGATGTCCCCTCCAAAGAAGTTGAATATGATCCAATCTTATGAAGATATTCGGGATGTAGTGAGATAAGGAAGAGGGAGATGAAGATGTAGAGAGAGGTAGGGGAGGGGAGGAGAGAGTTTAAAAAGGAAGTATGAAGTGTGAAAGTAAGAAAGAAGAGGTTGCATTGCTTTGGCCTTGGCTTGCTTGATTCGCTCTCTTGATTCGTTACTTGATAGCTCTCGACTAGGAAATCTGGAAATCTGGAAATCTGGAAATCTACTAGGAATTGCATATTTTAAAATCCCAAGGTTGCATCAAAAATGAATCAACGTGGAGGGAGCTTCGTGCTACTTTCTTGCTACTTCGTGCTACTTCTTGCTATTCTTGCTGCTACTCTCACTAGCGTCTGTTCCTGGTGGGAAACTGTAGGCTAAAGCCCAATTAGGTTAAGCTTATCTATTCATTTGGCGATCATTAATCTCTGCTGCTCCGATTAGTTCCAGCATTTAACTGATTCAAGACCCTTTCATGTGCTTTTCTCCCCTTTGCTCTCTTTTGGTCTCTTTTTAATATTTCTTTTAATCAGGGGTCAAAGATCTACTTACTTAAGATGCTCAACATACGAAGAGGCTAGGGATATACTTTATTGTGAGTGGTTGCCAACCGCATCTGTGGCCTTCAGAACTGCATTGACAGTCTAGGGCCTCGGCAGAATCAATCCACTTCAAACCCACCGAGCCACCTAGATATCATCCCATGTTGTTGATGGACAGACCTAAGTATGTATGATATCGTCATCATCAGCAATTACTCCTCTTTCAAATGAGGGGGAGAGAGAACTAACTGGCTAAGAATGACTCTTGGATGTTACGGCTGGAAAAAGATTGAAGGCGATAAATCGAATGAGTGGAATAGGAGGTCGATGCGATAAGAATTCATATTCTATGCAGAGCTTTGATTGTTGATATACTAAACTTCTAGATTACTGTTTACCAAACAAAGTACATGCCTATCTACCTGCAAGTCTACTTAGGTATTGGCGCTTTTTGCGTTTACGTATTGCTAAATACAGCCAAAAACACATCTACCACCACCAGGTATCTAGGTTAGTCATTTCAATGCAACTCTATAGCCAATTTTGGTTACCAATACATAAAAGTCAATTCCATCAAGCCAATCATAATTTCCTGAATAATGGGATTTTTCTAAATTACGACGACTTCGCTGTCTGTGCTGGACGCCACATTAAGTATCTGAGAGAAGACCCATGGGGATCTTGAGATGCCACTCGAGATTCGAGACTGTTCTAACTTTTTAATTGGTGATATACCTTTTTCAATTAACGAACCGTCTGAATTCTGAAACATAGACTCTGATCTCTCACGAGTCACTACGAGACTACTTCAATTGTAACCATGACCTTCTCTCGAGCCCCTACGGGCCTTACCGTGAGCAAGAAAGACGTTCCTTTCTTGGCCGCCCAATTGTTTTGACTCCTTGTCATATCAATATTTCTTTTTCGTATGTTGGCAGAAATCAACCGAATTGGATGTCGCTACTGCAAAAAGCCATGTTCGTGTTGCACCCGTGGCGCAAACCAGTCCGTTCGGATCTTGGGGGCGCTGTGAATCCCCCGGAAATGTTTCAATGCAGGGGCCCCTATTTGGGAATATGTTGATGAATATGTTAACGGTCTCAATTGTTGGGAAATTCTCGACGTCTTCCATATGGGTTCTTTGATGTTAAGTTGTTTCTAACAAAACAACAATCACAAATAGTCAATCACCTTTCTATGCTTTTCCTCGAAGGGAAGGTCTGACATCTAACCGAACATTGAGAAATCTCCGTACGGGTTTGATTTGGGTGGATAAACGGCTGGTAAAGAGGCACATTGCATTAAGATGTCTTACAATGAATTCTTGAAACGTTATGTCTTGATGGAATGAGGCGACATGTTTTGCCCATATTCCAGATACCATTCGTGCGCTGATTGACTTATTCGTTGACTTTTAGCATCATCCGAGGACTCTTTGAAATCTTCCAAGGTCTGTAAGAATGCGAATCTACATTTGTCTGTTATGTTTCCAGATGCCACCAAAGTTCTAAGAAATACCCATAAAGACTCCTCTTTCCATTTCAATGAAGTTGCCATTCCAAGAACTTCTTCACATATCAAGGATTTTCGGTCAATCGGAGACGTTGCCGTTGAAAATGTGGGAGAAGACAGACAGGATAATAGGAAAGACCACCCTGAGATATCTCCTGGATGCCCCAAACACCATTTCTTTACATTGTATATTATCGTAAGATAGGTAGCTTCATCCCCTTCTACCGATTCCATCAACCACCTTATGTGAGACCATGCGTAGTAATTCCGAGGATGCCTCTCAGCTGCCACCATAACAACTGATGTAAGGTCTCGAGATACATCCAGAGGAAGATTTTTGGATCGACGAAACTCAAGAAGCCATCTCCTATGGCTCCATAGCGTCGGTGACTTCGTATGACGATTGAGGTGGGACGTCAAGAGACTATCAACGAAACGTAACTCGCTCTTTACTTCCAATCCTAGCTCAAAAACTGTCTTCTTTCGAATACTTTGTACAAGTCTTTTTCGAGCGTTACACGCAGTTAAATGTTCCGGATCTGTTAGAAGAATGATCGAAGTAGCATCCCGGATCTCCTTTGAATATTTGGGGCCCAAATCTTTGAAGTTGAAGAACACTTGCCGCGCAATAACAAATGCTTGGATGAGTTTGATTTTAGGTATACCAACGCTGTTCTCGAGAACGACTGTATTGACATTCTCCGGCAATTGACCTTTCCCAAGAAGCTCAAAGTCTATCAGTTCGTGTCCGAGACAAAAATAAGGATCAAACACTTTCACGATATCATCGTAGACTTTTTGAAAATCGCTAGCATTTAAAGATGCAATAGTATCTTTATCAAGTGCTCGTGACATGATGCTGAACACTGGGGTGGCGGTTGTATGTGTGGAATCATTCAATGATACTCATCTGGCTCACACAAGCTATTAGTTGAATGACTTGAAGATTATGACATCCAAAGGAACGTTCGTTCGCTGTCCTTGAGAAGGTACTCTGGTGGTTCCAGAAATAGTTTCCATTCTCGTGATGACCTCAACATGGTCCGAGCTTCTGAAGCTTCCGTACAAATCACAATGAGTCGAGTATAACAGCACACCACCAAACGGACACGACACAGTTCCGACAACTACATTTTCAGGAAGTTGTCGAAGAAAGGAGCAGTCGGTTTCGACTACATAACTTTGTAAACATGCCGTCTCTCCTCTTTACATGTTTTCTTGTCCAGTTACTCATCCACCTCGTCAATACTTTTGGTGCAGATGCGATCAATAATATAGTAAGCTCTCCAATCCTTAATACCAACACCTATCCTTACCAGTTCCTTTACAATCCAATCTTCCTCTCACGAAATCATCTAACAAATCCTAGCTATGGAATCTCTACAATATGTTTCCAACACCCACATCGCAGTCCGCGGGCGAGCAAAAGAAATTGAAGCGAGAATTCATGAAAGTTCGTCATGAAATGAATGCTACGAGCAGTCAAGACGAATTCGCCAAATGGGCGAAGTTGCGCAGACAGCATGACAAATTATTTGATCAGTTGGAGAAATCAAGTACGTCCTTACATACCCAAACCTACAAACTTCAATAAGTGGCTCAAAATCTAACATCTTGCCCACAGAATCCTCTCTCGATTCCACCAAATCTACCTTCGATTCTTCAGTTTCTACACTCCGCTGGTTGGGCACGAATGGTCTACGCATGTTATTACAATTCTGGTTCTCAAAGCAAGCTATATTTTGGTTGCCCAAAGGATGGTTCCCTTATTACGCAGAGTGGTTGTTGAGTTTCCCTAGAGCACCACTGGGAAGCATCAGCATACAAGCATGGACACTTGCATGCGCAGCTGTGATTTTGTTGGTCAGTGATGCTTTGGTTGCAGTGGTCGCGTTAGTTTTGGGAACACAAACTGGTCTAAAGGAGAAGAAGATGGAGGAGCCTATGAAGGCTGGCGGACAAGGTGCAGAGAAGCCTGGCAAGAAAGAGTTGTGAGGTTTACAACTCCTGATACGTATATATATCTTAACGAACGCAATGTTGTACGAATATTTCTACATTTTTACTAAACACGAGAATATGATAAAAAGGATGTCTCTCAACAATTAAGACGCAAAGATCCTCATAGCTAACGCTGAGATCATGCAACACGAGTGAGATGACTCTTGGCAGAGTACTTGGGGCTTGATCTGGGCATACTTTTTGACTGTGAGAGACCATTGAGAAATAGGTCGCCAAAGCTTCGAAAGTGCCACTACATGTGTATCAAATTAATACTATACCTAAGCATTCCTAAGAAGAAAGATTGCAATTCCAAAACAACAAGCGCATGCAAGAGAATAGAATAATATCCTCATGCGCAAATATGTTGCTCATATTCCAAACAACTTATACTTGACTTTGACTGATTTGTAGTTGAATGTCAAAATCCAGAGAAGGAAAATTTCAAGAATTTATTTATGCGGAATTATTTTAAGACCCCACACTAATGGTAGCGCTAGATTTACACTAACTATATGCAGCCACCGCCTCTATCATTGTTTCATGGCAGAATACCTTTGATTGTCTTATCGCGAACGTGTTCTGAAGAAATAAGGAATCAATTCAAACTGCCAAATCTATGATACTTCTAACAAGTTGAGCTTCGCACATATATTATGGTGGGAATATCGTTTGGGACGTATGTACTCTTCTAGCCTCTCATCGCCCATTTATAATCTTCAAAGACCTATAATTCGTAGACTCACAGATTCACAAGCTAACTCATCCACAGTATCAAGTCCATCGTCATATTCTTCGGACCACTGATTCTACCCAAAGCAATCGGTTACTATCGATCGCAGCGCGCAGCTCCTCAAGCCCACGGTCTCGCAGTTCAACCCGTTCCTCCAAATGTATCTCGCGCTCTCACGATTCTCTTCGTAACCTCTCTCGCTTTCCTCATCAAAACCTTCCCTACTTTTACCACTCCCTCGCTCTTCACACTCACCCAGTCCCGTCTACAAATCCCAACAGACGTCCTCTTTACCCGTCTCCAGACCTTACGTCCCACCGGTCTTACTCCCACCGACGAAATCCTCAAAAATGCATTTACAAGTAAAGAGTCACGACTGTTATATCTAAAATACGGTCCAGATACCATGATAAACTGTCTCTTCTGCAACCCGGAGGATCCTCCATCCTACCTACTTTATTCCCTCGTGAGCATCGTCATACCACATCTTTTCAATCTCTGCATTCTGGCTCTCGCAACCAGTACTCTCTTTATTGGAAAAGAAGCAAATATGTGGCGCGGAAAAGCTACCACTCTCGCTGGTGCAATCGCTATCCTCGATATTTATTTCGTCACACAATACAAACACACGAATAATGCCACTGCGCTCAGACTTGAGGAGATCGATCACTTTTACTGGAATATGCAACTTTATCGTAATATAGCATTAGCGGCTTTAGATGGGCTCGTTGGTTGGCTTCTCTATCTATCTTCTACAAACCGAGCATTCCTCACTCCCCCTTCGACGGCGGAGAAAATAGAAGCCACAACGAGAATTATAGACCAGGCGAGAGGGAAATTAAACGGGGTAGCATTAATGCGTAACACGACAGTAAGAGATAAAGATTTGAGGGGAAAAGTAAACGAATACTGGGTGAGGGAAGCGAATGTTATGTCAGAGGTATTAGAAACGAGGGAGGTAGTAGATGGTGTTAGAAATGCATTGGAGGGTAGAGTTGATCTCGTTGCGGTACAGAGGGATGCAGATGCCTTTGCGGAGGCTGTTCTGGGAGGTGTAGGGAAGGTGGTTATGTAATTTTATGGTGTTTTTGCATACGTCGGTTTATCCTCAATACCAGTGGAACTTGCATATTTGTCAACCTCCTATTTTCGTAAAGAATCTATTCCGTGCAGAGAAGCTAACATAGATGAAATGAGCATACGTTTTGACAAGCTTACAAAAGCTCGTCTATCTTAAGACTCTACCAATTGTCCCCTTTTTGTAATCCCAACCCTCCGTGGAAGGAATCACCATCGCACTACAAAGTACACATCACGAGAACGGAACATAAACCTCAGATACGGGCGACATAATCAAGAAACCCAATATTAAAATATCTCCTGAACACAAGATCTATTGGTGCTAACAAGCCCACCAAGACCCTATATGATATGATATGCTACTTGCCAAAACGAAATAGAATAAAGATCCCACGAGCAACGCCATGAAAAAGAACCTCGTGGCACAATAAGCAGAAGGCATAAAAAACCATGACTACACCCAGTATCACAACCATTGAAACGCCCTCGCAATGTAGCTAATATACACCTCAATCTATATCACAAATGACAAAGCACCTTCCTTTCCAAAATCTTATTTTGTTGCGAGAGTGGCTGAGCTACTGACGCTTCCACTTCTACTATCTTTAACACTTCCTTCTTCGGCGCTCTTTTCTAGAAATCCTGTCCAGAGTTCTGATAAAGATTCCTTTTGAGAGTTTGAGGGCTCGGTGAAGAATTCTGTGGATAAGGATGGTGTGCTTGGGGTTCGGTGAAAGGGTGACATCGGTAAACGTAAAGTATTACTCGAAGCACCTGGCCTTGCTAAACCAGCTTGCTCTTTCTGTTCATCTGTCCAGTTCAATAATGAAGCAATGACTTGTAGTACTTGAAATTTCTTGGGATCCGAACGATCCAATGAGAGGAAATGTAAAAAGTGGTTTGTGACAACTTGTCTATGTTTTGTTAGTCCAAATTTGAATTCGTAGTGTGGGGTTAAAACATACCTATCAACATTATCCTCTACTTTCGACTTCTTGATAAATCTCAATGCTTTCGTGAGGTGATCATTAATCACAATGGCTTCATGACGAAGTTTGCCAATCAACAGATTCTTTTCCTTGACTTCCTTTTCGAATGGTAGAAGTCGATTCAATTCTGTTTGTAGAGCTTCTTTCGAAGTTTCAGCCTCCACACATCTGGAATCCGACTCCTGGACGACCTTTTTCAAGGATTGAAGTTGCTCATCATAACTTTCGACCATCTCTCGAAGCTCTCGTCTCCGCGTCTCTTGAATTTCTTGCAAAGCTCGCTGTAATCCATCAACCGCTTGAGAATGGCTATCACGTTCGGCGACCGTGGTTTCGTATGCTTCTTTCTGAGCAGAGAATTGTTCCTCCATATCAGAAACTCTACTCTCCAGGTTCTCGCGTATGGATCTCTCTTCCATGGCCAAGACTTCCCAATCCCCCATGGCTTCTTTTGCAGCATCGGCTTCCTCTTTGAGATGTTTAGCTTGTTGGAGTAAATCTTCCCTTTCATGGACCCAATTCTGTTGTGATAAATTGTTACGATTCCGCATGCTCGAAAGTTCTTTGGTCGATTCATTCAGTTCGTTCCGTAATTTGGATACCTCGTCCTCCAATCCTTGGATAGTACTTTGGAATGATTCCACTTGTGATTCCAAGTCTTCGATTTTCTCATTGGCCTCCGCCAATTCCTCTTTATCTGCCTTCAATCGTTCCCCCAAAGTAGTTTTGATCGTATTAACGCGTGTGAGTAATGTATGATATTGAGATTCCCAGTTTTCTCTTGAAGATTCAGTCTCCTCCAATTCTGCTCGGACTGTGGAAATTTCCTCCTCGTGTTGACTCTTGAGTGCGGTAATCTCATTTTTGTATTTTTCTTCTACGGACGATAGATTCTCGGAGTACTGGCCCTTGACTGTTGAATCTTCTTCCGTGTGCTTACCCTGAATATCCTCGAGGGATTTTCGCAATTGTTCAACTTCAGCGCGCAATGCCTGACGTTCCGCCGTCATTGCTTCCAGTCGAGCACTCGAGTCCAATTCATTCGATCCATTGCTTTCCGAGGTTCCTTCTTCCTTCCCGGTGTTAGATTGTGTTGGCGCAATGGTATGGCCATTACCCGCGGAGTCAATTTTGCGCCCATTTGTTTGCGAATCTATAGTTGATGGAAATTGGGCCTCCTTTGGAGTATTCTGTCGAGATTTGTCAGAATGCGCTTATGTTTGCAATATAGTGAGTTGTGAACAGGTGTCACTCGTACCACAGTTGACTGCCCGGATTCCTCTAAATTCCCATCTTCTTCGTCTGCTATATTTACTGTGAGATCGTTCACTTGATCTTGAATTTGGGGTATTTCTCCATTTGATTTCGATTTGGCGTTCTTCTTCTTCTTATTGCTCTTCTTCTTCGCTGTTATTTCGTCAGTGATTGTTCTTATAGCGTGAGCTTCCCCACCATAACGGCGATGTACAAGGGCAAACGAACCTGGAGAAGTAACATTAGAAGAATCCGTAGGAGCTGTGGCTGACATGATTTGATAATAGGAACAGATTTGATAATAAACAAGAAAACTTTCTCTTTTGGACAAATCGCAATTCAATTATTGTCGAGGCTGTGAACCTTTGAACATTGCTAGGTAGTGTTCTCCAATTATGGCACAGTATATGTTTAGCCCGAAGTCTTAGAGCTGCGTAATGGTACGCTTTAGGGTCAAAGAAGTTACCGTATTCGTACATATATTTCCGTCGGTTTTATGTCAACCCTGTATATGTATTGACGAAGGGTCAGACCCCATCTGCATCAATTGCAACTCATTCACCAAGTTCATCTACTATTATTCGCGTGTATATGTTTGATGGAAGTCAATGTTACTGTTATGATATTGAAAGAGGGTATTTGCCTAGACAAAAGCAAGTATCACAATGAAACCTTGGGACAAATGTCAAGAACAAGGGCACAAGTCAAAATACCATTCATCCGAGTCTATTAGTCTCTAGGCACACGGAATGATTTGAGATACTTGCATATAGGATACCTACTACAAACCTAAATCATGGTTCTCATACTCGTGGTAGGTCTTCAAATGCGGGGATGGGAGAGCTATATTCTATAGTCATAGAATTGTTCTCCAATTACCAATCATCATCTTTGATTTGATTTTATATCAATGACTAAGGTTAGTCTGAAAACGACTATCCAAATTGCCGCAGGACGAATATGATCTTGAAAGGAATGGGCTATTCAATTATTATCTACCCCGCCCATTCTGCCATTCAAGCGAATGGCTACTTAGTATATAAAGCTCATTAAAGTATCCTCAAAAGATCTATGAAACTTCAAAGTTATATCAAATTCTCTCGTTATCAATACTCCTAGTAGTTGACCTTCAATTTTACTTTCTCACGTCATGGGCTCCTTTGAATCAGAGGGACTGAAATTCCGCAATTATATCAAATGGGATGCTTCAGGGGTTGAAGTTATCCCTCCCAATGAACAAGAAGACATACAAGTCATTGCAGACCAGATCAATGCCATACAAAAAGCTCAATTTAATGCCCATCGTCATTGCTTTGGAGGTAGTACTTCTTAATCTTTGGGTCGAAATAGAAACACTAACATCATCAAAAGGAACACATGCAAGAACTCAGGGACTGGTCAAGGGTGAACTCATTATTGGAGATTTACCTCCACATCTTGCGCAAAGCATGTTCTCTCGTCCAAAGACATATCCAATTGTCATGCGACATAGTACCGAACCTAGTGATCCAGCTCTTGACGATCGAATTCCACAACCTCGAGGTCTAGGAATGAAAGTTTTCAATGTTGATGGTGAAAGATTTGACGGCAAAGAGTTGAGCACACAAGATATCGAATTCAATAGTACTCCTGCATTAGATCTTGCAGACGCAAAGACGACAAAAGAAATTATTGATCTTAGAATTAAGTACGGCGGGAACGAGACTGAATTATACAAGCATCTAGAAGCTCGCAAAGATACGACATTACAAAAAGCTCGTGATGAAGTCAGGAATACACATCTTGAGGTATATCTATACACTCTTTGACCATCCTACGTAACCCGATTACTGACACACAACTAGTCAACACGACAGTATTCGCAAACTGCTTATAGATTCGGTGACTATGTTGTCAAATACTGCTTAGTTCCATCTTCAGAGACGCAAAAGAAGCTTTATGAAGAGACAGTCAAACCAGATGCCCATCCGGATAATATTCTCAGTGAATGGCTTAAAGAATTTCACACAAACCATGACGCAGAATATCTCTTTCAAGTCCAACTCCTTGAGAATCTCGAAGACCAACCTGTGGAATATGCTGGCAAGGTCTGGGATTCCGAGAAGTATCCATGGCAAACAGTTGCTACCCTCAAGATCCCTAAGCAGGATAGTTTTATAGCCGCGAGAAAGACGTTCTGGGAAGATCACATGAGATTAGATCCATGGCATGGGCTCAAGAGCTTTCAACCTCTTGGATCACCAAATAGATTGAGAAAAGTTGTGTATCCTGCTAGTAGTTCCTTCCGTCGTAAGATGAATGGAAGACAGGAATTGGATGTTAACAACATCGATTCAATTCCAGATGGAGGTTGGGTTGTTGGGACGTTGTAAGCGTTGAATGAATGGTACATGAATTATGGTTTGGAATACGGATATTAGCCACGATGAATACAATATGAACTATTGCTGTAAAATAATCCTCCACAATCTGTGACTTTAGCTTTCTTTCGTCTAATTGTATCTATGAGCCCATTTAATCGCCCCTTTGAATCCTCAGGCTTCAATGATCATGTTACCTAATCACAGTTAAAACGCACAGACCTTTGATCTACCATAAAATCCTTCACCTCATCTCAAGTTCTTTTCTTTTCTCTTCACATATAACCACAGCATCTGTTGTCAGCCCTACCTGGACCTATCTAAGTTTACTTGGATAAATTCAGGTAGGATTGTAGTAGGGATTTTTTTTCACAAGACCCAAGTACTGAAATGGATAGCTCAGAGAAAAGAACGCTTCAAAATCCTGATTATTGTCTATGCTCGATGGACTTTTCAGGTTCGCTTTGTGTCTACATTCTGTGAAGAGGAAGGATTAACTATTAGGGGGGCGTGATCGGAGATGGAGAGGCGACTGCGGGAGGGGAGAGAAGGGAGTTTTAGAGGTAATGTAGGTAGCAAATGAATACGCTTTTTTATTTCAGAGCAATTTGATTTTGTCATGTCCATGATATACACCTACTCCGCGCTCACGAAGCATTCGGAGCAAACTCACAGGGTAGAGTACGTCAAGCCCAGTTAGTTCGCCATTTGATATCTCATTGTTAATCCCAAATCCGGAACCAGCTGGTCCAAAGGCAACTCCTGAGTTTCACACATCCTCAAATGGGGTCCTTATCCAGCACCCCAATATAAATATGTCGAGCAAACATCATCTTGTAAACCACAGCCATCTTCGCATCAAATCTCAAGAATAAGCTAGACTAGTGTCCTCGTTATTTCCTAGTCCATCTCAATCCCACACTCTCTGGATCAAGAATTTCATGTAACATATGTCTCTCATAATCAACCACTAAACTACTCTTCCATGCCTCTTTCTTGCCTGCTCGCCTGTTTCGCCATCCTTCGGGACAACCTCAACTCTCCAGTCTTTGAACAATGCAGCTAATACAGCAACAATTTCTACCTGCCCAAATTTCTTACCAGGACATACTCGTTGACCCCATGCAAAGGGCATGAAATGATCCGAAGTATCCCCTTCAACCTTTTCCTTGTCAAAATCTTGCGTGCTAAGATTTTCGGCGAGAGTGGATGTAGAAGACATGCTGATAAACCGGCTAGGGTTCCACGCAAGAGGATCGGAACCCCAATATTTTGGATGCGCGTGGAGAGCGGGTATAGAACAGTGAACGGTGGTATGCGGTGGGAGGACATAAGCTTGACCATCTATTTCGAGAGTTTGTTCGTGTGATCCAGTGGTTTTTACGAGTTGAGATATGGGGTGACAAATACGGAGGGTTTCGAACTGCTGTTTGTGAGTACACTTCATTCTTCTGGCAGTCAGGAACCAAGGGAACTTACGATAACTGCTCTACAGCGCTTCAATTGGAAGTATGTTTCATAGTTCCAGGACTCCACACTCGCCTCTGTGGGTAGACAATACTTTATCTCCTCAGAAATCCAATCTTGAGTGTCGGGATTGGCAGCAAGATGGATGAGTAAATTGGTGAGCGTAATCGCTGTTGTATCATTACCAGCAAAAGCGTAGACGAAGAGATCTCTTTTTTCGTGAGTGTCATCTTTCGTCCTTTGTCCCAAGTTTTGTCCGTGATCGCATCATCTGCATCCAGTTCTTTGCCCTCCTCGCGAGCCTTCACTAGACGCGCTACTAGGTGCTTGTTCACACATTCTCCACGTGCAAGATGCTCTTTCTCTTTATCCATCAAACCGAAAATATAGGAGCGGAAGTCATTTATCGCTCTGGCTGCATTTTTAAATGAATGAGGTGTCCACCAGGCTTGTAGACTTTGTTCTACAAAAATGAAAATTTGGATGATGGATGACAAAATCGTGGATAGAGATTCTCGATACTGATATGACTTATTGTTCTTATGAGAATCTAGCTTCTCAACCTCATGGCCTTCAAATGGATACACTTCGTTGAACATCGCAGCTGCAAGAACATTGAGCGTAAAGTTCTTAGTATCCAAATGTGTCGATCGAATGGGTTGATTCGCCTGTTCAGTCCAAAACTTCAACATTCCCTTCGCCTGAGCTAATGACTGTTCCCAAACCAGCTCATTATTCTTTTCCGTAAAAGTCACCGTCGTCATCTTCCGATGAGCTTGCCATTCTGCATCATCCGCCGTCGACAAATTCCATCCATAAACATCCAAAACAGCCATCTCCTCCATATTCCCCCCGAAGTCCGATTTCCTCGTCAGAATATCGTAGATGATTTTAGCATCCGCAACACAGAGTTGTATACCCGCAGGATGAACAGCCAGAAATGCATCGCCGTAATCAACGAAGATTTGGGCTCGTTCATTGGCTTCCCAGCCGTGAGAATAGATGCGTGTGAAGTTCTCGGATGCAATTCCAAGTCGTTGACAGAGTCGCACAATAGAACTACCATAGAGAAGCCAGATGGGGTTCATGGGTGATACATAGCGAATGAGGTAGGCAAGACCTGTTGCGCGGGCTTTGGCACGGTTGGCGGCTAGGGTCTGGGCTGACCAGATAACGAGTCCGACTGGGAGAGCGAGAAATGTAACAACTATGGTAAATAGCAATATGGTATAGCTACTCGAGATTTCGAGTGAAAGGAACGGATGAAATCCCATTTTCATTTTGATACAAGAATTTCGATGAAGAAAGTCGAAGAAGCAAAGATTTATAAGCTAGTCGAAGCGAAAGAACTCGGCAAACAAATCCCCCTCTACCACTAAGACACAACCCCAAGCATAATTCCCCTGAACGGTATTGGGTCCATGTTATCACCATAGTGAATTCTTAGAGCGAATTAAAGCTGAGGAATTGAAAATAATCACATGAATTTGAGGTCTTCATGCTTGCTATCATTGGCCCACGTTCTGCGGTATAGTTAATGTGTGGAGCCCATATAAACAACAGTGTGAGAAAGTACGTACATATGATATCCATTTTTGCTTGTATTATCTTGGCAGAGCTGTTCAATAGCCAGGCACTTTTCTCATCTCAGTAGACATAGCTTGGCAAATATCAAATGGTGTGAGCCGGATGTTGCTAAATTGATGCTATTGTGAGAACATCAACTTTTGGCTTTGTGAGTTGGAGGAACCTGACATTTTTGCAGATTCGTGCCATTGAATATCTGTTTTGATTCCATCTTATTTTAGGAACACGAGAGTATCCTACTATAGTCTCTTGCCCTTTTGTCCTCCACTGCTGTTCTTTAGCCATTTCCACTCCTTTCTCCTCTCAAAACACCCAGCTATTCTATTGTTCACTAGTTATCATACAAATATCACTAGTGCGTTATACTTTGATGTCGAGCTATACAAGAAATGACCCCTCGCCGAGAGATCTAACTATACCGCAAAGCACCCTCTCAGAACGAGACTCCCGAGTTTGCTATTACATGTTAGGCGAACGAGCCGAATTTGTTGACCTACGCATGATGACCAACAGTTGGATAGTTCGAGGAAATAATCGTACCATCTACCTTACAGACTGTAAGATGTTTATTTTCTTTTGTGTTACATCAGTTTCTTCTTCGAATAGCGGCATTCGCCCATTCGTGCATACGACGAATCTTTTTGGCTAGTTTCAAATCACAAATTCTATAATCTTCTTCCCCCAAAAATAAATTCCATGCCCAGAAATCATTTTTTCGAAGCAGCCAAAATCTCAAAATGGACGAGGAAAAAGAAAAAGCGCTCCAGAATTCTGGTCGAAAAAGAAATATTTCCAGAGAACGGCCAGCCCAAAGAATTTCTTGAAGATGTGAAAGATTCCTCGGATCGATATCTCACTAGGTAGAGGCTTACACTCTTAACAACATCTACAGCTCTGGGAATGTTCCTCACGGGCGTCGACAGTAGTGTCATTGACATAGCAACTCCTGGAATCACAACTTCATTCCACACGATCGATGATCTTGCCTGGTATGTTTCTGTGTTTTTGGCTATATGCTTCCACATACTGCTCTTTAACCTATTCCAAGTACTTTCTATGAATCTTTCAATGTCAGATATGTCTTCTTGATATCGATTATTATATTTGAGGTTGGGTCTTGTCTGTGTGCTCTTGATGTTGGCAATATCACTGACAGCTCCTCCATGTCGCTGGTGACCCCAAATTACGTAAGTAGCACTGCAATATATAGAGTTATAAATGGCGGGGTTCACATGCATTGCCAGTTAAAAGTCCTTACTGCTCCCCATTCTCAACGGAATTCTCGCTCTCTGAGAGACCGAAAGTAATATAATACAAGTTCTCTCAGTAGCATTCACCACCAGAGAGACTTCAAAAGTCCTCATGCATAAACAAAATTTGCAACCCACTATACTAAATACATTGCTTTCCTATAATAGTCTTGTATCCGCCAAAGTTCATCTATAGGCGTGAGGGAAATTGTCTTCATTTCATGAGCAACCCCCACGTCCTCTCATTACAAAGTACCACCTAAAGGCCGTTAGACAGACCGCAAAACCGTCTTCTATGATCCGAGCCCGCTCAGACGCAACAAATCAGATCTGACATGCGATACTTCTTCATCTTGCCTCGTTCGCCTCCTCGAAGTAGAGGTAATGCGATTGATGACGTTTATCACTCCTACGCTCTTATATTGACTTTCCAGACTCGTGTCTAGACCCAGCTATCTGGGAGAATACTAGAGAAGCTATGATATAATGCAGTACTTCGCTACCTATACTGTATCTTCCAAGTAATGCACACTATACATGAATTAAAGTAAGACGATGTTCGAATGTGCACAGTTGTATGGTGCTAGTGAGCATTAGATTGTTTTCTTAAGGCTTCTCGATTGTAAGATTAAGAAGTAGTTTGAAGTGAGCCGGTAACATTCTAGAGTGATAGCTATAGTCCTAGGTAGTAAAACAAATCGTTGTGCATCAATACCTTAAGGCTCAGTATTCCATGCCCCAGGTTGTACAATTCTTCTACATCTACATCTATCGACGTGATTCTCGAACAAAGCACTTGACTAGAATCGTTGAGCTCTACTCATTATACGGATCTCACTAGTGCTTTCTATGATATATGTCATTGGGAACCCTGAATGTTGACATCAGGGGCATAGAAGATATGTTTGTCTGCTGCAATACTTTATTGTATTCAATAGATATCTTCCACTGCATCGAACCATAAAAGCTATGGAAAATGGTGAACTGAAAAACTTTCCGAATCACATTATTGCAGTGAAAGTATCAAGAGCATAACGAAAACACAAACGCGATAAGAAATCTTAAGATCAAGATGATAACAAAACCGTCTAGTCCCCCAGGAGATTTCAGGCATAAACCATACACGTCCAATCTGTCGTAATTCCACTGTCTTTTCATACAATAGAAATTGTATACCACGTCATTCCATCTTCATCTACATCAGTTGAAATGTAGTCCTTTTCTGACGGAAGGGCATCGCCAAGACCCAGCGCTTTAAATTGCTCATCCTGGGCAAGATTCATGGCCCGACAAATTAGTTCGTAACCAGTATCTCCTTTGATAATAGTGAAATGGCCTATACGCTCATATTGCCCCCCCCCCCTTTTTTGATATGTGTTAGCAAGAGCCCGTCAATTCTTGAAAAATCGGAGTTCGCCCCAGCGTCTTTCAAGATGCCAATAGGTAATATTAAAATTGAGTTACAATGGCCCTTCGAGCCACAATCTTCATGATCCCAATTGATGTCTGTCGGCTCAATTGAGATTTTACCAACCGACATTCGAGTAAACCGGTGGAGTGGTGACTTTCTCTCGCAAAATATCATAGTCTTTGAGCGGAGGACCAGATCTCCGCTCTTAACACCTCCAAAAGGATCATCAAAATCTTCAAGAGTTATGTCAACTTCAACGACATCTATACACGCTTCACGAAGCACTGTTGTGTCATCATGTATAACGACTCTGTGCTTTACTGAAGCCCATGACCAGGAAGGGGCTCGCCAAGTGTTTTCTTTTGGGGTTTTCGTAATAAATCTGACGATATACCAGCACATCTGATCTTTAAGGCGAGCTTGCCACAGTCCTGCAAAGTACTTGCCACCATTATTCTTCTGGAGTTGTCGTGCCACGCCGCCTATTGCAATGAAACGATCACTCTCGTTTGTTAACGAACACCAGGTGTATATATCGATAATCTTGCTCCAGGACTGGAGTTTTTGTTTGGGTAGATAGAAGTAATTGACACATACAGCTTCCGGTAATGTATCAGCAAAGGTTTCACAAGCCTGATTAGTTCTACATTCCCAAAAGAGTTGGGATTTAGTAAAATGTAAGGTCCGTGGAGCTAGTACTCGCTCTTGAACAGCCCAAGCGCGTCTTGTCAATGCAGCGTTAGCAAAATTTTGGCGATATAAATTATAATCTGCAATTTGGTAGACCCGTTTTCGATGATTCATATTTACTTCGGCCTTATCAAGTCGCGTTCAAATAAGCAACCAATGGTACCATCTGGAGCTGCTGTGGCTGCAATGTTCAAACTTGAAAGACCATAAACGGAAGCCATTCGAGAAGCTTCTTTACTCCAATCCTCAGGATCACCCTGTATTATACACAGTGAATCAATCCATAGCCACGAGAAACCTAAAACTCTTGCGATATAAATTGCATCGCGAAAAGTTTTGCACAGTTTGTCATATGGAATCTTTTCCAAAAAGCTTGTAGATTGTCCTTTGGGAGTCGTAATACTTCTGCCTTTCGCCAGCAATGGCTTAGAGTTGCATACTTTGAGCAACTTTCATTGGCAGATATACAAAGACGTATTTCTTGACGGTCAATTTTGATCAGGCGTGTTGGCAGAACAGAAGCCTCTTCTCCTTGTCTACAAGCACTGTGACTTGAAGAGCATTCTTGGAGCCATTCTTGCGCAAGAGCCGTAGATTCTTCAGTACAACCTAATCGAAACTTGTCCTAGTTATTCTGACCAAGTTCTGTACTAGTATAACACTGGCGTTTCCAAGTTCCAGGATCTGATATATCATCTAATATCATTATCGCATAAGCAGTACTCGTACTTCGAATGCCATCCTTGAACACCCAGAAATCAAGCGATATATTCCACGCGTTCTCTCTCTCGCGTTGATTATAGTCCCTGTGATCTCCATTAGGCTGAAGTTTTATGCGGTAAGGCTTCAGCTGATCGAGCGGCAAGTGACTACCGGCCTCATGAGCACAGGAATCTGAATGGTCCCGATCACTGTAAATTATACCCAAGAAAAGAGCACACAAATAACATCCACCAGACGCAAATGCTTTGAGATCAGACATCGTACCAAAATGCGCAGAAAATAGGATACGATATGGATCACTATTGAAAAAAAAGTCACAGACAGAGGACCAAGCATCAAAGAACACCCTACAAAATTTGCTTAAGTTGGGATTCAAAACCTCGGCTGTGGCCGTGTTCCTTTCGTTCTTACTCTCAATGCTCTCTTCGGGTACTTGAGGATATTCAATGGGCCATCGTACGAATCGCGGATTATCCATCTAAGATCTAGAAAAGATATCTGAATAATCTGAACGACAATCGCCCGGACTTTCTTCTTCTTCACTCTCTTCATGTTCCGTTGGAGAGACCTCATAATCATGTTCATCCACACCCATATCGCTGTCATGATTGATAATGGGGCCAACCGAGGCGTCTAGAACATGTGTTTTGGTATCTTCGTGCCTCCATATTTCATGATATGACTCTTCTCTCCACCCATCAGTATCACTTTGAATGCCAAAATCCTGGCCAGGATCGTGGCCCGAATTCCTTGTCGAAGGGTCATCGTTTGAACCGTTATCAAACCCCGGGTCTTCAGTTATATCGGTGTCGTTAACCTCCACAAGCACTTCAGAATTTCCCCGCTCTTGGGCTTCGCACACACCATGTGCCGACAATCCTCCCACTGCATCAAATTCCATCGCTCCCAGTCCCAATTCCAACTCTCTCATATCCGCAATCTCATCATCTTCACCATCAACTCCCGATCTCTTCTCCGCCGAAGACATAATTCACAAACGATATCTTATGAACGCAACAAAGTAAGCAAGCTGAAAGGTGGGGTAGACGCGATTCTCAAAGATCATGATATCTCTCATGCATGCTTACGTACCTACTTAGTACCTACCTATTTAAGCAATCACGTTACAATTCAGATGACCACTCATACCTAGTATCTCTTTCGAACTCGTGATCGCAATTCTGAAGTATGGTTAAATATGTATGCTATCTACAAGAGAACTGGAGCATATGGGGTATAGAGATAACTACCTGTTTCTTTCCTACTCGTGACCACAATCTCAAAGCCTCATTGAGAAAAAACATACTTAGAGCTGCATGCTCATGCACAACCAACCAATCACATTCCCCTCCCGGATGTTCAGAGCTGAAATCAGAGCTAGAGCGAGCATATAGATAGATATCCCCACCCACCCACAAATACAAATACACTCCTCACACCCCCGCAATCTATCTCGCAATCCTACCTCCCTGACAGAGAAAACCACTTCGAGACACCTCGCCTAGATTTCGACAAGTCGTGTTATTTGATAGGAGATGTCTGCGCTTGATGGTATCACCGGATGACCACACGTAGCTCTTGAAAATTCTCCTCCCCCCCCCTCATCTCCTCTCCCAAAACCTAAAAGAAACCTCTAAATCCTTTGGAATTTGGAAAAAACCCTCCACGTATCTAATCTTTGAGGAAGTTGTATATATATAGTCTTCTTTCCTTGAGAAAACGAATACAATAGAGATAATTTATATTCATCCGATTTCTATTACTCTATATTTCGAGATTTTATCAGGTTTTTTCTTCTCTTCTTCCTTTTCGATCAACGTATACTTACCATCCTCTCTAAAAAGCTTCCAGACGTCTTGACCCCCCTAACCTCTAAAAAATCCTCATCATTCCTTTTCTTTATCGGAGGAGAGAAGAAGAGAGAAGTTTCCAAATGCGCTGACCACACAATATAACCCTCGAGATTATTCTCCACGAACAAGGAGACCTAGATGTCTATCATTAACAAAATTCCCAGATCCAGCGCCCACACATACCTAATTTGAACGACTGCCATAATGAAGTCTGGAGTCTAGATACGTCATTCATTTCCATACAAGCACGTCATTCTCAACTCTGTATGCCGATCTACCATCTCTGAATTTGAATGAATCCGCACTACGACCACAACGACAACCGCGACCACAGCCGCGACCACAACCCCCCAACCCTAAGTCCAAGTCCAAGTCCAAGTCCAAGCCAAAACATCCACCACGCGATATTCGAAAATCTTTCCAAGTACCCACCAGCCGCTTACCTACCTCTCGTAAAAGGAAGGACTACTAAGTACCAGCCTCATTCCTACAAATCTCTAAATCTTGTTTCCGAGCTTGACTCCAAAAGATCAAACCCCCTCTCCCACCTCCCCCTCTCCCTTCTCTCACTCTTCTCCTTTCTCTCCTCCTCCTCTCCCAGTCCGCAGTACAATCAAAAAATTCCCATCCATAGATCCATAGATCCAACAATCTCAAATTCCATATCTCTCCCTTTGCCCCTCTCTAAATATCCACCCCCACTCCCTCCCTCCCCTTTCAGATCTTCCACTCACAAATTCACTATTCCAATTCCCAATTTCCCTATCTTCGCATTTCTGCATATTCCTTCCCTTCCCTCCCCTTCCCTCCCCCAATTCCCTTCTCCCCAAAAAGTACCTCAAAACTCAAAACTCAAAACTCAAAGCTCAGAAACACCACAATCATTTCTCACACCCAATTCTGATAAAACCCTATCCTATCCTATCCTATCCTATCCCACTCAGCCCTGCCCTGCCCTCTCATACCATACCACACCATCCCAATCCACATCTCCAAATCTTCCCTTTTCCACGACCATATCGCAAAGATCGCAAAAACACGATATCTGGATACATAGAAACGCAAACAAATACATTTCCCACCTCCCTTCTTGTTCCCTAGTATGACAGTATGATATTCCTAGAATCGTATATCATGCATATATACATATCCCATGTTTGTATCTAGAGTATACGTAATATATAGTCTTCCAATCAGCTTGCTCCGATCTGAATCTCAAAATATTACTGATACTTTCATCCTGGAGGTTACCATTCTACTCGAAACTTGATTCTCTCCTCTTATTTTCGGATATCATCTGTTTCCGCAGCCTCACAGTAACCATCTCGATTTCCGTATATTCATTGATAAACCAATTAGTTACAATTGCAATCACTTTGCACCTACACATACCACTTCCCTTCCTCAACACATCCCATCTATTCTGCAATCTCGAACCCTCCGTCTTCAATTCCTCATCTCCAATCTCCAACCCGCAAACGCATACATACACCTAGCCACAAGGCCAAAATCAAGTAGCACCATACATAGGCAGTCATCATCCAACCCCCACCTCAGCTTTCCTCAAGTCTCAACCTGTATCTCCTAAAGCCCCACCCTACGTACGCCTCATAGATCTTAAAAAGATGTATCAAATGAGATACCTCAATCCCCAAAGTCGTCACATCACTATTTACCAAGGAACCGGGTTTTGAGCACCCGCTTCCGTTTTCCGTCATGTGAAACATGCACATACTTCTTTCCTATATCTTATCCGCAGGTTCCGATGAATCATATGCAGGGCGCCGATGTGGCTTTATGAGTTCGCCTCATTTCTTTCTATTCCTTGGGCCCTTGGATTTGTGACCTGTGACTTGTGACTTGGGCCCGAGTTTAGAAGTAAAGATTTGAGGAAAAGGAAAGAGAGGAAGAAAGTAATTGGCAGGATAGACAATATGTATATGATAGGGGTTTAGGTTTGGGCATTGAAGCATATGATATGTACCCAAACAAAAGAACAAAACAAAAAGGATTCCAAGCCAAAAATGATAAAATCAACAGTAACACAGCGAAAGCAAATATAGAAACAATGTCGCACAAAAAATCGATACCTGGAAACACCAATCATCACGTGACATTGTATCAATCCGATAGCTCTGACAGAGCGTAACACGAAAAACAAAAGAGGGATGAAAAAAGATCAAAGTACATGGTTAATATGCCGGTAGCCATTGACATCCCATCTTTGTGCTACGGAACACGACCTTCATACCGGTGGGGGGTAGGTATTCCGCTCTGAGCCGACTAGCTGGATGGGATTTGAGAATGCTTAAGGGATGAGATAGAATGTGAAAATAAATCGGGGCTGAAGATACGGGGATGAAGCGGAACTTATCTTCATCATCGAGATCTATTCATCTGGAACTGTTTGGAGAGAAGTTTGCGATCAAAGTGGAAAAGAAAGGAGCGGTGGAAGAAATGGAAGCAGTAGAAGATCTAGAATCAGCCACGGGGGCTGATATATGACCTGAATGTGCCTAGAAAATGCATGCAAGTGCATTTCCCCATCACATTTTGAAATTCCCATGTCGATATTAATGAGATTGATCGTAATAGGAAATCATGAGAGGATGGGATGGTCGAACTAGGGACTCCAATTGTGGGTGAAATGAAAACGAACATTATCTGATATCGTCAACCAAATTCTGAACAGTGCGAAAAGAAAAGGAAATTATTAGCATAACTTTGCATATTTCGTATTTGGCACAAAGCTGCCTACCTACCCAGATCCCCATCCAATTTGTACAATACCTTTATGCAAGATTGTCAGAACAAATGCAGCCAAAGTAACCCCTGAATGAGTAAAGTGACATTCGAGAGCTCTCGCCTGCCGCCATCCTCCACCAAGGATACAATCCCCTGTCTTTTGTGGAGGAAGGATTGGGATTTGGGTGGTACGCGAGTTGGTTTCGTTATGCAAGTGACCGTTTGTAGATATTTAGGTATCTGTAATCAATCAATGAGTATAAGCGCAGACTTTTGATGATTTGAAACAGATAATCTCATGGGATTATTTTGGATTCTCATACCTCGAGATCGAACACTTCTTTCCATTTGTATCATCGTTAAATGATGATGAAAGGGAATGGAAACCCAGGTTAGGTATGTGTCGTCTGTTATCTGGAAAATACCCATTTAACGGTCTTGCAGTGACAGATTTTCGGGTTTCCTTGGTGTTACTGCTACTGCTGCACCTAAAGCAAAATGTTCTAGGCGTTGAGACTAGTTGACTAAGGTAAAGCAAAGTCAGGTACGTACTCCCTACGTTTCCATCCGTTTTTCGGGATTAGAGACTTGGTTTGAAGTAGTTTATGCCACGCAATACCGGACTCATTTGGGATGCATTTCGCGTATGTATGTTACGCATTTGAAAGTTAATAGAGAAGAGAAACGTTGGAAGATTGGAGGACTGGACTGGAACTGGAACGTTGAATTAAATGAATGAATGCGGTATTAATTTGGGGGATTTTCATCGCCACCTCGGGTTCATGAGATCTTTGAAATTCTTTTCGAGTGTTTTTGTACCGTTGTACCGTTGTACCGTTGTACTGTTGTACTGTTGTACTAGAAGTCCTATAATTGAGTTGTGGCGGATGAATCTATTGAATGGATGAGCAGAGAAATGGGATGGATGGATGAATGGATGGATGGATGAATGGATGGATGGATGAATGGATGGATGCGTAGGTAGTAAGTAGTGCTGAGTATATTGAGAGGAAGTGGCACTAGTACTAGCACCGGTAGGATGAGATATTGATTCGTATGAACCATCATTTTGATTAGTTTGACTTATATCTTATAAATAAAGCAAGATAAATGGAAACGCTATAAAGTATATAAAAGAATAATCGTGGCATGTTATTGGATGTTATTGGATGAGACGACGTAGTATGAATATATCGACCGAATACCAGCTGAACTAAGTAAAGAACCGTTTCTCACACCATCCCCCAAGATTTGTTGTGCCTGGTCTAGTAAAGTGTAAAAGAAAGTGTTCGCCGTTCACGCCATTCGTCATTTGGGGAAGGGTTGGAGGAAGATCGACAAAACGCTATTTACTAGGTTGATAGACACTTTATCTTATTTGATCCCTTCTTCCCATCCTTCCAATCAGGAGGGATTTGGAGATGAGGTTTTTATTGGTGAGAGGAGAGAGGGAAGAAGAAAGAATCGATTGGAGGTTGTTGTGAGTGAAGGGAGAGATGTGATAGAAATGAATACATTCCGAATAGATACAGAATATATAACTTATATAATATATATATATATATATATATAAATATACATGCCATACCTACATACTTATCAGCACATGGATCGACGACGTACCCAGGTCGATAGATAGTCCACCGTCTGGTACTTGGGCATCTGTATTCATCAATATCTATCATTTTAATACCTATCTCGGTATATACTAGGTAGATACTTATTACTCACTTACTTCCACTCAAGTAAATTGGGATTGTCCACGATTTCTATATTTCTTTCATCGATGATAGTAGAAGGATCATTCATATTGCTTCATTTAAACTTTGGAAAATCCAATTGCTTTTTCTTTAGTTTCCCTGGAGAAGATCATTCGCTAGGTAATCTATGCCCTTGGTTCACGATAAGGAATCTTATTTGGAGTGACACAGCGGCGCTTTTCTTTGGGTTGTCAAAGGTACTAGGAAGGTCCGTCTATATTGGGAGAATGGAGAATGGAAGATGGAGAATGGAAGATGGAGACTTGGAGGAGAGAGGAGAGAAGAGAAAAGGCAGAAGAGAGAGGTAAGAAAAAATAAATGAGAAAAAAGGGGTAGAGAGAAGACAGAGAGGGGCGAGAGGGGCGAGAGGATAGAGGATGGAGGATAGAGAGTAGAAGGTAAAGAGAGGAGAGAGGAGAGAGGAGAGAGGAGAGAGGACGGAAAGAGAGAGAAGTCAGATATAGAAAGTGGGTGAATATAATATAATATTATTACTAGGAAAGGTTACCTACTACATTTACCTACTACATTTACCTATCTAGGTCCACGGGTAACATTATCATTTCACACTTCTGTTCCCTTGTATATGTACATACATACCTTTGAACGCTTTTGAACACCACCCACGCAATCAACAACATTCCCTTATTTTCCCCATATATCCATTTACATCCATATAAGTTATCCATATATCCATACATCCATATATCCATATATAATACTTTGTACATTATATTATATTTACCTACATAATATACCATAATATACCATCAACCAACCAACCACTCTTCCCCATCCATAATCTACAATCCATCCATCCATCTATCTATCTATACGGAGGAACTACCTGGGTAGTACCTCTTCTCCGTCTATTGTCATTTTCATAGTCATAATCATAGTCATAATCATTGTCATAATCATTGTCATTATCATTGTCATTCTTTTATAATCTTCAACTCAATTCAATTCAATTCAATTCAATTCAATTCAACTCAATTGAATCCAGTCCAATCCATTTCATTTCATTTCATTTCAACCCCCATTCAACTCATTCAACCCAAGTCAACTCCAATTCGATTTATAAGATCAATCTTGTAATCTTTTTTTCAATACACAAACCACAACCACAACCCCCAACCAAACCCTTTTTATTAATTCACTTCATTCATATCATTCTTCACTTACCGGCAGTTGAATAAATAATAATAATTTATTTCACTATCAACTTCATATCAATCAATACGAATTCCCAATTCTACATCCACATATCCCCCATCCATATCAAGCAATCGAAATTTCTTGGAATTGCCCGATTCCTCTCTCCCTTCTTCTTCTTCTTCTTCTTCTTCTTCTTCTTCTTCTTCTTCTTCTTCTTCTTCTTCTTCTTCTTCTTCTTCCTCCTCCTCCTCCTCCTCCTTCTTTTCTCCATCCCCCAAAACTTTCCTCACCCATTCAAATCCTCCATCAATTTATTAACCGTTTACCTAAGGCGTTTGATTGAATGATCAATGGATTGATTTGATTTGATTTGATTAAACAACAGTGGAGCTCAAGGGGAAAGTACTTCGTACCTAGCTTCATCACCCACCGTCCACCGTATTTCAAAGGGTCTGATCTGCAAATCTTCCTTTCTAGCATCAACCTTGGTTCGTCTTTCACTGCCTCTCAGATAGTCACACCAAGACCTCCAGCAAAAAAGAGCTTGTTGTTCATTAAATAGTCGGGAAAGCGTATCATCCTTTGCCCTTGTGTCCGAGATTACAAGGAGCCTCTCTCACTTTACCCACGAAACACCGGATCATCCCTCCCTCTTCTCCAGTCTAATAACTTATTACTCCTGAAGTTCGCGGTAACAGCGTCCACAATATACACTCCTTCGGTTCGATGTCATACTGAAAGGAATTTCAGTTACCTATCACTGGCATATCTGCCAATACAATCCTTCACATTCAACAATTTCAGCATATCTGCTTTCCAATAATCATTCATTCGCCATGGATAGTAATAATTCAACTTCGGCTCCTCTCGCAGATTACTTTTGGATCGCGGGGATTGATTCTCTCCAATATGGGCCCGAGGTTTTCCCTTCGAACCCAAGAGATAGATCAAGCAACATCATACAAGCGCCGCCTTCTCCTCAAGTCGATGCTACAATAGAAGAAAGTCCTGAAGGTGAAAACTCTCCTCCTCCCAATAACAATCGAGCTTCTGCACGACATTCCCGCAATAGCTCATGGAATCGTCTCAGCAAACAATCCTCGCACGAATCGCGAAGCTCAATATCCACTCTCGATGAGCTTGAAGGAACCGCGAGTAATCGAAGTAGTATGACCATTAAAGCTGGTGAAATTGGTCACATCAATGGCAATGGAAACAGCACTGGCAATGGCAATGCAAATGGCACAAAGACCGAGGGTGGAGGAATATTTGGAAATTTCGATTTCGATACAGCCCTACTGAAGTTTGCGAGCGAGCGGGAGAATTTCCTGGATGACTTGAGTTTTAGTGCTGGGGCCACAACACAACCTGCACCTCCCATGACAAATCCGAGAGCTTCGAGATTAAGAGTGGAAGATGCAGAAAATATACATAGGAGAAGTCCGACTTTAAGGAGCGTGGGTGGAAGTATAAGGAGAAGAATTAGTTTCAGAGATCTGAATAGTGTAAAGAGACAGCCTTCCATGGCTGGGAGAAGTAGTAAGTCTGACCATCTGCGTCCCGGTGCGGCACATATATTACATGCATTGCATACACCCAAGATGATTTTAACCGCAGCCCTCTCATATATTTGAATGCTCATGCTAACCATTACAACAGTGTCAGTTCGCACTTCGAGGCGCCTTAGCAATTACAATTCCGTCATTCCGCCCCCAGAGCCCCTAAATCTGGATCCTGATATGCACCCTTTAAAACGACGTTTTGAACCCGTTTTACTCGATAGATACCCACCCAAACACGCGACAGAAGAATTACCGAGGAGAGGTAAATTTCCCGATTATGTCCCTATGTTTGCCTTTCCAAATGATATCAATATTGTTTCTTCGGACGAACGACCGCGATCAACCTGGCATGGGTTTGCTATGACCTCAGATGACAATTCCAAAATATACGGAATTACTGTAATTGTTTGGAAGCCGTTGGATCAAGAAGCGGCCGGAAATGTGGAAAGAAGATGTGAGGCATGGAGACAAAGTCATATGACAAACGAGGAACGAGAACTTGCGGCAAGTCTGGGGGAACGATTGGCTGCAGAACGTGCACACCTTTCACAATTGCTAGCAAAGTTGCCCAGTGTTGTATCTGGCTCAGCCGCTAGAGAACAGTTGGAGGAACAGATTAGTGCAGTGGAGGAAAAAATCACTTTGATGACTGATATGCTGAGGCCTGTCAGACACGGCGCAGCAGCCAAAATTGAAGGATTGACTGATGGCGAGACGGGGCTTTGGATACCTAGGGCATATGGAATTCTTGGCAGAGACGGAAGTATGACAAGCTTCTGGAAGGAATGGCTGAAGGCTGTTGTGGTACCAATGACGGATGGTGGAATACTCCGAGTTCCTGCAAGTTCGCCAAAGATCGGTAGATGGCAACCCCTGGAGAGATATGTTGTCAACCTGTGTACCGAAGCGCTGAGCCCGATATCTTCGAAAACTCAAATTGAAATTGCAGTACGAGAACTACGACTCTTTGCGCGAAAGGAAGCACCAAATGAATTGCCAGATTCACGAAATACCGATATTTATGCACTATTCAGAGCTTTGAGTATACCCAATATTGTTGCTCTGGTAGAATTTATGTTGTCCGAATCTAGGATCATTTTACTGTCATCCCACACAGCTATGTTACATCTTGCTAGTAAAGCTTTGGTCAGTCTCCTGTACCCCCTCAAATGGGCAAGCATCTTTATCCCAGTTCTACCAGCTAGATTGATCTCTGCGCTGGAAGCACCTTGTCCTTACATTGTTGGTATCGAAAGGAGATATGATAATATAGAGCTTCCGGAGGACGATTATGTTTTCGTGGATTTGGATCAAGATACCGTGGAGTCTACTGCTCCACCTGTTTCGCTACCACGACAACAGCGTCGAAAGCTTGTGTCCCTCTTGCAGCTGGCAGCTCCTCATCATAACAGATGTGGTGTGGAGGTCGCACCACCACCTTATGCTGTTGAAACCTTTCCTTACGATGCATTTTCGTCGGAGAACGAATCAGTATTCACACAAAATGCACCGCCTGGGACTTTGGGTAAGTACGTGAGTCAGAACTCGACAACATTCGGAGAACCGGATCCACAAAAGATGAAGAGACCTTTAGTTTTCAATGCATTCTTGCAGTCGAAGAATGACCACACGCGTGTTGAGCGTCCATCGACTAGCGTGTCAAGTAAAACCAGTCCACCAACATCGTTATCGCCTGTATCTGGTCACTGTCCACCAATGCCTACAACTCCTATCTCTCGAAACGATTCTGGGTTTGCTCTGACGGCCACTTTAAGAGAGAAGAGATCTGGCCACTTCGATACAAACTCGAGACGTAGTTCCTCATTTGGTCTAGAGCGACAACCGACACTTCGTAGACCCAGTGCACCATTTGTCAATGGTCATTCGGCTAGTCTTTCCACTTCTGCCGTTTCCATTGGCGATAGCAACTCTATGCATGGTTATGCACCGTCTGCTTATGCACCATCCGCCTATGCGGCCTCAACTATCGCTGCTTCAACAATCATGCCTAACATGCTCATGCAACCAGTTCTCAATACGGAGACAACAATATGGGTAGAAGGACATTGCTTTGTTTATAATGCCAACGACATGGGATCTGTATGCTCCATATGTGACGAGAGGGCAGAGGACGATGGCATGTACACCTGCAATGCTTGTAGCACGGTATCACATGGCCGTTGCTTAGGTTGGTGCTCACTTGTCTGTCCAGCCGCCTTCCATGCAGATCGTGTACGTGCAGCTTTTGTTCGATGTTTCGCGAATTTGTTCTACACTTACAGAAAACATCTTGGTCGGCCATCGAAAGAACAAAAGTCATCTGGACAATTATATGGTTTTGATTTAGCTGCATTCAAAAAGAGTCTCCCAAGTGATCAACAAGAATACATTGTAATGTTGGAGCAAACACAAGGTAATTGATTCCATGGTCAAGATTGTGAAGCATACTAACGTTAAGATAGCATTCAATGAATTCATTCATGAACGAGAAACTAAGCAGTCAAACGATCGGGATATTCAGTTATTCGACTCGATCATTCAAGCGAAGAAGTCCAGAGGACGCGCATCATTCTTCTCTTCGAAAGCTTCACTTCGACCCAGTTTCCTCGAGGATACATCAGATCACTTATGGCGCTCCGCATTAGTTCCGGTACCTAGAGATGCTAAATTTCCTGGTGATTATAAGACGATTGTCTCTAGAATTCCAGCACAATTGGATATTGGATTGATGAAAGAGCCACGCAGTGTTGCAGGAGTGCCACGTATGGACATGCCAGGAAAAAGAGTAGGCCGTAAAGCAGTTCCAAGCATGCTTGGTGGTAGAGGAATTTGAGTATGAATAAATGGAAAAAATGGTTGCATACGAGAAAGATATGAGACGAGGCCGATGGATCCGATATTACGATGGAAAGATTACAGATAATTACACGCCCGATTATAATTCAAAGGAAAGAACACGAAAGACAGGGAAAGAGGAGAAGAAAGCGAGTCGATAATAAATTTTCAATGCAAGATGCGAGCGAGATGTGTAAGATATCCAAGCGAGGAGTTTAAAAGATTTTTTTTTGATGTTTTGCGGTTGATTCTCTTCACAAGTCCATGGAGCGAGAGCCTAGTGGCGAAATGCATAGGGTGGGTAGGAATGGGTGGATGGATGGATATCTGTGTGGTGTAAATAGGTGTTGGAGTGGAAAGCAAACTTTTTGTTTTAATTGATTTTTGGGGCGGAGTGGGTAGATTGTCCGCTGGGACGAGAGATGGGAATTAATATTGGGGAGAAGCTGGGGAAATAAAGGGGCAAGAGGGGAAGAGGAAAGACGAGTTGTTGTGTTGGATTGCGAATTGGACTCAATGGCTGGATGGATGAACGTCGTGTTGGGATATGATATGATTCTGAGTGGTTCATTGGTTGATTGCATTATATTTTGCCAGCTTGCATTGTGCTCTCGAAAGCTTGCTCAATACATAGATAATCATGCGTCGAGGCAAGGGAGGGAGAGAACAGAAAAATATGGCGGATGACGAGATGCGAGGTTGGGTGATTATAATGATGAGGTGTCGTGGATGAAGAGAGCTGGAGAGGATATTAGAGGAGTTGAGACGAGATCTGATGAGGGGTATGGATGAGATGGTGAAGCGAGAGATAGAGAAGCAAATGTACAGAGATACAGATACAGAGAGAGATAATAATAGCGATACAGCAATACATCGAGATGCCAAGAAAGAAAGAGAGTATCAATTCAATTTTCAATGCATACACACATACACATTTGACTTGGAGTGAAAGGTAATGCAATGCATACGTGTTACAGTCATGATGTTGTTGAGATTCCATGTGAAAATCTATCACCTACCTAGGTATGTATCATATTCCACAAGTACAGGATCTAAACATCAAACATGAAATGTTTATATTCACAATGATTAGAAAAAGAAGGGTTCTTTCTTGTATTCTTGTATCTTTTCTCCTCGTCCTAAGTTTGAGTGGGTAGGTAGGTAGGTAGGTACGTACGTATTATTTCCCTCCCCTTTCACATACCATACCATACCATACCGTAAAGATCCTTCTCTCTTTCTCTCCTCTCTTCTCTTCTCTCCCCTCTCTCCTCTCTCCTCTCTCCTCTCCTTCTTTCCTTCCTTCCAAAATCTATCCTCTCTTTTCATATTCTTCACACAACCCCGCCACATACATCTCTCTCTCTGCCCCTCCACCAACTTAACTTTCCCAACGAAAAAGTAAGTCCCCAATGTAAATGAAAAGGGCCAAGAAAGCATAGATACTCCATTCACCATACCTGTATGCATTTTTATTTGAAAAAAGAAAAATCAAAATCAAAAAATCCCTACTCCACTGCGATGAAACATTCGTAATACGGAATGCGAAACTCGGTATTCAGAATTCTGGATTCTGGGTTCACAAAACCCGTGGCAAAGCGGAAAACGGAAAAAAGAAAAGCATCCATCGTCTTACACACCCAACAATCGAATTAAACTGTAACGAGGGGATCATCTTATCTCATCTCATCTCATCTCTTCCGACTCCCAAAACTAGAAGCTAGAAGCTGAAAACAGCCAATGAAGAGAGTACCCCATTTTTGTCCATTTCCAAATACCATCTATGTTTCCACAGAATTTTTGCGTAATGAAATGAGTACGACAAAACGAGTCTACAAATACAAACTTTGCGCCGCAACAATATCTCTCCTAATTTTCTTAAGCGACTCGTCGAATTTATTTGAAATGTCATCTGAGCCCATGACTTTTCCTGCTTGAGCCATTTGTCGGAGGAGTTCTTCAAGTCGACGGAAGAGTCGGATCAGAGATCCTTCGTAGACGTCGGTCATTTTACTATTGTGGTGTGTTAGTATTAATTTATTTCGTCTCATTTTACATGAAGATCCTCAGGGTGGCTAGACCCAAGAAGACTTACCAGATCTCTGCAAAACTCTTTCCTTGTGCCCAGACGTAAACAACTTCCATTAGTTGCCACTTGAAACTAGTCACGTATTCTTCCTCATTCATCTTCAATTTACTCTCCGCGGTAACCTTTGCGACGATCCTAGCTTGAGCTTGAATTTCCCTGTATTTAGCAGCCAATTCCTCTTTAAGTGGAGGACATTGACTCTTTTCTTCAAAGATGAAAACCGACAGAACGGCGGCGCACATTTCCGGAGTCAAATCGTTGAAATAACCATTGAAAAGGAGTTCGGAAAGAAGAAGTTCATGACCATCGCCTGTGGATGAGATTTCACATGCAACACGAGCCTTTAGCTCCACGACTTCTTGTTCGTTGATGAAGCCGAGACGACGTAGAACACGTTTGCGTGACTTGAGCTCATCGAGTTGCATGATGCTCAATGCAGAAGCAATAGCCTTACGCTTCTCTTTAATTTGTTTGGTCAATTCGAGTTTGCCAACATATTGATTATAGAGATCTGGGAGACGGGGTGAGTTGTGGAGGGGGTTCGAGAGTAGACGAGATTCAAGAACTTCAATCTTGCGAAGAAGTCTCTTGAAGGAATCATCTGTAATGCCCATATTCTCGATTGGGTCAAGCACTGCGATACCATCTGGGAAACGACGTTTGACTTCCTCGAGAGATTTACGTACTTGATTTCGTTCATTGGCTGGGTGAAGATCCTTTGGAAGGAATATACGAACATGGCCGATGGCTTCAACACATGACAGAAGTACAGGAACAATTTCCATCTTGCCTTTGTCGCCTACAGCAGGTGGTGTGATGCCTAATGGCAAGTCACTTTGTGTTTGTGTAGTAACTGTACTGTCCGAAGAAACTTGCAGAAGCACATCAAGGATGTATGCTTGTTGTGGAGGGAATTCTTGAGCAGATCCTTTAGCAGGTCGTCTTGCTGTAAACTTCACAACTGCTCCCCAGCCGAAATCATGATCTTGATGTTTGATGTGAACAACCCGTCCTGGTTGCATGAATTGAAGACAGTAGTTAGGGTGATTGATAACATCACGCATGTCCTTGGTGTATGTGGTAAGCTGTTGTCGAAGATCGTAGTAATCTTTAATTGTTGCTTCGTCTGGAATTTGAACTTCATCCCTCGCAATTTGCAAGTCTTGAAGTTCCTTTTCGAGAACAGTAACACTTGAAGTGTTCTGGAATTGGTAGAAACAATGTTCCAGCATAAACTCTGGTGAAATTCCTTCCAAACGCATCAAGTTAAGAATCATGTTATAACCAAGGTAGAAAGCTGAATTAAGCTTATCCTGCTCTCCACGAACAATTGTCTTGGCACTCTCTGGCTCCATCTTGTCATTGATCATCATAATGACAATACCTCTATCATCAAGACCACGACGACCAGCACGACCTGACATTTGCACGAACTCGGATGGCGTCAGGTATCGCATCTTCTCACCATCAAACTTCTCGACGCTAGTGAATACTACAGTCTTGGCAGGCATATTCAGACCAATAGAGAAAGTTTCTGTAGCAAAAAGAACCTTGATCAGATTCTCCTGGAACAAGATTTCTATGGTTTCCTTGAGGATAGGAAGAAGTCCAGAATGATGCACACCGATACCACGTCTCAACAATGGTAAGATGTGTTGAATTTGCGGTAGGGTCCTATCCTCTTCCGAGAGAGACTCGATTGCACTCTCAAAGACCTTTGAAACCATGTCTTTTTCGGATTGATCGTTGAAAGCCATGGAGCTCATCTGTAATGCATATGCCTCACACTCTCTCTTACTGAAACTGAAAACGATGACAGGATTGTAATGCTTCAACATGATCATTCGGACAATCTTGTAAATATCCGAACCTTCCTTGTTGGCACCCTTATTGGTCTTCTTATCCTTTCCACGCCCCTTCTGTTTCGCGTTGATGTCTGCTGGATCAGCCCCTTTCTTATCCTCTATTGTTGCCATAGCCTTTGAAAAGTTATCCTCCCTGAAGTTTCCCTTCTCATCAACAATCAAATGTATACCATCTGCACCAGCTGGGAAGAAGTAGTGTTGTAGAGGGGTAGGTCTGAAATCGGTGTAAACAATGTGACATGGCTGGTTGTGAGTTTTCGTGATCCATTCAGCAAATTGCATAGCATTAGGAATAGTCGCAGACAAAAAGACATATCTGACCTTGTCTGGTAACAAGATGATCGTTTCTTCCCAAACCACACCTCTGGATTTATCTCTCATATAATGAATCTCATCAAAGACAACCCAAGCGACTTCACGCATAATCTCAGATCCTCGATACAACATAGATCTTAAAATCTCGGTCGTCATAACCAGACAAGTCGCGGTTGGGTTAATTGTAACATCTCCAGTCATTAAACCAACATCTCCAAAATCCGCAGTAAATTCTCGATATTTCTGATTACTCAAAGCTTTAATAGGACTCGTGTAAATGACTCTCTGGTTGTTTTTGAGACATTGCGCAATCGCATATTCTGCTGTGACAGTTTTTCCTGCACTAGTATGCGCCGATACCAGTACACTCTCATTTCTTTGAATTGATGCAATAGCAACTTTCTGGAAAGGATCTAATTCGAAAGGCCAAGTTCTAGCGGGTTCGGCAGGAGCTTTGTGCTGCGATATTGGAATATATTCGTAATCGGGAGGTAAAGAAACTTGATGTTGAATGTTGTGCTGTAGAACCAATGCTGTTTCTTCTGGGGCACCTTGTAATCCTGCTGAAGCAGCTAGCTCTCGCGATTGTGCTGTCTCGAATGTATCTGTAACTACCGGATCGGCTTCTGTGTCTTTTCTGCGTCGTTTAGCGTCCTTCTTTGCTTCTTTAATTTCGTCATCTTCTTCGATGTCTTCTTCCTCTACATCTGCTTCGACCGCTGGCTCCTCGGAGTCTACCATCTCAGCATCCACATCTTGCGCATCAGCAATTGGCTTTACATCTCCATTGGCATTTCTCTTCTTGCTGCGATCTTTCTTGTCTTTCTTTGCTTTTTTAGTCCTGCTGGGAGCAGCTGTTTGGGGCTTGTCATCGAAGGCGTCAAATAAGTCATCCATGATGAATGATATCCTACCACATTAACCAAGATGCAAAAGGCAATTGTGGTTTGTTGATACTTTTTAAATGTATCAAAAAGTACAAGGTGTGAATGAACAAAGATATTTTTTTATTATCGCTTTCCGCTCCGGGCACTATCTCAGATAACCTTGGAAAGTCCCATTCTTTATATTTAGCCTTAGGCATTAAATTTTCTGGTTTGATTGTCGGCTAGTGCCAACCCGAGCTTCAATCAAAATCATTCGATTGACTGTCTACCAAAAATACAAAGCAGAACTCAATTCTTCAAGGTAAGGCTGCGCTATCATGACAGCCGCAAGAGAAGAGACTAATAGATCATGTTAGATGTTGTCTAGAGCCGCCGTCCGCGCATCCTCCTCCACCTCAATGGTCGCCCGCCGTGGCTTCCACTCTACCCGTGCTCAAATGGGCTCTCCATACCATTACCCTGAGGGACCACGAAGCAACATTCCATTCAACCCAAACACAAAATTCTTCGCTTTAAGATACTGGGGATTCATGGCTCTTGGATTCGGTAAGTTGGGATAGCAGTCCGGCTGAGGGGCATAGAGGTTGAAGGGAACCACACTAATATTGGGATTAGGTGCTCCATTCGGCATTGCAGTCTGGCAAACAAAGAAGAACCAATAGAGGGTTGTGTAGTTATGCGTTGCATTGGGAGGACTGTTATAGATCGATTGGCATTTCAAAGCTAGAAGGGTGGGGGAACGATTGTGTATACAATACAACAGTTTTCACGGGCATGACTTCATTCTTTATATTGGTTATGATGACCTCCCAATGTACTAGTCTCTACCGCGACTCCTTCAGGGCCCCCATGTGACTCTCATGGTCAATTCATACCCATAGAACCAACTCGCGGCTCCTCAAAGACACTTTTTCATACTAGATCAAGCGATTAGAAGACAGCCCCTCATGTCTCTAATATGGCCACTACTTTATTACACACCCTTCTCAAGCCTGCACTTTGACTTTGGTATCAAAGGTATGCCTGTCTGCTGCTTTCAAAGCGAAACATCCCTTAAATTCCTCTTGAGCTGCCGATAGCTCTGCCATTGCACTCTTCATGTGATCAGGATCAGCTCCATTCTGAACCTCAATGCTAGCAGTCAAAATCCATTTGTCTTCAGCATCGAATGGTTCCAATAACTCGAAGGGAGGTAACCTGCTATTGACTTTAGGGCGCGAGTTACTATCAACTTCTTGGAACTCCGAAGGGATTTCAAAGTAGCGACTCAGTGTGAAAACTATATTATTATGAACAGTTCGGTGACTTTCTTGAATAATTTCCCGTGTGAATCTACTTGATGATTAATGACTGTAGATGATTGGTTGGTAGTAATTTCAACGTACCGGTGACTGCTTGCTTGAAGAAGTCTACACAATGACTTTTCATTGTCTATCGCAATGAACATTCTGCTATTCACGACAGCAGCATTGGCTGGATCTGGAAGATCGGTCCATCTCAATGTACCTGGCACCTCATCGCATGGGAGAAGACCTCTAGTTGAAGTCAATAAGTATTTTGTCAAGATATTGAAAGTCGTCTCCAAAGATCACATGGTTTGACATGCAATCAGTGAGAAGTAGGTACTTACGGTTGATCTTCTCCACCATCAACCTCCTTTGCTGGCTGACCAAATTGATTTTTATCAACATCATATATCAGAGTCAGAACATAAGATTGACGAATTAGCTGCTCGTTGAGTGATTTCCACCAGAATTGTTTATTCGGCGGTTGGACTTTCAGAAAGGAAGGATCAAGACCTTTCAAATTGTTTCGACTTCGTGGACCTTCGAATACTAATCGTCGACGAATAAAGTGCTGGGGTATCATACCACAATAGCCTTGGAGTACACGGAGAGAATGGGATACATTTTCGCTGTCCACGGATGCCGAGAGGAATAATTCATGCATGGTGATACACCCAATAGGTTGGCAAGGATTGAGTTTGGGGAAGGCCGAAGTACGGAGGTGGACAGAAAATGTTTGATGGGGAAGTGGGAGGGGGGCGTAAGTTTTTGCTTATTGTGGTATAAAATTGGGTGAGATGAAAATGAGGGAGAGTTTCCGTGGCAGAATTATACTTTCGAAACGTGTTGTTGCAGTAGTGATGGCTATGTAGAAATCAAGGGCTTTGTGCTCAGAATGTGATGACCGTACAGATGAGAGTCTCAAGGGAAATTAATATATCCTTTTGCAGTCTTCAATTCCCATCCCCAAATATGCACCAAGCTATTAGATTTTTTGATATAGAACGAATGCAAGCTAATGATTTCTTTGCTGTCACTCTATCAACATTTCCCCAGACCGCCCCAGACTTTTGGGCCAGACAAGGCTTTCGAGGCTGACAGAGTAGGGACGTAGGTAGATAAATAGGTAGGTAGATAGAAGGAGGACTTTTTGAACTATACTCTGGATGATAATAACTGAACTACTTGAAACTTGAAGTGTAGAATCACCTGGGCAGTTAATGAACCATTGATTATTCTCTCGCTTATGTTCGGATTTGTCCCTGCATAACCCGAATTGCTACTGCTACACTACCTTTTGTATACCCATACAAAGGAAAAGAATCCTCGGTCAGTCCATCACATTCACATTGGCTTATGATTTAGCTTTTGAATGATTAGCTTGTGAAGAGCATCTCTACCGGACCAAGCGACCAACCAAGTTCCAACTAACCAACTAACCAGCCATCAAGCCGTTGAATCTACTGGATGTTACCTACCTGACCTGGGCATGCACTAGAACTACCCTACTACGACCCTACTGTCCACATACCACACGCTCTTCCTGCAAAGTGAAGCCTCTTTCATACATGATGTGACAAGGAATCTGGGGAGAGAAATGATCTGACACTATTTCCATACTTTGTATAATGTACATGCATCGCATCCTTGACACGATATACTTTTTATACATCACGCCATTAACTAGCATGTGTCTGCAAGCACTGTCAGCCAATAAGCGCGCAAGAATGGTTGTGCGATAAGGAAAAAACAGATGATTGATAATTCGATATCGTCTGAGGAATTGGAAATAAATGCTCCATCGGAAGTGGCCTTTATCAATGGCTAACCCCGCACCAACATAGACCGACCTATTTTTTTACCGTGGCATTGTATTAATAAAGGCGGTTGGATTTTCTCTACTCTTCTGTGTCTGCTCTGTTACAGTTTCCCCCTCTTGAGAAAGGTTATTGATTCATTGTTGTTTATTCAATCTGTTTAGAGAAAGAAATATTATATATATATATATATATATACTTATATATACTTATATATATATACATACACACATACCTCATTACCATATTTTCTTTTAAATCAACTGCCACCATTTCCATATCTGGTTACTAGCGGACGCCTATCTATTTCCCCCCATCCACTCATCCATCCGATTCCCGAATTCTCGTCCCACTTACCACACGCTACGAGTACACTATCCCCAAGACTAAAGCTTTCCATTTCCCGACCTCTTTTTCTTTTGTCAACTTGACAACTCAATCTCCAGCAAGTCAAACACAGAGGCAGACGACGATCCTGATTTCCTTCTTAAGGTCGCACATCTTCTCAGTATTCACAAACTCTTTTTTGCGACTACTTCTTCAATCTTTCCCAACCATCAAGATGTTTGCGACCAAGGTTCTCCGTCAAGCCTCTGCTGCTGCTGCTCACGCTGAGCGTACCCCAATGATCAGGTTCATGGGCAAGAGATCAATTCCTTGTATGTATTCTAGTTTTTAATCTGCTCTATAATTCATTCTAACAGTTGAAATAGCTTCGGTTGATCACTCTGCACGACCACATCCAGCTTCCCCAACCCACGAACTTCCAGCAGGATTCGCTGAGGCTCAAAAGTCTTCCTCCTCTTCCTTCTCTTCCTACAGACAAAATGCTCAACAACATGGTCCACTTGGTCGAAGCGCTAGAAGTGACGGTACAATTGGTTCTCTCTCCGGTAGAGCTTTAGGCTCCGTTGCTCCAACCAAGGGAGAATACTTCGATCGCAGTGAACTCCCTGCACGCTTCCGACGTACTCCAATTGATCTTGCCGAGATTGATGCAATTGAGACTGGTGGTGCTACAGTTGTTTGCTAGATCTGAAACTTATATAAAAAATAAAAAAACGAAGAAAAATAATTGTACATTTACGGCAGGCTACGGAAAAGTGATGGATCGAGAAAGGATATACCCACGAAAACGACGAATTCTCATGAAGATTTTGTGAGAAGATGGATGAATATCAATAAGTCATCCTCCAGGACAGAGTGGAACAAGCTCTGTGTCACTGTTTGAAAGTTTGGGATGCACAAAAGGACTGTAGTTGGGATCAGTGGCATGGAAAAGTTGCTTTTATGGGAGTCGGAGCATGTACCATCTTTCCTATTGGGATAATTTTGATCTTGACCTTTACTCTGGAGTATGGGTTTCTGGGAGGTTCTTTATGAGAGTAGCTCTCTGAATCTTCACGAGATGAGTTGAAGAAAGCAAGAATATAACAAATATTAAATCAAACATTAAACCTAGATACATTGATCACGTGCATAAATCATCATGATTTTAAACTAGGTACCTACTTAACCACAACTCCTCGGGTTGATATTCTCCATCTTGGGCTGTTCCCTCTTAGATGATGCATATTCATGACATAAAATGACGACCGAATTCCTGAAATACAAACAAATATCCTTTTCTGAGTTCGAATGACCACCACTCGCTAAGAATGAATCCTACCCATTACATCGCGTCATTCTCATATATCCCCCATTCATCTACAAACAATTGATACTTACGTTCAAAGCAGCACTTTGCCTTCTCCCCTCATTAACAGTCCTGCTTAATCAATCAAATCATCTGACCCCGGATACCATGTCAGGATCAGAAGAAATCAAAGAGATAAACCAATCTGGTAAACTCATCGCTACATACATTCGTTCTCATACTACCGAGACTTCTGGCACGAAATCTGACCGGATCGATGTCCATGTATGTGTTTCTTTCTCTCTATCTATAGACATTTCATGTCTCTTGATAGATGAGAGAACCTCTTAGATTGATGAATACTGAACCTTTGAAATAGATACCAAAAGGTCCATCAACATGGGTTATGAGCTTAGTAGGGGCATTCATGCCGGTGGGATATCCGGATAGTGTTACGGAGGATTATACTGCGTGGGTTTTTTCTCTTTGGAGATCTCTCCTGCCTTGTTTTCTTGATTGAAATGGTGTGAGGAATCTGGCGAATGATGGGACTAATGGATTGTATCATAGGTATCAATTTTATGTAAGACACCTTTGCTGAGGGAGGATAGGAGAGGAAATGCTGATAAGAGAAGGATTCTATTCAGGCTTTTGCTAGTACAATTGCGGGGCTGTTGGCTAGTAGGGCTGTACTTCAAGGTAGGAATGAGGTGAAGAGTTCTTTTGTTTGGAGGTTTGGGATAGAGGGGTTCTTTTTGTGCTTGAATTTGTTGTTATGAGTTGTTGTAGAGTGTTGTCACAACTCCCTATCTTGATATTCCCTTATCCCGACATTACCACAAGCCTTCATCTGAGGGATACTCCGAATCTAACCTATCCCAGGTCTCGGCGTAGGCGACTCCACCGCCTCAGCAACCCACGCCGTTCTCCTCTCCATCCTCCAAGAATCTGCAGGACGCATCTCCACCATCCTCTTCGCACACCGACTCGGCAGCGCTCTCGAACCCGAATGCAAAAAATATCGTCTCATGGCTGACATCTTCAACGATGCTGCTATGATTCTAGATTGCGTCTCACCTGCTTTTCCCAAAATCCCTCGCGTGTTTTTACTCAGTGCGAGTAGTGTATGTAAATCACTCTGTGGGGTTGCGGCGGGAAGTAGCAAGGCGAGTTTGAGTGCGCATTTTGCGAAGATGGGAAATTTGGCGGAGTTGAATGCGGTGGGTTTTCTTGCTTCTAGTGATAGGTAGATAATGAATGGAATGGTACTAACAGGAAGATAGAAAGATGCAAGTCAGGAAACTCTCATATCCCTCCTGGGTATGCTCGTTGGGACGTTTGTTGTATCCAAGATTTCTTCCCAGGTAGCCACATGGATTGCACTGCTCTCTCTCCTTTCTATTCATCTCGGGACGAACTACATGGCCGTCAGATCAGTCACCATGCGTACCCTCAACCGACAACGAGCAAATCTCGTCATCTCATCGTTCCTCTCAAATCCAGAACATGAGGAAAACAAAACTGCCCTCCCTTCCCCTAGAGAAATATCACTCCAAGAACGCATTTTCGAACGCGACGGCGCAATTCGCAACATCCAAGGCACAATACTCGCTTACTGCAAAGTCGGCGTGAGTCTCCAAGAACTACTCTCGTCAATTTCCACACCCACCACTGCAGGAAGTTATGCAGAACCTGATTCAATCCTCACATCTCTACTATCCATCTACCAAACCCAGGGTTACATAATGTGGTATTCCCATTCTCGAAATACATTCCTCGTTGTTCTGAAAGAAGGAACAGCACCGAAAGCCCAATTGGATGCGTGGTTCCATGCTATTTTCGCTGTTACTTTTAGGGGAGAGAAGATCCGTGAATCTGAAACTAAGAAGATGGACAATCAAATTGTTCTGAGCTGGATGCGCAACTCACTAGAGGAATCGGAGAAATGGAGAGCGGAAACGAAGTTTTATGAGCAGTTGGAGAGGAGAGGATGGGATTTGAATACGCCGGCAATTGAGGTGAGAGCGGGAACCAGATTGGTTATTTCGGGTGGAGAGGGGAGGGGAGAGTAGGATGTGTGGATGGGGAACCAAAAGGTTGAATAATAAGAATTCTGAGTATTATTTTGGTGTTTGGAATATGAATTCTAATAAAAAGTGTTTTTATGCTGGATAGAGGTAGATTTCGAAGCTTGGAAATTTCACTTCACTTCACGTCACTCCACCCATTCCATCTATATTTAAGTTTGCATGTTAAGATAGGTAATTGCAGCGTCTTTCTTGGGGATATCATTCTCATTCTCATTCTCATTCTCATTATGCGCCCTTTATTTCATTCATTCATTCATTCATTCATTCAATGTCAAGTCACACCCAAAAGAAGGATTAGATCGAGTAAATTCTCCCCTTGAATATAAAGAAAAGATAGAATAGACAAGGGGGGGAACTTTTCAAATGCGAATTTGTTGGAGTTTGGATATCGGATGGGTATTCTAAAATGATCATACCCCGTGTATTGGATGCTAATACTGTAGACTCCCATTCTGAATGACAAGGTTTTATGTTCCTGATATATTTGGTATAGATTTATTAGACTGTACATAAAAATTTAATGTACAGCTCGGAGCAGAGAGTATGTCCTTTGAAGTCAAACTCAAAGAGTACATCGGTATACAAACACCGTAACACCTAGAATATACAATCCAGTGCCTAGTTTTCCATTTCATCCCTCTCAATTCGTTAATCGTACATCCTCTCCTCTCCATCTCATCTTTCGATACTAAAGTCTCTAGGATGGCCCAAGTGGAAGTAATAGACATGCGGAAAGCTTCAGATGATATACACTCATCCGATAATGTTGGGCGCCTATCTCCTGCGTCCTGGAGCCATGGCAGAATATACATCCTGGCCTGTGTCCCATCTGAAATTATATCGAACTTGGATCGGACCTTCTCCCAGACGTAAGGAAGGTCTCATGGAAGTTGTCATGTCCGTCCATCTCCGCTTACTACAAGCTGTGACCGTGGCCCATGATGCCGAGTTATGATTACAGTCTCAACCTCCCCATTTCTCATCTTCCCAACGTAGAGCTCTAGTTAAATACCTTCCAAGCTCTCATCTTCCATCCCTCTAGGGTGTTCAACTTTGGTCGAACGTCTAAGAAGAAATTGAGTTTTCCACTTCCATCAGGTGAAGCTTTGCCTGCGTAAAAGTCTATGATGTAATCAACTCTCTTACCGCATCGATCAACAACCCAATCGTGACGGTCAAAGGGAGCGGTATATCCAAGAATTGTATTGAATCGAGCTTTAGGCGAAAGGGTTTGCGAAAGTCCGAGGAAAGAATGAAGACGAGGTCCACCACATCTATTGAAGTTATTAGTCCACACCTTATCACAAAACTTCTCAAAGGACATACTTCTCGCTTCCCCATCCCGCCTCCCACTCTCGAATTTCTTTCCATGCCCTCTCATTCACAGCATTATGAATCGGCACAATAGTTTTCATATCTGCGGCGTCCGATTGATGGCCTTTGCGTTTCATGGCTTCAAAAAACATTTTTTCACTAGGATAGATCCAGTTTCCGGATGCAGAAACACCGGATTCAGATTCGGAGTTCGCGGGATGAGAGGTTGAAGGAGATGAGGACGCGGGGGGATCATTTGGAGTAGGAGATGCGCGAGGAATCGTGGAGATTTCACGGTCGAGTCCCAGGCGGGGCGGAGAAGTTGCGGATTTGGGAGTTGATGGTGGTTGAGAGGGTGTAGGTGAAGAATTGTCCCAGAAGAACAATCGCGAGAGAAAACTTGAAGGTGTATGTGTAGGAGGAGTGGTTTGATCAACGGTTGAAGAATCACAACTTGGACCTGGTTTTGATGGAGGGGTTGCGCCTGGGAAAGGTGGTTTAGTGGAATTGTTTTTTAGCCATGCTGAACGTGTTGCATGATCGACTGGACAGGCTTCTATGCCTTGGTTTGACTCGTCTTTAGACATGCTTTGTGGTTGTGTAGATTATGAAGATATACTTTTCTTAAGTGAGTGAGGGGTGATTGTTAATACAAATAAATTGAATTGGTCGAAGCATTAAAATAATTATTTTGCCTTATCCGCTGATCTTAACCCCAGCTTGAATTTGCTTTGCTGATTGGTTAACCCTTGTACCTTACTAGCGGATTATACTTTCCCCGATTGGTAGTTGTTGACCGCCTTTGACATTTTGCTATCAGGTGAAGCGACTGGGGTTTGTTGTCAATAGGAGACTTCTTTTAATTTCCTAAGAAGGGAACTATTGAAATATTGAAAATAAATACTTCTTGTTTATTCTTTCGAAAAAACTCAAAAGCAAATTCTAAATCTTTATATTTAATTCACAATACCTTCAGAATGTCAGACACAAAAATTTATCAAGCCAGTACCACGGCGCCAGTTAATATCGCAGTAGTCAAGTAAGTAAAGCTACCCCTCTTCCTTCCATTGTACTTCTTGCATTGTCCACGCTAAGAAACCTGAACTAATATATTCTCTCACCAACCAGATACTGGGGAAAACGCGATGCAAAACTAAACCTCCCAACCAACTCCTCCATCTCTGTAACCCTCTCTCAAAATGATCTCCGCACGCATACCACCGCTTCCTGCTCCCCCACCTTCACTCAAGATTCTCTTCTCCTCAATGGCTCTGACCAAGACATCTCCAATGCCCGCACTCAAGCCTGTTTCCGCGAGCTTCGCTCTTTACGTTCCGCACTCGAAAATTCCGATTCCTCGCTCCCAAAACTCTCTTCTTACTCCTTGAGAATCATCTCGGAGAACAACTTCCCCACAGCTGCAGGTCTCGCTTCGTCCGCTGCTGGTTTCGCCGCTCTCGTTAGAGCTATCGCCAACTTATATGAATTGCAATCTAGTCCTACCGAACTCTCGAGGATCGCAAGACAGGGAAGTGGCTCTGCTTGTCGTTCTTTGTTCGGAGGTTATGTGGCTTGGGAGATGGGTCAAAAGGAAGATGGATCTGATTCCGTAGCTGTGGAAGTAGCACCTGCTTCTCACTGGCCAAACATGCGGGCTCTTATTCTCGTCGTTTCAGCCGAGAAGAAGGGAGTTTCCAGTACCTCTGGTATGCAAATCACAGTCGCGACATCGAAACTTTTCAAACGGAGAGCAGAGAATGTGGTTCCAGAACATATGAAGGAAATGGAGCGGGCAATCAAGGAGAAAGATTTCGAGGGATTTGCAAAGGTTACTATGATGGATAGCAATAGTTTCCATGCAACATGTTTAGACACTTTCCCACCCATTTTCTATTTGAATGACGTTAGTAGAGCAGCAATCAGAGCTGTAGAGGATATTAACAATGCCGCTGGAAAAACGGTTGCGGCATATACTTTCGATGCTGGTCCAAACGCTGTTATTTATTTCGAGGAGGAGAACCTTGGATCCGTAGCTGGTGCGTTGAAGAGTGTCCTTGGAGGTGTGGATGGATGGAATGGAAAGGATGTCGAGAGCAAGAGCGCAGAACATATTGATGAGAGAGCCCAGAAGGTTCTCAAGGACGGTGTCAGCAGAGTAATTTTGACCGGTGTAGGTGGAGGACCAGAGAAAACTGAGAAGCACTTGAGCACTTGAATTAGAGACGATTAGTTAATATAAATGGGGTTCGTGGAATCACGAAGAAAGAGCGAACATTAAAGTTAGCGAGTGCATTTGTAGATGATATCCTTGCAGCTAGTAAATATATTTGAAGCGCTATTAAAACCACGCCTTTATATCTATCGCCTCGTTGGATTTTGAGAGAAGTGTGGGAAAAGATTAATAGTGGTGATGGTCAGGCAAGAAGCTAGATCAAGGCACAATTGCAAGCGAGGTCTACATGACGCAATCCTATCCCTAGAAGTACTTCGATACCAAATCCATAAACTAAAAATGGCACTCGCCAGCACCAATTGGACAGTTGTTTGAAAAGGCTACGATAGATTTGATAACTGATTGGCGGCAAATCATGATACCGCGATATTACTTTTCCAGAAATATGCCGTTGTATATCATATCAGTCGTCACCATTGTATTCATAAAGATCCAGCAAAATTAATATATTCAAGGCAATGCACATACATTTTTGCAATTGAAATTACTAACTACATGTGTGTAATTCTCCTATGAAAAGATTAATGGGTATCTAACGCGCCCTCTGAATACAAATCCTAAGCCACAGATCCCGAACACTCCTCAGAAACGAGAATCGTACGAGATAGCTACCAACTATGAGTAAGACTTACACGCCCATTTTCCAAGCCCTGTGAAGCCAATAAACCAAGACTACAATTCTACAAAATGTAGAGTCTAAGATCTACCAATTCCCTGCATCATATTCTGCACAGTCCTAAACTGCAAATTCTCCTCCTCTAACCGCGTGTTTCTCGCTTGCAGTAGAGCAAGTTGATCCAGTAGAGTCTTATCCCCATTCGACTGTTTCATGACCTGAGACCACAGATTAGCAGACACAAGTTGCTGTTCCTGCAATTATCTTTGAAGGTCGCTCTCAGTGCCTCTCCGAGATACTGCGTCCTGTGCTCGACCATTGCGTTCCTTGATTATAGCTTCGTTCAATCCCCTGTATCTTGCTTTGAGAAGACCAAACTCTTTAGCCTCTTGAAGCGCGGCTACGCTTTCTTGACTCTTCTTCATCCTCGCCTCGTCTTTGAGCATCGAGATTGTTGTTTCCAGAGTGGCAATCGTAGCCTTCAGGGGCTTCGCAGATTCCTCAACCGCACGAGCTATTTCACTAGCCTTTGTATCGTCGATTTGAGCCTGGCTGATACGAGAAGCACGTAATATATCTACTTCTTGTCGTGCTTCATCTTGTTCTTTCTTGAGATCAGTCGCCTTTTCAACAAAGCGCTCATGTGCTGTCTTGTGTCGAGAAAGTTTGTTGGTCGTTTCCGCACTATCGAGCTTGGTAATGTTGTGCGCATCTTGTTCGGCCTTTAATTCCTGCTGTAGCTTGGATATATTTTCGTGTAGACGCTGTATCTTGGCAGACCATTCACTTCGGACCTTGTCTGGTTCTTTCAGTGCTTTGTCAGGTTTCTCTTTCGTCGTTACCAATGCAGATTCTAGCTTGCTATTCTCAGTCTTGAGTGCTTGCTGTCGATTGTCATGAGCAACATATAGATGCTTCATCTCGGTCTACTTTTCAGCTATTTGTCGTTCTTTAGCGGCGAGTTTCTTGCCCAATGAGGATAACAAGTTGTCCTTGGCTCTATCTTCAGCTTCTTCTGAGGAGCTTTCATCTGCTTCAGAAGACTCTTCAGCGTTTGTTTCAATGATAGCTCCGATGTCCTTGATGTTAACTTTGCTTTTCAACACCTTCTCCTTGGGAGGCTTTCTAACGAAGGCCAACTCAGTATGACCTAGTAATATCAATCTGTCTTTCTCCTCCTGGCTCCATTGTTTCCTCTGTTCCGGGGTCTTTATCGTTAGAGGATACCCGTTCTCAAATCTCTTGGGCTCTTCCTGTCCTGACTTTACTTGTGCTTCAATGGCCCTCTTTACCCATTCTGGTGGAACTATTTCGTTATTGCCTTCATGATACTCGACAGCTTTTGCAGGAAATTCGATCGACGGGTCTGATTTGGGGATCGGGGTGTTTCTCGAAATCATGAGGACTGATGCAGCCTCGTCGCTCGTAAATGTAATATCGGCGTTATTCTTCATGGCTAAGGTTAGGCGCTGGTACAAGTATTGAGGGAGAACATTTTCAGGCTCAAATGCAGCGATCTCCATGTATTTTTTTCTGGCTGCGTTTCTCGGTAATCTCGCCTCGCCCTCTTTGGAACACGGTAACAATGCCCCTTGAACCACAAGAACACGTGCTTCCCTGCTGCTCAAAGTGACATCAACTTGCCAAAGCTTTGCATCATTGAGCTTTTCAATACTTGAAACTGCACATAGATACCACTCTTTCGCAAGCTCTTCTCTCCCTCCTGGGCCAACAAAGCAGGGTTTTGAAGCGATCGAAAGTTCTGCTGACAAATTTATGCCTACGTTCTCGCTGTAATCTTTAAATGGGTCCCGCTGATAATCCAAGCAATGGGTGCCGTCCATATATGTTCTCTCAAAAAGAAAGAACCACGAGAGAATGTCGTCCACGGGTAGTTTTGAGTGTTCTTTTAGGTACATCGAATCACGAGAATATTTGTATTTCCAGGCTTCGACTTCGCGTGGAGTCAAGAAAAGAGTCTTACCAGAATTCGCAGCTTCAGAAGCCTTCTCTGCTATAGTAGTTTGGACGACTTCAGTATCCTTAGCCATATTTTTTGACTCTGGAGGAAACATTCGACAGTATTAATCCACCCAATACGCCTCCATGATGGACAAGGTCGCATGGGATTGCATTTTGAAAGATTCATGCACCTTTCTCAAGATTTCACTTCTCACTTTCCTTTCATCTGCTGCAATAGCGTTTTCTTCCTCATAATAATCCATGGTGAAGCTGGCAAATGGCAATTAGCTAGCAGCAAGCAGCGAGACCGACAGTTGATTATAAGTTGGACTTGAGTCTTCAGTGGAGGTAAATTATTATCTTTGAAGGGAAGGCTTCCAAATTAGTGAGCAAGAGTTATGCAATAAGTGACAATTGAGAGCACTGTGTAAAAAGATGAGCTATCTGGAGATGGGCCAGAGAAGATAGGCAATAAAAACCCAGATAACTAAAACAAATTATAGAGTGTTTGAAAGAGTCATGAATTATGTTGTTAAACAAGCTCGAAGGGAGGGTGAGAATTTGCTAAGTTGTAGATAAAAACCCTGATAAATTGCAAAAGATGAATGCTCTCAAACATTAATAGACAGTCTTTCCGGGTTTCCTCGGGTTGCTAACCAGCCCTTTAATTGAAATGGCTGTATTAAACTCACTGTTGCATATTCAATACTCAATGTCAGATTTTGCTAAGTGTACCTTCTCGGATTTTGAAAATCAGATTACAAAGTGAGTAGAAAGATGTTACTAGGTAAGAAGTTGTGAAGCTATAAAGTTGTCTTGGTAATAGACGAACCAATTCTTAATAAAACGTTTTGCTGGCTTTGATGAATATTAACTAAAGACAGGTCTTAAGAATAGTTGCTAGTGAAGCCTTGATATAGAAATTTCAATGCAATTTTCAAAATCTCAGGTATTGGAGAAATATGTAAGGGGAGTGAATTTGTGAGATTTGCCTTTGTTGCCAACAGAAAAGTAACTTTAAAACACAATATTGTTGGATCTCCGAAACCAAATATCTTTGCATATCTCCGCACGTTCTCCAAATATTCGAAACACTCTCAAAGTTCTTTCTGTATGTACAGGATTTTGAAATTTCTGAACAGTTTTCAGGGTTCAACGGAGATTTATATATATTCAGAAATTCAAGTGATCTGAGGAGAGAATCGAAAGAGAGTGAATTATGAAGAATAGAGTGGGAATGATGGGAAGTTGAGTATTGCCAGAAACATAGAATTTATAGACTGAAGAGAGCAAACTTCAGTGTTTTATGAAACAGGATAGAAGCAATAGATGGACACGCGTCAGTATCACTAGACTTTATCATAATGGAGAGTTCAAGGCAAGTTCTAGGCAAGTTCTGTCCTCTTTCTGCTTTGTCGAGGATGCATCGTAACCTTTTTTATTTCATGTTTCCGAGAAACTTGACTACTTTAATGGACAATCATTGGGTCCTCTGTTACACGAAAAATTACTGTTAGTCAAAGTATATTTTACCACATCAAGGATGGGTTTTCTAGTTCAGAAACCTCGGATCATTGTAAAGAAGCCCAAAAGCAGTTTCTGGCTCTCTTTTTCCCTTGAGGGGCACATAAGAGAAAAACAGCAATCTTTATTCGTCTTGAAAGATTTCATAATAGAGACAATACATGGCCACCATGATTTGAAGAAATAAACAATAACAACAGAGAGGAACTACAACAATAATAGCAATAACAATGACAACGAAACTAGAAACTAGAAACTAGACACAGCAATAGTCGAATATTAAATTTCGGGAATTCTATGCATTCATGGTATCAATTATTCTCGTTAACTTTTATCTGTATGGAGCTTCTATTACAAAAGAATTGCAACCCACAAACTTAGCATTGATACTAACAATGCACTAGATGATTGTATGGCGCAAAATATTCTGAACAACTCGATTCATAACATCTCAACATTTCGACCTTTTACCTTTAACCAAGAATGCTTTTCAACACCTTGATTTGCTCCTCAACGCTTGACTTGCTGGTTCCGCCAGCTGCTTGGCGCGCTTCTACACTCTTCTCATAGTCAAAACATTCAGAAACATCCTCCTTGAAACGGCTATCAATGCTCTTCAGTTGATCATATGTCAATTGGTCCATTGGAATCTTAGTCTTCTCAGAGTATGCGACGACTTGCCCAGAGATGTGATGCTAATTTCAATATTAGCAATTGTTTGATCATAACTTAGAAGAATGAAGGGCTACTTACAGTCTCTCTGAATGGTACACCTGCTCGTACTAGATAATCCGCCAAGTCGGTGGCCTAACAATAATCCCCTTGGTTAGCGAGAGCACACTCACATATGCTTGGCTCGAGAGAATTTCAACAAGTTATATTTTTGAATTGACTTACGAGCATAAATGGGTCTAGCGAAGCCTTCATCTTCTCTGGATTGATAGTCAATGTGCTGAGAACGCCGGTTGCGATCTGGATACTGTCTCCAACTGTCTTGATGTGATCCAACATTGGCTCCACACTCTCTTGAAGGTCCTTGTTGTAAGTACTTGGAAGACCCTAATATGATCGATCAGTATATTGTCATATTGCCAAATGACAGTGGAGAAGTACCTTGATTGTCATCATCAAACCTGCCATTTGACCGAACGCTCTGCCGGATTTACCCCTCAATAATTCCAAACTGTCACTGTTCTTCTTTTGGGGCATCAGAGATGACTATAGATGTTAGTTCAGGAGTCAATATAGGTCTTGGAAGATAGGACGTACCCCAGTGGAGTAGGCATCAGCCAGACGAACGAAGCTAAATTCACCAGTACCATAGATGATAAGATCCTCAGCCCATCTTGATAAATGGGACATGAGAGTGGCACCCCATTGCATTGTCTCAACAACAAAATCACGGTCGCCAACTGCGGACATAGAGTTCCACAAAAGACCTTCGAAACCAAGCTCCTCGGCCATTGCCTCACGATCGATATTGAAAGGATTACCAGCCAAAGCACCACATCCTAAAGGCGATCGATTAACTCGCTTGATAACTTCCCGCAATCTTTGGAGATCAGTTGCAAAAGCCAAACCGTATGACAACATCCAGTGACTCCATCTGATAGGTTGAGCACGTTGCAAGTGAGTATATCCTGGCATGATATGTTCAATCTCGTTCTCTGATCTGGCAGCCACGACCTTCAAATAATCGACCAAGAAGCTCTCAATCTTTTTGAGCTCATCTCTAAGCCACAATCGCATATCTGTTGCAACTTGCTCATTTCGACTTCTTCCAGTGTGTAATTTCCCTCCAATCTCTTTGCCAATAATTTCGCCCAGTCTTCTCTCATTTGCAGTATGAATATCCTCGTCCACACCAGGAATGATCTTGAATGTGCCGGCGACCCATTCTTCCTCGACTTGCTTCAATCCGGACTCAATTGCTGCGAATTCGGCTTCAGTCAAGATGCCATTCTTGTGGTTTGCACGAGCCCAAGCAATACTGCCCCGAATATCCTGAGTATGGAATGCACGATCGTAGTAGATTGATTCATTATAAGAGACCATGAGAGGATCAAGACCGCCTATTGAAATTTCAGTGAGAAATTGAGCTCAGTCAAAGAAATATGAGTCAAACAAACCGGTAAATCGACCACCCCACAACATATTCTCTCCAGGTTTGCTACCTGGAGCTCTAACTTGTTCTGAGGCCATGATTGTATAAATTTGAGTGAATTGATCACAAAATTATAAGTAAATTTAATATAGGACCTTATCGTCGCTGTGAGTATTGATTGCTTGACAGAAAATCGAATATGGACGGGAATGCTAAGAAACTATTGATAATAGTATTGTGATAGCTAAAAATTTATTGAGGGGTTGTTCCTGATTACATCGGAGGTCGGTGCTACGTTAATCCTTGCTAGCGCCCGCCTTGTGATAGATCCTTTCTCGAATGGTAGACTACGGTAAACGACAACTCATCAATTGCTGTTTCATATCAAATCCAAATCTCAACTCTCCACCGCTTTGATTCTACCACGTATCTACCGAGTCCTGCTCCAATACCCGAAGAGTTGATTTTGGAAGAGTATTGAAGAAGCACAAATTCACAAAGGCATTGATTGATATATTGATTTAAAATATGGCTTCATTTCCCAACATTTGGAATCATCGTAAGGTGGCCGACACCGCTTCTAAGCCTTGTGAGATTTGCTATAAACCTAGTGCAAGTGTCCTGATAACTCCAGAAAACAAGGTGCATATTGAAATCCTCTATTTTGAAGTGATCGCTTAACAATTCTTATTAGGACTTCTTTTATGTATGCCCATCCCATTTAAAGGACAAAGGATTTGCTACACCCATTATAGATGAAGCTGCTATTGCTGCTAAGAAAAAGAAAGAGATGGACGACGAGATCGCACGTGTGAAGCAGGAGTTTGAAGAGAAGCAGAAGAGAAAGAAGGAGAAAGAAACTTCGAAGAAAGACGAGAAGGAGAAGGATAGTGAAGATAAGAAGGATGAAGAGAAAAAAGACGAGAAGAAGACTGATGGGAAGGTATGCATAACGCTTGGTCATTCTCAATCTCTATGCCTACTAATATTTCACTTGTATCTTTAGGAGAAGTCGGACACTCCTGTATCACCTGCACCAAGTCCAACAGCAGATGAAGAACCCAGAGTCTTTTCTCTAAAAAAGGCGTTCTATCAACAGAGACTGGATAAAAAGAGGCAGGCGGAAGTTGCAAAACGAAATCGTGAACGTCTCCAAAATCCGAATTTATTTCCTCAAGTCCCTAAAGGCTTACCTTGAGCTGGCATAATCATCTCAAATGATCAGTGCTCCTACTTAAGTGGGAGAGATTCCAACAGAGTCATCGTGGATTTATCAGTGTTTCTTGTAATGGTGGTGATTTTGCAAAGTCACTCAAAAACAGGAGATTCGGACCGTATTTGCCAAGAACATTCGTTCTTATATTTGTGAGTCAAGGAAGCGTCTTATTAGTTAGACATTCACCCTCGCGCAAACTTTACTCATTCTTGATATACTTGCCGGGGAATGTCACACGCGAGTTTGATGGAGTCACTTGAAATGGTAATGCCCGCTTCGTACACGTCATATAATTTACTACTAATGAGAGTTGCAGCATCGTATGTTCATGAGGTCCATCTGCTGACTGCATATGATCGACCCGTTGGGAAGGTGGTCAATGCATCTAAGTTGGAGTTGAGTATGGATGGGTTGGCATTCACCGGGGCAGTCCTCCTTGTACTTACTATCCTGTATATAAAGCTTCATCAGGCTACTTCTCACGGCAGTTATCAGGCTAGACCGCGCGGTATCTTCCTTGCCAGGCAACCGAGTGAAAGAGCGGTACCATCCCGCAATTATCTACCTCGTACAGAACGCCGTGAAGGTACATACGTGCTTACATGTTAAAAAGCTAACCCTGCTTATCTCAAACCATTCTAAGCTTCTTTCGCTTCCCTGCAATATTCGTTTCCCATATCCACTATTTTCGCTTGAAAATTTAATGTTAGTGCTTATTTTCAGCCTTCAAAATCCTTGGGAGAAGCCACTCACCCCGGTACACACTTTGCAATACTCCCCAGCTACTCACTTGGTTGTCACTTCGCTTCTCTTATCCAGAAGCTCATCTAGTGTCGATCAACATATTGCATTGCTAAACCGATCAGTCTCGTGATTTCACTAGTCATAAGGCTTTTAAGATGCCATCCAGATCCAATTGAATGCTTATCCTATCCTTATGCTCATCGATCATGTCCTGTAGTCAGACGGCTGATTGAGAATCCGCCAGCATCCTTTACCCCGCATATCCAACGAAGCAATGCTACCCCGGTCATCTTTTCCATCAACGATGGCATCATTGGATGGATGCAGCAATGTCTTGCAGAGTCAAGACCGCACGAGTTTGCTCTGCTGGTCATTGTACGTACAATTTTATGTATTTATTTACTCGGTGAAACGTCCATTTCGGAAAGTTCACTGCGAACAGAAAGCCTTCCGTAAATCTATCACATTTTCACGGCTGACTTGCATGCATATGAGCATTCTATCACACCTCAAATATCATGCTCATTTCCTTTCTTCCTTCTTTGCCTGAGGTACGGCTTTGCATCCATTTTTTATATCACAGTCTACTCCGCTTACGGAGCTTGACATATCTGTTCCCATCCTGCTTCGCTCACGCCGAGTCATCCATAAATCAATTCGTCCATCATTCACTACTGCATAGATGCCTGATTATATGAAATGTAAGCATAAACGGACCCGACAACTTGGTTGAAGTTAGAACGTTATGTATACGTGAGGAGTGGAGCCAATAATCCTACGCCGTTACGGTGTGTTTAGGATTCCCTTCGCTGTATTCAACGATAAAGAGAGCACCGGGATGAATACAGAGAGCATGCGGTTTACTGGAGAGCGGGATAATGGTGCAAATGAGGCAAATCCTGGACGAGTTGATTCATACGAAGGGCCTATTAGTCCGGGAAGGAGGTCATACCACATTGTGTATAATGACCTCGGGATATAATACAATATAGTAAATGCTTTTTTAATTATCTGAATAAGCTCCGTCTACGTTAGCAATGGATGAGGGCACCCTCTCAAGGTCTTTATCTGTTTTATGCATTTAGACAGAAGTATATAGAGCATGACAAAACTTTCCTAATTCATATGACACACTTTACAAAGAATTTATTGACCCCTACGCAAATTCACAATCTACCAGATAAAGCATCCAGACCCAATTGTTCTGAACCGTCTTTCCGCTTACATTACGATTCTTTACCCACACCTGCATCCACACCCATACCCATACCAGAAATCCATTCCTTCACCATCCGCTCCATGCGCCTGCTATCCGCGCAAACACAACCCAGCATTACACAAGCAGGGCCAGGCAATCCAATCCATCACTTCTCGGTCGTTCCGCAAATACTACTTTGACATTTTTTGACACTGAAAATTTCGAACCCCGAGCTTTCCGAGTCATTGTGATTACCTAAACTTTTTCTACTTGTTTTTTATTCTTCTTGGTCTTCTTTTTCGAATTCGAATGTCACATGTGCAGGATGAAGATTTTTCGAACTAGATATGTGTACGCTATATGCATATGCAGGCATTGATGTAGGTGGTAGTAGTGTATTGTATATGTATCTCGCGAATAGTGTGTAATACAACCAAGATGATAGGGTGGAATTAGCCAGACCCATAGCCCTGCAATCTAGTCTTCTCAAATTCCTGTTATATCACACCTTACAGTTCTGTCTAGTACCATATGGTAACGTGCCGCGGTTATGTTCATTCATACATATGTACATACATGCATACACGCATACAAGGTGTGTTACCCCGCGCGCGCGGCAGCATCAATCATTCCCAGACCAATACCCATCTCCAGTCTACAAACTCCCCTTCTCCCTCTCCAACGTAGTTCCGTTCCCTCTCATCCCAGGAGGTAGCCTAATACCCCCGCTCCCACCTTCCACCCTCTTTCCGATCGTAACCTCATCACATCTCCCCTTTAACAAACTGAAGGCTGGGCAAACCCATACTCCACAACTACATCGCATCCCCTGCCAAGCATACTTTCCAACTTGGGCTTTGCATTTTTGGTTTGGACATTCGAGTCTTCCGGATAAGTTTCCGAGCTCGAGTTCTGGACGCATCCAGGAGAGAGGGTGCAAGAAGTGGTGGGTGCAGGTGTTGTGGTGGGGAGTAGAAGCAAGGGAGGAAATGGGTGTTGTCTGAGGATTAACGAGTGAGTTGGGAGAAGAGGTGGATTTTGGGGTGGGTGTGTGAGGTATCAGATAAGGGGTTGTGACGAGGTTGCGGCTAGGGTATTGTTAGTTTGATGATTATGATTCTTCGCTGCTTATTGATAATGATAATGTATGACATAAATAAAAACAAGTGAGGAAGAAAGAGTAGGGAAAACTTACCGACACATTCTACATCTGATCTCCTTTTCTTTGCCGTCTGCCTTCTGTTTATCCTGTTGTTCTTCGTCCTCAAATCTGACCCAATCAGGTCGTCCTCCAGTGGCCACAGCCAACTCAACCTCTCTTTGATACAACCATCTTTGATACTTAGGCTGATCATCTATGTTTCTCGGGCAGCCCATTTCGTAATATAACTGGAGCTGCGCCATAAATCCATCATTAGGCTCAGCGAAAGGACGTGTTTGCTGAATTTGAGCAAGCGCGGTATGGGGAGTGAGTGAGGGATATTGGCGGAGGAGGTAGGCTATTAAAATGGTCACGGAACGGGAGCGACCCATTGCGCTAATAGGTGTCAGCGTTTAATATAAATTATTAAAAGATGGGAACAAGGAGTCATGAGCAGAGAAACACCCCTTGACTTCTCCTTTTGAAATCCAATAACATGCTTCCGTGTCTACTACAATGATAACAATGACTTCCGAATCTCAGGACAAACAAAATAAAGTGTCCTAACTTACCAATGAACAAGCACAGCACTCTTCTTCTTCTCGCCTTCATCACCCTCAAGCCTCCCATTACCCTTTAAAGCCTCTTCAATCCAAGCTCCCGTCGTTTCAAATTCACCCAGCAAATTCTCGTCCTCTACATCATCCACCTCGATCTGAAGGTGTTTGTACTTATTCCAATCGATATTGAAGTTCTTGAAATCGTACTTCAGAACACTGACAATATGTGTGATATTGCTCTTTTGGAGAGAGTTCTCAGTCAACGAAACGATCCTGTCTTGTGTTAGATTTATCTTTCTCTTCTCTCGTATCATTCAAAGAACAGCAGACGATAGTCAGAGATGCTCCCCAACATTCGAGCGAAAAGGTCGAAAAATCAAAACAATATCACGTGCGCGGGGCAAACGTTCGAAAGTAAATGTACATACCCTCCAACATACAACTCATCCTCCCCTGATAACCTCGAAGGTTCTGTATTCATTTTAAGATTCTTCCTCAAGTTCCTTACTTTCTGTATCTGTTCCTGGAACTGCCTGGCTTCCAGATCTGGCGGATCTTCAATTGACGTTGATGTTGACGTCGCCACCTTTGATCGAGCAAACCTTGTGTAACCTCGAGATAGCAATCAAACAATCTCAAATCCTCGCTTATGACCAGCAATGTACTTGCAAAAAGGGGAAGCGTATTCAATGAAGATCAGGTGATAAGATATTATTGATATACAGTCCACACTCAAGGATCTCTTTCTTCAAGCTTGTGTACATTTAGAAAATTCCAAATTGTTCTTTTGCTCTTTCACCCCGCCTTACCGGTTAAATATCGGCGTTCGGGACTACTAATCATTCACTCGTATAAATTGCCTTAGGCCAAACTTTAAAATCAGCCTTAAAACCTTGAGAAACGCCATTGAATCAACAACATAAAGTTAAAATGTCTGCGCGGAGAAGTATTTTCGCTCACGAGATCTTGTCTCGTTCTGTGCTTCGGCAGTTTGATTACAGAGCGGCAGATGAAACATCCAGTGCGCAACATTCAGTATCATTTGTGAGCATACATGTAGTGGCAGTGTTACCATCTAGCATTTTACGTGAAGATAGTCAGGAGACGATTAACGAAATTGCATTTAGTAGATGAATCTGCACTGCACTATACTGATATCCATGCGATGAGACTTTCGGAGTACTCCTTCGGGGCTAAAAAGCACAAGCACAAGAGAATCTTCTCATCGGGCCGAGTCCGGGCTAAGAAATGCTTACTTTTAGGGATTTTGGCCGCTGTGGAGATATCAACACCAGGTGGACGAGATCAGATTGAGTTTTTCAGGGGGAAACTGGGGATGGATTTCGGGTATTATTAGGCTTATATCTCCGAAAACTAAAAGGCTGTCATGGATAAACGATAATTAGACTCATCAAACTTTGTAACTCATATCGGTGCTACTGATGTCGGTGATAGTTCTCTGGTGAGAATCGAAGGAATGAGAATGTTGGCCGAAATGAATAACAATATGTCTCGTTAGGTGATCAATAACACAATGAAACGTTGCGCGATTTATTGTACCAGTAGCCAACAAGCTGTAGTATCTCCGAAGGTTGGAATTGTCTTAGATTTTGTTGATCACCAAACACGCAGAGATCTCAACGTAAGACATTATCATGAGTAAGTGAATGATGTCCGCTTCAGAACACCCGACTCGAGGATGATCTAACTCACGTAGCACACACATGGCATCAACCCCCGTTCGTCCGCCTACCGAAAGCCCTACCCGATATTATTCATATGCAACACATATTGTATCTACTCGAAATAACTAAGGCTGACCAGTCGAGCCCGTCCAACAGAAAGATCACATGTAGCCAAGAAAACCACCAGCATGTGCATACGCAATCAAATCATGAAAAAAATAAACTCGTGTCAATCCAGACTCCAGATCATCCCCGTACCGATGAACGGACGATTGGCGATGTGTCCCAAAAGCGGAAAAGTGTTGTGATACGACACCTCGTGTTTCGCTTCGACATCCCGCGTGTGTGCCAGAGATTCAGCCTTCTTTTCGCCCTATGGGGCCGTACTTCACTTGAGCCTGGTGTTGTGCTACGAGGCGCTAGAGGCGGGCGTTCATAAGGTTGGCCAAGGGATAAAAAGAAACGGAAAATTTGTTACATGAGCATGGGTTTTGTGTAACATTTCTACCAATAAAAATTGACTGAATAGAAAGATCTGGATGGCTTGGCATTTAGCTGAAAATTGGAAAATATATACAGTCCGTATTCAAGATTTAGGCATTTCCTTCTCTTGCATGCAGCTCAATCAATGAAAGGCGATACCAGAACATACGATACATTAGATATCCTTATACGGCAATTATGTATCTTACGATACTGTATGATGGCCACCTTAGCACGTAATCTAGCCCCAACGCCAGTGTCATCAGCGGCTGATCAGAACATGGGTTGCAATTCGCACCCATCTACCGAATGTATCTCAGCCCTTTGTTCTAGATCTGGCAAAGACATCTATCCACCTGTGATCGATTCACCGCTTAGATTGATGCATGCTCACGGGACATTGCTATTTTGCAATTAAACGAATTGGCTGGCGAGTGTAAGTGCAGAAAACTAGGCAGATGTAAATCGGGGGCGTTTACGGAAAAGCTGGATATACAGGTTTCTGTATTTACTGTAGCCTTGTCCTGCTGGAACGTTGGTTTGGGGCAAGATCTAGTTTCCTGAATGCTTATTATATTGGTTCTTCTAAGATGAGGTTAACTCGTACCCCCTCTCAATACTCAATTCACGAGCGTGATTGGTACGATGCAAATTTTCGCCTCAATACCGGTGTGTGAAGATTCGTATGCCAAACAAGATTAATCAGATTACAGTCAGCTTTAGTCGTATCTTGGGATCAATGATAGGTTGAATTGAAATGAAGCCCTGAGGGAAAAAGACGAGATTCGTCCCCGCAATATGAGATGGTGGCTGAGACTCTCGAGACACTCTGCGTGAACATTGAGCTTATCCACCTCCCTCTTTCCCAACCCCAAATTTAGCAGATCTAGATTTCCGTCTGTCTGTGATCAACATTTCACTTCTACCGCCTGCCATTTCCCACTTCCACACACTTCCTTGCAACGTTGATCTAGTACACACCATTCAAGTTCAATCGCATCTTCATGATTCATCCCAACATCGCGACATAGCCCCCCCTCCCAAATAAACGGTTCAGGTCGCCGACTTTTAGAAACTTCCTGGTAGCCGATCATAAGTTAAAGTAAGCATCTTGGCGACACGATGCGGTCACGCAGAGCCTCTAATCACTAAACGTTAGCAAAGCTTGGAACATGGCAATGACTTCAATCAAGCTTGTCACTCGTCCCGCTCGAGGCTCGGTAATTATCCTCAATCCAGATGCATGGCTGTGATGTGATGTGATCACGTATCCCTGATCACTGTCACTGATTGCCAGGGGTTCTTCATTTCATTCACGTTTCTGGAATCTCGGGGCTATTTAGAATAAGCCTTGTAGGGCTAGGAAGTATCCGACAAAAGACTGACTGTATTAGGAACGTATTCCGGTGATTATATCAAATTAGCGTTGAGCTTCCTTGGTGATAGCAATGAGATTTAACGAATAGACGGAATGAAAGTGGGATTGATGGATGTTTGTGTCAGTATGCGATCAGGATGATCTTTTGATAGTTGAGTGAATCCAATAATTATTACTCGATTATATGCATGTTATTATTCTTCCACAACTGATAAGTTGGCGGGACAAGCAGGATGTAAAGTAGGTAAGCTCAAGGCGGGGAAACCTAGGAATGTCTGTTCTAATTACAGATGACAGGTTTGTCCGCGCTCTTACTTCCCCATTCATTGTTATCGGCTCTACCGAGTCACCCCTTCATCTTCACCTCGTCGAAATCCGTAAAGGATCACGATGTAGCTCTTACTGCCTCTCTTCAACTTACAATCGGATTACATGACAGTAAAAATGCATGAATGATGATTACTCACCCATGACCATCGTAAGATTCCAATCCACGTCGACGGGTAAGGTTCAGAGGTTCCAAGGGATGTGGTGCTGTGCCACCAACGGGCTTACCGTATCCAACCTTATTCTCTTTTGGATTGTCGATTATTGATTCCGGATTGATTCTAAATTGTTTGTTTGGATCGTGGTCCTACTATGCGGAATCCTTGAGTTGATGGTACTGGAATTCTCGACCTCACGGCTTCTCATTAATCCCACCTTTCCTTCCCCTACAAAACTTGAAAGTCCCCCATGGAACAAACCCCCTTGCACTAAAGAAAATACTTCAATACCTCGGCTAGTGGAGCCCACTAGTCCGGTCTGAGGTACTCAGCCCTGATCAATCTAGCTTAGATCACTATCAAAGCGTACTAGGTAGTTATCTGTTGAACTTTTCACAGGGCTGCGTTGGATGCGGTATTCGTTAGAAAGTAGAATGCCGAATTAACATTGAAAATGGGGGTGGTTTGAGGTATTTTGCCTTTTGCCTCTTGCATAAATACCATGTAGGTTTATAGACATTCTTATGCCGGATTAGCTGAAATAGGGAAATCGAAAGTCATCACCACTCGGCGCTACAGATGATCATCTATCTAGCTATCTATCAACGATAAAGTAGATTTATCCTTAGCTAATCACTCGTTATCTCTCCTTTAGAAGCGTTCCATCGACAATCCGCGCACTATCACAATCTAATTTCCCATCTCCATTTTTTCACACAGACACTGAAACGGCCTTGTAAGGATGGATTCAAACTATCAACTCGCACCCACGCACCAGTGAAAAGCTTCCAAAAGAAGGCCAGAGAGTCGGGACCGATATTATGGTTTCTCGCCAATCCATAGCACTACTGTACGCTCGAGCAAATTGTACGGAGTAGCATGAAATTGGATCCTAGACCCTTGAGTTTGTGCATGGTTGGTATGAAAGGGGGTAGGGTGGGGAGACAAAGGGCTGACTGTTATTTATGACGTTTTAGTGAGGGTAAGGAGAGACATTACTCCGTTCCTCACAGTCATATATCACTGAATTAAGAAAGTCGATAGATACAATTCAATCTCAGCATATCAATTAGACTGTACGATACAATCTGAATAACCATTTACAAAATGGACAGCCAGTTCAGTAATATGACTGCACACCTCTTTTTCCCCTTCCTCATAAATTAGGTGAAATACATAAAGCTCGACTCTTTTGCATGTGCTGGATTTGGTTATCTACATGGTATTGAATCCTGTGGTCCTAATCAAGAACGGTACGTGTATAAAGCACATACAGTGGTGTATTATATGTCATGTAATGTCCGCGAAAGACTTGAAAATGTCGACAAGATTACTCGAGGTTGGCGTGGAGAGGGGAGCTCGGACCAATCAAACATGTGTGTACATAGTACATGAAAACCCAAAGAAAGCAGAAAAGGAACGAAATGAAGAGTACAACGCCCGAACTCATTTCACCTTGGAGGGCTGATGGGAACCATGTTTGACATCCACCCCGTACCGGGATACCTTCCTTATCTTGCCCTGCTCTGATTATATGTTCGTTGCTTGACTGTTCCTATGCATGCCCTCCCTCGTACACTACATGAGAATATGCAAGCAAGCAAGCTTTGCTTCCCGAATCCGTATCTTTGCAATTGTGTGTTTCGTTCCACCATATAACTCCTTGTCTGTTATAATTTTTTCCAATACAAAACATCAAGTTAATGCATCGAGAGTTATTGATATGGGTGCAATGAATGATTCGCACGCGTGAGATGGAAATGAAGATTCTGACGTTGTATTGCGTTACCAGATTGAGGCGAACAAAATCGTCGGAGGTGGGGCGTCAATGGACTGAATGGATGTGGCGCCCATGGCTCGTTGAAGAAATCTTAATGTAACGCAAGTAGGTGCTGGCTGGGTCAATAATATGGTCGTACCGCATATACTGGGATCTTGGAACTGATTGCCTTGACATTGCCTTGTTGTGATTATACCCGGTCTGTCACATAATCAACAGACCACAAGAGTCGACAAAAGCTTACCAATGTTAAATCTCTGACTTACATATAGAAGGCTGATGTGAGAAACTTGTGTATTGGATAGACAGTTGCAGATGATGCAGCCAGACCGTTTCACATGCATTTGAGTTGAGAGGCGGGGTAAGAAGTCTTATTCGAGAATTGGTGCTCTTGTATCTGAAATGACCGTGAACATGAAGTATCCTGTCTGTCCCTAGAACACTTGTGGATGTATGCACACTGATAGGACGTAGAGCCAGAACTGACAGTCAAATTACGAGTTTCTAAGCGCCACTGAAGTCTCCAAGGCAATCCTCAAGTTTATTTTATACAATGTACCTGACGAGCGTCGGGGGATGAAGTACCAGACGACCTCAGTCTCACCGGACAATGACATTTGATCAACGAAGTGCTTCAATTGTTTTGAGCGTGAGGTAGATGCAACACGACATAGCATCTAATCCAATAGAAATTTGTCCTACTCTTCAGCGTGCAGGTTTGAGAAAGATAAATTGCAACCATAACATGACTTGGAAAGACCATGGGTGAGATTGAGAAAGATGGCAAGTAATGCTGTACCTCTGTTTCGAAGATCAACACGAGCCTTGTGAGTCTGGGAGTGGTAGTAGTGGTGTGGTATGTTGTAGAAAATAACCAAACCCTATTTGCTTCCCCTATTCGTAAGACATAACATGACATTAAGCCGGGCTTATGGCGTAAACTCAACAGGTACTTAAGGCGTGAGGGTATCTCCGCACGAGATGGATAACATGATATTTCAAGTTGAGCGTATTCTGGCATATTTTTTTCGTCTCCGCATTACATAAGTGTCCGAGGTGCCTTGAGTATTTTTTACCAACTGCTAGTGCCGGTGGCTGTGTTGAAGATCTTCGGATTTACATACCGGATTGGAAATAACTCGAAACAAGTGCTGAAGTCAATCGCTGATGATTTCAAGGTTGATACTAAAATGTCAATTTAATGCCCAAGATCGAAGCATGTGATTCGGACAACTCGAGGCGAAATGCTGCGTGTGTTGAATTCTCAGGTCAGAATTGGTGGCTTAGCCGGGTCAGAGTATTTGTGAATTTGTATGGAACGCTAGGATGAAGGATAATGATAATATAGATAATCGCAAACTTGGAGTTAGTTGTCACATTGGCTATAACATCTCCTGTATTTTGCAGTAGATTTGCAGGAAAATAGACAAACCCTTCAAAAGGTTGCAGATGCTCAAGCATTTATCTGCAGTATAACTTTCTCGATGTTGAAAACCTCGACCTCGTACTAGTAACCAATTGACTGGGGCTAAAGCTGTGGCGATTGCGGAAGAAGTACCTTTGTACTCCGCACAGTGCAATGAATGCTACGAAAAAGATTCTGTTTCCCTTCAGATCATTCTCTCCTTCGCTTAGTGAGTACTATTAGCATGAATACCTAGCAAAATGACTCTCGTCAGAGGATTCAGAAAGAGTAGTAATAAACATTTGTTAAATTGTCTTAAATGTGCCTACTCAATCAAGGATCTGAATTATTGATGCATTAAGACCCTTGATTCTGCATTAGCTAAATACTACAACCAACAATAGCTGTTGTTCGATCAACTCTACTCTACTTTACAGATGGTTGGGGTGTGATCCCTCGTGTGACTATTGATCACTCCAAACATTTTAACAATAAACTGCGTCTTCGATGCTTTCTTCCAATAAACAATCTAAGCGGATAATCTCCTAATATGTGAGATTGCTGGCTATGTCTATATGGAAGAAAACGAGGTAGTACAGTCCCAAAAATCATCCACGATTACTTTTAGAGGTTACCTGAGAAAGAGCTTGTAAGGCTGAACAGTAAAAGTGTGGAGTACCAGATCACATTGACCAATGAAGAAAATTGAAAAGAAAAAAGTCGAAGCTAGTAAATGGCTAGGGAGTCTCAGATTAGACGGTGTAGCTAAAAGGGGTAATAATGGACATGACCCAAAAGAAATCAAGTTTATGATTCAATTGATTGAAAGGTCCAGATGGTTCTTGTTTTCAATAACTTGTACGGAAATATAAACACACATACATAGCCTTATGGAAAGTTAGCAAAACACTAAATAGGTAATGACAAAATGATAGTCAAATTGTCCCTACTCAAGCATTCAGACTTTTTATCATCGTCATCATCATCATCATCATCATCAACATTATTAGTTTGACAAGTTACCAGCCTTATTGCCTTACCTATCTATACCTATACTCCCGTGATCTGTTGAGTTCGTGCTACCAAACATGGCATGGTATCTGACAAGGTTGCAGGATAATCATAATCGAGGTCGACTAGGTAGGTAGGTATCAGAGACCCCGCTGCCGTTCTATGCAAGAGGGCAACTATGGGGCTTGATTAATAGTTTACATACATCTCATTGGCACCGGTTTGATTCATGAATTGCGCGCATCACATATTCGCAGCGGGTAGCCTAGGAATGAGCCTATACGGCTTCGAAAGGTAAGACTCAACACTCACTGGTGAATGAACCTGGTTCGCAAGACCATGAACAACACTGGATCAATCAAACTGAAGGTATATTTCAGAGGAATAGAATCACGTTAGATAGATGGCTTTATGGAACGACAAAATGAAAATACTTGCACGTACCGGAATCTGTATCTTACAATGTTCTTACAGTATATCTTACTCGGGTGAGCTGACTGACTGATTGACGACTGACAATTACCTACTCCCCTCTTACTATCTTCTTACCTCCTCCTTCCCCTCCATTCAAAGTCAGCATTCTCTTCTCTTCCCTTGATCAATTGCCGCCATCTGTACCTCATCGTATTATTGTATCCACTTTCCATCATACGTGCTCTCTTGTACATGAAATCAAACAGTACACAGATCCGAAAAATAGCCCTAATCCGCCGTGTTCACATTAACCTAATACAAGAACGTCTAAAATAGGATTGAGAGGAGCTCAGTCATTCATCAACATCATTAATTGTCATCGCAACTTCACCAAATTAGATCGACTCAATTCATTTCCTATTTTGAGTTGGTACTCCCCTCTCTTCCTCCTGGAAAAAGAACTCACCCTATCGTACTACCGTGCGCCGGGAATTGAGACAAACAGCCTTTCGATTGTCTTGGCTTTGACCAGTATCTTTCTTACCCTTCATAATTTGAAAAGGCGAGAAAGGCGAAAATATCCGAAATTCCAACTCTATTATAGATGCAATGATAGGTATCTACTACATAAGATCTTACATACCTACTGAGTAGTAATGTCATGACCTAGCGAGCGAGGTACAGTATTTAAGATTTACACTACCGAACACTCATCAGGACAGACCTACATACGACTCGAATAGTCAACCCCTAACGCTGTAATCCCCGTCTACTCGAGGAAACACTTTAATCTACTTTTATCTACTTGATATGCTTTATTCATACTTTATTCCCAAAAGGAAGAAGGCTTTATGGTCCTTGCCTCGAGGAGTTTAATCATCCATCCTCTTTAAGTCCTCGTCCCCTGTTTCCGAATTCTCCACCTCGTTCTTTTCACTCTGCAGAAGTATAATAAGTCCCACCCTTCACCCTCAGTGAACCCATACACCCACCCATACCATAATCCATCCTGTTTTACCCATAAGGATACGGATACCTGGGTGCTTGAAATCCGCCTATCAACTTCAATTACTTGGTTGGCTCCCCTCCGCTCTCATCCGTCCGTCCATCATCACCATTCCCACTCCCCGAATGAAATCCTAGTTTCCCAGCCCTATTGTTTGTCATTCGTATTCTTAAGGCTTATGAGCTTATAAGAGAGGGAAGAAAGAGAAAGAGGGAGGACCGACCAAATTAATTAGCATTCTATGTACGACGATAGAATTTAAAGCTTATATATGAATGTATGTATATATTTTTTATGAAATATTTACTCTTGTTGCCAGCCATTATTATCATCTATTTAGCTTGTCATTTATTTGTTTATCTATCTATTTATATGCCTTGAGGGTCTCTCTGCCTTCCTCTACATATATATATATATTTGATACTTAACTATCTATCATTCATTATACACCATGTTATTATCGATATCGTCCATATCTATGTGAACTTACTTTTCTGACTTAAATAGTTCTCGATTCAATTTAGCTTTTTTTTTGGTTAGTACACATTCAGCCCTTCCGCTAAAGATTGGCCGAAACATACCTCTCCGTACTTCTTCGTCCTTTCATAACCACAGACGTTCGCCCCGTCATCCCATTTTATGAAGGGTTCGCAAAACAACGTCAACTTCGCGAACTCTTTGAGCCTACTTCAAAAGGCATTTGGTCCTATTGAAGAAAACAAATACCATTGGAACCGGACGTTGTGACCCGGAACCTCTTTTTTTGTAACTAATCTACTCTTCGAAAAAAAAATATCCATGTTGCGATTTCCCTCCTTCTCCACTCTCAACCTTTCCCTCCCAAGCAAAACGGCACGTCCGACTTAGCGACTTCTAGACGAAGACGAGGTCAGCTCATGTTGTTAGGAGGACTACAATATACATCCACTTAATTTTCACAGCCTGTGGCTTAACTCACACAATGGATATTCCTATGCGTGGCCAAAAGCCGAGCTTCAGCACACCCTTACCAGAAATCCACGTACAAGACTCTCACCACCCCGATCGATATCCCGATAGATACTCAGATCAACACAAATACCATTCTTCCAACTCTTCAAGAGCCGCGGCTGGACCAATGTCTATACCCAACGCGAGAGAGTCTCCCCCTCCTCCTTTACCACCACCTAAATACATTCCAGACACAGATAATGGGGGAGATCTTGGGTGGCAGTGGGCAAATCAAAATCGGGGACTCGATTGGGGAAGAAATATGTCATCGGTTCCCGCCGGCTCGAGTTTGTACGGGAGCTATAGTCGCAATAGCATATCAGATGAGCGACCAGACATTGGACGTCGAGGAAGCTCCAACGCCACCATCACTGTCCATCCGTCGAAGGATGCGAGCAACCATGCAATTGCACTGCCAAAAGATGAAGGTTATTCGAGTCTTTCTGCTTCCAACGCAAGCATTGGGTCGACACAGTGAGTGCTATTATCTTAAAACTACGCCGGAGCCTCCGATTTCATGTCACCCCACAAACAGGACCGCCAGTTCTCTTATCAATGCTTTACTGAAGATTATGAAGTGTTTTCTTGTGCCTTCTTTTACTAATTCTTCGTTTCGCAGATCAAGAACCTCAATAGGCTTTCAAAGTTCTGTCCACGACACATATCAAACCAATGCTCAGGCATATGACAAATCATTATTACAAAAGTTGGGTAGCAGAGGAGATAATTTCACACCATCAAGACCATTCGCAAAGTCTCCGTTCAGCTCATCTGTAAATGATACATCACCAACCTCTAGAATAGCGCGGGAACATGGTCATCCTACACTCAAGCCACTCTCTTTGCCAATCCATACACACAAACCGGCACTTGCAGAGAGTCCCATAAATCGATGGGCAGATTCACCTTTATCTTCTGGCATCTCACCAGGCAACCCATATCCCAGACTTAGCAATCTGAGTACATTTGACTTCAGGTCCCCGACCGATATGATAGACAATGAAAGGTCATCACACCCTTACAACATGAGGTCAGGGAGCATAGCCGACGATGCATCAAGTATTGCCAGCCAATCTAGGGACAGCTTTCAGATGCCTTCTCCAGAATACGAAGAAGGCTTCCACATGGAAGAAACGGGTCTGAGGCGACTACAGATAGGAGAAGAGTATCATGGTCGGAGTGAAGGATACTCTCCCTGCTCTACTACAGCCGGGCAAAAACGACGCGCATCTTCCCCTCCCAGGGATGATAGTCTACACCTACTACGTACGGTAGGCAGTGCAAGTGATCTTGCTCGACGTCGCGAATCTGGCTCACGCTCGACACCAAGTCCGCGCTTTCATTCGAGCTCTACGTCTATATCATCTACTACTTCTCTACCTAGGAACTCATTCTCATCCACATTATCAGTGACTACTAGTAGCGCGACCAGCATGGGCTCGTACGGTAGGCTGTCTCATGGAGGCCTCTCACCTGGACCTATGGATATCAACACCGACATGTCATATAACGGTTCAATGTCGCTAAATCCCAGCCCAAGAGGTTCAATTTCGGCTAGAACAACCCATCATCGGGCTTTATCTGAAAGTCGACCTCTAACTAATGCGCGAAAAATGCCAGAGGCATTAGGACACGTGAAACACAATAGTGCTCCCAGCAGACAAGGCGGTTTCATTTGTGAATGCTGTCCCAAAAAACCTAAGAAATTTGACACCCAGGAAGATCTCAAGTTAGTGTCACTCAAAATCTAACTGTTTATCAATACTAACCACAATTTAGCACGCATGAACAAGAAAAGCAGTATGAATGCCTATACTGTCGAAATCGTTTCAAGAATAAAAATGAGGCCGAGAGGCATCAGAACTCTTTGCACCTCCGTCGTTACTCTTGGTCATGTGCTGCTCTCCTAGATTGGGCGCATGCTTTCCATCCTTCTCCTTCACGGCCCAACGATGCGGATACCTGTGGATACTGTGGCGAAGATTTCCCAAGGACTGGAGTTGCGAATCACGAGGGATCTTCGATGCCTGTGGCGACTGGTGAGGATTGGGACCTCAGGGGTGCCCATTTACAAGACATGCACAAGTTTGGAGAATGTAACCATGCCAAGAAATTTTTTCGCGCGGATCATTTCCGTCAACATCTTAAACATAGTCATGCTGGTACAAGTGGAAAATGGACGAATATGCTTGAAAATGCTTGTATGATAGACGAGCCACCACCAGAGCCACTCAGGGGGCCCGAAAGAGTCAGTCCTGGTGGTGTGAGAGTAGGCAGGATCACCGAAGAAGACGAAGTGCTATAAAATAAAACGGCTTTCAAAACAGTGGCCAGCGGAAGTCACTTTGACATGCCAAATAAATACAATTCATTGAGGGTCTTTCATAAAAACGTTCATATTCATATTCGGACTTTCTGACAATGGAAATTCCGAACGACCGAAACAATCATCATGAAATGGGGAGGTAATTTGGGTCAGCCATCTATACTAAGGAGTTATTTTTGGTGCATTGCTTATAGTGCATTGCGTATCTTTTTCTTGCATGATAGGGACGCTCATACATCTGGATCTGTTTGGCGTTTTGGTTGTTTAAACTTTTTCTTTCCAATTTGAGAGTTAGTGTCAACCCTCTATAATCAGTGAGTATTTAAGAAACAGACTTGTCAGACTTAATTCCCGTTATCTTCGGGTGGATGACTCGGGCGCAAACGGGACGTGAAGAGCAAGTGAAATAGGTTTTCACTCGGGCTCTGTCATCCATGTCAGTTCAGTACGAGGAGAAGCCTTTCATGTTGGGTCTGCTATCTATGAGGGAGGGATGACTGCCGAAGCGTGAGAGAGGCAAGAAAAGCGAAAGACGATGGGCATCTAATAGGCAAGAACTTGGCCGGGTTGTACTTACATATGAAGTAGGGAAAATACAAAAGCGAGTATATAACTATTGCCATGACAGAATAAAAGTTTACACCATTGAATACTTGATTTCTTGAGTTTTCGGGATGTGATGCTGTGAAATATTGGTCTTGGTGTCGTTTTACATGTTAAGTAACGCAATCAGCGAAGGCAAAAGGGCGCTATTATATATGAATGTATAGTTTCTATCTGGATGTCTATTCAAGCCTATCTTATCATCACGCATGTTCTACAGGAGGTGATCCTGCTGGACTTAATCATTATTTACAGAGCTTAGCAATAACGCAATCAGAGCAGGAACATAAAAGAATGGGCTGACTCTCAGGAAACTCGCAGGGGTAGTGAAGGCTCAGGTACGCGTTAATGGTAAGATGGAAGCTCGAAGGTACCAAGGGAGCATGAAAGTAAAGACTGATATTAAGTACACATATCATTTTTATTTTTGGCTTCGAACCTCGTCTACATATGAGGGATCAGGCGTTGATAAGTCCTACAAGCTTGCAAGGCAAGACTTCTTTTGTCTAGTGTTGAGATCTCGTAGACTCTCTTCTCTCCGATCTATCATCTTTGAAATGGTACTTTATTCATGGGATGCCAAAGCTAGAGGAAACATCAGAATGTCGATTCTAGTCTCATTTGATAAGGTAGAAGAAGCGATGGTGGGGGGTAGAGTAGAAATTCACCTTCGTCACGCCATTTTCTTCGTCACCGCGGTCAAATAACATGCCGAGGGGAATTGGTACAAAAAATAAGATTTGAAGCTATTGAATATTGTCTTTTTGACTAATTGAGGGTGGCTTTGCATATTGCTATGGATTCACTAGATGAAAATCATCTTTGCGTAGTAGAGGGGCAGTGTTAGATCATTTTACAAGTGTAGTCCACTAGTGTCAAGGTTTGGGACTAGTAAGTAGATCGAGTAAAAATCTCCGATATGCAAGTCATAGATTGAGTGTGAAGGTACAGCCGGTTCACATATTGTATGCAATGTGTCCTTTTTCAACTTGTATGAGCGACCGCATGCTCGCAACGGGTTAATAAGACTCACTGTTTGTCGATCAAGCCAAACTAAGTAGTGAATTTTAAACAGTCAATAGGTGGTATGAGCCGTTGTTTTAATGAGGTCAAAAGTTTTATCTTCTAGCAAAGTGAGAAAGTATTCGTCTTTCTAAAGTTTAAATCACGTCTAGCTTGGACCTATTCCATTCGTACGATTCACCAGAAAAGCCGAAGGCCGAACCTGTCTGCCGAACTAGCTGTGGTTGGTTCATCGGCATAGTAAATCTTGTGGCAGCTGTCATATGCACTATAGGTTGACTTCTTAGCGTGGTGATCTACTTGACAGATTTCAGTTCACTTGTCTATATATAGGTCGCCTTCCCCTCCATCCTTTTCGACTTTTTCTTCTTCGTCTTCGTAGGGCGATTGGGACTTCAACCCGCCATCCCTTGGTTTCAGCGCCATGGTCGTTCAAACATTTTGTTCCTTTCATTGTATCATCACCTTTTGATGTCAGCGCCTTAGCCGTCCAAGCCTTCTGTTCTTTTTATTTGACCATCGTCTCTTGTTTTCGGCGCTCTATCCGCGCAGCCATTTTCGCTCCATTCGTCGAATATTCAACCTTGACTTTCGCGACTTACCCGTTCAAGCCATCCTGTCCCTGGGTTAATTTGAGACTATCAACTCTGTATTATTTACTATGATTTTGATTGATTTTCCTCCGGGGAGATTGAAATGGTGAAGAGTAGTGAATTATCTAGAGTTGATAGCCTCAAGTTAATGAATGGACTAGACGACTTGGACCAAGCCGGAACTCAAGGGGGATAATTTGAGCATCGAGCAGGATGGTTGTGTGAGGGTACAGGCTGTTTCTCAACCACGGTGCTTCACTAGATTGAGCAGCAAGATACTTGCGCGGCTAAGGCGGGGGGGGGGTCAAGAGGGGTGGTTCATTGAATCGATCAAGATGTTTCAGCGGCTATGGTGGGGGATCGAGCGGTTGCCGGTTGAAAAGACAGTCGCCTAGGCCAAGGTTAGCCAGTTCTTCACCCTGCCGTTGTTGCCTTTTGACTTCGCTCCCTTCGGGGAACGTAGAATGATGGAGAAAAGCATCGGGGGGTGAAAAACTGTCGGCCTTGACCCGTAACTCTGGCCCAAGCCAGTATTCCTATGCCTTTTGTTGCTTTCTTTTGACCTCGTTTCCCTCGGGGGCGAGGAATGATAAAGAACGGTAACAAAAGGTATGGGGATACTGGTTTGGGCCAGAGTTGCGTTAGGTCAATTCCATCGTTCCTCTGGTTAGACTTTGCTAATTTCCAATCTTCCAGTTTCCTTCAGGGGATGGGGGTGAGGGAGTTACATTGGATAGCCTGAGGATTGATGAAGTTGACCCGTAACTTGGGCCAAGTCCATTGCTGTCTGACATTCTCTACGATCTTCTAATCTGGTCATTCTTTTCGGGAGTGATTGGTGCAGAAGTGGCTGGAGGGTGGTTGGAGAGCAGTGGGCTTGGCCCGAGTTGCGTTAGGTTGATTTACCGGTAATAGGTCTCAGAGATATAGATGCTAAAGGGAATACAACGTTCAAAGCATTTTGGCTGGAAAGCTTTTATACTCAAATTTTTAACAGTGTAAGAATATCTACATCAACCAGTATCCAACTCAATACGTTATATTCACAGCCCTTAGATCTCTGTTGAACTCTCTGACCATCTGTCCTTGACGTATATGTCTTTTCCACCCTTCTCAATTTCCCAATCATCGTCTAAAAGATGGCCATTGCATTTGGGGGTGAAGAAACCCCCCCTGGCATGTTCAATGGCATGGATGTTAGGAAGAATGAATATCGATTGAGTTCGCGACAGGTACGAGACAAGGCCTCAAGATCGAATATTTCACCTATGTGAATGATAAATTAGCAGGCATAATTTTTAAACTGGAAGAATTCCGAGTTGCGCGCCAGCTCTTTATGTAACATACAAAGCCAGGAGTATGAAAGCGAATAAAAATTGGATAGAAATCAAGCTGAAAGAGAACTCGAAAGTCCATGTAAAATACTTACCAATCGGCATTCCCCATCCTCCAAGCAGATATTCATGACAGCTAAGCTCTCCTTGTGTAGGATATACCTCCCAGCTTATAGCATCGCCTACCACAGCTGATATCCCACTATCCCATAGCCACTCTAATAATTCCAAACTGGGTTCAACGCCAGCATGTTCGGGGATACTTTGGGATGCATATTCCTGTTTTTGAAAATCGGTGAAATTATCCCATTCCGGAATTAGACCCATGCGGATAAAGAGAATATCACCACGTTGAGGGGTTATATTTTGATCGGCGAGAATCGTGACGAGCGTTTTGAATGGGATGTTGTGGAGGGAAAAGTTGGTGTACCTGATAGGTGGAGATTGTTGGGTACACCAATGAGCGTAGTCGATCAGAATACCACGGCCTAGATGTGGTTATGAGCATTATGAAGATGCGAGCTGGAATGGTGGAGGAACTATGAAGACGAACCGGCAATTCCTTCAGGTGCCCAATGTTGGAGCCCAATACGGTGATTGGATGTATCCATAATCTCATCTTTCGTGGTGCCGCCATAGAAAACTCGGTCTTGTGATGTAGAGGGGTCGGAAGTATTTCGTGGCTGGGAGTAGTGACGGAAGCCATCCCATTGACTGCTTTGTTCTTATTTTATAGGTCAGCCAATGTTGGTTTGATATTCAAAGTATATAAAATCCTAAATTCAGGATTCGAAGTTGTAGTTTTATGTGTCTTGTGGATGTGCGATTTGATCCTGTCATAATTTCAACTAGCAGAACTTGAGGTAAATATACTAGGTCGCAACAAATCGTGGGTTTTACCTGCCTCTCTTGGATGGATACTTGCCCATCATCTAATTGAGAAGCTCCGAGCAAGAGATCTCCGATTTATAACTTTGTGAAGATATGCTGAAGAAATCCAAACTAATAAGAAGTATCGCCATGACCTACGGGGATTCATATGATAGACATCATCAAAACATGCTCCATATCCACTCCCTCCTGGTCCATTCAGTGGAATAATCTTATGACCACATTTCTGTCGTCCAAATTGGGAATACTCCAATTTTTTCATATCCCATCCGAGACCTACTCTTCTACCCGTCTTGATCTCTGAGGTTGCCGCCGAAGAGACAATTTCTGGTGTGAGAAGGGATAGGCGACCTATAGGGTTTGTCAGGTGATTTATGGTACAGAAAGGGGAAGAGATTCTTACCTATTCCTTCAAGAGCAGATCCAGGCTCCCCTATCCATACTCGTTTGGGGTTTGGTAATTTTGAGAAAGGGGTATCGTAGATTGAGGGGTCGTAACGCGGGGTAGTAGATTCTTTCTCGGCCATGGTAGAAGTATCAGTAACAAATATCGGGTTTCTAGGGGTTTCTATCACTGAAAGAGACACTGAATCTTATCATGAATTTAAGAAAGAATCATGCAATCCAAAACACAAAGGTTCCTCCAGTTGCTAAATATATATATATATATATATATTGAATCTCTGGAGAACATCACGTGTAACATCCCCCACCTCGTACTACCTTCGGTAACTCGGTATAGTGATCTCCGCCAATCATCATCCAAGTACACGTTTGGGGTTTCATGCATATCACAACGTCTGAAAAGTATGAGAAACATCCTGTGGCAGATATAAAATCTTTCGACTGTTGTTCGCAACAGAATTCGAGTAAGAGGGTTATGGTACTTACTGAAGCATCATTACAGAATGTTTTGCTCTGCCATCATCCGTCGGGATCATGTTTCTCGGCGAACTCCTTAATCTTTCTCTTGGTCTCACTTAGAAATACCTATTGAAAACCTCTGATAGAGCGAGTAATTCGTGACAAGTGCAATATAGATCACGGGCTCGCGGTCTATATAACACGGGTGTACTCATGTTTATATTCTTGAAGTATTTGGCAAAAAGATTGCATTGGTTGGCGAATTATGTGAGTGTGTAATATTGAGGAATCTGGAAACTTTATGTACAGGTTTTGCAAGGAATCAGCTAGTGCTGTGAATCTTCAAAAATACGTTCACTCCAGTTAAAAAACGCTATTTCAGCAATGTATATTGACTTCTGATGTAATTAACTCAGACTTTGAGTCTGAGGAACTACACTAAAAGTACATCTGCAATTATTTTCGTAATGTCAACGTTTATTCATAAAGCTTTGTTATCATGCCAGCATGTCCAGCCTCGAGGTTCATTCCCTCATTCTGCCATCGAAAAATTTGCCTTAGTCGCTAATTCAGAGTTTCCTTATCCTCCTTTCTATTCCCGTCCCATTCTACGTTGACCTGGCCACAGCCCAAATCTTAAGTGCTCGACTTGTGTGAAGTCTGTCTTTGGGTGTCTTCGCCAGATGAGACCCATTAATCTTGCCTATTTGAATTCAATTAGCATGAACGAAAGGTTTTGATGAAGGGCATGGTCTTACATACCTGTAAGGTGTTATTGTCACGTTTGTATTTCGCCGCTCGTTCCTCAAGACTAAGGTTTACACCTATCAACTCCTCAAACAAAGCCACGGCTTGAGTCACCAACTCATTCAGTTCCTGTGGATGACTTCTTTCTTTAAGCTTTAACTCGTGAACGCCCAAGATAACTTGCTCTCTTGCTTCATCCATGTCTTGCACGTGTACATCCTGACGAGTCTTGATATACGCTGACATGCTATCGCTGTATCTCTCAGCATAGATATCAATAGTATCCAACTGCTGGTGGAACCATCTGAGTAACTCCTTTTTACGATCGAGCCTCATTTGCTGACGTTGACGAGACAAGGCTTCAGTCATGCTACGACCATCCATCGTGAATTTAGAGTAGGGATGCCGTGTAGGATTTGTTCGACAAGTCGATGCGGAATTGTAAAGAATGGAGTGATAAGAGCTGTTTGTTGAATGTGATATTGATGGTTGTTACGATGGTTCTCCACAAGATTGATGTCTATGAAGACAGACGGATATTAAAGCTGAGGACAGGGTTTGAAAGTAGCTCGTGTAATTTGATATTTTTTCTTGGGTTCTTTGGTGTCTGGGGAAGCTTTTGTGTAAAAAGGATATTCTAATGCATATGTCTTGTTGTGTAGTAAGTAAACTTTCTGGTTTGTTGCTTGAGATTCTGCAAAAATAGTGCGAAGGGGGAAATTTCAAACTATTTGTGCGCATCTCTCGATGTGTTTTGGAGCTAGTAGACACTTTGAATGACTGCAATATGGTCGACTGAATCATGATGACACCACTTTCTATTATCGTATGTGACTCGAAATTATGGTCAACTCAAGCCTTTTTCCTTTACAGATTAGATCGCCTGAAATTTGTGGCACTTGAAAACTTATCACGAGTAGGCTATCGATATATGAGACACGACTGACAGAAGTCCACAAATTTCTGATTGCGTAATCGGTGATTAAGATGCTATTTTTCTTGATCACTGAAGTCGATTCATGTAGCCGAAAATTCAAGAAGTTATTCACATCTGCTGCTCACAATATTGTACTCACTTTTGAGCATCTAGCTCAAATTCCACACAAAAAACAAGGATCCACCAGTATTTACAGATTCTTTATTCTAACAGCACAAAATCCATATATTACACTGAATCCCACTTTCATGATGTTTACCTACTCTTCTATTCCTACCATTACCATTGACGGCGAGAATATATCACAGACATATGAGGCATCTTCGATTACAAACGGCACGAGTAGCCAAGAAGTAATCAAGGATAGATGTCGCTCTGGTCCCAACACGCTACATGGTGACTTCCCAGCTGTAGCACCTACAAAAAAGCGCTGCTATGTTCTCAGAAAAGTCATCAAAGGCATATCAAATGTAATCAAAGCTTTCACCAGTACGTATAATCTCCCTCACAAGATCTGTGACCAAAGAATGGCGGCTGATATGCTTTTCGAAACTCCTACAGGAATTTAAGAATCATATCGCCGTGCTGCCTGCAAAATCAATGGAACGAGAGCACAGTATTGGCACTGTAGTATGATGCCCCTATAATATTATCCGAATCATGCATAATACGAAGATGTGACAGCCAAATCCTAGTTGGGTGTTGACGTCTGAGGGTGTACAGGCAGAGGTTTGATCGTGTCGGTCACTAGACATAAGGAAAAGATCTCTTTCACACTCTGAGGAGACATGAATGGCGCCTTCAGCTTGGAGATGTTAGAATCACAACACAAATGAGGAGGAAATATGAATCAGCGAGGTCTTATGACTAGTAGAATAGCATTTTCTGACTACTCATTACTGTTCACTTGTATCATACAATTCATCGTCCATGTACCTTTTTATGACTCTTTGAAACATATAGTGGTCCCCAACTTCTCCAGATTTGTATCTTCATTCTGGATACTAATTTTTCTTCCCACACGTCGAAACATAATCCAACAATTTCAATTGACTTCTGCACTTCACACTTGCAGAACAACAACCCAAGTCATTCGACCCAAGCCGTCTACCACGGCAAAGCATTATCAGAAATTTTCACGTTTCATCAGCACCATTATTCCTGCTTCATATTATACCAGATTCAACAGCTGCAGGTTCAACCCGTAGTCATCTCACTAAGTCACACTACTAAATCAGTAACCAAGTAAAGATGAACTCCAGCAAAATCTACCGACAGACGCGATCTAATCTCAAAGTAGAGCTCGATAAAAGAATTCACTTGCTCAAAGAGAGGGTTCGCAATCAAGGTCCCCGCACTAGAGCCATCAGCACTCTCCGGAGTTTCTACGTCATTCGCATTGCCAATACATATGTCGACGAAGCTACAAATAGATTTGCATCAAAAGGATTAACTCGCAAAGATATCGAAAACATCCATAGAGATATTTCGAACATCCAAAATATATCTCGTCAATTTGTGAATGATGTGTATGAAATTGTCTGCACCCCTGAAGCAAAGGTTGGTAAAAGTATCTCATACTTTCCGACTGGGGAGCCTAGTACACCTGATTCTTCGAATAACACAGTCCAAGATGCTTCTCAAGCAAGTATTGCTCGGCGAATTATTCGTCTTGATAATCGTTTGGTAGAGGTTCGAAGCGATTCGTTTGAGAGATGGAGCATGTACGGCTCTTTTCTGGGTATTAGTATAATAGTTTAGTGCACAAATGGAGAGACTGGAATCGGCAGTGAGGTTAGTAAGTAATCTAGGGCTTAGACCAGAAGGCACTGCTTGATACCATCTCTGTATGAGTTATGTTATTGAATAGTACACGTTGTTGGCTGAGAAGATAAGTGCAGTAGACGCGGTACTTGTGAGCTGGGATAGATTTAGCTGGAAGAGTGGCAATCGATCTTGGGCAAAATTATGCATGGCTTTGATAGTTCTTGACACACAAATGAAAATGAATTCAAACCTTACTCAGTATGATCTTTCGTCAAAATGAATGCATCTTATTATACTGTAGTATTGCCACTCAGTAGAAAGCTTGAATGGATTCTAGCTTTTTGCGATGAACAGTCACGGCCTAGCCAATTTAGAGTCATAAGTGATTCTTGGGAGCATTTATTCCATGACTGAAAGTAAGATGAGTCTGACATAACTTCCTTTACCTTTTCCACAAAACTCTTTGCTTCCTCCCTCCCTCTCCTTTTACCCAACAAGATACAAATAATCCAAGCACCGAACTTCACAACTTGCACAACTTGCACAAATTGGGATAGCTTCCTGATTCAAGTCAACATAGTCGAACCAAACATTACCAGGTATGACTAAATATTGTATAACCTTAGTTAAATTGCAACTTGTCGCTAAGTACATCAAATAGATCCAGATAACCATTTACATATCTTCACCTCGTCGAATATTGGAGCTCATCACACACTTAGAATCATCTTCTCCCCGAGTTTCCGTGGTAAGATTTGCTCTTTACGAACATTTTTAGCTTATCTAATTGTCAAAACAGAATAACTTCGAAATGAAGACAAATCCGATCATCAGCGCCTCTAAAGCATCGGCTGAGGCGTCCGAAGTTACTAAGAACGAGATAAAAAGGATGGAGAGGAGGGCAGTGATGCTTGAGGAAGAGAACAAACGTCTGGAGCTGGAAATTTCACTCCGCCAAAAAGAGGTTGCAGCTATGCGAAAAGAAAAGGCCAATGGATGGATAGAAAAAAAATCCTAATTAGGACAAAATAATGATATGGTAAGCTCATAGCAGCGATATAAGTCCATTTACTAACTAAAAGTAAGGAGATTCGACAACATCATTCCGCAGATACAATCACGGGTACTGGATGCTTGGAATGGGAGGGTTGACCCACGACACAGAAAGAACTGCCTGGCTTTTGGATATTTATTCTCAAAGAACTTGTGTGATAGAAATAAAATCCACGTTGAAAAATGCGATCCCATTGTGCAATCTCACAGTACAACATTGACACGGCCTTTCAATGCTTTTTCGGATATCCAACATCAACTGCTTTGATATTAACACCTATTGAGTGAACCTGTCACGGACTTACTATCCAAAGTGAGAGGTGATATTTTGTTCTGGTACCAGTTGAAAGCTCAAAGTCCCAGTTTTCATTCCGGAGGGGGCAAATTTCGATTCATACAAGACTGGTGCAACATTACAAGTCAGTTCAAGTATTAGACAGGTTACTGGGATGAAGCTTTTCAATTTACCCATACCCTATACAGTACGTAAGGCTTGAAGTAGAGTGGATGATCTTATGAATCCATCTCTTAGGTATGAGGTTTGACCACCGACCAAAAGTATGAGTTGCTACATTCTACACAGCTTCGATTTAACTTTGATAATTATTTTATCAAAGCACTTACCCAGCATTCTTTTTGTGCTGATTATGTTTGTCATTGAAGAAACTTATACGCACCCAGATTCTTTACTAAATCATGTGCGAGGTCTGCAAGTTGATTGGAACCTTGTGGTATACACCCAGAGTCATTTGTACCTGCCATGTTTGTACCTTTGAACTCTCAATCTTCATCTTAGATTCGACCTTCCCTTTCAACACTGTCCACAGCCTCATCATCCTATTTCTCCAGAAAATTATCAAAACGAACTCTCCTAGCAATTGATTCAAAATACCCTTTATTGAATTCTAGTGCTCTTCATTATCACGATTGTCACGCTCCGTAAAATCTGTCAGCTAAAGCATTCGAAGAAATGGCACAAATTTAAGCAAGTGAGATAAATATCGAGATAAGCAGTTAGGAATTAAATTCTGACTCTTTTCAATCGCAACTGGGATACAAAGATTGGGGCTAAACAACTGGAAGAATAGCACAAACTCAGGCATTCAAGGAGTTCAAAGACCAGTTGCGGATAGTCCAGTTCTCTATTTGGCACAAGTCCTGAAACTCGAAGCATTCAAAAATAGCAGGACTCTGGACACTTGGAGACCTCGAGACGAACGGCGGATCATCCTCAGATAAATCTATACTTCAGTCTTCTTTTCGATTAGATCGACTTCTTTGAACAACTTCTCAGCCACGCAATGTCGAGCATTGAAAAACAGATCAACTATGAACGCCGCGTCGCACATCTGCTGTGTGCAGCAATTAATTCGCAACTGGAACTCGAGAAAGCCACGGGAAAATTGATTAAAAACGTGTATGGGGATTTGAAAAGAATGAAAGCTTCTGATTGCTTAAGTGAAGATTGGATTGCAATGTTTGACAAGTCACAGGAACTAGTTGACACTTTCAGAATGTTGATCATTGATGATAGTCCCTTATCGACGATTGAGGAGAGAAGAGTTGTTGTCAAAGTCGAGAATGAATTGATGAGCGGAGGAAAGCCAGAGGAAGATATTGAAGAGTACCTCGAAGTACTATTGAAGGAGATGCATCCCAATTTGTATCATATTAGAGCTGCTGCTAGCTTAGATAAACAGGAACTACACGATGTATTTGGGTTGGCAAAGCAAATGGCCGAACCTCATAAATTTGCGTTTGATGAGGAAACGAAACAGGCAACTAATGAGGAAAAGAAGGACAAAAAAGTAAATAGGAACAAAAAGAAGAATAAAAAGGGGGGCAAGAGGAGATTTGAAAGAAAGGGTGAGCCTTCAAGTCTCTTAAAGAGAAACTGAGGGATCACAGAACCGTCTCATCTCATTCTGTTTTATGATTTTGAAGAAGATGGAAGGTCAACATACTGAAAGGCTTCTTGATTATACCTGCTTTGACAGGAGACTTGAGTAATTCTACGGTCTCAAGTTGTGCAAAGCTGCAGCTACATATTGGACTTCTATGCCGCTCGCCGGAAAGTGTTGAGCTTGTTTTCGGTTCAAGTCTATGATTATTATCGTGTTATATGTACTAAGAGCATACCGTTAATTGTGAGAAGATTGGGACTTTTTAGATTACAATTGATAGACCCCGAAAGGACCATCATTACTTAGCATGGGGCATTTGCTAGAGATACTTATGTAGACGGTTGTGCGGATTATTTCCACACCGCAATTGCTTTGGTGATTTCGGAGGACGTTTATTTGTACAGGCAATTCACACTAGTCAAACCTAGCAATTCGAGGCCAATTCAATTGCATTTCGCGTGGTCATTTTTACTGTCAAGATATGTTTGTGATGATGCAAATTTTATATATCACTGGTATCGTGGTGTTATTTTCATCAATTCACTAAAATTAACCCACTTTGTGAGCCAATCGAGTATCCCTATTTCTAGGAGCTTCCTCCTAATCACCTTGAGTTTCTTGCTTTCCTTTCACGAATGAACAACGATAACAAACGCTTATGTTTGTATTACTTATTCGAGTAAATTGTGGAACCTAATATTAAGAAATCTTTTATCAACTTAACTCATCATGGAATCAAATTGCACGAAATCTTCTACTAATACGCCGCCGTTTGTCGATCTCGGACTTCTCATGAACATCAATCATCAAATTGAAGCCAAAAGACCCGAAGAACGGTACAGAGATTACAAAATGCGCGGAGAACACATAGATAGTGTGATTCCACCCATCACTAGCTCTGAGGAACGAACCTTGTCTACACTCGAGGTATCGGAAGACGAAAGGCTGTCTTTGGAGACACTGTCTGATACAGAAGAGACACCGAAGATTATTCAAGAAACTCGAGCAGAAGCTAAGAAGAGGAGACGCCAGGAATTTCTCGATAATTATGATGTGGAATCATGCAAGCTAGTCGTAGATGATCTTCTTGAGAGTCAGATTAGATATTACGCGGTTTTGCGGCGATGTGGATTGGTTCCTGTGCAAGCAAAAGAAAATATACATCATAAGGAGGATACTTGGAGTGAGACTAGCGAAGGTTGGAGTTTACCCAAACTTGTGTTCTTCTGCCCTTTCACTAATGCTTGGTCTCTAATCACAGACCCTGCGCCAAGACATGGGAACTTTTCCTCCAATTTACCCATTTCACAATCCTCGATTAAGGAAAAAAATCCTAAACTATCCCATAGCGAAAATAATGTGAGGGCAATTGGGTAAGTCTTTGCTGGCACTACCAGCCCATTTGTACGAATGCTGTCAGGAGATCTCGCTAATAATCATGTAGAAAGAGTGGGCCTGGCGTTGCAAAGAAAGGTCATGTCGCCAAGAAACAGGCAATCATCAGTAAGTATCATACGGAGCATTCGAGAGATTGCCAGTTGCTGATTGAATTTAAAGACAAGAAGGACATGTTCGAGTTGATGTTTAAGGGGATGGAGCATTGTTCCGGAGCTTAGTTTGAGAAAGGCATGCATGGAGGTCTGAAAGGGGTTTTGGTGGGGTTTCTCATAACGTCGAAAGTACACATCAGAATTTCGGATTTCAAAGGCACAACAATAATTGGAATAAGGATTGGCGGTATGTTTCTGTATTGAAGACTTCAATTTCATCAGTAACATCGCCAGGGATAGTATCCGAATTAGTAGTCATGAGTATAGGAAGCAGGCTTTCTTTCCGGAGATATGTTTATTAGTCTAAAATTGCGTATCTTCATTCAACTACCATTGCTCTCATTAAAATCACGCAAATTTGCCATACTTCATAATCTTCGGGTTCGCTTACACCAAGACTAATATTCTAACGATCGTAATTCTAGACTATTTCTTTCAAACACTCCTCCACAGATGGTCAACGCCTTGATTTGGTGGTGTTCTCTGAATTTCTGGATGTGGAATTGTGAAACCAAGCAACAATGCTGGATTTCCTCGCACGGTGTATCAACAACAAAGAATGACAGAGCGGGAAGTTTCAAGCAGTAAGATCAGTTTCTGCGAATCTGGAATCTTGAATCTCATCTGGCAGTGAAGCATTTATTCTAAAGATGTATCTATCCAACTCTGGAGCGTTCTAAGAAGGTGTCTTAGATGACTAGAATTGATCAAAGGATATTGTATTCGTATGAATATATAGCAGAGTACTACTTACAATGTTGCTGCTGAAATATACTTTCGGTTTTCATTCGCATTATGGCCGAAGATTTGGAACCAAATTACTCTGAGACTAAAAAACGGGTAGATGAAAATGTCACAGAGAGAACCTCCAGAAGAACATCCACAGCACAGTGGGGCTCCTGCCGGGGTCGAAACATAATGCTTAGAGACTCTTCTATCATTTCCGGTCCAGTTGCGCAGCCACAAATCTTTCATTCTCGAATGGTAGCAAAAGGTCGAACATCCAAATTTGTCGAAGAAATTAGCAGCGATGAGGACTTACAAAGCGTGGTGAAGAATATGGGGGCAGCCAAGACCTTTGATGAAATGCCGCTGCCTCCTGGGAAAGTAAGGTCAGCAACTGCATGCGAGGAGCAGACTAAAGTGAGCGAACTTTGTAAAGCAGATTCCATAAGACACTACTGACACTTTCTCATAGGCTGAGGAAGCTGAATGCTGGTTTAGGAGATGTGGGTTGATGTAGATTGTCGAGTGAAGTACTGATGTTATCACGCAGTGTTGGTGGCAATGGGACTGCCGATGCCACCAGTTTCTGACATATGTATTCCTTGGATCTTCAAATTGGTGTTTGTTGCTTTCTTGTAGGCTTCTATAAGAATATGAGTACACTATATTCTCGTGATATTCTCCAAATACCATGAGCATAATTTGAATAGGAGTAGAATAGATTTCTAAGAGAGGCGATGGCATCCCTTCGATATCTGTAAGAAATGTCTAAAATTCAAGGCTCTTTGCCTGAGAACCCAAATTTTGCTACCTCTCGGGAAATATTGGCAATCTCGGGTGGAGTTTCATGAGATAAAGCAAGCCGTGACCGGTTAGATCTGTACTGACTATAATACCACCTGGCTAATTTTTTCGGAATCACAATTTCGAATAAAACGTCTTCGGAATAATAAATTTACTGCTAATTCCTCCAGAATCTAGTATTTTTTGACTTCTATATACCACTCAAAGGGGATATTTTAATACATATCTATTTTGACAATGACAAAACACTGCTTCAAAACTTCCAGCTCTCGCTATCCCAGAATACCTTCAACAGTTTTTAGTGAATGACTATCCCCGCATATCATTTAGTGGCGGAAAATTTATATGAGAGTCATTTCCACACTATTTTGAATAATCCATGCCAGTCATAAAATTCATTCACAGCATTAGCACATTGAATATCCATAAAGCTTGCCACAGGTTTCGTAAATAGATACTTCACTCACAAATAAACACAGAGCCGTACAAGAACCTGCAACCTTAACAAACACAGGAGCAATACATCCAGCAATAATACCCATATCAAAGTAGGTCTATAACTAGGCCAACGAGTTTGAACAGCCTGCTCACCATTCTCATAGTATTCCAAATCAAAACAACGCCATGCCTGAGAAAGAATCCACAACTTTGCCGAAGATGAACGTCTCTTCGGCGTGGACTCTACTACAGAAGGTTTCGACACTCGTTAACAATCTTTCGAAATCCCAGGAAGAAGCCAAGTTGTCCAGAAATACAGACTCGCAGGCAATCGAGAAGTTAAATAACAAGGTCAAGTCACTTGAAAACGAATTGAAGGGAGTCACTCAAGCCTTTGAAAGACGGATCAATCAGCTCGAGAGTGTGATTTATCGCTCGAAGTGACCCCCACAGAGCCCCACGTGCGAGTGGTCAAGACTGGAGTTCTGGAGACTGAGCAGATCAACAACAACTTCGGAACGTGAGGAGCTTGCACGCTTTGACAGTTGATTGGGAGATTCTGATAACAATCACAATTGTATTGCTCCCCGGGGTTTGGTTAATTGAAGACCGATGTACCATGATTGCACGGGAGACCTTTGGCGAGCATTCTATTTGGGAAATATCGAGCGTACAGGATTACGTAAAGGCGAACTCATTGTGTTTCATGGCAGGAACTGCATAGATTGGCCGGAGCCTAAACTATTCGACTTTGATCAATGATGGATTATCATTTCATGGAAGTCCCAGCAACCTGAATCATGAGATAGTAAAACAACTGCAATATACATTTTCCAATGAAACAATTGCATTGCCGGGCAGTTCTCCTCCTCCTGCCCCCACGTTCACTTAGCATGACTCATCAAGTGACTGTGTATGTTCCGAATTTCATGAAATGAATAACTTTTGGATGGCTTTGAGATTATTTAGGATATATTCTATGTAATATCTTTGGAAAAACAAACTGCCAATATTTGATGTTTAATTACACAGAATAATTGAGCTCAAAGAAGGTTGGAGATGAGAATAAAAAGTGCATCATCATTTTTCTGATCTTCCCAACACCAAACGACCACTGTGTATGTGCAAGCCAATCATGAACTGCGCAATGATGCTGTTGAGAGTTCATTACCTACAGCGAGTGAATTCGCTCTGCCCATGAAATCGCCAAGGTATATAGTTTCACACATTTGTAGTACTTAATTATCCAAAATAGCAAATGTTCCATGAACACCTGCCGTAAAGGAGGTAAAAGTGCTCTTTGAGCACCCAAACTTAGACAAAGAAAGACAACCACCATAACAAGCACCAATTCTCACAATCAAACTGGAATTGAATAATCACACCACAACGCATAGAACCACAAGCATCTCACCAATTTACCACACCACCAATTGTGTCCTATTCCGCCTTTCGATCCAAGCACCATCACCATGCCTGAGAAAGGACATCTCGCAAGTGCCACAGATGAACAATTGAAAGATGTCAAGTGGTTGAGAGCGCATTTCAAAGAACTTCAAGAAGCCCAGGAAAGACTCGATATTGCAGAGAAAATCATCCTTGAACTACAGACGTCAGTCAAAGAGCTTTTTGAAATTGTCAAGAAGCTTGAGTCATAGATAGAACTGCTCATTGTAAGTATCTCTCCCACAAAGCCAAATCAATCTTTTTTACTAAATTCTCACAAACGTGGTAGGCTAATCGATGGTAAAGACTGAGGGTAGTCCATTTGACGGCATGACAGGCGGTTGAATTGGGTTGCTAAACTGAAGACCGAAGTTCTTAGGGCTATCTTGTAATAACTCTACCAGGTCGCCAGCTTGGAGAAATTGTTTGCGCTCAAGAATTAGGAGCTAGCAAGATATAGAGTGGAATGGTACAACGCGAATGTCAAACATAGTTAACAAGAATCGCACATCATGAGGTCTTAGCAATTCCACACCAGTTCATTTGTACTTGCACATTTCTGCTCTGGCATGCGAATGGCTTGATTCATTGCGTGAATAAGATCCAAATGTTCAAGCGCGCGAGTCATGAGTTTCATGTCCATAGCTTGTCTCCTATAAGATATCATTGTTATGTGTTAGAAGCCCATATGTCTGCGAGGAACCGTTGGGAATAACCAACATTCGTAGCTTTATTACACTCGCATGAAAATCGAGTCATATAACTGCATATGCTTCTTCGATATGGGGGAAATAATGGCGCTTGAATACCTAAGCCTATATATTCGAGCATGAGCTGAGCAATTCGGTCCAAAATTAATGACTGTGGAAGAGTTTCATTGCTATGACTATCTTCCAGCAGCTGTGACTGAGTTTCTTCTCCGTGAAAAGTCAACTTAAGGGTCACTTCCTCCTCGAAATTTTCATACTCCACAACCAAATGATTTGAGAGACAAAAGCCAACATATCCTCGCATATCAATACCAGAAAAGTCTCCCGAATCACTCTCTTATTCAGAAATAATTCAACTTTCTAAGCACGAAAATCTGAAACATTCGCCACAGAGCTGCATTTCAAAGTCAAGATGCCCTCCGCCACTAAACATTTCCAAGGTCAACCCACTGATAACGCGCGGGAGAAAAGCGAAAGTCAGAAAGTGTCGACCGTAAAGCGATGCCTACAAAATAGTCTTATAAGAGGGGACAAGAAAAGTAGCCAAAATGGCATGTCCACCATATCCCCCACTGACAAGTAGTGCTTGGTAATAAATGACAAAGACAGCGAGAGATGAGCGAAGTGGCTCTAGCTCTGGCTCCCAAATGCCAACAGATAGCTTAGGATCGAAAGAGCCCGACACTAAATCAAGTGCTTCTTAGATTGAGCGTTTAGTCTACACAACTTTCTCATATCGTACTTGGCCGTCTAGCCCATTTCCATCACTTGAAGCAAGGAGCCAGGAAGCGCATTTTTTGGTCATAATCGTTGGTTTAGCATAAGATGCTCAGGTAGGAGCGGACAAATGGTTCTTAAATTACAGGTATTGGATTTGGCATCGATAAATTCGATTCCCAAATACCAGTATAAACATTTGTCGGTCTATTCGTTGGTTTGGAAGCTCATTGCTCTGGTATGAGTAGGTAATTTGGTGTTTAGATCGCCATTGGATATTGGTGTTCGATCACGTAAATAATCTACCACATAAAGAAGAAAAAACTGGTATGAAATGCCTTTTGATTTAATGTATAAATCTATCCTCATGTGCGCCCCGTTCCAGTAAGCCCACAATGATATATGCCGTGCTCCAGTATTCCAATATCTACATCTCCCCGCCATGCAATCTCACTTTTTACACACTATCTAACCCCAAGTCTTAAGTGCCTTCATGCTTCCCTCTTGATCGAATGCCTTGTGCATGTCGAAGCTATTCCACAACAGATGGGGCTCGTGACCCCAGCCTCTTCTCATACACTCGAACTCGGCCTTTCTGAAGTAGTCTTCCAAGATTGGCTTATAATCTGGATGAGAGCACTTTTCAATGATGACCTTGGCTCGCTCTTTTGGACTCAATCCTCGGACATCAGCGAGTCCTTGTTCAGTAACGACAACATCCAAATCATGCTCGGTTTGATCGACGTGTGTGCACATAGGAACGATGCAAGAAACACCGTGAGCATCAGTCTTGGATGGCCTAGTAGATGGTGTGTGCATGATACTGTATTTGGAAGAACGGAGGAAATCAGCTGAACCACCGAGGCCGTTCAACATGCGAGAGCCCATAACATTTGTGCTGTTTGCATGTGCGTAGATATCGACCTCAACTGGTGTGTTCATTCCGATAACTCCCAATCTTCTGATGATCTCAGGGGAGTTAGAGACTTGCTGTGAGCGAAGCAAAAGTTTGTCGAAGTATTGCTCCCATCCATCGTAGAAGCGCTTGAAACCATCTGGGGAGAAACGAATAGAGGTTGCGGTTGCAAAGTCTAAACGTCCAGAATCGAAGAGGTCAAGGAAGGTATCTTGAAGCACCTCTGTCCAGACTTTGAGATTCCTGAAGTTAGACTCGGCTAGACCACCAATGACAGCATTGGCAATGTTTCCAATACCGGACTGAATTGGGAGCAGGTTCTTGGGAAGTCGGTCATGCTTCACTTCGTGCTCAAGGAATTCAATCAAATGAGCAGCAATTGCACGCGACGTAGCATCTTCCGGCGCATTTGGTACAGTTTGATCTTGATAATCAGATTCGACGATGGCAACAATCTTCTCGCTGTCAACAGGGATTGCGGTTGTTCCAATACGGTCCTCTGGTGCCATGATCAAGTATGGTTTCCGCTTTGGTGGAAGCTCGGTCATGGTGATATCGTGGAGTCCCTCAAAAGAAGGCATAGAGGTGTTGACTTCAACAATGATCTTGTCCGCCATTTGAATCAATTCTGGTGATGCTCCAACGGAAGCTCCAGGAATAATACCGCCATCTTCGGTAATAGCTGTAGCTTCAACAATAACCACATCCAGCTTTTTGTTGGGTCGATCTTTTGTGTAAAATCCATAAACCAAATCTACAGGAAACATGGACAGATGTTTGTCGAAGAAATTGATGTTGCCATTGTTGATGCCCTTTGCAATAGCCTTTCCGACTTGATGAGGGCTTCGTCGTTCGATCATATTCAATTCTGCCCATCGATTTTCCGTTTCCGCTCCGGAACTTGCACCTACGAAAAGGGAGTACTTGAGCTTGCCCTGTAAGTTGTTCTTCTCTACGTGATCTGCGAGCATTGTTGGGATCTTCCTACACAGTTTCGATCAGTATTAGTTTCCCACCGAATCAATCATATGCTATCGTTTGACCCCTCACTGGGCAAGCACCGCAATTCAACTGCAATTATTACTTACTTAGGATATCCAACACCCGTGAACCCAGACCACCCAATGTAAGATCCATTGGGGAATAATGGGATCAGATCTTGAGGGTGAGCAAGCTTCTTAAGCAAAGATGGTCTCCTAACTCGAGATTTCAATGCAGCAGAAGCTGTCAAAGCTGCTGCAGATGCCATCTTGAGAAGATTGAGCTATAGCAACGGTATAAACAAAAACAAAAGCGAAAAAGAAAACAAGAGAGGAGATGGGATTCAGAAAATGAAGGTTGAAGGTGGGAGATATCTACGTATTTAATAAACCATCGTATGATCTGTTTACTTCGGCAAGTATAGTCAAATTGTAAAGCTCAACCGGGTTCGTTGGGACGACGGCGCCCCGCAACGATCGGTTACAAGGAGATATTTCACTCCGTCATCGCAATAATTCGGTTATTCGGTAACATATCAAACACACTGACACAGTACTCGTACTGCTACAGTGCTATTGCCAACTCTATTGGAGAGTCATGAAAACTTAAGGAATTATCTTTTATTGGTGGAGAAGGTTGAAATTATGGAATTCTTATAAAAAGATATCAATACCATAGCTCTGTGTAATGACATTATCAAATTACGTTAAAGAAAGTTTACTTGGCAGTTCCAGCAACTAAACAAATACTCTTTGCCAGTACCTAGTAGTCAGCCTCACTCAATTAAGGTCATGTAGTCCAATGCTGATTTCATTACACATTGAATTCAAAGCCTCATCTGAAGAATCATTATACGTTTATTTCATTGACTTCATTCTCTATACACATAGCTCAACGACGCCTTTGCTCCATATCCTCCTGTCTCGGAGGAGCCAAATTCATGGCTTCTCTTGCTGCCCTCAACGCAGTCTGGTTTATTTTCAACTCCACACTGTAGTCTCCAAATGCATCGACTAGCTCTCGAAGCCCGCTTTTGAGGACGGCGAGTAGCAGATCAACCTCAGGACTCTCGTGCCTCCCTTCTACGTCGGTCCAATGAGCCCCCAATCCGGTCCTAAAATGTTGCACTTTGATAATCGTCTTTGTATATGTTTCCACGATATTCTTGATGTCCTTCTGTACTTTTCCATATTTATCCTCAACAAGACTACACACAGCAAACCTGGTTACCGAGTCAATAGCATCGATGATGATACCTAGATCACCATATGGTGTTCCCAGTACTACACTTGCAATCTCCTTTCGATATTCCTGCCTGAATGGTTTTCCGAATGGCAGCTTGAGGATTATGATCGCCTGCTCCCGTAGAATGTTCTGAAGTCCTTCGGGCTGTTGGAATTTTGTAGGAAGTGCGGCTTTGATTGCTGCACTCTTCTTGTCGTCCTTCAACTGACGGCGATGAGACATCTTATCAGGTGGTGATAATTCTCCCTGACTCTTTGCAAATGAGCCTACAGCTTCTAAATAACGCCTGCTTCTTGACTCTGCTGGTTCGGATTTCTCAACGAGACCGCCCCTTGGTTCATCCTTGAGCGATTCGGTTAGTAAACGAGGAAGTGACGATATTGTTTCTGGGGTTTCCTGCTCCTCGTACACATTGACAACGGGTGCTTGTTTTTTGGGATCGTATTCCTCGATACGCTGGTTGATTTCATCAACGGTTTCAAGGCATGCCGCAAGGATTTGAGACCAAGCTGAGCCACCAACGCGGTCAATGTCTTCAAAGATGGCTTTCCGCCTCCCTTGATATCGCTGAGCAATTTCCACGAGTTCCCAAAATGCAAACGCCTGAATGGTATTAGTCCAATCTAGTAGGAGCTTCAGGGAGAGACTTACTCTTGTTTGTAACTTTTTACCTTTTAATCCAGTCAGCAAACTTCCATTTGGATCTCGAGATTCGTAGGTAATTGGTCTGTCGTTCTTCAATGGCGCTTGCGCTACATAAATAGAGAAAGCAAGATTTCCAAATTCCCACAATAGCGTAAGCATAAGCCCAGCAATGATTGTCCTGAGAACCATGGTCCAGTGAAAAGGTAACTCGTTCGGAGGAGTGGCAGCCTTGGGCAAATTCCAGAAAATCTTTGCAAATGATCGAGTAAAACCCCAAACGCTCTCTCTGATATTGAAGGTGTAAATCGGCAAGACAAATGGGATGGGAAGGCTGATGTTCATAGAATAGATAAATGGAGATACCACTGCCATTATAGAAACACGCTTAAGACACTGAATGGCTAGAGGCATTGCTTTCGCTTTCAATTGTATCATTGGCAGTACGGTTGTGTGCGAAGGTTGCTCAGATGAAACTTCTGGTCCAGTCTTCGTAAGTGGAATGTCGATGCGATCATAGTCGTACCAAAGGTGGAATCCGGCTTGGACGAGGGCATTAAATAAAAGGAAGACTGTCAAATATATAGGTTTCTCGTTCAATATCGGTCGACTTGTTTTTGCTGCAAGCTTGATGCGATTAAGACCTGCGCTCTCAGAAACCGACCAAACGTATATCTCGCTGAAGAACCACGCTGAAAAGAGATACCAAAGTGCTGTCTGAACCGTCTGATATTTGGGCGCATATTGTGTAAAGGTGTGGAAGCTCGAGTTTGAGGTTCTGATCCCTACGTGTAATTGGGCCACTCGAAGGATGAATATCATAAATGCGCACATGAAGAAGAGGCCGGTTCGAATACCAGCTCTACCCAAAGGAAACCATGACCAAAGGACTGTGAGACTTAATTAGCATTGTGTATTGAAAGTTGTGAAGCTGGAGAAGACCTACATGAATTCCATTCCCCAATCCATACCGCTTCGACGTAACATACTGCTGCTAAGACAGCAGTTGCCAATGCAAATCTTCTGTGCAAGGCTGGAGTTAAAAAGTCCTTATAAGGACGAATCCTTACTGCGGGTGGCATTGGTGGAAATTTTGTGAAGATGTTGCGTCTTAAAAGACTAAAACATCAATAGAAGAGATTGGAATCTATGCAAGGTTATTGATCATGTTTTCGTTGTTGGAAAATTAAATAAAGATAGAAATGCACGGAAATGCTTTTGTTGACATTCAGTTTTCTAGGTGAAATAAATTTAGAGTTGGTTGACGCGAAAGGCACTTGGGCACTTTGGTGGGTGACCCGCCCTGGGTTGGTAGGCTGAGGTAGGTAAGGTACAGACAGACCACACAGTATTACAGTCAGTACGTCAGCCAACCTAGGATATCACACATCAAACATCACTCACCCACCCATCGTTCCAGATTATCACATCTTTCGTGGGCGAAATAGGCAGCGAGCGAATTTGTACATAAAAATCATACAAAGTCTACACTCATTTGAAAACATCTCACACTATCAATAACAACCAAATCATGTCCTTCGATCAGTTATCATCGTTAGAGTCGCAACCGACGACAATGCGAAGAGAGGATGATCCTCAATATGCGGACGATCCGGAATTCCAAAGATTATCGCAAGACCTTATGACAAAGCTCTTCTCATTGACAGGAAATATCTCAAGGCTTTCAAATGAAATAAACTTATTGGGAACGAAGAGGGACACAGAGAGGGTTCGGGAAAGAGTTCACGATCTCCTGGAAGACTCAAAGGATGCCTTCAAAGAGATTGGCGATGGCGTCAAGAAGATACAATCATGGGAGGATGTAAATGTAAGCAATAAGATGTCCAGTATGATTCCGATGGGGTATTGATAGTTCATGATAGCCATCGCAAAAATATACTCAAACAAAACTTACGCGCGAGTTCCAAAACAACTTGACCGAATTCCAAAATGTACAGCGCCGAGCTCTCGAGAAACAACGATCCTCTGCTACTGCGGCACGAACGGCAATGGAAGAAGCGCAATCACCAGGAGCTGAGAGTGGCAATCAATTTGGACAGCAACAATCCCAAGAGCAGCTTAGATTGGCTTCGCAGGATGAGGTTGATTTTCAAGATTCGTTGATAGTAGAGCGTGAGGCCGAGATCCGGAATATTGAACAAGGCGTCACTGAATTGAACGAGTTATTTCGAGACGTGGCACATATTGTCAACGAGCAGGGCGAGACTCTTGATTCGATTGCCAACAATGTCGAGAACGTACACACAGATACAAGAGGGGCTGATCTGGAATTGAGGAGTGCCGCAAGATATCAAAAGAATGCTCGATCAAAGGCTTGCTGTTTACTATTGATACTGGCAGTCATCCTCACTATCATCATACTCGCAGCCACCTTAGGCTAGGCGCATTTCTTTTGGAACGGTTCTATGTGTTAATATCCTTGGGGGAGTTTTGGCGTTTTCCCATGGCATCCTGCTTCCATATCTTCACACTATCATTGTCATTTGTACGATTGCCGGTCAGAATGTTTTTAGAACGATTTCAATGAAGCAAGAGAAGGTGATAGGATTAGGTGTATTGTCACAGTCCTACTGTCACCTTTGAAACTAATATACGATTATTAAAATCCTCTGCATCTACGTTGTTCGGTTGTGATTGATTGGCTATGTTTGTCAATTGCCCCAATGATATATGTTCTTAATGATGGCGGCTAAGATTAAGGGAAAGCAGCGGCAAAAGCAAACTACATAAGTCCTAGCTAACAAGTAATCTTATCGGAAGATACGATTGATTGATCGAGTGTATCTGGGTATGTACCTGGTGGTTGATTTTGCTTGTTTTGTTCCCTTGGAAACCAATTCTCTTCGCATCGAAACTCATGATAGCCTGACATCATCACAAGGCTTCGTCTGTCACCCAAGCGCGTTCTCCATACTTTAGAAGATTCGCGTCGTCTTGTTATAAAAAAGTAACAACATATCATCACATTAATACATATACATATACTCGTACTCATTCACTGAAATTTTCAGTATGGGTATTGAATTGGATCAAGCTAGTCTGCAAAAGGCTTTCCAATCTCGTCCAGATATACAGAACGCCATAGCGTCAGCATCACAAGGTAAAGTACATATCTCTCAGCCTTGCAAGAAAAGAGATATAAATAAAAAGTCAATAATGCGCCAACAGCCATGGAAGAATTGATAGTTTTGATATTCAAACTAACCTATAAGCATAGCTGGTCCAGAATATATCGAGCTATTCAATCAAATTTCCCTATATGTCTGTGAGACAATAACTCAGCAAGCATCAGAGCCAGCTTCAAAGAAACGTCGCATAGATGAGAGCCTCGCAAGTCGAAGCATCCCCAATAGCACAAAT